TTTATTTTTTTTACACTAATTTTAAAATAAAATCAAAACGGGAAATGAGAAATATAGAATTGTGACTATTTGAGTGGACGAAGTTTATGAACATTCTCTCTTCCAACTTTTTTCTTGTATTAAGAACTGTGGGATGGCGTATGCCGTATGGTGGCATTCAAGATCTTCATACAGCATATGTAATGTAGAGATTTTTTTATAATGTAAATACCGTATAATGAATTATTGAGGCCACGTACATATGTCTTTCCAATCGATCGAGGATATTTGCCGCAATATTTTTGGAGAATCATAATTGCTGAGCTAGTTTTGTTAAAGAAAACAAAGTAGAATTCTCTATTGATTTTTTTTTTTTTGATAATATATTTCCTTGGTCTCCCATTTTAGCCGCAAAACTATAAATAAAGCACATTTCACACTAAGAGAAATCAAACTCATTTTCGGTTATTTGAAATACAAGTGTAATATAGGTCGTGATCATGTTCGTGTGTTTAGAGATAGTTAGGCTGAGTCACATTTTGTAAACCTACTTTTAAAAAACTTGTTTAACCAATATTTATATATAACTCGTTAAAGAAACGGAATATAATATAGAAGATTATGTTCTGTATTGGATATATAAGATAACTAAATATCTATCTGCTTTTAACCACAGCTACGGTTATAATTTGTTGATATGTATATTTGCACTTTTGTGGTTCAAAGGTACAAGTAAAACATAGAATGCATGTACTCTCAATTCAACTATAAAATTTTACCGTAAAAGAATGGAATGACTGATGAACATTTGCATATCAAGTTCAAAAATTTGACCAATTAGCAAATAAACGTGTCACATTATTATTTGAAGTTTGAAATTATTCAAGCATTTTCTATAATGCTCGTATTTATTCCCTCTTTTGAGTTTTGACTATGTTCCAAGGGATACATTTGAAAACAATAATTTTCTTTCATACGTGTCCTAAATGATTTTTATTGACTTGATTTACGTACATTGTCTATGGAGAAGTACGGATTCGGTTTCTCAATCAACTATCGTTTATAAATTACTAATAATAGTCGAAGGGTAAAAACTCCTAAGAAGACTGGCTTCAGCGTGAAACTCTTAAATAAGTTGGTAGCATCTGGTTTTCCTTTCAGATTAGGAAATTGATGCTCTGTTTGTTCTTTCAGTTTCGAATTTCTATGTATATGTGCTTGGCTGAAAAAAGCTTTTAATAATATATGGAATCTTTTGATGGCAAACAAAAATTGTTTTCGGTACATATAGAATATAAATATATAACCATAAAGATCTTTAGTTTTGGTGTCCAAAATCAGTTACTGCCGTGTCGCTTGAAGCCTTAAACTTTGAGGAACCCCACAAACATTTCTTGAGAAGTCAACTCTAAATTTGTTTACCGAAAATATATATATGAAAATATGTTATTGACGTTTTTTCTATAGTAATAATGGTCGACATAAATTAAATAAATACAACGAAAAAATAGTATTACGCCCATAACAAAAAAAAAGCAATAAACGATTAGTAAACAATGGGCTTCACTAAGCGGTATCTACTGAAACTATGGATACTTTTTCCTTCACTCGTCAGCTGCTAGTTGTCACACCAATTTATTTTAGTAAAACCGCAGGAATATATTTATACTTGCATTTCAATATTCTTAATTTTTATGCTCATATGCATGCTGGTTTTTTTGTGTGTCAATGTATGGTTGTCATTGTCGAGTTTTATTTAATAAAGTTTACATTGGGATGCATACACATAAGCCGATAAGACAAAATGATAAATTTTTTATTTTATAGAAATGTACATCAATAATTTGTTTTCAACCAAAAATATAAAATAAAAAATTTCATTCGTTTCATGGAAATTGTTGAATTCATCATGAACGGGAGAATTTACAGTAAATATTATTAATTACGATGATCTAAATATAATGATATACGAAAGTTTAATGCTTAATAAAGCCTTTATATATATGAGAACCTCTGAAACGTTCGAAAGAATCAATGTTTATATAGTTTAGCGTTTAAACGACCAAAGTGTATAAGACATAAAGTTTAACTGCCCAAAGTAAAGTGACGCAGCAATTCCGGTACAAGTTGATATCAAGCTTTAGACAATTAGCAAAATTTGATTTAGCTAACTTGTGATTATAAGTATTTAACCATTGGCTGATCCATCTATCAATCTAATAATTAAATTAACATTTAACATATATAATCTGTCAGTTGACTTGCATCCTTTTATAATAGAGATTAAGAAAAATTCATCCACATGCCTGACGATCATGGTTTTACATTTTGATTTGCACTCTTTTAATCATTTTATAATAGGAACACGTTATTTAAGAAGTATAATCATTATGTAATTACTCTACATTTTTTTAATCTATTCATTGCACTAAATATATAACTCAATCACGACAAATTAATTTTGATTATAATAAGCTGAATTTTAAAATTCAATCATACCTCATGTATTATTGCGAAACTTAATACTATAAGAACCCGATCGTCATGACTCATAGCAAAATCAACTAAAAAAATACTTCATCAGTAGTCAATAGAAATTAAATACTCTTATTGTTAGTTTTGATCGGGTGTTTGATTAGTCAAATTGTCAAAAATTGATCTAATCATCATCCAAGAATCCTTCAAGTCAGATTACATGCTGTTTTGATAACAAAAAGAAAATGTTGTTTTGACTTTAATACAGACAAAAAAGGAGCTCAGTATTAAATGTATTGACTAATAATAATAATAATAATGGTTTTTCTTCTTCAAAAAAAATTAAAACTACTAGTAATTGTAGAAGACACGTGGTTAGGTTTAGTTTGATGGGCGCGAAAGCAGGTGTACGTTATAGGCTTGGATCCAGAGTGGATATCCAGAAAATTTTGAGTATTTGTGGTTTGCTCCGTTTTTACCGGATATCTGATTTTGTGATTTGTTTTGCTTCGAAAAAATATGGATATCCGGAAATACGGATATCCAGAAAATTTACAAATATTTACGGATATTTGCGGATATTTACGAATACTTATGGATATTAAATTTATTTCATTCAATACAAGTAAAAGATGAAAATACATGTCTTTCTTTTTAAAATATGAACTACCAATTAAAAATAAGTAAAATAACTATTTTTATTTCAAAAAAATGGATATAAATAATAAATTATAATGATAGAAAAATAAAAACTATGTTTTATATTCTGAAAAGAATATTAATTAATTAAAACTCTAATATAAACTTTTCTAATTTAATTTCAAATTTTTGATGTTTATTACTTATTTTAAAATTATTATATGTATTTTTATCATATATATTCTTTTTTTGTTTGTTAATAAGATAATTAAATTATATAAAAATATTAAAAATTTATAATATTAATATGTATATATGTAATCTGCAGATCGGAGCGGATATCCGAACTTTCGAAAATTAGTATTTGCGATTCAATTTATTTTAGACGGATACTATATTTTAATATTTGCTTTGCTTCGAAACATTACGAATATCCGGATTTTTCAGATCGAATCGAAGTAAATAACGAATAGAATCAAATATAACGGATAATATGCCCACCCCTAGTACGTCATACGTACATCGATCGCGCAAAGTCAAATAAAAAGTCAATGTGCATTACTAAACCTATGTTAACTACGGCAATTAATGCAGTTTAAATAAGATTTGTCAAAATGATTAATTATCGAGTGATCAATAAGAATATAGGCAATGCTTTAGGGAACACGAAACATTTAATATGCAATGCTTTCGGGAGAGGTAACGGGTACAGTACGGGTCTGGAGAAGACTATTATAATTAATTGGTTTTAATTAATCATTGATAAATCTATATATTACCATTATGTTTGTAAGATTTTAGTTTATTAGTCCCCAAACAATCATATGTTGAAGAGCCTTCGTATTTCAACAAAAATTCATTTTTCTAAAAAAATATACTCCTATATAATGTCTCTTGTCAAAGTCATATCGCTACAACCACAATGTAATTAAGTATATATCCTTTGTCTGTAATTATCGTTTTTATAAGTTCAACTGTAACTTAATGTAGTTAGTTAATCTTTTTAAAATGGGCTGAAAAGAATTAAAAAAAAAAAGAATTAGTTATATCTCGTATGAATAAAAAGAAGTAGAGATGCGCATTGATGCCCCAAACCAATAATGACTAGCCAGGCTAGACATGCATTCATGCATGTATTGTTATCAAAAAGAAGAAGAAGAAGAAGAAAGACATGCATGCATATATATACATTCTAGTTTAAAATGAAAATTCTTTGCAGTAATAATAATATTAAAAATCTAGAGAAAAGGTTGAGAAAGACAAAAGAAGCACATACATTTAGATTCGTCTGAAGAAATAGAAAGCAAAATTGTGTTGTACAACTTCAATTACATTTTGGTCAAAAAAGTTTAAATTAAAATATAACTCAAAAACTATAATACAGTATATAATATATTAGATAGTTTTTAAGCTATTGAATTTGGCCAACTGTTTTTAAACAAACCTCAGGTCTTTCACCATTAATCTATAGATTTTTCCACCATTTATCTGATTTTTTTCCACTGAAAGAATTACTTTATTGATCTGGTTCAGATACAGTCTAAACACAGTGTCTCATCGAGACATCAGCCACGAAGAGAGGCCGAAAACAAACAAATGTTGAAAAAGCAATTTAAAGAAGAAAAAGGCCCAATAAATACTAAGGTGACTTAGGCCCAATAAAAGACCCAATTGATTTTTGTTTTTATGTTTTTGCCGCCGTCGGGAAGCCGCCGATACATGTCCGAGTGTTGGTGATGGTAAGAAATTCAACGATTTCCCCGGAAAAGCTGAGAATTTATTGTTCCGGTCAGATACACCGCTATTTCAGGCAATCCTTTCCTCGCCGGAATTTTATTTCCGGACATTGTTGTACCAATTTTCACATCCGTAAGAGAAAACATGAGCGACACTTCACGTCAGACGTTATGCCTCCCTGTACTCGTATTGGCCATAAGGTGTTCGACGAAATGCCCAAGAGAGAGGATAGGACGACGGATGAGACGAGCTTTATGTTCTTACGAGATCTACTTAGATCCTCCACGATGAGAACAGGGGCAGAGACTCCAAGGAGTATCCATTGTTACGCTCTGAAGAGTGGGTTTCTTCAAGATTTGCCTGCGTCTTCAATGCTTCTGACGCTTTACGGTAAATCCGGGGACTTGGTGTCTTCGTTGAGTCTGTTTGGTGAAATGAAATTGAAAGATGTGATTTTTTGGAACAGTATGATCACTGCTCTGAATCAAAATGGTCGTTCCCTGGCTGCTCTTGGAGTTTTCGTTGAGATGATTCAGAATGGAACCGAATTTGATTCGACAACACTTTTACTTGCATTGTCGGCGTCGTCCAGTTTAAACCATTCGAAGATGTGTCCACTGGTTCATTGTTTGGCGATAAAGGCTGGCTTGGTATCTGATTCTAACTTGTGCAATGCATTGATGAATCTTTATGCAAAAGGCGAGGATTTGAGCTCCGCGGAGTGTGTATTCACACATATGGAACACCGAGACATTGTTTCTTGGAACACAATCGTGACTAAATGTCTTGCAAATGGTCATCCCAGTAAATCGCTGAATTATTTCAAGTCGATGATGACTGGTTCAGGACAAGAAGCTGATAATGTGACTTTTTCATGCGTTATCTCGGCTTGTGCTTCTCTTGAAGAGATTCGATTTGGTGAATCTCTCCACGGGTTGGTTATAAAATCAGGTTATATCCCAGAAGCTTATGTCTCCGTCGCTAATTCGATCATTTCGATGTACTCGAGATGCGGGGACACCGAGTCTGCTGAAACTGTGTTTGAAGAGTTATTATGCAAGGATGTGATTTCTTGGAATGCAATTCTTAAAGGGTTTGCTTCAAATGGGATGTTTCAAGAAGCGTTTAGTATTTTGAAGGAAATGCAATTGGTTGATAGGATTCAGCCTGATATCGCCACCGTGGTTACAATAACTTCCATGTGCGATGATATATGTTTGTCACGAGAGGGAAGAGCAGTTCATGGCTACACGATTCGCAGGGAGATGCAATCCAGAGCATTAGAGGTAGTAAATAGCCTTATTATTATGTATGGTAAGTGTGGGTTAACAAGTCAGGCTGAGTTGTTGTTCAAGATAACAACTGATCGAGACTTGGTTACGTGGAACTCGATGATATCTGCTTTCGCACAAAACGGGTTTACACAAGAAGCTAAGAACCTGTTCAAGGAAGTTGTCAGTGAGTATTCTTGTTCAGAGTTTAGCTTGTCGACTGTGTTGGCAATTCTTCCGTCTTGTGGTTCCTCTGATTCTCTCATCTTTGGCAAGTCAGTCCATTGTTGGCAGCTAAAGCTAGGATTTGGGGATAATATCCTTTCGTCTAATTCAGTTATAAACATGTACATTAGTTGCAGGGATCTAACTTCAGCATTCTTGCTGTTAGAGACGATATCTGAAACAAGGGATCTCGCTTCTTGGAACTCTGTTATCTATGGCTGTGCATCGAATGGTCACCATTCAGAATCACTGAGAGCGTTTCAAGCAATGAGTCGTGAAGGGGTAGTTAGCCATGACATGATCACTCTTCTGGGTACTATCTCGGCATGTGGAAACCTCGGACTGGTCTCACAAGGAAGATGCCTTCATGGACTAGCTATTAAGACTTTGAGAGACTCTGACACTCAATTGCAGAACACGTTGGTCACTATGTATGGTAGATGTAAAGATTTAGATGGTGCAGTGAAGGTCTTTGGCTTGATCTCTGAACCCAACTTATGTTCCTGGAACTGTGTGATATCAACTTTGTCGCAGAACAAAGCTGGACCAGAAGCGATTCAGCTCTTTAGAAAACTCGAGTTAGAGCCGAACGAGATCACATTCGTTGGCATTCTCTCTGCTTCAACTCAACTCGGGTCTACAGGCTATGGTATGCAGGCACACTGTCATCTCATCCGCCGTGGATTTCAGGCTAACCCTTTCATCAGTGCTGCACTCGTGGACATGTACAGCAGCTGCGGGAGGCTAGAAACCGGCATGAAGGTGTTTAGAAACTCAGGAGTGAAATCAATTGCTGCTTGGAACTCAATTATTTCTGCATATGGGTTCCATGGAATGGGAGATAAGGCAATGGAACTATTCAAGGAAATGAGTAGTAGTAACTCAAGGATGGAACCAAACAAGAGCACTTTCATAAGCCTATTGTCAGCTTGCAGCCACTCTGGGTTTATAGATGAAGGTCTGAGATATTACAACCAAATGGAGGATAAATTCGGGGTGAAACCAGTTACTGAACATCGGGTTTGCGTTGTTGACATGCTAGGCCGGGCAGGGAAGATGAGAGAAGCTTATGAGTTCATCAAAGGGATCGGAGAGCCACAGAAAGCAGGTGTGTGGGGAGCTTTGTTGAGTGCTTGTAACTATCATGGAGACACAAAGTTGGGGAAAGAAGTTGCAGAAATTTTGTTTGAAATGGAACCAGACAATGCATCTTACTATATCTCATTGTCAAATACATATGTTGGATTGGGAGGTTGGAAAGAAGCTGTACGTCTACGGAAAATGGTAGAGGATAAAGCCTTGAAGAAGCTTCCTGGTTACAGTGTTATTGACGTTGGTGTTAGGTAGTGTTGTTTCTTGAAATTTCCCTCATCAGTGATTAGTTTAGAGGTTTTGTGAGGAGCAAGAAGATAATAATACTAATAGGTAATACATTCCTTGTATATAATCCAAGTAATAATACTACAGCAAATGTTGAAATAAACAACTGAGAAAGTACAAAAGCTAATTAAAAAAGGTCTAACAAACCCACATGGTTGCAGGCAGATATAATAGCGATGAAAGTGATACTGTTTGGTTTAAAGCATTCATACACCATCTTTGAGAAGATCTCTAAAGCATCACTTCCAAGACCGTGGACGCTTAAACCCGAGATCATCGAGTTCCATGTACTGACATCTTTCATGGAAGTAGCTCTAAACACTTCAAGAGCCTTATCAATTTTCCCGCACTTGGAATGCATATCCACAAGAGCTGTAGCCAAAAACCCATCAATCACAATCCCATCTTTGTCGATGTAAACATGAACCCATTCACCTTGGCCTGAAGATCCAAGATTAGCACACGCAGATAAGACGTTCACAAGAGTAAAACCATCAGTCTTCTCTGTGGAATTACTAAGTTTTTTTTGAAATGGAACTAGACAATGCATCTTACTATCTCATTGTCAAACACATATGTTGGGTTGGGAGGTTGGGAAGAGGCTGTACGTCTACGGAAAATGGCAAGAGTATAAAGCCTTAAAGAAGCTTCCTGGTTACAGTGTTACTGACGTTGGTGTTGGATGGCATTTCTTGAAATTTCACTTATATCAGTGATTAGTTTAGAGGCTTTGTGAAGACGCAACAAGATAATACCAATAGGCAATACATTCCTTGTAAAATCCAAGTAATAATATTACAGCGAATGTTGAAAAAAACAACTCAGAAAGTACAAAAGCCAATAAAAAAGGTTAAAGATTCAGAAACTCATATTGCTCGGTTAATAAAAAAACCTTGCACGGTATTAAGCAAAAGGCTGGAAGAAGTAGACGGCAATGGAAAACATGAGAAGCAAAACTGATGATAAACGTTAATCAAAAGCTTGACCAGAGCAAACGACCTTCCTGGAATTCAGACAATGTTTTATCCAGATCATGCCCTATATCCTGCGAATCAAGAGAGAACAAACATTTCAGAGATTGGTCTCTCAATCAAAATGCTGTGCGACTGATAAAAACAAGACTAGATTTTAGAGATAGAACCTGATGGTAGTTGTCCTAATCGTCCAAGTAGTAGTATGAGCCAGCAGACTTTTGCTCCCTGTCTTTAGTCGACTCTAGTTTGTTGATCCTTGGTCTGAAATTGGTGGGATCCCGCCTGAAGGTGATGTTCAGATGCTGCAGGGTAGCGAAAGACATAGATAGAAATCATTAGCACCAAACATTAGGTCCTTTCTTTGTCTTGACCCTACAACGTAATTAAGAGGAGAATAGGAGACTTACAGATAAAAAGAGATTCATTCCACTGAGTAGTGATTGAGGACAATTAGCAATACAATCAATGGATGGTTGTCCTTCATAGACAATGACTCGGTCTGCCAAATAGGTTGCCATGATAAAGTCATGCTCGACCACAAATGCAGTTTTCTTTGCATGGAGAATGAACCGCTTAATGACTTTAGAAGCCACAATACGTTGCTCTGAATCGAGATATGCACTTGGCTCATCAATCAGGTATATATCCGCGGGCTGCAGGGATTCACAAAGTTTGTGTATGCATGAGATCACTGAGTGAGACGAAGAAGAAATACTTCTGTTTCTATGGAATTCAAAAACAAAATACTCACCTTTCCGAGACACAGAGCTAATGCAACCCTTTGCAACTCTCCTCCTGAGAGATTGACAACTTCTTGATCCATCAACTGCTCAATCTGGAGTGGTTTCATCACGTCCGATACAAACTGAGGATGCATGTAAGACTCCCGAATCTTTTGATGTAGCAAGTGTCGAACTGAATTCTGAAACCTTGGGCTGATCTTCTGTGGCTTGTAAGAAACATTGAATTCTGGTATCTCTATGTCTGATTCTTCTGAATCATCAGGTTTCAACAAACCAGCCTGCAGAAATTACCAATAACACAAGTTTAGGAGTCCAGTACTTGCTAAAACTTTAACCACAAGAGAGGAGACAATGGAGGAGGAGAATACCAGCATCCGGATAAATGTTGTCTTCCCTGTACCGTTCTCCCCAAGCATAACAATAATCTGCGAGTCGGTGAATTCACCTTCCGTCACTTTCAATCTGAAGTTTCCCTGAGTTTTGGTCATGGTGGGGTACTTGTACCTAGCGTACGACTGTATTTCTTCAGCACTTTCTTGTGGAGTCTCAGCAACCTTCCAACAAAAAAAAAAAAACAATTAAGAACACACACTGATTACCATTGTGAAGCGACATTGCCTCTCTACCATTAAAAAAAAAAAAATACCTTGAAGGTCAGAGATTCATCTCTGAAACGTAAATTCTCTGTGGGAACAAAACCAGCCAAGAAAATGTTGATTCCCTCTCTGACAGAGAAGGGGAGTGTCACGACACCATAGGCTCCTGGTTTCCCATACAGACAACAAATGAAATCCGACAAGTAATCAAGAACACTGAGATCATGCTCCACAACAATGACGTAGCTGAGAATAAAAGGGGAAAAAAATGTAAGTAGCTTATTTTAGATCCCATTTGAACAAAAAAAACAAACAGAAGATGGAAAAAACAAACCTGTTAGGCCTCAGGAGAGAACGAACAACTTGAGCAGCTTTGAGCCTTTGCTTGACATCAAGGTAACTAGATGGCTCATCAAACATGTATATCTCCGCATTTTGTATGGCAACAACAGCGATTGCAAACCTCTGCAACTCACCACCAGATAGATTCCCAACATCACGATCAATGACCTGGTTCAGCTCCAGATCAGCACAGAGCTCTGCCTTCTTATCCCTCTCGTCCTTCTGGTCAAGGACCTCTCCAACATTTCCTTGAACAGCTTTTGGGATGTGGTCAACATATTGTGGCTTAATAATAGCCTGTCATGCAAAGGATGACACAACTTATGTCATTAAATGAAACCTATGCATCCTCTGAAAATATATTTTGACGTTAATAAACAATATACCTTTAGATTATCTTCTAGAATACGGGTGAAGTAGTTTTGAAGCTCTGACCCCCGGAAGTGAGTCAAGATTTCTTGCCAGTCTGGAGGACTCTGTACAAGACGAAAAAGAATTATAAAGCAACTTGTCAAGAGACGCAATTTTCAGATGAAAATTCAGAAACTCAAGAGAGGATATTACAGTGAAACGGCCCAAATTTGGTTTGAGCTTTCCCGCCAAAATTTTCAGAGCAGTTGATTTTCCAATACCATTTGTCCCAACCAACCCTAGGACCTGTCCCGGCCTTGGAACTGGAAGCCTGGAAGTAGAGACAGAGATTTCATTGTCTTAATACTAAAAGAGGGATTTGCTTTTTTCCAAGGGGAAAATAATAGATAGACGAACCTGTGCAACTTAAAAGTGTTTGGCCCATAGCGATGGGTCGTGTCTTTCTCTAAGTCTCTGGGAAGATTGATAATCTGAATAGCTTCAAAGGGGCATTTCTGCAATTGTACAGCAAAGAGTATTAAAAGGCCCAGTTTTGGTGACAAGTACAGAGGCATATTTGGTGTCAGAAATAGCATATGCAGACATACCTTCACACAAATACCGCAACCGATGCACAACTCCTCTGAGATGAAAGCAATCTTGGAACCAACAGTCACCTCAATACAAAGTTTTCCTGAGATAAACATAAGTTAAAGTATAAGTGGCACTGAATTTTTTCGGGATATAACAAAGAAAAATCATGTCGGTAGTATAAAAGTTAATATACTTATGGCTTCACACGTAACCTAAGCGCTAATTAGCATGCAATAGGCATATGCAATGAGTAATGACAAAACCAATCAATCACAGAACAGTAATACGAACTGCAAATGAAAGACCACAAATTCAATTTTGGAATAAGAATATGCACCTGTCTTGACCACAGGACAGCTCTTCTTGCACTCTTGGCGACATTTTTTTGGCTTGCAACGGTCTTGACTCACAATAGCAATACGCGTCAATCGATCTGCCATCTCTCAAAAGATCTAAAAAATAGATAAAATCACTAGTTTTAGTGCCTGATGAAAGATTCGACATATTTATATGCAATCTGCGGAAACTATCTATTGTGGCACAAAAGAAACACCAATCTGCTAAAAAGAATATTAGGGAGTATCACCAGCCTACATAGAGAGAAGAGGATCATATGATAGTCACAATCAATAAAAAAGTAAATCGTCAAGATCAAAACATCAATGTCTAGCAGAATGGGACTCTGAAACCACCTCAAAGGTTCAGTATTTGCACAAGTATACACCAATTGAAACTGAGTAAAGGACAGTAAATACACCAGTCCTTCGCAAATTTAGACACTAGTGTCCTCTTACTATTATTAAAACTCAAAACAGTATCTAGCAGGTTGAGAACACAACAAACAACAAGGGAAATCCTTAGACTGAATAGAAAACTGCAACATTTACAAGCTATTGTCATATAATCAGACAAACTTAAGCTAGCTCATATAAACCCTATGATGAAGACAACTAGGTCAGAAGATTTCATTCCTTATCAAAAAGTCCACTAATTTTTGTTGGTCCCCAAAAGAATTTAACATCGGATCAAAATTCTCCAGATTACAAACAAAATCACATACAAAAACTGAAAAATCTAACAAAAGTTGGATCATCGGAGAACGAAATACGAAGGGTTAAACTGAAATTCCAAGAGAATCGAGCTAACATAATGAATGAGCGAAAGACGGTAGCCATGATTATCGATCTAAAGACACTATCGTAGCAAGAGAATCTGCAGCTCAAAAATATAACGAGGTTGAAGATTGAAGATTGAAGATCAAAGACGGAGCAAAACAAAAGTTGAAAATTTTAACATCCAAAAGATAATCCAGCAAATTAGAAACACAGTTTCGGCTTCTATTTAACATCCAAAAGAAAACCCATTTGAGTATCAATGAACAAAAGAGATGTAACTACAATAGAATATCTTCTGCAGGTGTGAGAAAGAGATAAATTTGGTTCATTAAGAACATAAATCATTTGTAACAAAAGCATTCATTTGATCCATAACAGTTGATGATGAAAAGGAAAAACGAATTCAAAGTAACCCATTTCAATACCAATCCATCAGGAACAAGAACTAGCTCATCGACATCACAAAACCTATAGGCCACAATCTTAACAGAAAAAAAAAGCTGAAGAGAAACGAATTTGATTCGCAACTCCGAAATTGACTGAAGAAACTCGAATCTCAGGTACTTTCGCTCAGGGTTTAGGTTCGAATCTCGGATTTCTGATCTCTATCAATCCTATTGGCGTCAATATGGTGAAGTTATAGAAATCAAAGTATAAATCGAAAAACCCACAAATTCTAAAGAACCCACAAATTGTAGAAATCAAACCTGGGACAGAGCTATCGAGGAAGGAGATGTGGTGAACACGAGACAGAGCTATCGGTGGTTTCGGCGAAGAGAAGAGAAATAGAATAACACTGACGACGACAATTTTTATATTTAGGTTAATTTTATTTGTAATTCTCATAAACTAACAAGGTTAATTTTGTCTTTCCACAGGTGCAATCGTAGATTTGTTTGACGCACCGCTGAATGTTGTATGTAACATTTTAGGGGCAAACAAATGTTTTGTAGCACAGCCAAATATTAAAGACAAAACATATTTCTTATCAATGACAAGACAACAGAGATAGGGAAGAACTTTGAACAAGATCAGGATAATTCCTTGGAGAATTTCTTGATTAATACGGAGGTTATTCTATGGTTTGAAATTGGAGCATGAAGTGAGGCGTTTTAGGTTGCATAAATTATAGGTGTTTGAGTTATATATGCTAGATTATTATTATTCAACAACAATAGCCAAAGATGTTAAAGATCAGACAACAATCTGTTACACAAAGGAAGAAGAGGTGGCTCTCTCTAGAACGAGTCTGGCTCGAGAATCTTCCTTGGTGGTCCGAAATTGCTCTCCGAGTCCAAAATGAGCCATCAGAAGCCAGACAAAGTTGATCAGTTCACCGCCTTTGTTGAGTCGAGCTGCATGTTGTGTAGAGTCACAGTGAGTTGCTGCACAGCAAAGCATCTCCACCCACACTTTGCTCACAACTTCCCACATTTTATCATGTCCTGTTAATCACAACTGTGAATAAACCCAATAACAGGAAAACCCAGTAAATAATTCTGAATCTATGTAAAACTCATTACTCTTGAGTTTAACTCCACCGTGTATTTGATTGACAAAACATTGAATGATGGCGTTTCGATAACCATTTGACCTTCTTTAGAATTATTGGATCATTGTTATAGAGCATTTTGGAGTTTGGAGTTCATAGGACCGAAGCAAAGGCTAGAATAAAAACACGAACAAGATACAATGTCGGTACTATCTACAATCGCATATATATATATATATATATGGAGAACTTCACCAACATCAAATCATTAAACATAAAGAGATTTTTTTTTATATATTTTTTTTTTATAAAAAGAAGGGATAACAAACACAAATTGTCATTACAAAAACCAAATCATAGATAAGTTTTAAGGCATCTGCTTTCTAGAGAGAGAAGAAACCTCTTCTTCAGATACCACAAGGTTTATACTAGCACTCTCCAATTATTTTTCTCGAACCAGCGATCTCTCTAAACCGATTTAGTTAAAAAAAATGTAATGTTTTAGGAGGGGATTATTAGAAACATCGGTCAGGTAATGAGACTGCGGGACGAGAGAACCGGTTTTTGAGATTACTTCCACTTCTTGAATTTGCCTCCTCCTCCAAACATACCATGCTTCCCGTGCTTTCCATGCTTGAACTTGCCTCCGTGCTTGAATTTTCCTCCATGCTTTCCATGCTTGAACTTGCCATGACCACCGTGACCATATCCATGAGCGGCATGACCAACGTGGCCATACCCTGCGGGTCCTGCATGCCCAAAGGGGCTGTGTGATCCATGACCAACGTGGTGAGCTCCATAGGCTGCTGCCGCTGCACCAGCTGCACCTGCGATCATACCTCCGATTCCACCACCAGAATGTCCTGATGAAACGGCAAAATAAAGGTATTACATGGAGAACCTCCAAAGTAGCAGCACGCAGAGACAAGAATACCATAAAGGTGTTCGTATGATAGTCAAAATCGATAAAAACGCAAACTGTTCATATGGGACTCTGAAACCACCTCAAAGGTTCAATATTTGCACAAGTATACACCAATTCAAACCATAGTAAGAGACAGCAAACTCAGCAGTTCTTGGCATTTACAAGATATTTTCCTAATCATCATTCAAACGTAACTGAAACTACTACTTAACAGGCTGATAATCCAGTAAACTACAAGGACAGTCCTTAAGCTTTAGCATAGCAAACATCAATATTTTAGAAACTACAATCTTTTAATCGGCAGCTTTGATGATATATAACAAACTAACAAAAGGAGAGATCTTTAATGAAAGTTTTACCTGAATGGTGAGGCGCAGGATAGCCTGCAGGGGGATAACCGGCATGGCCCGGAGCAGGAGGATAGCCTTGTGGCGGGTAGCCTTGTTGTGGCGGGTAACCCTGTTGCGGCGGGTAACCAGCGGGTGGGTAACCTTGTGGCGGGTATCCGCCTTGAGCGGGTGGGTAATGATGTCCTCCTCCTGGAAACCCATGAAAGCCTTTCTCTTGCTCATCATGATGCTTGTCTTTACCACCTCCCATTGCTTCTTTTATTTGTCACTCAGTTTCCAGCAAATAATAAACCTACACGAGTTTGATTTACATCAGGTTCATAGATCAAATCAAACTTCAACAATCAAAGAGAGATGACCTATAATCCAGAAACAATCACAGGAATGGCCATAATCGCACAAATTATGACGAACAACGAAATCAAATTCGGCAGAAAATGGATAATTTAGATTTCTTCTTCATGTTTCTTCAAATCGATATCGTTGCTACACTACTTAAAACCATCAAAGGCTTGTTAACATTATCATAGATCGATATAGCACAAAATGGATCTAAATACAAAAACCAGAGATCATATCGGCAACGAAGAAGCGGCGATTCGATCATAGTACACCAAAGACTTCGATTATGATCACAGATACAAGTGCGATTCAAATGGGGGAAAAAAATGAGATATATCTTTACCTTTACGAATTGCGAAGATTCTTTCTGAACGAATTGGAACAGAAAAGATCAGAGCTTATGTGTGTATATATATGGATAAGCGTGCTGCGTCTGCATCAATCTTATTAATTACTTAACGCGTTACCATTTTTGAATAAGTGCATTCCTGTATTTTATATTTTATTGTTTGCTTAGTCCTCGTACTTTTATGATAACAAATCGAACACCTTTTAAGTCTTCAGATTTACAATTGTGTCCAGACTCCAGCTACCAAAACGAAAAAAGAAAACACTCTTTCAATACAATCATTTGATAGATGTGAGTGTTATGAATCATATTCGCATAAAACTAGGTTTTTCTATATTCATTGTGGTTTTAATTTTGTAGTTTAGTAACTTAAAAACTATCGGGGTTTAAATGTAAATATGTAAAACCAGAAGGTAAAGCGTGATAAACAAAGTATCTACGACGTGGGAACGCGCAATGGACACGGGTCATGGGGGTAAGAACATGCTTAAGGAAAATATCTTTTTATGCAATAGTATGATTTTATCTAAATGGTGGAAAAGTCTTTATCCTTTATTTGACAAATGCCAAAAATCAATGGTGGCCAAAAAAAGATAAACAATATGCCAATAGAAATATAGAATCAGGTCCTCCACAAATCATTGTTAATTTATTTCTTATAATTATTCAACAACTACAATAACTTGTTCATGTCTTGGTGATAAGATTCGCCATCACATCCGGTTAGAATCTTAAAATTCTACGTTGAATCATGAATGGACTCACATCGTGCTTGTGGTCCTATATCTAACTAAGACTAAACTATTAGCTAAAATAAGAAAAGAGAATCTGATCATACACGATTTCTAATTAAAAACAATCCCACTACATTGCGTTCTGAACTGTGAAAACTGAAAATCAAGACACTGTACAGTACTTTCAGTCATCTTCGGTAAAGGGTCTATGTGGTTTTTCTTTACCTATAATATACACATGATATAACCGAAATCTATCTTTGTTCCACGAACCCATCTTTATGCAATACATGTTCATCTCTTGCAAACAAACTCAAACCATCCAGCACAACGTATATCGTTTCATCTTCCACACGGCCACATTCTCCTACCGTGAAAGTGTGATTCTTCCCGTTCACCTGAATCACGCTTTCACCTGGATACTTCTTAATGTTCCTGCATTTCATCATGGATCTAATCCTCGCAACACCATCCCACATACCAGCATCTGCATATATGTTTGCCATTTCTACATAAGGTGCAGCCACTTGCGGCTCCAAGTTAAAAAGACGTTCAGCCGCTTGCTCAGCCACTTTTACGTTACGGTGGATCTTGCAGGCGCTTAGCAATGCGCCCCATATGCCAGCATCGGGTTCAGCTGACATGTTCAAGATGAGTTCTAATGCTTCTTCGAGCTTTCCCTTCTTTCCAAGAAGATCTACCATACAGGAGTAATGGTCTAATCCAGGACTGATGCTGTATACTTCTTCCATGGTGTGGAAATACTCCCACCCTTTCTCCAGAGAACCTGAATGAGCACAAGCTTGGAGAACGGCAAGGAATGTCACGTGGTTTGGTTTATAATCTAAATCTATCATCTTGTTGAAAAGTACCAAAGCTTCGAGGAAGACTCCGTTTAAAGCATATCCAGCTATCATCGTAGTCCACGTGACGACAGTTTTCTCGGACATGTGATCGAAGATGTCTCGAGCTTCGGTTATACTTCCACATTTTGAGTACATATCAATGAGAGCATTGCAGACCACGACGTTATCTCTCTTGCACCCATAAGCATCTGCTCTGGCATCTACCCACTTCCCAATCTCTAGTGAACCGAATCTTCCACAACCTGAAATGAGGGAGAGTAAGGTGACAAGATCTGGTCTCACACCTGTTTCAGTCATTGCACGAAACAAGGCCAAAGCTTCGTCCATGTCGCCTTTCTCGGCATACCCACTTATCATCACAGTCCAAGAAACACATGTTCTTGAAGGCATGACGTCAAACAAAAGCCTAGCTGAGCAGATATCCCCGGATTTCGAATACATAGAAATGAAGGTGTTGATCACTTCTATATCTTGATCTGTGCCAAGGAGGATCGCATGAGAATGAATCAACCTTCCTTGGGCTAGTGTTTCAGAGTTTTGACAAGACGCGGCAAGGTTAATAAAGGTGCTCAAATCCGGCTTAAAGTCTTCGCGCAGCATCAACTGGTAAAGACCAAACGCATCAAATGCTTCACCGAAAACTGCATAAGCTTTGAACATTGAGTTCCAAGACACAACAGTTCTGTCACTTCTGCCAATATCTCTAAATACTGACTTTGCTGAATCCAAATCATTACACTTCGCATAAGCAGAGATCCAAGTATTGGAAACTGTAACTTGTGCATCTACACCTAAACGTATTCCAAAGGCATGCACAGCTTTCAAAAGCTTCAAGCTTTTTTCAGACGAAGCTGATTGAATCAAGGTCATAACAGTCACGGAATCAGGTTGGATCTCGCCGAGTCTCATCTCACGGAACAGAGAAAACGCCTTAACCGTGTGACCCGACTGACAGAAACCAGACAGCATTGCGTTACAAGTGGTGGCGTCTCTCTCAGGCATTCTCTCAAACACCTTGGCAGCATAATCCAGAGAATCACATTTTACAAACATATCAACCGTTGCAGTCCCAACGAACACATCAGACCAAAACGGTGATTTCAGAACATGGGCATGAACCATTTCGCAGTTCCCAATATCAGCAAGCCTAGCACACGCCTTCGCCACGAATGGGAAGGTCAAGTTGTTTGGCTCAAATCCTCCGCGCTTCATTTCTCGAAATAGAAGAAGTGATTCCGCCGGATCATTTCGATTAACCGCTTCTCGCACCTGAACGTTCCAACCATTTACAGACGACAATCCAGGAAAACGATTTAACCGGCGGTGAATCAAGGACATGGATTCTCCCTCGCTTGCGCCGGCGGGAAAAAAGTTTCGCTTTTTTTTTTTATGTGCCACTAAACGTTGTCGTTCGTGCGCTCGAATGTGGACTGGACCGACCGGCTTGTCATGTGAGAGTAATGTAATCTAAGATACAAAACAATGATAGGCCCATTAAGCTTCAGTAAGACCCATTAAAGAAAACAAAACAAATGGTACATATCTCACAAATTCACAATCTCTATCAAACCACAACATATAAATACTTCTGGTCGAGGAAAATAGACTCAGTTTCTCCTCCTGTTCGTGCTGTATCGATGCTTACGAGACTCTTCTTCTTCTTCCGATGACAACTCATGCTTGTGCTTCTTCTTTCTACTTCTACGGTTTGAATCCGAATCAGTTTCTGCTTTCTTCGTGCTTCTGTATCTATCAGAAAACCCTTCAGGATCATCATATGCATCATACACAGGCTTTTCTTTACCCTTCACGCTCCTGTGATGCCTCCCGGAATCACGATCATCATATCTCGGTTTCTTCTCGGATCCATGACGCCTCTCAGACTCATCATCGACATGTATGTGCCTTCTGTCATCATGCCTCTGCTTCTTCTCGACTCTGTGAAGCTTCTCAGACTCCAAATTGTCATGTTTCCGACTTTTCCCTGAAACAGGATCGTTGTTATGCACTTGATTTCTCTCCCGGTGATGGATTTTGTAATCCTCTTCTGATCTTTTCTTTCTACTACTGTGATTTCTATAATAATCAGAATCATCAGATGAAGCAGAAGGTATATCCGCCATTTTCTTCGGTTTCTGGTGCTTCTTGGCTTCGGAATGCTTTTCTCTCTGACTGCTACCTTGGTGATAAGCGTCAGATTTTAATGTCCCAGATGGATCTAAATGCTTGTTGTGTCTTGTCCTACTCGGGCGGTACCTGCCGGAGTCTGAATCTTCAGAGGAGAGTGAGTCAGAATCATAATGCTTCTTGCTCTTCTTCTTTATATCTTTGCCCTTCTTCGATCTTCTCTTCTCTCTACTATCTTCTGAGCCTGTGGAAGATTCATCAGTTTCCTCAACAGTCCGAGATGAATGCTTCTTGTGGCTTTTGCTCTTTTTGGACTTTTTTTTCTTATTCGACGACAAACTCTGCAGTAATTCTAATGGGATGCTGCCCTCAAGGAACCCTGTGATATCGAAAGGAATTAAAAAAAAAAATGAGTTTATACAATCCACTGATGATGGGACTTGTGAAAAGAAATTAGCCTTCATAGTGTCAAGAAATCCACCTCCATATTCGTCGAAGATATCTTCAGCGACAATCTGTTGATTTGGATCGTCAAGATCAAAACCACCACGAGGAGGACTCAAGCCCGGCTTTTGTTTCAACTCCCACTTCAGAGGCTGCAAAAAAAAATCAGAGAGCATTTCCAGTTAATGATACAGTTCCAGGAAAGATTTTAAAAGATGAGAATTAAGAGAAATTAAGACCAACCTCTCCGGGATCTGTATGAGCAATGATAGCAGTCAATGGATCATCTCTTTTCAATCGAAGTTCTTCGTTTGGCATCACTGCATCCTTCAATGGACAGTCACGGTCACCACTTTGGTGACCAAAGTTTCCACATCTCAGACATTTCACATTACGCAGTTCAACTGCAAATGGCTTTGCTCTTCCAGCGATACCAGTCTCGTGCCTGCACAGTTCCAATCAGTGTAACTAGTAAGTAATAAGAAAATGCTCACTTACATGTTGCAATATTTCCACAATGACACTGGAATGCTAGGCTACTAACAAATCAGAAAGAGTTTTTTTTTTAAAAAAAAGAAGCTATGGCAATACTTTGGTGCATTTTTAAGGACCGCAAATTCTTCTTCAGTAGGAAGAGTACGCCCAAACACATCTTTTGGTCTCGGTTTCTTCCTTTCCTTACCTGTAAGCTCACTCCCAGCTTCTGCTGGTCTGCATTGCATTAAGAAACAGCTCTCGTTAACATACATCAAAGAAAGACGATAGAAAACGGATTTCGCCTATAAGCTAATAGCGATACTTTGTCAAAACCATAATATGTTTCTGTCAACATACTTAGAACCAGTATTGTCGTCCGCCATTGGATCCTGAGCCGAAGAACTCTGACCTTCGTGTTTCTCGTCCGCGTATTCTGCTGCTTTGGCACTTTCAGGGTCATAGCCAGGTGGGCGAACATACATGAAACTCACGGCTTTCATCATTTCGATCTGCGCATTAAGCTCAGGACTCAATCTCATGAAACACAAAACCAAGTAGAAAATCACTACTTCACCAAATTTGTAGACTTTGGCATCTACCTAAGGATCAATTCAAAGAGCTGAGACAATATTTCAAGTGGATTCTGATTGGCAACAACCGGAGTTTCAATCCGGCCTAAGAGTTTATGCTACTTTCCAGAATTCGGAACTATAATCATCAGAATACAGAAATCCTAATCCAAAGCATTAGGGCACTTGTGAACAATGCTACTCTGAGAATTAGAGAACCCAACTCAAAGCAAGATCTGAATAACATAAACCCTATTCTGACTCAGAAAAAAAAAAAAAAAAACAAACCTTCTCTCTTTCTTTGTTCGAGATGAGAGCCGCCTGCTTGAAGAACTCCTGCTCTTGCGCAAACTGCAAATCCACGAAAAAAGGGATGTAAGGAAAGCACGAATCGAATCATCAATAATACAATTGGGAGATTATTCGAGACCATGTACGATACAGAACCTCACGGGCCACCTCTTCGGCTCTGCGATCGTGTTGGGCGTGAGTCTGCTCGGCGATCCACTTGCGGCGCTGGTTGGGATAAGAAAGCGGGTGCCATGGCTTCTGATTCAGGAACGAGTGGCTCCAAGCGGTACCGGATTTTGTCTTGTACTCGACCTCTAGGCCGCCGGTGACTTTTCCGCCGGCGAATCTCTTGCTCAGCCGTATTCCGCTGCCTTCTTCGCCGTCCATCTCTTTGAGCCGAAATAGTTTCCCCCGACCCAATGCCTCGATAATTTTGGCCACTGGGCTTTTTGGTTATTTCAATACTCAATAAATATGATTTCTATACGCCAACAAAATATAAAGTACGAGAAAATATGAACTTTATAAAAATGAAGTGTGAAAAATCGTTATGTAACCAAAATTCGCATTTAAATAAAAATTCTCATTAAAACTAAATTTAGGGAAATTTGCATAGAAAAAATAACAAATCAGTGACAAACTACGAAAAGTGAGAAGAAAAAGGAAGCAGATTTCATTACTAACGAAGTAAGGATCTCCTACACTTTTGTACTCTACAAGGCGAGGAGAGAGAGAGAGAGAGATACAGAGAGATAGGGGCCAAGTTAATCGGAAAGATGACGGCGGCGATGATCCTGAGCGGAGGCGGATCGGCGGAGAGAGACGCTCGGATGGCGCACACTGCGATGGCGTTTGTTCAGCTCTTTAATGGCGGATACCATGTGATTACGAAAGTAGCTCTCAACGTCGGAGTCAACCAGCTTGTCTTCTGCGTCTGTCGCGATCTTCTTGCTCTCTCTATTCTCGCTCCTCTCGCTTACTTCCGCGAAAGGTATCATCTTTTTCACCCTTGTATTCCTCGCCTGCTCGTTTTCGTTTCCTCTGTGATCTCCATGAAGTTTTCCAGTTCTGTATTTACGCTCTCGAGATGGGTTTGATTGAATCCTGGTTTTCCTCTAATCGATTTTTGAGTTTGTAACTTTGTATACAGCAAAACCCAACACAGTCCCCTGTTTTTACCCGATCCATTGGTTTGGATTTTCTGAATTTGAATTAGGGTTTCTCTGTGATGAATTGAGTGATTTCTGGGTGATTAAAAGGTCAACGTAATCTCATAATAGAAGAGCTCGGTTTCAGATTTTGGAGCAATGTGCGTAGACTTAAAGTTCAGATTTTTGATACTTATGAATTTGTGATCATTGTTTGTTGCAGTTTCTATGCTTGTCCTCGTTCTAATGCTACTTTGGTCATGTTCTCTGAGTTCTAGGATCTCGTTTTTCGATCTATGCTTGTCTAACTCTATAGTTTTGTAATTTAGTTTCCCCAAAACCTATCAGAAAAAAATGAAAGAAATAGTGTGGGAGGTTGTAACATAAGCGAGATCACTCTCAAGCGTTGCATAACTAATCAACATTCTTTGTCTTTCATGTATGTAGAAAGATCAGAACTCCAATGAATAGAAGCCTCCTCTTGTCATTCTTCTTCCTGGGCTTAGCTGGGTAAGAGATCATCTCTGTCCGGTCTCCATGATCTTGTAATCAGTGTATATTCAGATTACAAAATCTCGTTATACCCACCTCGTTGTTCTCAAATTTGATAGGGTATTTGGCAACCAGTTGCTATTTCTTATCGGTCTTACATACACAAATCCAACTTATGCTGCTGCCATTCAACCATCGATCCCGGTCTTTACCTTTCTCTTGGCTGTAATGATGGGGTGAGTATGATTCTTTTCTGGATTCCTCCTCTTTAGATGCGTGCCTTCGCTTCTCGGTTCCTTATGTCTCCTGCTTTGAATGCAGTACAGAAAGAGTGAATTTGTTGAGAATTGAAGGTCAAACTAAGGTTGGAGGCACGCTGGTGTGTGTTTTGGGTGCAGTCTTTATGGTTGTATTCCGGGGTCCGGCCTTGTTGGGAGATAAAGATGCAGACTTTGCGATGAACAACGAAATCAGCGGTAAAGCTCAACCTGAGCCTACCGGTTGGTTAGTCTCTGGGTTTCTTGATCTCGGGTTTGAGCAATGGCACATTGGAGTTTTGTGCTTGATTGGAAACTGCATGTGTATGGCTGCTTTTCTTGCCATTCAGGTAAATCCCTTCATTGCTTCTGGTTTAGACAAACCCATAAGCTGCAGCCTAGTATAACCTCTGTGCATGTGTCTTTTTAATGGAAACTCTCCAGGCGCCGCTTCTGAAGAAGTATCCGGCGAATCTTTCAGTCGCTGCATTATCATACTTCTTTGGTACAGTACTAATGGTGACAACAGCTTTCTTTATGGTAAAGGAGCCATTAGATTGGAAACTAACACAATCTGAGGTTCTTGCAGTTATATATGCGGTAAGTTGAACCAATAAGTTTTTTTTTTATCTTTCTCACATGTTTCTCGTGTAATCATCGAACACAATTTCATCTGGTTTGTCTTCTCTCTAGGGAGTTATCGCGTCAGCACTAAACTATGGTCTCTTGACTTGGTCCAATAAGATCATTGGTCCTGCTTTGGTTGCTCTCTACAATCCTCTTCAGCCTGCTGCATCAGCTTTCCTATCGAGAATCTTTCTCGGTAGCCCTATATATCTCGGAAGGTTGAATACATTTTCCAGAAATCTTATAGAATCATCCACATTTTCAACTTTCACATTTCAGTGTCTTGTTGATCCATTTCACACTTTTTTCACTTTCAAGACTTTAACTCTGGTTTCTTGCCCTCTCTGAGCAGCGTGGTGGGTGGGTTCTTCATCATCTTAGGACTCTATATGGTCACATGGGCATCGTTTAGAGAGCGAAGAACAGCAGTTTCCGGGATTGGGATCGCGTCTCATGGTGCAAGAACCTCGGAGCCTCTGATATATAACGGGACAGTTAGCAGAATAGGACAGTTGTTTTCTGGATTGCCCAGCTCCTCTGTCAAATCTGCAGACTAAAAAGAATCCAAAAAGTTAAAAAAAAATCAGACCAGAACCCATTTTACAAAAGATTTAACTTTCTTTTTGTTACTTTCATGACTCATATTAATTATCTTCTTTGGTTCCCTTAATATACAGTGTTGCTCCTCCAATGCTAATATCGAAATTTTCATCTAATTGTGAATTAAGTCAAAATGTAGTCCCATAAAGTAATTAATTCGTATTGATTTTCGGTCTAACCATACAGATCATATATATGACATTTTATCTTAACTTTTGAATACTTTTAGGAATGGACTGTATTCGATACGAGATAACTTGACCAAATATGGTTATAACTTTAAAATTTTAGGTTTGGAGGATCTCATAAAGTTCGAAAAAAAGGTGTGGCTATTCTGGTACGAAAACATAACAATCAATAGTGGGAAATTTACGAATCCCGAAAAAGCATATCCCAATTTAGTTATTTTTACAATAACTACACGAAAAAGAAATTTTTAAAAGTTCGTATTGATTTTTTTTTTTTTGTTCTTGTTTTTTGAGTTTTGTCTTCGTATGAGTTTTTTTTTTATAATTTATTTTCACGAAAATAAAACGATTTAACACTTTATATTACTACCAAAAACATACAATTTCACTTCATATTGTCGAGTGTGTGGACACACCATTAACATTTTTTAACTAACAATTAGACGATTTAATAAGTAAAGAAAGGATTATTTACGGTTCAACCCCAAACGTTTTCAAATATTCCAAATAGTCCCCAGATATTGAAAATGGAGCAAGACGTTTTCTGTTGTTGAGAAAAAAAAAATCACAGGACAAAGGCATTAGAGGTCTTTCTGCACAAAACGGATCTCTATCGTCGTCGTTTTCTCTGGTCTGAGTCGTGGATTTAGCCCGATTCTCGTCAGATCTGCTGAAGATTCTCGATTGTCTTACACGAAGACGAAGATTCGTGGATTAACTTCTGTATGTATATGCGCAGCAACATACGAGATCTAGTGCTCGGGAAGCTTTTGACGGTGGCTGGAGTTTCTGCTCTTCTTTCTTCGCCAATGCGTCTTCCTGGTATTGTACCATAACTTATCTATTCTATGATTGAGTCATGGGTTATTCTCGCAATGTCGATTGAACTGCAGATCGCTATTTTCTTTGTGAATATTTTGATTTGTGAACCATTTCGAGCTATTTTCTGGATTTTCCATTGAACCCGGAAATTGTTTATTTTGAGGTTCTCGTGTTTGCTATGTTTGCTGATATCTCTTGTCGATTACATTTTGTTTGATTTTTGCAGCTCTCTGAAGAATCTGAAGACATTGTTGGGCTTCTGCATTTGATGCTAGTTTTGACTTCTTTTGCCGCTAAAGACAATTTTGAAGTTCGTCTTTGTTGAGTTGTTAGCTCCCTTTTTCAGAGCTTTTGCATTTTCCAAGTAGGCTTCGAGTATAGCAGATTGAGGTATATGTTAGGCAAGAGACATGGTTTTTGGTAGGATCACTGAGCTTTTTACTGCTGCATCGAGCCGATTTTCAGCGGGAACGCAACCTTCGGTGCCGTATATGCCTACTGGTTCATCACCAGATGTAGGAACCTCAGCGCCAGATTCCACCAGTTTTGGGAATGCTGGACGAAAGAACAGTCTGAGACACTCAGCGTCTCTCCAAGATTTCTCTTCATACCATGGGTTTGATCCTGAAGAATCCATTCTTCCTCGGGAAACTGACTCAAGTGCTAAACGGCAAAACATATCATGGGGACAAAATGGAGCTAGTTTGTCTAAGGAAAAGGGAGGTATACCGAACGGGACCAACCCATCTACACGCCGTAAATTGTTCCGTGCTGTTATGATCGTTATGTGCTTGCTTCTGTTTGCGTTTCTGGTGTATATAGTCTCCATGTATATTTATACAAACTGGTCCCGAGGAGCAGCAAGATACTATGTTGTGTTTGACTGCGGAAGCACAGGGACTCGGGCTTATGTGTACCAGGCATCTATAAATTACAAGAAAGATAGTAGTCTCCCCATAGTTATGAAATCTTTGGCAGAAGGTATCTCTAGAAAGTCTAGTGGCCGTGCTTATGATCGGATGGAGACAGAACCCGGGTTTGACAAGCTTGTCAACAACAGATCAGGCTTGAAAAAAGCGATTAAACCCCTTATTCAGTGGGCAGAGAAGCAAATCCCCAAGCATGCCCATAGAACCACGTCTCTCTTCGTATACGCAACAGCGGGTGTCCGGAGGCTCCGTGCTTCTGATTCAAGCTGGCTTCTAGGTAATGTGTGGTCTATACTGGCGAAGTCGCCCTTCACTTGCAGGAGGGAGTGGGTTAAGATCATCAGTGGTACAGAGGAAGCTTATTTTGGATGGACCGCTCTTAATTACCAAACAAGCATGTTAGGAGCCTTACCCAAGAAGGCAACATTTGGTGCACTTGACTTAGGTGGCTCATCATTGCAGGTAACCTTTGAGAATGAGGAGCGAACGCATAATGAGACCAACCTAAATCTCAGAATTGGGTCTGTTAACCATCATCTTAGTGCTTATTCTCTCGCGGGATATGGTCTTAATGATGCGTTTGAAAGGTCCGTTGTTAATCTCTTGAAGAGGCTACCAAATGTCAATAAATCTGATCTGATTGAAGGAAAGCTGGAAATGAAACATCCTTGCTTGAATTCTGGATACAGTGGACAGTACACGTGTTCTCAGTGTGCTCCCAGTGTCACAAGAGGTAAAAAAGGGAAGTCAGGAGTTCCTATCAAGCTCGTTGGTGCTCCTAACTGGGGAGAGTGCAGTGCACTGGCAAAAATTGCTGTTAATAGCTCTGAATGGTCAAACACAAAACATGGAATTGATTGTGATTTGCAGCCTTGCGCTCTTCCTGATGGTTACCCTCGTCCTCACGGTCAGTTCTATGCCGTATCCGGATTCTTCGTGGTGTACCGGTTCTTCAATTTAAGTGCTGAAGCTTCCCTTGATGATGTATTGGAAAAGGGTAGGGAATTTTGTGAAAAGGCTTGGCAAGTTGCCAGAACAAGTGTTTCTCCACAACCCTTCATTGAACAGTACTGCTTTAGAGCACCATACATAGTCTCCCTGTTACGGGAAGGTTTATATATTACAGATAAGCAAATCATAATCGGGTCTGGGAGTATAACTTGGACACTTGGAGTGGCTCTACTAGAAGCAGGGAAGGCTCTATCTTCTACATTGGGACTAAAGAGTTACGAGACTCTGAGCATGAAGATAAACCCAATAGCCCTTATATCTCTTTTGCTCGTCTCATTGCTTGTGCTTCTCTGTGCGCTATCACGCGTCAGCAATTGTCTGCCAAGATTCTTTAGAAAGTCCTATCTCCCACTTTTTAGACACAGTAGCGCCTCAGCTTCCTCTGTTCTTAACATACCGACTCCCTTCAGATTCCAGCGATGGAGTCCTATGAGTACAGGTAACTCAATCTGCATAATCTTGAGTTATGGTCAGTTCTTGGCATTGCCTCGTTTCTCAGCCTTGTGTCTTCGATTTACTTTTTAAAGAAACAATATTCCATTCATGAAGCTTTTTTTAACTGTCAGGGGTAAAGACACCGTTGAGTCCAACAGTGCGGGGATCACCGCGTAGGCCATTTAGTTTTGGAAGCAGCATACAGCTCATGGAATCTTCATTGTACTCATCGAGCAGCTGCGTTATGCATAGTTATTCATCTGATAGCTTAGGGGATATGCAAGGTGACAGCGGTAGTTCCTTCTGGTCCTCCCCTCGCAGGAGTCAAATGCGTCTCCAAAGCCGGAGATCACAATCCCGAGAAGATCTTAGTTCGTCGCTCGCTGATTCACACATGCTCAAGATGTAGGAGGAGAAGACGCTTTTTGGTACGGTTTTATTTTTCTATCACTTCCACACCTTTCCAGGCTGTTTCTCTTTTCCAGTATCATAGAATCTAAAGGAAAACTTCATGAGAGCAAAAAAAATCGCTGTTTCTGTTGACTTGTAATTCTTTCTTATACCATAGATACTTATATGATTACTAATTTAACCACAATTCAACTATCTATCACTCTCTTCCTCTTTACCCTTCTACTTGCATTTCCCCAAATTCTTTCTTGTGTAGACGCACAGTTTCCTGGTGTTTGAGCAGCTAGAAAGAGAAGAATCCATCCCCGGATTGCGTTTCAGACAGATTGGTTTATGTTTCAAGCCTTGTAAGTGCTCATTTTCTACACTCTGATTCTATCACCATATCTAAAGGAAGACAGAAAAAAAATATAGAATATGTTATATGTTTGGACTCCATTTCATCAAGATTCGGGGATGAAAGTGTCTTTTTTCCTTTACCGTGAAAATTTCCAGTTTCAAGAATGTCCTCGTCTTGGATTGTGGAGCTCAAAATCCTTTGGGGACCATCGTTTGTGGTTGGCATTTAGATATACAGAGCAATCAGAGTAACTATCACCTAAACAAGTTACTTATCTTGCTATGATCACATTTTCATATATATGGATTAGATTTTTTGCATATTGGTATCAGAATCTTTTAGTTTGAAATCCATAGATTATTTTTCATTCAACGCATCGTTAACCACATAAAAATGTTTTATCCATCAATTTGGACGGAAACAGTTATTTAAATCAATGTCAGACATTGGTTGGCTTAATTCATAAGTAAATAATTGAATCCTTTTGGTCTCAATTCTCAAAGGAAAGGATAAATGTATATAGCTGTGTATCTCTCTCCGTATCGATCACTCTCGTTCGTTTATTGCTTTTTGGCCCCTATGTTTGCTTTGATTCGACGACACCCAACACTCCCAAAATGCAAAATCAATCACAATAATTCAAATAAAAGGGGTTTTATTTCAAGCTTTGTATGATAACCAGAAAACAATTTTGTATAAAGAGGTTAATTTTTAATCCATGGTTGTATTTGCTATGGGCCATATCCCTGATCCTGACCATCATGTCTTGCTCATAATAATGTCTCGTTGGTCCTACCACTCAGTCTCAACACACAATCTTTTTCACGTTCCTTATTTATTTATCCCAACAACGCTTTAATCAACTTTTCAAATATTTACTCGAGACTCATAGACATTACATCGAGTATCTGATTTACAAAATCCGATAAAGTTTTGGAGTTAACTTGATTTGAACGTAAAATGTTTTATGTTTTGGATAATTTGACAAAAATTGGAGTTAAAGAGATCTTAAAAGGGGATTTTTTATATGGCAATGTTCCTTTTGGATCTCTCTGCGTAAATCTTACGATCACAGACCAAAACATGACATAACTACAAATATATAACATTTTGAGATTTCCCAGAACACAACAAACTTGGCATTTTTATGATTCTCTATTAAAGTCAAATGTTGGTTTTTCTGTTTGAAGCCTCGCACAAGTGTGCTTTTTTACCGGATGAGTAATATTATATATTATTCTAGAAAATGTTGGTCGGGAGTTTAGGGTTTATCCGCATGAAAATGTATCTCTATCCTTTTTCTAGACTTCGTTGATTTGATATAAAATCGAAAATGTTACTTATTCATCGTTGTATTATTATATGAAAGTTATTAACTACTCGTCTTGTTTCTCAGAAAGAAAATGGAGCATTTACAACAACAACAAAATTATAAGAAAAAAAAATCGCACTTAATGTGGAAAATGTCATCTATAATACTAGATATAAAGATAACATAATGAACACAGCCGATCGAATTATTGATGCGATCCAGGTAAATTCATTTGATGTTGATAATTTCACCATGTTATTAGCTAAACACATTCATCAACGTAATTGATAGTGTTTTGAAGTTTTTGAAAATATGTGTTTACCAAGTCTACTCATGCTTGTAAGTGCTTATTTTCTACTCTTTGATTCTTATCATCATATCTAAAGGAAGACCCAAGCACCAAAAAAAAATTTGTTTTATGTTTGGATTAAATTTCACTGCAAGATTAGAAGCTAAAAGTGTCATTTTCATTTTCATGAAAATATCTAATTTCAACAAATCATGTCCTTACGTTAGGTTATAGAGCTCAAATCCTCTGGGGGCCACTGTGTGTGGCTGGCATTTAGATATATAAAGGAATCATAGTAATTATCACCTGAACAATGACTTATATCTTGGTATGGATCACATTTTCAAATATATGGTTTAGACTTTTGCATAGTGGTATCAATCTGTTAGTTGGATCCATAAATTGATTTTATTTTTCTGCATCCCATAATCACTCCTAATGTTTAACTTAATTGTGGTTACTGGTTAGGTTAAAAAATTCTGGTTACCCAATAAAAATGATTATCCTAATGATCTCGTGTGGTAAGAAGAAAATCAATCTATGGTAATGGTCAGTTCAAAAAAAAAAATCTATATTTTTCGAACTTTCTTTCAACTTATACCAAATAAATAATTTGTAATGGGTTCGGTTCAAACAAATATATAATCCTATGATCTCTATTTCAATAGTTTCGGTTCCGTCAACATATTGATTTTTTGTTAGTCACATAGCTTACCATGTATTTGCTTAACTAGTCTAGTGGTAATCAATGTAGATAATATTAGTTCTGGACTTGTGGGTTTTGGTTCTTAAGACTCGATCACCAAATAAAAACAGTTGATCTGATTGATTCAAATTATGTGACGAAACGAGTCTGTCTCAGTAGTTTCATGGCTATAAATGTCAAATATTGTTCTTTTGTTGAAACTGTTCACTCATCACGTGAAACTTGATTCCGAAAGTTGGACAGAAACATTGTGTAAACCAATCTCAGCCATTGATTGTAATCGTGGCTCAACACAACAATTAAATAATTTGAAACATCCGTATCGGTCACTCTCGTTCGTTTGTTGCTTTTGGCCTCTTGTTTGCTTTGATTCTACGACACCCAACAAAATCAGTCACGATAATTCGATTAAAGGGGGGTTTATTTTACACAATTAGTACTAAGAATAAAAATTAATTTAAAAGACAATAAATAAAACATAAGTAAGAAAAAAAACTGACGGTGGGCTATATCCGTATGGACCATATCCAAGACCTCATGCTCATGTCTTGCTCAGAATAGTTTCTCGTTGGTCCCTACCAACAAACACAATCTTTTTCATGTTCCTCATTTATTTATCCACAACAAAAAAAAAAAAAACCTTTTGTTTACGTAAATTAATTGTTCATTATCCGTTAATTGATATTCCACCAATAGTTATAGGTGTTTCAAAATTAATTTATCACAAAATTTTAATATTCGATTTTTATATTTAGGAGAAAGTAATGGTACTCGAGTATTGGCATGATATTCGTATACTCGTGATATTCGAATTTATTCTTTTTTGTTCCAGTACTATATTTTCTAATTTTGTTCTCATGAAATAGTATTTCGAATCCAACTCATTATGAATTTATGATTGTAACATAGAAATTTTATAAGCTTTGATATAATTTTATATACATCGACCACCACCAAACTACACTATGTATATATACTTCTTTAATGTATATAAAATGTAACAATAGTATGTCTATTGTTTGCATTGTAGGGTACGTAATTAAGATCTTAATTATTTTTTCTAAACCGTTTTAGTTACCTATAGTTACAGCTTATTAAGGTCACTCTCCTTCACAAATAGCCCGTGGAATCCGTACGGAACCCTTCTCGGTAACCTCACGGCGGCGACGATTTCAAGCTCCGGCGATTTCGCGTCCATCACCAGAAACTTCGACTCTCCGGTCACCTCATCGTGAACATACGTCACCACGTAACCGTCATCCTCCTCCGCCTCCGCATTACCAGGATCCCTAGCTACGAAAAACGGCTCGCCGCCGTAACAACCTGGACCGTACATTCTACGCGCCACCGTGCAATCGTCCCGATCTTCTTTGGTCACGTCGAGCTTCACCACCCCCGAGATCTTCGGCATCGGATCCCCGATCGCCGCGTAGACGTACCGGCTCCTTCTCCCCGTAAACGCCGGATTGATAACGGCGAAATCGAGGTTCCTGGCGGAGATCGGGTGACGCGTGACGATTCCGGTGACGAGATCGATCTTTACCTTCTCCACCAAGGCGTGAACGAGATCCATCCTCTCTAGAGTATGCTCGATCGACATAATGTTGGGAGCGATCAAAACGATGGAGTTTCCATCGTCTTCATCCCAAGCGTTGATGGCGTGAATGATGTTGAATCCAGGAACCTCAAACCATTTCATCTCCGATTCGTCTCCGGCGTAACGTGGAATCACTCCGAGCCTCGGCGTCTTCCCGTTATCTGTACCAACCGGAGATCCTCCTTCTAGCACCAAATCCATCGGATTCATCCTCATCCCAAGCTGAATCTCTGAGAAAATCGCGTGACTTTTGGTGATCGCGAAGTCATGTAGAAAAGACGGAGACGTCATCGAGTAAACCGGAACGTCTTGCTGTTTCCTCCCCGCTGAATCGAACCGGAAAAACGTTAGAAACGGTGGAATCGGACCGTACCGAAAAGCAAACGTCTCTCCGGTTTCAGGATCGGTTTTCGGGTGAGCCGTCATGCTCATCGCTACTTTCCCGTCGAAGTCGTGTCGTCCGATAGTCTCGATATCTCCGTCGGACGTTAACCTCACGGCATACGGCAAGTCAGATTCTCCTAAAGCGAAGAGACGGTTGCAGAAGAAAGCGAGACTCGTGTTCGCCAATCCAATGCCGTTAATCGGATTGTACTGTCCAGCTAAAACCCTAAACGCCGTCAACGCTCCACGAGCCAGCGATGCTGGCACGCCGTTGAATCCGGAAAACACGTTAACCATCACGGGAGCTCCGTTCTTGTTCTCCACGTTATACTTATAAGTCTTGACGTATCGGCTGCAGAGCGTGGCTTTACCACGGTGGATTCGAATCGCGTGAAGCATACCGTCACCGTCGAATAGATGGTAAGGACCACGAGGGAGAAACTGTGGGTTCGGGCCGTTACGGATGTAAGCGCCGTCAAGAGACAGAGGGAGAGAGCCGTGGATGATCTCACACTCCGTGGGAGGAAGCTCGTCGAGAACAGGAGCGAAGTTATCGGAGAGAACGTGTTTTGGATCGACTGAAGGACGTGACGGTGGATCGATAAAGGTGTTGATGACATCTTCGACGGCGGTGAAGAGAGCCGTCGCGAGAGTCATTTCTGGTCGGAGTTTAGCCGGAGATGAAAGTGCGGTGTGGTTTGTGCGATTGTAGAGTTTCTTAGGTTTGCTCGGAGGAAGAGTGGTTTGGCGACGGCCATTGTTGTCGCTTGGATTACTGATCGGAGATCGTTCTTCGACGACGGCGGAGTTGATACGGAGGAGAGGACGAGAGGAAGATTGGCGGCTAAGAAGAGATTGGTGAAGAGAGGATTTAGGAGAGAATGTAGAGATGAAGGAAGAGGAAGAAACAGAGTCCATTGCTCTGCTTTGTTTTTTACTTTCTTTTCCTCCACGTTGAAGCCTGTGAAGCAAGATGAGTGTATCTGTGTGGGGCTATTTATATTATTTATGAAATGACAAATCAATAATTTTTTCTTTTTTAGTGAAAATTAGATCTTTATTTTTCTGTGAAGCTAATATTATTATCCATTGGGGCTTTTGGTAGTTATGTGAAGAAGTTCTAATCTACATACATTATTAATTTGTCTGTACTCTAGCTTTCATATACGATGATATTATATTATTCTAATGAGAATATCCTGATTTTTATGTGACAACAAAAGCATTCATGAAAATATTCTTTATTCAGTATATTTGTAATTTTTATTAAGGCCTATTTTTGTATCTTGGGTAACCTACCTTTGATAGTTTGTTTTGTCAAAGAATTAGTTAAGAATATATTTGTTTGTAACGTTTTTTTTTTTTTTTTGAACTATTTGTTTGTAACGTTATTGTCTTAGGTTTCTTCTTATTTGTCAATAGCATATGTGGAAATCTTAATCTTCGATTCTGATTTTCTAATATATATAAAAAAAATCATCAATAGTTCAAGAACGTACGGTTGTATTGACATATTTAACTTAACTATGAATTAAAATGATAACAAAAACAACAGTTAAAGCTTATGGAACCAAGATTTACAGAAAGCTTATTAGAGGTTCTGAAGGCAGGACAAGGACAAGAAAGTGGATGTACGATCTCTTTAGAAACAGAATTATACAAACTCTATTAACGGCAATGCAACATATATACATGGAGCCGAGGTTGTCGTAAGATCATATTTGAGGGAGATAACAAAACAGCGACAAAGCTCATCAATAGTAAAACTTTTGAGTTTTGCTTTGCATAATTGTTATTTTTATTTTCAACTAAATTTTATGCTGTGATAATTGGGTAAAAGAAATCAAGATATGGAGGAGAATCACAAGTCAAATGGGTACATAGAAGCGGAAATAAAGTAAGTCAATGTTTAATAAAAGATGAAAAAAGTCACTTAGGCCAAAGAGCGACGTTGGTCGTAATTTCAGTACCTACAAATGTGGAAGCTTGAACATGTTGGATAGAAAGACAAATGGACAATGTTTCAAAAATATTGTGATTGTGAGTAGGATACAAAAACTACTAACACCTAACTATAATATATATTGTAGTCGATATATGTTCGGTCACTTTGACCGGGGTTCAAAAAGAGAAAAAATGTTTGTTTAAATACAAATCAATTAAAAAAAAAATCATTTTGATAACCTTTAATTAGCTTAGGAATTAATCGTTTTAGAGTGCATATATAAATCATCCAAATTTTGAAGAGAGAATGACAGATATCGGTACAAGTGTTGCATATTTAGAAATTGATATTGCCACTCTTCGGGTCTATGCATGTACGACCAGTGGTGCATGCACAATTCACATACTTTTTTTTTTGTTATTCCTACGTTACGTGTTCATTTCGCAAACTAATTAATAATACCAAACTCTTTTTTTTTTTTCATACTGAACTGATACCAAACTTCTACGTATATTAAAATTAACTTTTTATGTGATCTTAGATTAAACGATTATCTTGCCAAATTGTACTTTAAAATTAAAATGATTATTTAGTCAATTTTTTTGTTTTGTTTTTGGTTTAGTATTTAGCACATTATAAACAAACAAATCACATATTCCTAAAGTGTAGACGTACGATTGTGTGTAAATAATCTAATAGCATACTCTCTTATATTCATTCTAAAGCGTGTAGATTGTGTGTTAATATATGGGTCCCAATGATAATTTTTGTATCCTCTAACCCTCAAGAAAAGCATGACATTCTCAATTATCTAATGTAACTGATCCTTTTCTTTACTCTGCTTTAACTGCAGCCATAACACCAATATGGGCCTCCCCGTTCATGCACTATCTATAGTACGGTCAATAACAAAACCAAGGTAAATAGGTAATGATGATGAAGTTCAACGGGTGGATCAGGTCTTTTTCTTACACCTACACGCTACAAATGTTTGAAACATGCATAATGCTATAATTATAGTCTCATAATGCATGTATATCGTTGATTGTTTCTTCTCTTTCATTTGTTAAAGATGATTGTTTTGTAAGCTTGTTTTTCCTTATTTTTAATCACTTTATGCTAATCATTCACAATTCACTAGCTTGTAGTTTAAAATAAAGCGTTTTCGTATACCGTTCCCCATCGTCCAACTCCATCAGTCCACCATTGTCAAGAGTTAAGAATGGTACGTAGTATACTTTTGAAATTGAAAGAGAAAGAGGAGGGTGGCTAGTTTGGAATGAATTTTGTTTTAATAACATAAACCGAAAATCATGTGAAGCAAGAAGATCGTGCTGTGTGTGGGGTAATATTTATTAAATTATGGAATATTTAAAAGTTGGGAGAAAATTAGAATTTATTTGATGTGAAGGTAAGATTGTCCTTTGGTAATTTTTTTTTTTTTTTGATAACTCAAGATACATCTCAGATCTATGGAAGGGTCCAGACTAATCCCTTAGGGGAGGTGCATCCCATAGATAGACATTTTTTTTAGATATTCAAATAGATTGAAAGCATAAACTCATATCTATGTGGCTAAATGAGATTAATCTAGCAATTTTGTATTTGAGGGGAATCGATCCCTGGCCTTGACCAAGGAAACGAATAAAAACGGTCTGTATTCTAATTTTCGTATACGAGATTTTTTTTGTCAATTGTTTTCGGAAAATTATCTTCCAATTTGTGTTAACAATGTTATGTAAATGGATTATGGATATAAAGGTAAGCTGTTTTATTTGAAAGTGGGCTGAGCATATGTAGTTTAGTCGAGCATATGATAGCAGAAGCTACCAATACCAAACCATAAAATGTCACGTTAGTCAAAGGAGATATCAAACAAGTACATAATACATGACGTATTCGATAAAAAAAAAAAATTCACATTTGTCGGGCTTCAAAAGGGCAAAAAAATAAAACAAAGGCAGTTAGATAAATGGATATAACTGTTAGCAGTTAGAATTGTTTGAAAATAGTTAAAGAATTATTTGTTTGAAATGCATGGTCATCAAAAATATGATGAAAGAATGACAAGTAATGGTACAAGTGTTGCATGATAGGGTAATTGCTATTGCCACACTTTGCGTCCCTGCATGCATCATCATCGATGTTTTGCAAAACGTTTCCACTGCATCAATAACTTTCAAAACAGTGAGAGTAGAAGACGTATCCAATCCTGTTTTGGTTCAGTTTTCTTTTTAAAATTTTTTGGTTTAATCTGAAACTTTGGTTTAGGTTTAAAAGGTTGAGCCAAAACAGAATTAAATCAAAACCGAAAATATGCCAAAATTTCAATCCGGTTTATTTCGGTTTTGGACTGTACACCTGTCATAATAGTAAGCTGAGCTGTTAAGGCCCAAGCGGATCATCATGATAAACCCTGAGAAGCATATAAAAAGTAGTCGATTCATGGAGATAACAATTATTACTCTGATCAGAAGAAAGTACGAGTTACAACAAAAGTTCGTTGTCTCCCACAAAGGGTTTTTCGAACACGACACAGACACAGACACAGTGAAAGAGTGAGATTATTTACAAATGGAGTAGAGAAAGAGAGAGAAGTCAAGGAACGGTCAAGCGATCAGAGCCAAGAGGAGACTTCAACGAAGAGATGAGACGAAGGAGATGAAGTTTCGCTACGAAAAGCTTTAACACGTTTGCTTCTTCTTCATCAAATGCAAAGGCTATATATATGCTCAGCTCTTGAATCGCGTCTGTGTATTGCCTGGTCAACAATGAACCCATTCAGCAATTCAAGAATTTTTATTCCATCAAAGTAAGAAATCTTTGCTTTTGTTTGTTTGGTTTTTTACCTGCTGTAGTAGAGCATCATACCAAGGTCTCTGCGAAGTCGCAAGTTATGAGGTTCCAAAATCAACAGCCTTTCTGCAGCCGCAATAGCCAACCTTCAGATCAGCAGAAAACGAATGTTAGACGGGATCAATTAAAGGACTTCTTTCTTTTAATGGCATAAAATGTATAGGAGAAGTTGTGTTACCTAAGATCTTGAGGCCGCAACACTGGAAAACTAGAGATGTTGATGTTGTTAAGTTGACTAAGAGGTGAAGTCAGCATTAGTCCAGGGGATGGTTTCGAAGCACGTCTCCAGTGAACCCTCTGAAAACGAATCAAATGGCAATAGAATCGAAGTTTCTGTGTCAATGTGAATTCTTTTGAAGTTAAGAAGAACGTCTACTAAGTTTAGAGGTGATAGGACTTACAATCAAGTTGGCGAGAGCAATCCCTATAATGTCTCTGTTTGTTGCAATATCGAGGTCAAGAAGAGACTTTCCTGTTAAATCAGATGCCATTGATCTTGGATCATCAACGCACCTTCCATTGACCATACCAAACAAGCTCTGTCCTGAAGTCGTTTTAAAGAGTTCTTCAGGATTCTCCGTTTTAGGCCAAATCAAGAACTCTTCCCCAACTCGAGCTCCCACAATAGGCACACCAAGGCGCTGACAGACTTCAATGTATATAACGCTAAACAAAAACGCTGCACAAGGAAGATAACAAAAACCCATTGATGATTAGAGAGGCAATAAACAGAGACAAGGTTGAAATCTCGTTTTGAGAAAGCCTAAAGGGGAAACTTTTACCAGTGCCGCATCTACAGTTAAGAACAGAGTGAAGGTAGGAATCCTTAGGGTCTAAAGCAATAGATGTCCTCTTGAAGCCTCTCAAATCGAAAAGCACTGCATTAACAGCTTCAAGAACTTGAACCGGGTCCGAGTCGCAGCTCATGCGCCGTGAGACTAACTCTGCCTCTACTTCTTTGGAAATTGCATCTAGTTCACTTAGCCACTCGGGTATACTCTTTCCATCTAACTGCAATAGCTCCTCAGAATCTGTCTCACTCTGATCAGATTGAACACTTTCCCGCTCCTCAGAATCCGTCTTGCTCGGAGCAGATTTATCTTGGACATTTTCCTTCTCTCTCACGAGAGACTTAGCATCCATCTTTCGGTTAAAAGCCAAGAAGGCTTCATCTTCAGCAGCAATATACAACAGAACCTGTGAGTCCATTTTCCATAAGTGAATGAGTAAAAAATGGAAACATCACCAAAAGGCAACTCTTTAAACCAAACCCATACCCAATTCATTCATGTTCAATAATGGTTCTCAAGCAAAAGCATCAAGAGACAGGGATTATACCTTAACAAGAGAAATTTCTTATATACCTTTGCAATCGAAATTTCACTGTCTTTCGATTGGGTAGAGATCTCTCGAGCAAACATTTTGCGAGCTGGCTTAGTGACCTGTAATTGAAGGCAATCAAGAAACAGCAACATGAGAAAACCTTACAGAAAATCCTTGTGAAAAAAGCCAAAACCAACAATCATTTCTACAGATTCAACATCATGATTATATCTCATTGCCGAGAATCATTGTGGTTTACAAATTGAACCTCTTTGTAAGTTCTGGGTCTTGGTGAGGCTTTATTAAGCTGATTGAGAAAGAGAGGGTAAGCAGAAGCTGAGGCAGTTCTAATCCGAGGAGCTGGATTCATCTTCTTTTCAATCCCAGTCCAAGAACAACGACGACGTTGATCATGATCATACCTGATGATCGTAAAGAACATAAACCCATGTATCCCAATGGCGGATTTCTACCACAAAATCCCAATTTACTAAACATACATAAATTCTAAAAATCTTTCAATACGAGTGAAGAGATTAGTAGATCACCTGAGAGTAGTACGATCACCGAATCCAACAAATCTGGAAACTGGCGAAGAAGCCATGGTCATAGCAGCTGATGCAGGGCCCAAAAGAGCAAACGAAGATGATGCACACAACATTGTTTTCGATGAGGGGGGAGAGAAGAAAGAAACAGAGATTTTGGGGGAGTTTTAAATTCGTTTTGAAGATTCGAGAAGAGATTGGAGTTTATAAGCATCGAATCGAAAGGTAAAGAGAAAAATACGAGAAATCGTCAGCTATGATACAAGAAACAGATGAAGGTTTTGGAATACAATCGAAATTCATGGCTATGGCGTCTGGATAATCGCTTCCAGCTAAAGAATAATCGGAGAATCTAGAGGGAGAAAAGCAATTGCAGAAGTACAATCGAGATTTACCCAGTTCCATAGCAAGCAATGAGAAAAAAAAAACAATGGATGTTCTCTGAGAAAAAAAACAACGATCCTTAAACCAAGATACTCCCGAGGATTCTCGAGAAAACAGAGGAAGAGAGAGGTTGGAGCATTGTCGTTCTCTGAGTAGTGGGATTCGATGTGGGTTTTAGAGAAGGAATCTAAGGTTTTTATATCAGAAGGAGGGATCGGTCTCTGAGTATTAAAATCTCTCTCTTTCTCTCTCCTTCTATGGTGATAATGGCGGATTTGGTAAAAGGGAGATAGACAAGGGTTTAAAAAGGGGAGAGATACTGTGTGATGACAAACATTTGTTGCAGAGTAAAATTAAATAAAAGTGATTCTGTTCTTTCTTTTTTTTTTAAATTATTTAATTTTACTCTAAAAATTTCCAAAAATTATTATCTTGCTACCTTTTTGTGTTTTAATATTTTTTTGTTCAATAAACATAAGAACTGAAAAATAATTCACGACTTTCACATTTTCTTTACCACAATTAGTAATTTTTCATAAAGTTTACTTTTGTTTCCTTGCAAAACTGATACGAAAAATGGTGAAAATAATAAATGACTGAATATATGTGATAAAGAAAGTTACAAGAGTTTGGCAATTTGTTTTGTTACTACGTTACTTAAAACCAACTATTTTTGTACTTCCAATATTAGCAGTAAATTCTTTTTGTGTGACGCCAAATTATGAAAACAACAATTTACACGCACACACAAAACGAAAACATTGCAGAAATAAATAGTGTTTCTTTTCTTTAAAAATAAAACCGAGAATCACGAGAACACGTATCATATGCATGAAACATCCCTCCATAGAAACATCCAAAACTTGATTACTAAATTGTAAATATATGTATTTCGTTTAACAACTTTTTTTTTGGTAAACCATGAACTTCGAACCTATGCTAGCTAATTGAGAATTAAGGGTTTAAGTCTCCTAATCACCTCAGGCTTGGGGAAATCATGTCGATAATTCAAATTGAGAATGAAGTCTCCGTTACAAGTAAAGGCTCCAAATTCATATTTCGTTGGAGGATACAAGAGGCTGACACCAGTACTTCCGTTACATCATCACACATTTACACTGCTTTTCATTATTGTTAATTACCAATAATTGTAATTTAATGGTGTACACTAATAACATGGTCGTATCCAATATTGATAATATATGTTCACATTTTATAGTATGCGTCTGTAAATTGTTTTCACATCATTCCAAAAAAAAAAAAAATTGTTTTAACATACAACAATACAAATCATGAACCTTCTTTTTGCATATGGAAAATCATATTTCCCAAAATCATAAGTATATTCTTGTTTTTGTCCTAATAGATCATGATGTATTTTAAAACTATATTAGCCATACAAATGGCTATATTTTTCTGGTATTACACGTCACTTATTTTGTCCTTTTATTGAATCAATTATAAAATTATCTTAAGTTTGGGGTCAGGCATATTTCTTAGATTCCTGAAAAGCTGAACCTACATAATAACCTTTTTTTCGTCCTTTTTCGCCAAACATACAAGATAATAAATTAATATGGACTAATTGGAAGATAATTTTGATAATGTCCATAATAACGTTTAGGTAGGTCTGAATTAATATACATTGGTTTTGGAGATGTTATTATTTTCGCAGAACATTAGCATATATTCCCGCAGATCCCACATACATAAAGAAAACCCGATAATGCTGCCGCTTTGTCTTAATTATTAATTTGCTTATCCACGAAAAAAGGCTTCTATATTTTGTATATACATTGAAAGTACTTTAAAGGATTCGATCTACTAAAAATTACACGAAGTATTTTCAAAAAAAAAAAAAATTACACGAAGTTGAGTTTGTGGGAAAAAAGCAATAATAATTTTCACAGAAAACGTTTTCTTTTCCATCTCTATTTTTTTTATCCCTTTATTTAATGGAAGTCGTACTTGGATGTGAACCTCATCCACAACAATTGGCAGGTACACGTACACGGCACAGTCATTATTGATATGAATAATTGCATATATACGTATATAACTAGTATACGTATCTACTTCTGACAAGTATGTACCGTGAATAATAAATAATACAAATATAAATTAACTTCAATGTTACGTTTTGTCACGAACAATTTTGATTTACGAGAAACTGATCTTGACTTATTTACGTTATTACTATTGAGGTAGTGACGTTTGATATAATCAAAGTATCAACTTGAAAGGAGTGCTTATTGTACCCCACATGACGATTGCTTATTGACAATAATACTAAAATGTAGAATATGTTTTCAAAGTACTTTAATTTTAATATATATATCACATATATTGTGGAAACGAAGGGCTCCGTATCTCTCTATGGAATAATACAATATCCAAAACTCCCATTATCCATATCATTTTTCAATTATTGTATTTTAAAAAACTTTTGATTGGAAGCAAAATTAAACAATGTAAAGACGGGGCCATAATCAGAAGAATAACACGTATGTATGACGATGATTAATTGACTCCTTGTGGTTTGATATTTTTATAATAAAATCTGTGCAAATGTGATCAATAATAATAAACACTGTTTCCAGACTCATTGTAATTATTGTGTGCTTTAAAGTTTAAACTGTTGACTTCAGTTTTATTTAGGAATGGTTTCTACTATAGATTCTCGAATTTGTATTTTATGGGACAAAAGGTTTAAAAGAAAAACATCGAACAAAAAAAGAGTGTATGGGTTTTTAGGTGTGAATCCTGTATAAAGTTTATTATATGATTAGATGAAAAAAATACTTGAAGATTTTCCTTTGGATCTTTACAGTCTACAGATTGTTTTGTTAATCATGATGGATCAATCATATGATATCACCATACTACGCAGAACGCATAACGTCAATTATATGCAACTTTGCTGTATAATATTGTTATAACTTGGAAAGACGAAATATTATAAGTTTTTTTTATACAAAGATTTTAAAAGCGATAAATATTGATTAGAGGAACCTTCCCATGAGTATTGGACCTATATATTGGTCCCTTGTTCAAAGCTGGCAATCTCATCCCTTTATCCTAAGCCCTACCTAATCTTCTTGTCCCATGAATTGCATCACATTGGACGGATAAATTAATAATTGATATACTGTATTTTTTTCATTTTTTTTTCTGTAATTTTTTACACCCGTTTTCAAGCAAACAATACTCGAATTATATTGTTTTCAGCACAACTATACAGAAGTTAAAATTTAATTGGTAAAATATCTCTGTCATCATCGACATCACTCTAGTTGACAAAAATATTAACGATTTCACATTACATATGACTTTTTTTTCATCTTCTCAACAGCATTGAATATAAGTTATGACTTTCACTGTTTCAGTTTCTTGAAACTATAATTTTCATAGTTTTTGTAGATTGTAAATGCAAATTTACGTCTTATTCAAACCACTAAGAAACTAAACCTTGGCATAATATTGTAAAAAAAAAAAACCTAATCATTAAAAGCAGAAGTAAGACCTCAAGAAGAAGATGAAATTTAGGAAAAATTCTTTTGTTTATTTTTCTGTTTATCTGATTACAAGACTACTACTTCACATTTATACTAGTGACAGTCTCGAAAACCCTAGCTAAGTCACTCAGAGGATAAGGATGCCAGCGTTTCATAACGATTCTGAATTGCAGTCGTACGATTTGTCGTTGCTGCTCCGTCTTCTGCAAATCCTCTGGTTTTGTCTTTTTGTTCTTTTGAAAATGACCGTTGCTGCTCAGGCTTCAATTCTGTCTTGGGCTTCAAAATGTGTTGGGCCTTGGCATCTGTTTTCAGAACGGCGGCGTTTTGTGAAGACACGCTAATATCCCCTCTCAAACTCGGGGTAGGAGGATCGACGACACCAAGTTTGGTCCACAATCTGCAAAAGGGTTCAGCAGCAAGAGATTTTGTGAATATATCAGCGAGTTGGAGATGTGCAGGAACATGCTTCACCACAAGAGAGCCTAAGGCGACACGTTCCTGAACGTAGTGCCAATCTGTTTCAAAGTGTTTGGTCCTCTTGTGAAACGCAGGATTCTCTGTAAGGTAAACAGAAGATTGATTATCACCATAGAGCACGGGCGTGACTGGTAAAGAGATCCCAAGCTCACGCAGAAGAATGCTGATCCAGGTTATTTCAGATGCAGTCTCAGATAAGGAGCGATACTCTGCCTCGGTTGAGCTCTTTGAAACCGTAGGTTGCTTTTTCGAAGACCAGGAGATGAGATTCTGACCAAGAAAGGTGCATAAGCCACCAGTAAAACGTCGTGTGATGGGACAACCAGCCCAATCACTATCACTATACGCTCGCAGGGTACAATCACTGTTCTTGTTGAAGAGAATACCCATAGAAACGGTTCCTTTTATGTAATGCAGAATGCGCTTGAGATTGTTGAAGTCAGCCAGCGACGGTTCATGCATCTTCTGGCAGACATAGTTGACAGCAAATTGAATGTCAGGACGAGTGAGTGTCAGGTACTGAAACTTTCCTGCAAGACTACGAAAGTATGTCGGATCAGAGAAACATACATCCTGCGCAGATACCTTATTCAGCTGCAGAGGCAGAGGAGTTGGCATCGGGGCACAGTCTGACATTGACGTGGTAGTGAGAAGGTCCAACGCATACTGCTCTTGTGTTAGAAATAGTCCAGCTTCTTGAAACTTAGCCTGAATGCCCAGAAAGTAGTGGAGTTGACCAAGATCTTTCATTCGAAACTGTTTATTCAGTTCATCAAGAAGCCTCGTAAGTGCTGCAGAACTGTTACCCGTGATAGCCATATCATCAACATAGAGAAGCAACATAATCACATCTTTGTTTTGTGTATAAATGAAGAGCGAAGGGTCCTTAATGCTGCAGACAAAACCAAACTCAAGAAGGAAAGTGCTGAACTTATCATACCAAGCTCTTGGCGATTGCTTGAGACCATAGAGAGACTTGTGTAAGTGACAGACATGATTTGGCTTTGTCTTGTCTACAAACCCGGCAGGTTGCTTCATATAAACAGTTTCTGTAAGATCTCCATGAAGAAAGGCATTTTTAACATCCATTTGCTTGATTTCCCATCGCATGATCATAGCCAAGTGGAGCACCGTTCTGACTGTCGCAGTTCGAACCACAGGACTATAAGTTTCAAGGTAATCGATCCCCTCTTCTTGATTGAAACCCTGAGCCACCAGTCGAGATTTGAGCTTATCCAAGGTACCATCAGCATTAAGCTTGGTGCAAAAGACGCACTTACTCCCGAGAACGTGCATATCTGGTGAGTAAGGGACTAACGACCAGGTGTTTGTTTCAGCGCAGTTGCCTATTTCTTCTCCTATAGCGTTATTCCACCCTGGGTGTTTCAGTGCCTCAGTAACGGTTCGTGGCTCAGGAATGGAAATCTTGTGAGTGAGGAGTGCATATCGAGGATTTGGCTTGATAATTCCAGACTGTGACCGCGTATGCACTCTTTGAGTTTGTGTTGGAGCTGATTGTCGTGGCAGTGGCACGCTTGATACAGAGCCAGAATCACCAACAGGGGAAGAGATATTATCGGTTGCAGTAGCAGGCTCAGAGGCTGCAGTAGGCAACGGTGGAAAATCTTGATCAGAAAACAGAGGTGGAGCAATTGATGTCTCCACTTGAGTATACTGAGGTTGAGCAGGCGGCGTTGATGCTTGTTGTGGACAAGGATGAGCTTTAGTAGTAACTTTTGTCGGTTCTGGCGGAAGAAAACTTTTCTTTCAAGCTGCCAAACTCGGCGTTGCTGCTGCTACATGGAGGCTCTTATATTGATTTGCAAAGGGAAAGCTTTGCTCATCAAATAGAACATGACGGGTGATGTAGACCTTTCCCGTTGGCGGATATAGACATCTGTATCCTTTATACTTGTCATTATAACCGAGAAAAACACAATGCACGGAGCGAGGATCAAACTTGTTTGCTGCATAATCTCTGAGAGTTGGGAAGCAGGAGCATCCAAATGTGCGCAGAGCTGAATAATCTGGTTCTTTCTTATACAGCACTTCATAGGGACTGCATTTCTTGTCTAAAACCGATGATGGCAGCAAGTTACTCAGAAAATTTGCAGTATAAAACGCTTCAACCCAATACTGTTGAGGAAGTTTCGCATGAAACATCATAGTTAGTCCCAACTCAGTAAGATGACGGTGCTTTCTTTCAGCCAAACCGTTTTGCTGTGGCGTGTACGGATAAGAGATATATTGTTGAATGCCACAGTCTTGAAGATGCTTGACAAACCGGTGACTGGTAAACTCACCACCACCATCACACTGAAACATACTGATCTTGGTCGACAACAGATTCTCAACAAGCTTTCGAAACAGAATAAACACATCGAAGAAGTCTGATTTTGCTTTCAACGGATAAAACCAGGTGAAGCGAGAGTAGTTTTCAATGAATATGACATAATATTTGAATCCTTGATTTGATATTATTGGAGAAGGACCCCAGAGATCACAATGAACTCTCTCTAAAGGTCTAGAAGCAACAAAACTAGACAAAGCAAACGGTAATCTACTACTCTTCCCAAGACGACAAGACTCGCACATCTTCAGGGTACTTTTATTGAAACTAATAGATTTCTTCTGGTGCAGGTGCTGTAAAACTTCAGAATGAGGATGTCCAAGCCTCTGATGCCACACTTCATCACTTGTAGAAATTTGACGTGTAGAATAAAAGACTTGAAACTTCGGATCCTGAAGCAAATAGAGGCCATCACGCGTTCTTCCTAGTGTCAGGAGCTGCTTTGTGTGTTTATCCTTTACACGCACACCATCCGAATCAAATTTAAACGAGCAAGGATAATCTGATGTCAACTTTGAAACAGACAACAAGGATTTAGCAATATCAAGGCAAACCAATACATCTTTTAGAGGAAGTGTACCTGACGTGGAAGGAAGGTCTGCAGATCCGACATGAGTAATTGGAAGGAAATTCCCGTCTCCAACTAGGACAGTGTCATTACCATGATAGGGTTGAGCATGAGTGAGATGCTGCGTGGTGTTAGTAATATGAGCCGTAGCACCAGTATCAAGATACCACTCTTGACCTGCAGTATCAGGAACTTCAATGATTCTCATAGCAGCCATCGCTTGTGGGAGGTCCTTATCATGATAGCTATTGTTGAACCTGTGCCAGCAGCGCAACGCTTGGTGTCCGGACTTTCCACAGATCTGACAAACAGGCTTTTCCTCTTCAGCTGAACCATTGTACGAGGAGAGTTGCTGATGAAAACCTCTGCCTCTAGTAGAGTAAGATCCACGGCCCCTGGAACCACGACCACGATTATTCTGCTGACGACGACCACGATTGGAGTAGTTATAGTCACCAGAAGCCTGAGATGACCGAGTGGTATTGTAAGCGAGATGAGGTGTAACTTCGGTAACAGAGTAGCTCTGAAGCCTGTCGTCAAAGCCTGTGAGTCGAGGAACAACGTCGTCAAAGGAAAGAGGAGGAACAAAGTCCATCATGCCTTCAACGCTCGTCTTGATAGGCTCATATTCTCTGCCAAGACCTTGAAGAGCAGAGAAGATTTTCATCTTCTCTGTCACCGGATGTCCAACGGAAGAGAGAAGCGTGCACACCGATTTTACTTCTTTGAGATAATCAGCCATGGATTTTCTGGCTTTTGAAACAGTTTGCAGGCGGCGTTGAAGTTGAAACAGGCGTGATGCGAAGCAGCGGTTGAAGTGATTTGCAACACAGAGCCAAACGTCTTGAGCCGTCTCGCAGTTTACCACCAGATCCAGGATATCGTCGGCGAAAGAACCCACAAGCCAAGATTTAACCACCTGATCTGTTTTAAGCCAAGGTTGGTAATCTGGGTTTGGAGTTTCTGTATCTTGACCATTGATTCCTGGAACTATGATGAAGGACGGTGGACGAGGCAAAGCACCGTTGATAAAACCAAGGAGACCATGACCGGAGAGGAAAGACTCAAATTGGAACTTCCATCGAAGGTATGAGTTTTCGTTTAGCGTGACGGTAACAGAGGAGGTGATGTTTAGAGAAGGAGGCGTGTAAAGATCCAGAGCTTTGTTCTCCATGGCTCTGATACTATGAAAGCAGAAGTAAGACCTCAAGAAGAAGGTGAAATTTAGGAAAAATTCTTTTATTTATTTTTCTGCTTATCTGATTACAAAGTTATTACATCACATTTATACTAGTGACAGTCTTGAAAACCCTAGTTAAGTCACTCAGAGGATAAGGATGCCAGCGTTTCATAACGATTCTGAATTGCAATCGTACGGTTTGTCGTTGCTGCTCTGTCTTCTGCAAATCCTCTGGTTTTGTCTTTTTGTTCTTTTGAAGATGACCGTTGCTGCTCAGACTTCAATTTTGTCTTGGGCTTCAAAATGTGTTGGGCCTTGGTATCTGTTTTCAGAACGGCGGCGTTTTGTGAAGACACGCTAATAATCATGATGATTGGTGCTCTATCAACCTTAGCATGTGCTTGACGATAACTAGCACATTGAAAATGTTACAATAAGCATGGAGTTTAGCAATGTCAACGCAGAATTGGAAAAATCAAACAATGATAAGCGATTAAAAATCGTCTGCGACGTGTTTATAAATTCGTAGGCCGGTTCTCGGAACCGATATATGTAACCGGGAACGGTCCGTTGAGAATGAGATAATTCGCGTAAAAATGGGATTGGGTTGGGCCTAGCTCCAAAAATTACGCGGTTTAGCTCGGCCTGTTTGGATTTCACCCGAACCGCCATATTCACTGGTACGAAACGAAGAACTGAACAGCGAAACGGAGAAAGGAGCTGTGAAGAAGACAATATGGTAGGCGGAAACGGCGGTGGAAGAGGAGGAGCATCGGCGGATCTTCACTCGGCTGCGAGATCCGGTGATTTGGCGGCAGTTCAATCTATTATCAGCTCTAATACTTTGGCTGTCAATTCTAGGGATAAGCATTCTCGGACTCCGTATCCTTTTTTGTTTCTTCTCGCATAATCACTCGTCTTCGTTTTCTTTCTGGTTGATCATGAAATTGAAATCCTCTCGATACGTTTTCTCTGCTTCCTGTTCTCTTATCTTTGGTACGACGTTAGTTAGGGTTCATGTCGAGATTCGTGGCTTTTTAAGAGTCTAGGTTTCGTTTTTGAAATGTCTTCTCAATTAGTTCACCAATCACCCTTCTCTCTGTCTTTACCCTTTACTCGTTGACTACGATTTTCCGGTGTGAACTGGGAAGAGTTCTTATAGAACAACATCATTAAGAAGATGAAGAAAATATGTTTTCGAAGCTTTGTTAATGCCACAGGTCACACTATATTGTATGCATCACCTGGGAAGTTACGGGCTTAGATAGGCAAGTAGGATTATGCTGTGAATAGTCTTACTCTGTTTACATGTTGTATATAGCCTTCCTGTATGTAGCTGTCGTCATATCCTTTCCCCTTTTGGAATCTGATTCAGCGTTGCTCAACCTCACATTTTGATTTAGTTGCTAGGAGAATGACCAAGTTTAAAGACATATAGTTTGTCGATTATAGCTAGAGCAATGATAGATTCGAATAACTTTTCATGTTCTCTGCGGTTCTTTGTTGTCCGCAACGAGGTCGTGAGCTACTTATGCAGGCCACACGAGTATCAAGTTACGGGCTTAGATATGCTAGTAGGACTATGCTGTGAATAGCTTCTACTCTGTTTAACATTTTTCTAGGCTTTAAATCTTGATACTTTACATTTGATTTGGTTGCTAGGAGAATGGTCAAGTTTGAAGCAATTTGATTCGATTGACTTTTCATGTTCTCTGCGGTTTCTTTGTCCTTAACATCGTGATCTCTTGGAGCAACAGGCTACATTTGGCAGCATGGGCAGGGCAAAACGAGGTCGTGAGCTACTTGTGCAAAAACAAAGCCGATGTTGGCGCTGCAGCAGTAGATGATATGGGTGCGATTCACTTTGCTTGCCAAAAGGGGCATTTGGAAGTTGTGAGAACTCTAGTATCCTTCGGGGTTTCTGTGAAATCCGTCACTCGCAAGGGACTCACGCCTCTTCACTACGCTGCTCAAGGTTCTCACGTTGACCTCGTCAAGTACTTGGTTAAGAAAGGAGCGAATGTCAGAGCCACAACAAAGGCTGGCAAGAATCCTGCAGATGTTGCGGGTAACGCTGAAACCCAGAACTTCCTTGAAGAATGCGAAGAGCAAGCGAAGAAAGATAAGGTGAACAGTCAGAGAAAAACTGAAGAAGTGAAACCAGAGAGTTGTGATGTTGAAGGAGACAACAAGGATTTGAAAAGAAAGGGTACTGAGGATGGCAACGAGGAGGAGGAGAAAAAAGAAGCTTCTTCTAAAGCGAAAAAGCCTAAAGTTGTTCTCCCTCATCTTCAGGACGCTGATGACACAGAAGCTGATCAAGAAGAAGAAGAAGAAACTGAGGAACCAAACAACGTACCCTCGACTAATCCATCAGAAGTATCTACTTGAAAAGTGTTGTATGAGATAAGTCAGATTTCACCCAAAACTTTTAGTTTGTTTCTGAGATCCGTACAAGGGTTGTAGAAGAAATCCATCAGTTTGGAATCAATCCCCAGATTTTAAAGCTATATTCTCTGTATTGCCTCTTTTGCTGTAAATGAGTTGAGATTACATCACACAAACAACTGTCTACAAATCATTACATACCGACTCTCTCTCTAAGCCTTTGGAAAAAGAATTTTCAAGTATTGTGTAGCCATCCACCCAAGAATGGAGAAGTAAACAAGAAGCAAACAAGCACGCTTCACTTGTACCAAGAGATTCACCTTAGAAAACTGCCTCTTAACTGAACAGCAAGCTCGAGGGAACCAAGACTTTGCATGTCTTAAGATCCGTACCATGAAGACTGTGATTAGGGATGTTGAGAAGCCAGAGACAATGCCAGCGATCACATCATATCTCCAGTACTTTGGTCTTCCTTTTCCATTGAACCATGACACTAAGAGTTTAGAGAATCTGGAGACAAAAAAAACCAATGAATGAAATTGCATAAGATTGAAATTCCACACTAATACTAATGGAAAAACGCATAGAAACTTACAAGACAGCGTATTGTTTGAAAATGTCGGTGAAAGAAACATCATTTGCTTGGCAACCGAAAAAGCCATCTCGATAAAGCTTTATCTTTGGAATCCCTAATGTGTACCAGCAATCGTAAGTCTCATTCACCTGGAGAAAAGTAAAGATATTGCTATCAGAAGAAACACAAAGCGAACACAACATGAGAGCGAGTCCAAAACGGTTAAAGAACCTGCCTTGAAGTTATCTTTGGTAAGCAATGCAGCACCAAAGTTAGGTCTGCACTCAGGAGGAAGGGCTTCATTTGGTGCTTCTGAAAACGCTAACCGTGTTTGACCCATTAAGTGATCTTTATATTCTACCTGTGAATGTGAATGGCGTTTACTTATAACCAAAAGACAGATATGTCTGAAATATTAGAAAGCAAAAAGTAAATTATCTTATTCTAAAGGCTATCTATAGAGCTTAGCTCTTCCGCAGTGCTCAAGACGGAAACAGTTCCAGTCAAAATCACATGGAACTAAGGAAGAAAAGAAGTCACCTTGAAGACAGAAGCCCAATAGTAATCATAGCGACATCTGAATTTATCTCTCTCAAAAGGGTAAAACACATGTTGTGCTTTGATGTTCAAAAGTCCAATGCCACACACTTTAGAAGACCTAAGATCAACAGCTACATCAAAAGTAAGTAAGACCAACATCAGTTTCTCTTTCTTCTCATTCCATAAAAGCCTTCTCTTTTTCATTATAAGACTCATCAAAATGAAACAAAACCCCCAAAACCCAAAATTATCGAGTTAATAAACACAGTGGTTAACTTTCAATTTCAGCTTATACAGAGAGCTCATTCGTATTATGAATTGCTTAATACAAACTAAGAAGATCCCATTAAGCAGAAGAAACCCATCAATCATCTAATGATGGAGCCAAAGAAAGTCAAAGCTTAAAAAACTTATTCAGAGACGCAAAAAAAAAAACTTACAGCTGGAAACAATTTTGCAGCGCGAAGCAAGAGAGGCAGAAGAAGAAGAAGAAACCCACAATTCACCAAGCAAAATGGCTAAGATCCCTAATAGAAGCGACAAGAAGAAGAAGCCGACGACTGAGAAAACTATCACTGTACAGAATCGCAAAGCTAACGAAGAGAAACCCCTCTTTGGCTTCTTCGTCACCGACGCCGTTTCTTCGGAATCCATCGAAGTTTCTTCTCCGGCGAGTTCAATCAGAAGAAAGAAATCCAAGGATCCATTTCCTTCACGGTGATCGAAATATCGAACGACCGTCACCGGAAAATCTCACAGATTTCCGATTATCCGAACTTTTGTTTTCCTTTGACTGTCGTTGTGACCATTTCAATTAAAACCGAAACTGAAAACAAAATAAAATAAAATAATTTGTTCAGACAGATCAATGTGTGAATGCGATGGAGAGAGGTCAGAGATCTGCTGACTCAGCAGCACACCTGCCATGTGTTCCACATGACGTGGTCATTATCTTTCAATGTTGGGCCTGGTTATGGACCGAAACTTATACAAACGGGCCAGGATCTGTTAAACATTCCACGTCAGCAGCAATTAACAAAGCTTGCAGGGGAATTTTGAGTATGAGCAAATCCGTAATTAGCTAATTAGACGAAATCGTGGCTCCATAGGTTCTCGAAACCTTTTTAGTTTCCCTCTCAAAAGGGGCGTAAAGTTCTTCACTATTCACTCTAGGGCTAATCATAAATCTTCTTCATCTCCTTCAACACTAGATTCAAACCCAATCTTCGCCGATAATCTGGTTTCCCAAAGTTTATCAGTTTCGTTTTCCTCATCGAATCGCGTTTTTTTTTGTTTCCCTCTTTTGTTGGGTGTGGGTCAATCGAAACTGAATCTGTAACGATTATCCAGTTTTCTTCGATTGAAGTTTTTTTTTCTGGGTCAATCGAGTCTTTAGGATACGATGGAGGATATTTTGACGGCGGGGGCACTCTTGAAGATAAATAACGGGGAAGTGAAGAGCCATGACGGAATGACACCGGTTCTGCAAGTGACGGAATTGAGGTCGGTTATGGCTCAGCAGATGGATCCGACGAAGGAGAGGTTTAGGATGTGTTTATCAGACGGGATCCACATTATACAGGGGATGCTCGGGATTTCTCAGAACGACCTAGTCAGAAATGAGATTCTTCGAGTTGGTTCCATCGTTCGACTCATTCAATTCATCTGTAATAAAATCCAAGAAAAAAGGTAACTTTTGCGTTTTCTTTCTTCTTTGTTTATTTCGTTGAGTAGTAGTATCAAGGGACTGAGAACAGTATCTACCAGTTTTTTTGTGTGAAAGTTCTTCAATTTTCGTTTTTTTGTGAGCTTTTTGGTGAATGATATTGGTCAACTTATGTAGTGAATCATGTTTTTGAGGGTAACATTATCAAAACCAATTTTTTTTCTTTTCTTTTGATGCCAGGCTTGTTATCGTTTTTGAACTGGATGTGATTACAACGAATTGTGATATAATTGGGCATCCTGTAAAATTTCGAAATTCCAATCATCAGCCTGGAGAAGATTCCGTTACCACGTCAAGTACAACAGGTTTTGAGCAAGATGGTCGGAGGGAATTGACCGGCGCTCGTCAAATTAACAGTTACGAGACAGGGAGAAGTAATCCTGCAGCTATGCCAGCTCAAGTTGGTGAAAGACAAGTGTTTGGTACTGGTTCTAGTTTCCCTGGATCAGCAGCAGCACCTCCCGCTCAGTCGTACAACAATCCATCTGCAGGTCATGGAGTCCATAGGCAGGACCATGCGCGTGATCCTCCGACCGCTTATCTTCGTCAGCCTGCTTACCAGCCCCAGCAACAGGCACCACCACCAGCAATGTATCCGAACAGGGGACCAGTGGCGAGGAACGAAGCAGCTCCGAGGATAATTCCAATTAATGCTCTTAGCCCGTACTCGGGTAGGTGGACTATCAAGGCCAGGGTCACGAGTAAAGGGGAGCTTAGGCATTACAACAACCAGCGTGGGGATGGGAAAGTGTTCAGCTTTGACCTACTTGATGCTGATGGTGGAGAGATACGTGCTACTTGTTTCAACGCTGTGGCTGATCAGTTCTTTGACCAGATCGTTGTTGGTAATCTTTATCTGCTTTCGAAAGGAACTCTGAAGCCTGCTCAGAAGAATTTTAATCATCTTCCCAACGACTACGAAATCACGCTGGATAATGCGTCAACGATACAGCAGTGCTACGAGGAGGATCCTGCCATCCCGCGGCATCAGTTCCATTTCCGTTCCATTGGTGATATCGAAAGCTTGGATAGTAACAGCATCATTGATGTGATTGGTATTGTGTCATCTATCAGTCCCACTGGATCGATAATGAGGAAAAACGGAACTGAGACGCAGAAGAGAGCACTTCAGATGAAGGATATGTCAGGCCGAAGCGTCGAGGTAACCATGTGGGGTAACTTCTGCAATGCAGAAGGGCAGAGGCTGCAGAGCCTTTGTGATTCTGGTGGGTTTCCGGTTCTTGCTGTTAAGGCGGGAAGGATCAGTGAGTTTAACGGGAAGGCAGTGAGCACCATTGGATCAAGTCAACTGTTCATTGAGCCAGATTTCGTTGAAGCTCAGAAACTGAAGGTATGGTTTGAGAGAGAAGGAAGGAATGCTCCTTGTATCTCCATATCTAGAGAGTTTTCCGGTAGTAGCAGAGTAGATGTTCGCAAAACAATCTCTCAGATCAAGGATGAGAAACTAGGGACCTCAGAGAAACCGGACTGGATTACAGTCAGTGCCACCATCATATACATGAAGTTTGACAACTTCTGCTACACAGCTTGTCCTATCATGAACGGTGATCGTCCATGCAGCAAAAAGGTCACAGACAATGGGGATGGCACATGGCGGTGCGAGAAGTGCGATAAATGCGTGGATGAATGTGACTACAGGTATATACTGCAGCTCCAGATACAGGACCATACAGGTCTTACCTGGGTCACAGCATTCCAGGAGGCTGGTGAGGAGATAATGGGGATGTCTGCTAAAGATTTGTATTATGTGAAGTATGAACATAGGGATGAGGAGAAATTCGAAGATATCATCCGTAAGGTTGCTTTTACCAAGTACATCTTCAAGCTGAAGATAAAAGAAGAAACGTTTAGCGACGAACAGCGTGTGAAGTCAACAGTTGTGAGAGTAGACAAGCTGAACTATTCATCGGATACTAGGACTATTCTGGAAGCCATGAATAAACTCAGGACCGAAGATGCAACTTCTCTTGACGTAAAGCAAGAAAGGCCCCACTACAACGCTGATGCAGGTAACGCTGGTATTGAAAGCTCAGGAACCAGAGGAGATCCCTCATCTGTAGAAAGAAGGGAGTTCGGTTTACCTGCGAACCAATCAGGTCAATTTGGGAATCAGTTTAGTAATGGCTCTTATAGAGGCACGTCCGGGAGTTATGGAGGAGGACTTTCGAGGCAACATGTTGGAGGCTACTGAAATTCAGAATCATCTTCTTATGATCTCACTCGTTTTCTTTGTACTAATTCCAGGCTTTTCTGGAGCCTTTGTATGCATCTTATCTTCTCTTTATTTGGTTATTACAAACTGCAAACTCGTTTTGTGATACTTTTATTCAAGTTTCTCATCCAAGAATGAAGTTTTTGTGTTTCTGTGTATATTAATGCTCGCTTCATTTCCAGGTGTGTGATAGTTCCAACTCCAAACAAGATCACACAACATTTAGATTGTTTTGTCAGAAATTTTCTGCTGGATCGTTTCAGTAAGGGCAATAACCTTTTATTCCGGCCCATGTCAGGGCTAAATTGATGATACTGTTACTGTGTCTGTTTAAACAATACACTGGATAACAAAACCTCACGCACACACATCAAATCCTCGCAACTAACTTTTTATTACATTTATTAATCAACCAACATATTTAAGCTGATGTATAGCTTCAGTAACACAGCCCGGTTGATTTAGCAGACTGACCAACATTCACATGATAACGGACATCTTTTACTCCTTCCTCTGCACCACAGTGGCTACCAGAAAACACTTCAACGTGGGCCACTTTCTCCTTCTCAGCCAAAGCTATGAGGCGGTAACGTTCAGCTCTCGATCCAATCACCTGTCCCAAGATTGAAGCTCCAATGGTCAACGCCATGGCTGTCTTTGGCATAAGCACAGATTTCCTAAGCATGGCGATGAAAGGCACCGCGGCGTGGACCGCCAGGAACCACGAGGGAGAGAACTTCACTGTGTGTTCCCTCCAAACACCCAGCGGAACGTTTGCAGCCATGCCCATGAGAGCGATGGCAAGCACCTTCGCAGGTAAAGGTTGAGGCCTGAGGCTCTTCACCAGAGGAGTCTTGGAAAGCGCGGCTCTTGCAGCAATTATAGGAGCTGGGCATTTGAGTTTCATACCAGGTGGTAGCTTCATCGCAGATGCAACAATAGGTATAACATGGCTCACTGCTCTGTACGACTTTGCGATTGGACAGTTTCCGCTTTTCAGCCATTCGTCTCCTACCGCTTCATGTTTAGACGTGTCCCCAGGCTACAACAAAGGCATGGACATATATGTACATCAAGCTCCTTTTGTCTCTCCTAAGAAAACCATTCGAGATTTAACATCTGTAAAAACACACATTACCTTTTGTTGATTATTGGAGGGTTTAGGTTTCTTCTGCTGCTTCTTCCATTTCTCCGAGAAGGGACCAAACCCAAAAGGCCCTCCAGGACCAAAAGCTGAGAGGCTTATGGTGGCAACTTTGCCTGCTAGAGGATTGAACTGTGGAGCACGAGGAAGAGCGGTCTCACCTTGAAGATCACCTCCAAAGCTTGAGTGTTGAGATAACGGCACAACACCATCCTTCCCGTGGAAGAGTTTGAATGCCGAATCAAAACCAGGACCATCCTCAAAAATTGGTCCTTTACCTCCCTGCACCAATTCAAATGATGTAAAACCTGTCACCAATAAACTTATAGCTACAAAACTACAAAAGGCACAAAAGGTAAAAAGCTATTACGGGAATCGGAAAGCTCAAGGAGGAGAAGGAAAAGTTGGTAGGCTTGTTGATGTTTCTCAGGAACGGACATCGCTGGATGCTTTCCGCAGCAAAAGGGCACTCAGATGATTCTTGATTCATTGCTATAATAGCCTGTGAGATCAATCAACAGATACTACGGTCAATGTATATGCTCTCTGATTCGAAGGAGAAGGATCCATGAAGAAAAAAAAACAGAGGAATCGGTAAATTAAAAAAGAAAAATACACCCTGAATACAAAGTTTATCCAAAGATCAAAGCTAACTAGAGAAATCCCCACGAATACGATCAAAACGAATCAAATCTACCGTCGGCATCAGAATCTCCAATACAGCATAAGCAAATCCGGATGAGATCAAATTAAAATCACAAAAAAAGTTTATTGGAATTCATCGGAAACAAAAGAAACAAACGAAAATGGGAGATCAAAATGCTTGATCGCGAAACTTAGATAAATACAATATCATCATTCGAATCCATGCAATCAGTAAAGAAAACGATATCATTAATCGATCAAAATTCGAAAAGCGAGAAAGTCATCGGAGAATTTCTCCTCACCCAAATATGCCCAGAGCAGCTTTGAAGAACGTGTGGCGAACACAAACGCTGCGGAAAGAGGTTTTGGTCAGAAATTCTGAAACTCGGGAATTTTAAGAAAGGTACCGGCTGGATCAGTAAACCGAAAAATTGAACCTCACAAAATGCCAGTTATAGCCGGGTTAGTAAAATTATCCGGTTCGATTCGGTTTTAATTTAATTCAAAAAATGTATCAGATAACCGTAAATTTTACAAAGTACAGTATAACAGATGAACAGATTCTAAATAAACACTAAAATGAAAAAGTTGCCACTAAATTTCAGATGGCTCTGTATTTTTAATTTATTACCTGGTAACACAAGCATTATAACACAAATATTAAATTAATTTAGTGGCAACCTTTTCATTTTTTCCATTCCTTTTATATGGTTATTGGATAAACTATTCCTATTCTTCAATTTTAAAATAAGACAATGGTGTAAAAAGACCTAATCACACATGGGAAGATGATGTACCATTAACAGATTCCACATGGGAGAAGGTGAGTTTCCATTATTTTTCGAACGTAGACTAATTCAAAAGTATTTGGTTCATAAGTCACAAGTCAATAACTTGTGATGAGTAACCTGTAAAATTATCAGCAAATTAGAGAAGATTGCCAAAAATTGTAGATTTATTCGGATCGGATATTTGTCAAACATCATGTTTCCTCCAGAAATTTATTTATAATATTTTATTATTATTATTATTTCTTTTTTTCCCCTCCAGACATTTAGTTTACTTGACAGTTGAAAATGACAAGATATGAGAACTTGAAAAAAATAAAAAAGAGATCATTTCGATAATGGTCGTAGTTTTAGAAAAAGTTTATTTCTTACTTTGGACAAACATTTTTTTCAGCGTGAGTTAAATATAAGTGTTTTGGATACAAAAGAGTTAACATAGTTGATAACTTGCTATTAGTGATCGATTACGATGAGTGTTTATAGACCAATACACTCTTTACTACCAGACGTCAAATTAAGAATACTAGATATATAACTGTAGAATATGGAATATTTATATTTATATACACACATTTTGGTCAAATTATACACTATAGTCTTGGAGGAAGAATGTACTTAAACGCGTTTTAATCAGTGTTGCTGTGGATCTATCTCAAGTGACAAACCCACCGACTAACTCGGCCTGATCCCAACAAGTTTGATTAATTAATTAATTTCGAATCTACTACAACAAAGTCATGTTTTTTTTTTGGGGGTCGAATAATGATCCAATTTTTACCCACTCATCATATTACATTTGTAATGGGTGTGTAACAAACTTTAAAAGCGCAAAAGAAAAAAGAAAAAAACAGATTTTGGAAACGTTTGAACTTTGAAGTTTTTTAGTCCGTTCACCAGGGGTTTTCAACAGTCACCATAGTATCTTTAACTTGTCAGAATTCTTTTTCAATAGTATTTAATTATGATCCAAAGTATTTATGATGAGAAACTCTTGCATGAGTATCTTTGTATGAGTTTAGCTGTTTAGATGATTAAAATCTTTTGAAAGCATGAACATTTGAAACTACCATTCATATAATTATTAAAATTATCCAGAAAACTAATTACTAAAAAGTTAGGATTACATACTGTATATGTCAAAACTAATTACCAGACAATTAGGATTTACAGACTGTATATGGGGATGCATGGGAATTGGGAAGGATCAATGGAGGAAAGTCGTATCGCTGGTGCCGACGGTGAATCGTTTTGTCGGTGGTGGGATCCATTTAAATATTTTTTATTTATTTAAATCGTCTAAACTAGAATCTAAAAAAACGATTGGTGACTTTCCTCTTTAGTAAAAGGAAAACAATTGGATAATTTTCTAAACTCACCTAAAATTCCGGGAATGGCGATCTAAAAACTAGTTACGAATTACTTAGAGGATCGATCATTTATAGATTTTTTCGTATTTTGGATTTTCATACTTGTTTCTTTTGCACGCAAGATTCTATAATTAAACCATACAAATGATAATGGATTAGTATTCTTTAGGCAATGAGTGAGTCGTATTTTATTCAGGATACTAGTGATAATCTACCGGAAAATATTTGGCTAGAGAATAGGATTCCATCATGATTAGCCAACAACATGTGACTATTATTTTGTTCTTTGTTTTATCAACATTCAATAATAATTAAATAAAAAACAAATCAATCAACAGTGAAATTATGTGAAAATAATAGTCAGATTTAAAAGGATGAAAATGATAGAAAACGAAAGGAAAGACAAAGAGTGAAGGGAAAAAAAGAAGAAAAAGAAAAAAAGGAGGAGATAAAATAAAATAATTAATTTTCTTTTTTTTCACCCCAATTTGCATAAGAAGCTATATATGGTCACGTTAGCTTCTCTGTAATCTCTCATCTCTCTCCCATTTTGTGAATTGGACTTAAAAAATCGTAAGAGAGAGAATCAAAGTCTCTCTCGGTCGCCGGAAAATATCTTTCTCCTCCTCAGGAATTCGAGGAGACCATTCAAAGCGGGAAAACAAAAATCGGAAATCGCGCTCCGAATCCAGAAATACAGAAGGATTACTCGAATCGAAGAATCTACGGTAATTATACGTTCGTCTCAATCAATCATATACGTAAATGATTCCAGTTTTTGTTTTACTTTCTCCATGAATCTCCATTGATTTTCCATCTAGCTCGATATATCTTATCCCCGGGTAAAACCAGATCTGGATTTCTTAATTTCGTTCTCTGGTTCTTCTTTATTCATCGTTCTCTGATTACATAGCATTTCCGTATGAGCAAATTAGAGCCTAATCCCTTGTATACAAATCTATTCATTTTGTTTTTTTTTAGTAATGTGGATAATCTTCAGTCTGTAGGTTTCGAGTTTAGATTGATAAAACCCAGATTCATTTCGATTACGTTTTGTGTGTGAATACTGTAGAATTCCATATGAGACCATTGCTAATTTTCTTATTTTTTTCGTCTTTTGTTAATGATTACTCAAAATCATTTTGTGTGTAAAAATTAAGGATAAAAAGACTTTCCGTCTCTGCCAAGTAATGATTAATGCTAAATTATCTTCCTCTTAACCTTTTGTCCTCCTTTGTGCTTTTTAGCTGTCTGCAAGCTTTTTTTGTTTTGTTTGTGCAGCAGATTTTGATTTCAGACTTTAAATGCGAAAGTGAAACAGTTTTAACGTTATCCCTAATATAGAAATAATTCATGTGTATGCATTTATTGTTTTTCGATCCAATTGTTTATTGTTCTCGAGTGTGATGGAAATTGTGAGAGCATGTTATGGCGGTCGAATCTGGGTCCCAAACACCATGTGAGGAAAATTAAAGCAACAATCTCTAAATGTCGGCAATGTTGTTTGTTCCTTTAGATCTCGATTCTCGATGTCCTTTGTTTCCTCAACTCTCAAGTCTCTCATTTGTTAAATAAGTGTGACTGGCCCATCATTTGTTTATTCAAGATTTAGCAAAACGAAAGTTCTCTTCCCTTTTGGGTAAAATCTTTTTTCATAAATGGCCAAGCTCGTTTGCTGTTCTTGTCTAGTCATGTCTTGATCTGATGTTTGACCTTTCACATATGTACTGTTGATCTGTTGTTTCTAAGTACTGCTAATTCTCTGGTTCTTGGTTTTGGCCCCAAAGAAGGAAACTAATTCTGAGCAAACATTGATGTAAATTTGCAGGTGTAAATCTTCTAAGAAAAGGATTCTATTTATATCTTTAAATTAGTCCAAAGACGATGAAGTATAAGGATGAAAAGTACGAGAAAGCTGAGAAAGGCTCAATGAAGGTCTTGCCCAAGACACTTCTACTGATTCTGCTATGTGGCCTCTCATTCTATCTTGGTGGGTTATATTATGGGAAGAACAAGATCGAAATCAATGATGTTGCAAGAGCTGGATCTTCCTCAGATGTTGATGACTCTCTTCAAGTCAAATCTGTTTCTTTCTCGGAATGTAGCAGTGACTACCAAGATTACACTCCGTGCACGGATCCAAGGGTATACACTCAATTTTTTTTTTTCATTTCAGGGTTTTCTTTAGTCGTGAGTGCTTGGATTTGAGAAACATTTAGCGCTAATGTTTCGATTTGGTTTTGCTTGTTCAGAAATGGAAGAAGTATGGTACTCACAGGCTTACTTTCATGGAACGCCATTGCCCTCCTGTGTTTGATAGAAAGCAATGTCTTGTTCCTCCTCCTAATGGGTATAAGCCACCAATAAGATGGCCAAAGAGCAAAAACGAATGTTGGTACAGGTAAATGTTGTCTCTTTTCTCAACCCAATTATTCAATCTCTTATCCTCAGATCTTTGAAGTAATTGGCAATTTGATGTGATTTAATAATTTCAGGAATGTGCCATATGATTGGATCAACACACAGAAATCTAACCAGAATTGGCTAAGGAAAGAGGGTGAAAAGTTCATTTTCCCGGGTGGAGGTACAATGTTTCCTCATGGAGTTAGTGCTTATGTCGATTTGATGCAAGATTTGATCCCTGAGATGAAAGATGGGACTATAAGAACTGCCATTGACACTGGTTGTGGGGTGAGTTTCTATACTTAATCAATTTAACTTGGCAAAAATTGGATTCCGAAATTCCCTTCTTCAACTCCAGCTCTTGGTCTGTTTTGAAGGTTGCAAGCTGGGGTGGCGATTTGTTGGACCGCGGTATCCTCACAGTATCACTCGCGCCGAGAGATAATCACGAAGCTCAAGTCCAGTTCGCACTGGAACGAGGGATTCCTGCAATCCTAGGCATCATTTCGACTCAACGTCTCCCTTTTCCTTCGAATTCATTCGATATGGCTCATTGCTCAAGATGCCTTATTCCATGGACTGAATTCGGTAATTAACTGTCTTTTTATCAGTTGAAGAGATATCTTAAATCTTTTTGATCATCGAACAATGTGAGTTTACTTCTGTTACAATATGTGTCTCTTTCCTGCTCTATCAGGTGGGGTCTATCTTCTGGAGGTTCACCGTATCCTAAGACCTGGTGGCTTCTGGGTCTTATCTGGTCCACCAGTCAACTATGAGAACCGTTGGAAAGGTTGGGACACAACCATTGAAGAGCAGAGATCAAACTACGAGAAGCTGCAGGATCTATTATCTTCAATGTGCTTCAAAATGTATGCCAAGAAGGACGACATCGCAGTGTGGCAGAAATCTCCAGACAATCTGTGCTACAACAAGTTGTCTAACGACCCTGACGCATACCCGCCAAAATGTGACGACAGTCTCGAGCCAGACTCTGCGTGGTATACCCCGTTGCGCCCTTGTGTTGTGGTTCCAAGCCCTAAGCTTAAGAAGACAGATTTGGAATCTACTCCTAAATGGCCAGAGAGACTGCACACAACTCCTGAAAGAATCTCTGATGTTCCTGGAGGAAACGGTGGCGTGTTTAAGCACGACAATAGCAAATGGAAAACGAGGGCTAAGCATTACAAGAAGCTGTTGCCCGCGCTTGGTTCTGATAAGATCCGTAATGTGATGGATATGAACACTGCTTATGGAGGTCTTGCTGCTGCTCTTGTCGATGATCCTTTGTGGGTCATGAACGTTGTCTCTTCTTACGCTGCGAATACACTCCCCGTTGTGTTTGATCGTGGACTGATCGGAACATATCACGACTGGTAAATTTATCAAAACCTTATTCTTTCTACTCTTAATCAATCACTTTGAATTCACATACATAACGTGCTCTGTTTTTTATAATAGGTGTGAAGCTTTTTCGACATATCCAAGAACTTACGATCTTCTTCACGTTGATGGTCTGTTTACATCTGAAAACCAAAGGTAATGACAGAACAAAGATCTCAAAATTTGAATTCTTGGAAACTCAATGGTAATCTGATAAGAAATGGTCTGGTTTTGTGCAGGTGTGAGATGAAATACGTAATGCTGGAAATGGATCGGATCTTGCGTCCAAGCGGGTATGCGATTATACGCGAATCGAGCTATTTCGCGGATGCCATTGCATCAGTTGCTAAAGAACTGAGATGGAGTTGCCATAAGGAAAAAACAGAGTCTGAATCAGGGAATGAGAAGATCTTGATTTGCCAGAAGAAGCTGTGGTATTCATCTAACGCAACTTCAGAAACAAAATAAAAAAAAGGAAGAAAATATACGACAGGTCTAAAGCTTAAGCTTAAAGCTTTCGTTTTGTCCGGAGGTTTCTTGAGAACAAAGTCACAAGAACGACAACAACAACCATAGGGTTCTTTATCTTGCTTCAAAGCCAAGAAAGCTTTTGAAAGCTGCCAATTCATTTTTTATTATCCCAGCATATTTACCTCTTTTGATTTTTTTTTTAATAGTACTATATGCTTGGTGAGAATTATATTATTATTATTATTTTTTGTCTAAATTGTAACTTCAATTTTTATTTTATATGGTCAAGTTCGAGATTTCTCCAATGTTAGGTATATTGAATTGAGATCTTCTTTGTATTGTTTTACACGTTAATATGTTGGGTGGTCCATTAATAACTTTATAAAAAAATTCTCTTCCTTTTCTTTTTGCTAAAGAAGGTTTTAGTGTGTACTGCATTTTTCCAGCCATTACATACGGATTAAGAGCAAGTATACACCATCGCTGTAAAGTATCTGACGTTTGGGTTTTGGATTACGAATTTTGTCTGCGTTTTTAATATTGTAGTAATGGATGATAAGATAATTTAAAAAAAAACTCACTCAAAAGTAAATCTGGTCGGGTTGGTTAGGTGGAAGATTCGTAACTGAATATGACATAACAATTTTAAATCTGACTGATGGAAAAAATTATGATTTCAACACATTTAGAAACGGAAGTAAAATATGAAATTCGATATTAATCCTTGAAATCTTTAAAAATGACTAAAAGTAAACGATCTCCTTTAATTTCTACACCAAAGAATCGCATATTTGGGCATTGTGCAACAAGTTGAATTTATATACGAGGGAAACGACTTGTATTTCTTCTCGACTTTTACCCCCAAACGACTTGAATTCATTTCCCTCCAAATAAACCTAATTGATTCTTTTTTTTTTCCAGATAAGTCCATTATTTGACTATAATTACTACTTTTCTTTCACATGAACTTGATTTTTTCATTCGTTTCAGAGTTTAGCCATACTAAGAAAATATAATGTTTATCAACAAAACATTTTCAAAGATCACAGGATAACTTTGATTTGTTTAATTAACCCAATTAACAAGCAAAACTTACGGTAATATAGTTTCTTTTTTGGTAAATCCCCCATGAATCATTGATTAAATATATACTTAATTCAATGAAAAGTCAAGATACACAGTTACATCGTGGAAGGCAAAAATAAAAAAGAAAGACTAGAGAGGCCGCCACGTAAAAGATACGGTAAAATCCTTATAAACGAACGGTCTATAGTAAGTAATGACGTCACAACATGCTAAATCCCACGATGATAAATAAAATAACACCGTAACTTCCTAGAGTGAGGTACAGAAGATTTTTACATTTTCCAACGCGACACGACCACAATATCATCAATGACGATCTAAAAAGCAAAGGGAAACAAAATATTCTCTTTCTAGCTGGGGAATATAAATTGGAGTTTTTTTTGTTGGTCATCACGAGAGAACCGCACACAGAAAGGGAAGGAGAGAGATATTTGGTAGAGAGAGGAGAGAGGAGAGAGAGAGAGGGAGAAAGCGGTGGAGGGATGAATTGATATTTGTTAGACCGAATTGAAAAAAAAATTGAAGGTAAAGAGTTTTTAGAAGCTCTGGATTCCGTCTCTTTCCGTCGTCGGCGACGGTGGTTATGCCTGTTGGCTCTGAGGTATGATCGCAGATCTCCTTCTTTCCGTCTCGATGATTTGATTGTTGATTTTTTGCTAATGCGAATTTGATAATTTCGTTCTTTTTTTAGTTTTGCTGTTTTCTAGTGTATTCGCGTTTGATCAGGTTGGATCTGACTAGTGCTTTTTCTTATTTCTATTGGTATGCGTGGAATCGTGTTTGAGGATCTAGTGTTGAGTCTGATTTGACGGATTTGGATTTTCTTTTTAATCGAATTTTAGGCTTGTGTAGATCCATTTCTATGGTATTGATGTATACTCGAATTGGATATGTTCTCTCAGCTTTTTAGATGTATGAGCTAAAGTGGTGTATGTGATCGTGATTTGTTTTCTCATCTGCATTTTAATTATTGCTGTTTAGGGTTTTTGGGTTCATGAATGATGATGCCTTTTTATTGGTATTGATGATATAAATTGCCCCAAAGATATTTGTGATGCTATGAGCTTAGACGTTGCAAAGTTTTCTCAGATGTTGTGATTTGTGATCTCACCTGCATTTTTAATTACGGCTTTTAGGTATTGGGGTTTCATGAACAATGATAACTTTTACTGGTATTGACGGGAGTCTAATGTAAGTTTAGCCCAATCGTTTGATAATATGATGTTAGTTTTTCTTCTTTTCCAATTGATTTCTTGAACGCTTGCCCTGGTTTCAGATCGTTTCTTACATTTGTTTTTGTTCACATTTCTCGTGTTCATTTATCTTCGGATTGCTAATAATTTTTTTACTGTTTCATTGCTTACAGGTTCTATCAGGCGTCCGTTTAAGTGGATCTTTATCTTCTGAGTTATGGAGCAAGTTTTTGTCTGGCCAAGCTGCTACCATTATCGGCTTTTCTCATTCCAAGAAGCGCTCGATTGGCGGTTTCTTGTACTTTCAAATTTCCTTGTGGGCTCTTTCGTTAACTGCACTTAGTGGTCGAACCCTCTTCTATGATCTTTAGGGAAGGCGTGAGGCAAATTTCTGAGACAGGTATAGTTTCCGATTTAAAGCTGTTGTAACTTTTTTTTTTTAATATACATGATAGTTCTCTCCTTTGCATTTAGTACAAGTTCATTTCCTTGTACATATTCCAAAGTTGGAGGTTTTGATATATTTCATTAAGATGTTTGTACTTTTATTCATGATTGAATACTAATCAAGGAAGTTTGAGAAATGGTAAAACTGCTAAAAAAATTAGGAAAAGTAAAATTTAACAAAACGATGAAAACAGAAGTCCTGTATGAAATCATTCACAAACCGCACTTGCAGACACATAAAAGATATCTTTTTTACATATCAACAAAGACACATGATTGAATGTCTGGCATTTTTGGTTTTTTTTGGCAGGGCTGAAGTCTGCAAATTCTTTCTTCGAGTACTAGAGAAACATCTTAATCTGCCCCCTGCGAACAAAGATTTGTTAGCTCCCTCTTCCATATCTTGTGTTTATGGGCGCTGGCTAAAGAAGGATATATCAGTTTCTTTTCCAGGTTTACATATGTCGTAGATGTGATACCTTTTTCCTTGAGTCTGAACCCTTGAGTGATATGTTGTGAGCTTAGGTCCTTCCTGTTAGCCAACATATTCTTTCTTGTTGGTTCCTTTGCGTCTTCGAGTTCTCAGTATGTGTTTTCCTCTTATCTTGCTGTCTTTCTTTTCCCTTAATGGTCAAACCATTAGTGTTCCAAGTAAATAACGGTCAGTCAACCCAGCGGGAGAATCATCGATTTTACTGCTTTGGTGTCCAGTCCTTGCTACGAACGGCTGGAAGACTAATGCTATACACACCTTTCAGAAGTTCACAGATAAAGAATAAAGAGGCTACTTTGCTTTACGAGAAAGACAATGGACAGGTAACTCAGATTTATCTTAACTTTTTAACATCTTTGGCATCTGCCCCTAAATTTGTTGCTTATTAGTTTACTTCTCAATGCCTTCTGAGTTTATAGGTACAAGTTAATTAAAGAGGTTGGTGATGGAACTTTTGGTAGTGTTTGGCGAGCTATCAATAAGCAGACGGGTGAAGTCGTAAGTTACTTACTTTGAGAGCTATATGTACCTGTGTAATGTCCTGCGCTTGATTTTTAATCAACTGAAGTTTTCTTTGTGCAGGTTGCTATTAAGAAAATGAAGAAGAAGTACTACTCGTGGGATGAATGTATTAATCTGAGGGAAGTGAAGGTAATAAACTGACTTTGTTGAGATGCGTTTTTGCTTTGTTTACTCTCTGTTTACTTATTCCTCCTATTTTTCTCCTATTAGTCGCTCAGGAGAATGAATCATCCAAACATCGTGAAGTTAAAGGAAGTCATCCGGGAAAATGATATCCTATACTTTGTCTTTGAGTACATGGTATACTTCTTCCTGCTTGTAGGCTAATATTATCTGACACTTTGATTCATCGCACTGAATCTGCGTGTGTGATTCTTACTTGATCAGGAGTGCAACCTTTACCAGCTTATGAAGGACAGACAAAAGCTTTTTGCAGAAGCTGATATCAGAAATTGGTGCTTTCAAGTTTTCCAAGGCCTTTCTTACATGCATCAGCGTGGTTACTTCCACCGCGATCTTAAGCCAGGTAAATGTTAGCGTTGAGGTGTCTATTGGTATAAAGTTCCACATTTCCGCTGTCAAAATTGACATTTCTATTTTAATCACTATGTCTTTTTAATGATGTCATTGAATATATATATACGTTGTGTTGGTTTGCAGAAAATCTATTAGTCTCTAAGGACATCATTAAGATTGCTGATTTTGGTCTGGCACGGGAGGTTAATTCAAGTCCACCTTTTACCGAGTATGTTTCTACACGCTGGTAAGATTCACTTCCTTTTTGTGTTACAGTGAGTCATTCAGATATCTACATATATTTGTACTTCAGTTACCCATAAAATTTACGTCTATTGTTTAATGCTACTCCAGTGTTACCGTACTGATCGACAAGTCTTTGTTCTAATAGGTACAGAGCACCTGAAGTACTCCTACAGTCATATGTATACACATCAAAAGTTGGTGAGTATCGATACTGTAGGAGTAAATATAATTATATCCAAAGTAATGCAGTCCTGTGCTGAACAATTTGGCAAAATTTGTCTTGTTTCAGATATGTGGGCAATGGGAGCTATTATGGCCGAGTTGTTGTCTCTTCGCCCTATATTTCCTGGGGCTAGGTAACTTAGCAGTGGATAATTTGTATTTTTCTGATTAAAAAAGGGTGGCAAAATCAAATGCTAATGAACAAGTGAAAATGTTTCCGTATCATCCATTCAGTGAAGCAGATGAAATCTACAAAATCTGCTCTGTCATAGGCAGTCCAACTAAGGAGACCTGGTTGGAGGGACTTAATCTTGCTAACGCCATAAACTATCAGTTCCCGGAGGTACTTGTTCGAGCTTGAATAAAGCGTGTCTTGAGCCTCCTATTGTTTCGTATTAGGGACTTACGGTCGTCCTCTTGCAGCTTCCTGATGTACCTCTTGCAAGCTTGATGCCATCTGCTAGTGATGATGCGATTAATCTTATTGAGGTAATTACAATCTCTTAAAAGGGGTCTCACTTTACCGTTTTGACATGTTTCGTTTATTGTCAGACACTAATCTCTGCTTTTTATCATGATCATTCAGCGGCTTTGCTCGTGGGATCCATGCAACAGACCAACTGCTGCCGAAGCTCTGCAGCACCCGTTCTTTCAGGTACAGCACAGCATATTTAGTTGGACGATATGACTGGTTTAGCTCTACTCCCGATCTAACCGTGTTTTCATGTGGCAGAGTTGCTTTTATGTCCCACCATCTCTCCGCCCCAAGCCATCTGTTGCAAGAACTCCTCCACCTGGTAAATTATTAATTTGTTGAATGATAATGTCAGGATGTGGATTATTCTATATATTTTGAGATTGTTGCAAACTAAATTTAACATATATGTTTCATTCTAGTGGGGCCAAGGGGATCGTTCGAGCACCAATCAGTCAAACGGCACCCGGTGTCTCTTGCCAATGCTAAGCCATTCAAAAGCTATGTTGCGCCAAAGTCGAATGCTGCTTTCGGCAGTGGCGTCCAGCGGAAACTCGACATGGCTAATCAAGATGGGACGAGAAACACTAAACCCGTGAGAAGTTCTGTCAAAGACTCCAAATACAGACCACCCGGAAGAAAGAGTCCTCGTAAGTAAAACCTGCGAATCCACCCTTTTTCCTTTTATATCACGTACAATGTTTGTTGTTTCTCTTTATTTGATAAGACAAATGTATTCAATCGAAGATAACTCAGCAGGGTCGTCACTGAACAAGAACCGGGTGGCTCGCGGTGTATCCGAGACTGCTGATAAACTCGCGAACGTGAGCATCGGAGGAACCGTGTCTCGAAGACACTCTGTGTCTGTGATGCAGCAACAGCAGCTGAAGCCACTGCCGATGAAGGCTGGTTGTGTAGGAGAAACACGTGACATGTTCCTTAGACCAACACAACCCACCACCAATGCCTACTCTAGGAAAGTCGCCGGCTGACCCAAAAACCTCTCACTCAGCCCCCTCTTCCCAGTAGTATTTTACTCTATGAATAGCTTATAATCTATATACACTGGTTTGTCCCCGAGTCGTCATCTCGAAAACAAAAAAATACTTCATTTGCTCCTTTTCAGTTACGACGGTCTTGTGACACGTCTATGGTTCTGGATTTGTTTTGTTTTCCTTTTACTTTCGATTGTGTAATGGCTTGTTTCTGTGTGACGATTAACTTTGTGGTTTTGCAATAAAGTTCGACTTGGGACTATTTTTGTGTTGTTGGATTCTTCCCAATTCATTTTGGCAAGCCCTTTGATATAAAATGCGCTAAAACACGATTAACTCTTGGTGTTGTCTTGATTACCCCCAATGGAAAATAGAAGGAACGAGTTAATATATTTTAAATTACTAACTTATCTTATTACTTGGTGAAGGAAATAGTATTTTATTGCTATAAATATGATCTTTTAATCGATCACTGACCAAATTGATCGATAGAAAGAGGAGAAGGAACGAGTTTAATAAATTTAATACCTCATTATACAGCCTGAAAAAGGTTTCAGGTTAGAAAATAAGTACGTATAGAGCCGAGTTTGCAAATAAACAATACAATTAATATATAACTATCATATAAAAGGAGCCAACACACATATAACAAAGCAAGAATTATCATACAAACGTAAAGAGGATACCAAAAAGGATGATACCATGAAAGAAAAAAGATATACCGTGAAAGATAATAATGGATGATACATATACGTATATATAGTTTGTAAACATACGCTGAATTGAGATTATGATTTTAACTTTTTATTAATTACATACGCCGTAAAACCTACATCGAATCCACCTGGATTAATATGAAGATATATATGCGTTATTATATTTTTTTTCTTAACAAATATATTACTATTGTTTAAAAAATCCAATTAACACTAATATAAAAAAAGTCACTAATGATAACAATGTCAATCAGCATAAAGAGGAAAGAGTAATCAACTATAAGAATAATAATGGTAACAAAGGTGATGGAAGATCTTCGCGCGGTAACAACGATGATGGTAACAAGGGTGATGAAGGACTATGGTGTGGTGAAAACTTATCTGTTGGTTGAGACGTCGGATTTACTATGGTAAAGAACAAACAGAATAAAAAGACGGATAAGATAATAGACGTTTTCTTAGATCTAGAAACCGTCAAATTCAACAATAGTCAGAGTGCGCTAAACTTTGTTGAGAAAATCAAAGAGATATTAGAGGAAAAACGGAAACAGAAGGGAGGTGGAGTGAAATATACTTTTAGAAAAGTATTTGTCTATGAAGTTAATAACCTTTTTTGGTTAAACAATTCTATTTCTATGCGTTGAACATTAAATAAACAATACAATTAATACATAACTATCATATAAAAGGAGCTAAAACACATATAACAAATCATACAAAAATAAAGAAGATACCAAAAAGAAAGATGATACCATGAAAAAAAAGATATACTGTGAAAGAAAAATAATCCATGAAGCATAAAGAGGAAAGAGTAATCAACTATAATAACTCTTAACTACAACTCAATTTACTTTTCAATTGTATTTATTTTGCACAAAAAAAAATATGAGCTACAATTGAAGATGAATAGGCTCTCCTCTTTACCCAAAAACTCTTCAACTTGGTACTTGTGTTCACCTTAAACCAGATTGGCTTGTTGGCTTGTTGAATCTCTAAGTGGCTGCGAGAGATGCAACATAAGACAATTTTGAAGAGAAACTGTCCTATGTGACTATGTCCGAGAACTTTCACACAAATACCAAAAGAGCAATGATAAACCTCTTTTATCTCACTATTTGTTAACTCATTATTTGTTAATAGGTTGGAAGAACACAATAGTGTTTGTGGTTTCACACATGGACCTAGTGCTATTTGTGTTCCTGTCTTCCCATCTTATGCTAATCTAGGATCATTGGTAGTTAGTTTTCTTTTTATTGAATTTGAAATTAGATCTCTTAATATTTTCTGCTGACTCATTTTTATTGTCAGGATATCTATATTCCTCATGTCAATAAAATTCTTCAGTATTGGGCTTGGCACCACAGCCATTGCTTATCAACTGTATCACGAGGTACAAGAAATTGGATCAATTATCACCTATGCCAGGACAGAGATGATGAAGGATGGAATAGTGTTAGTGTTAGCGCTTATGTGTCCCTTACACACTACGTCCATTACATTGCATTCTTCACTTCTGTTTTTGTGTTGTGTCTTGAAGGCCTGTTTGCTCCTCTAGTGTCTTTTCAGGACAGTGATGTTGAAGATACAAAGAAGAGGAAGAGTAATATCAGTTTAGTTTTTGTTTTGCTTACCTTAAAACTTGAAACGAAACTTTGCATATCCTGTTTGAGTACATATTATCAAGCTAAGGAGTTAAGAGAGAGAGAGAGAGAGATACAGAAGAAAGCAATACAACAAACACAAATTTTGATGAAATAGTAAAAGACACATTCACACGGTAACACCTGTTTCTTACTTCTTCGAGAAGCTATCTTATTTATCAACTTAAACTACAAGTAATCATTTCCTTTTTTTTTTTTCCAACTTTTGCAGTATACTCACGCAGGTGACCATATTGACATCACATTTTCTTTGAAGGATCTAAAGGTAATAACATTCCTCCACCTGAATTTAAACGGTCCACCTTTCTTTGTGTTAATCCCAAATGTCTTGAATAATTTTTCAGGCATTTCTTTCCTTTTGTGAGGGCTGTGAAGCGGACATTCATCTTTTCTTTGAAAAGGCTGTGCGAGTAACCATATATTTCTACGTAGCCTTAATATCCTTTTAATTCAGAGCAAATCGATTCTGGTCAATACTTCCAAAAATGATCATGGTCTATAACAAATGCATGGGTTCTCAAATATGGTAGCTAAATCACCCATTTAAACATCATAATTTGGTTCCAGGCCAATACTGATGGCTCCAAATTTTGGCATGGGTGATGGGTCAAGCTCAAGTTTTGATGCCACACTCGTTCTTGCGACAATGCTTGTACCGCAGCTACAGGAAGGTGTTCCGCCAGAAGCTCCGGAAGCAGCAAACTCCACAGGTGGCGATTCTGCCGAGCAAGTAGGATCAGAGCCTCAAGAACGGTCTAGGCAGAGTGCCTCTGAGCACCCACCTGATCACACACGAGTTTGGTCTGAACTTTCTGGTAGTAACTAATCTAATGGTTGCGATTTGTTTTCTATAATTTTGTCTGATAACAAAAACCTTAGTAACGATTGTGTGATGCCTTGTTTATGTGTGACGATTAACTTTGTGGTTTTGCAATAAAGCTGGACTTGGGGCTATTTTTGTCTTCTTGGATACTTCCCTATTCATTTTGGTAAGCCCTTTGATAGAAGATCCGCAAAAAACACAGTTTCAGGAAAATTTACATCAGAGTAGAGTCTTACGTCTGGACTAAAATGAAGTCTTGAAGTATCTTCTTGTTTCGGGGTATTGAAGACAATAAACCAAGAGCATTTTTTTTGCTTTTGTGTCTATCTCTTGTTCCAGAATGATTGCCAAAAGACAGGCCAGTTCTTCTTAGCTTCGTTCCATCCTAACAAGGATCCTTCTCTCAACGGATCCCAACTCGATGACACGATCCCGTAGCTCACACCAGCTAAAGCCGTACCGAAGAAGACGAACGAAACAATGAACGGAACCCATGTCGGGACATCGACTTTCAATCCAACTTTGAGGTAGTAGAAGAGTGGGAAGAACAAGAGACCGACGAAGAGTGGTAACCCCACAGTGAATCCCATTCTGCTGATCATCCTGTTCGTCACTATCTCTGGAATCACACCGCTCTCTCGCTCATCTTCATCATCGTCATCTTGGTCTTCTTCTTCGTCTTCTTCATCACTCTGGTTTCCTGGTCTAGGCTTTTTAGCCTTCTTGGTTTTCTTAGGAGGAGGTCCAAAACCTCTCGGGCTATTCATTGTTGCGTATAATGGCTGTAAACGCGACATCTGTAAGCTTCTGATGTAAGTAATGGTGGACTTATGAACTTGAGTGTTCCTCCCTCTCCGTCTTTCTACTAAACGACACTCTTTGTAGCTTCCAAGCTGCGTAAATGGTTAACAATTGGAAAAAGGTAATCTCAGTAATACTACAGAAAAGTCTAAAGAAATTCAAAGAAAAATGGAACGAACGAGCTGACTCAGCATCTTTTGTCAATCACTGATGACAAAATTGATCGATACAGAGAGGAGAAGAAATGAGTTGACTAAGCACCAATAAACTACACAGAGGGACACAGATTGAGAGAGAGTGTCACCTTGGAAGAAGATCTGAGATTAGCAGGAAGCTGGAAGGGACATGGTACTGAAGCCATTGAATCAGACCAAAAAGCAAAGTCCTAGCGAGATTTAGACTACGAGGAGAGATGCATCGGATTGTTTTTCTGTTCTCTTCTCTGTTCTGTTTCGAGTGGGAGAAATGAATTGAATGGATAAGGTTTATCGTCTAATACCGGTTCATTCCGGTCCGGTATGCATCCGTTTTACTCGGTCCAATTGTTTCTTTAATTTTTCAATTTTGAACAAGCCGAAGAAGAAGTTGACAGGTGTTTCTCCGTTTACCGTCTTCTCGTCCGGAGAAATAACGGAGGAGACTGCGCTGATCGGAAGAGCGAGGATGAAAACGGAGGATTAAAGGAGGTAAGAAAATTTTCCGTTTGAATTCGATTTCTGGCGAATCCTCGATGTTCTGTGATTCGAAGATATTGCATTCGGGCTTTGTTTTCCAGTTATGGCGAAGGTTCGGATGATAAATCGTTACGGGTTACGACAATGCAGCTACGAATTAGGTATGGACCACGAATCTATATGCCCTTTTTTTTATCTTAGAATTTTCTATTTCGTTTGGTAGTGAGTTCTGTTGAATTAGGATAGTGTTTATCTTACAATACCTAAGATGTTCTCTAGATAACTACATCAGATTGCTTAAATGTTTAGGTTTTGAACTTGGTCAGGCTACAAAGCTTATTTGGTAGTGGAAACATCAAAAAGTATTAAAACACAATCAAGTTGTGGCTCTGAATCGCCATTCTTGATCTGAGCTAGTCAATCCCCGAGGCCGAAGTGAGCCATTAGTAGCCAAACGAAGTTGATGAACTCCCCACCTTTGCTAAGAAGCTCCATCCGCGTTGTAGCATCACAGTGTGACGCTGCGTGGAAGAGGAACTCCAACCACACTTTGCCAAGTGTCTCCCATTTGTTTTTTCCAAAATCTTTCTCCAGTCTCAGAAGCTCTTTGGCCAGTGAACTTGCCTCGAACAACACCGATTTGCTGTGGTTTCCTTTGACGTCTCTTGGCTCGATGCTGGTATCAACTGAAAGAATGATCTCGCTGGCTAATTTCACATCCCTAGAGTTTTCAATACCCATCTTCTTGAAGAATCTATCAGCCTCGGCCAGTGTGTCTCTGAATCTGATCTTTCCAATGCCAGCTACCTCTGACATCAGCTTAGGCTGCATGATCAAGAGATACATCATGTAGTCTGAGAGCATTTTGCTGACCGTACGGTTGGTGTGATAAGATTGATCACACTTCTCTTTGGCCGAATCTTCTTCTTGGTAACAGAGCTCGGTGGCAATGTGCCAAATCAAAAGACTGTGGTCATAATCAACATCTGTTACGTAGCGTAACAGCATTTCATGATCTGCTATTTGAACCTGGGTGTGGCTTGACGCCCAATCTCTCCTGGCCGAGGATTTTGTTGCGGTATTCTCCAGGCTGTCTAGAATCTGGGATTTGTCTCGCAGCTCAGAAAACACGAACGACCATAGGTTTCTTGTCAAGGGTTCACCGTGTACAGATCTTACCAGTCTTATCTCATTGAACAGGTCCTTGATGCCTAGGAAGTTGATGATGCAGGTTACAAGAAACGCGAAAAAGTAAGGTACTCGGAACCAAAACCCAACAAAAGTCTTGATGATGTCGACAATATAACGAACGACCTGATTTTGTCCTGGCGGTAGAATGATTACATGGTGGAAAATGTACCGGTGAAGATCACAAAACCATATGGCAATGTTACTAGACCAAGTCTGGATGATGGAGAACACGTAACTGAAAGGGAAAAAGGCGGTCTTCCATAAAAGCTGGAATGTTCCACCCCTGGATTTGTGGATCCTTTCTGTATCTGCGTTCATGGAGTATGTGATGAAGTTGAACATTGAGATGCTTCCGGTCCATCTTCTAAGTAGAAACTGTGTGTTAAGCACCTCCTCCTGATGTTTCTCACAACATGTGTGCCACTTCCACTTTGGCTTCTTGAGACCAAGGATCCAGTCGAGTATCTTGTCTTTCCCTGAATTTTTCCTCTCGGGGTCATCCTTTAGCGTTGAAAGAATGGCTGTCGTCCAGTCGGAAGCCACAAATATGAGCAAGGATAGAACATCCAGTGCTATTCCAACTAAGAACAACGTGTAGGTGATTACAATGTCGGCTTTGTGAAATTCTTGGATCTTATTGTGTCTGTAATAGTAGATGCTGAAGGCTGACAGAAGAGATCCCAACGATATGAATCGGGACACAAGGCCAACCCAACTGTGAAGAACCGCACCTTTTGTGTACAGTCCTTCATAGATAAATTCAAGCTCGGCCTCTATAATTCTCAGAGCTTCTTCGTCTTGTAGTTTTGGTGCTCTAAAGAATGCTTTACTATCATCGCGTAGCTCCAAGCTGAAGATGTTATTGACCAGAAGACTCTTGAAGTTATTGAAGAAGAAGAAACCGTACTGAAGAATCTCAAGGTTTGTCAACTCTCTATTGGGAATCATGAGCTTCGGAGGTTTCAGCTGCCCGCGAAGCTCCTTCATGTACATCTCAGACACAAGTATGGAGTCCATATCTAGGTTGTTTGGTTGCTCGGTGTAGTCAAACGCTGATTTGGACGCCTGCAATATTGACCCCCTGTACTTATCTGAACTTGCGAGGTACAACGCAATCGTCCTTTCCAAATACTTAGAAGTTCCAGCAATGAACAGCAACAGTATCATCACCCAAAGCACATTGGGTAGAGATTGGACAACCACATAGACACCTGCAAGCACCTGAAAGACAAGCCCAAGGAAATGTCTGTTCCAGAGAGCATTGTCCTCGAGAGAAAATGCAGTGATGGTGTCTGGTCCACCAAGGTGTAAGAGCAAGAAAGCTGCCCACACGGCGACAAGCTTCTTGTCTTGAGGAGGATCATCGGGTTTAGGATCTTTACCTTGGTTCTTGGCAATCAAAGCAACCGCAAAGTTCGCGGACAAATCTGCCAAGAGATATGAAGACCACAAGAGCAGGGTCAGGAACTTGTTGGCCGTTCGTTTCCTCGAGGGAGAAAAGAGAATGAGAATTGCCTGAAGCGAGAGACTGAGGATTATCATTCCCCTGATATTCCAGCTATCCCAGACTTCTTTGATTTCTTTGGGAATCACTTCCACCATTTTGTTCTGTTTGCTGCAAAGAAATGGCTCCGAGCTTCTTATCAGATAGGCTTCTGGAAAACTTGTTTGTGGAATGCTTCTTTTGCTTCTGCCCTTGACTTTTTAGCCAAACTTAGCTTGGGAAAGGAAGTTCTTTTGCTATATTGATAGGTTTTGTGGGTTTTTGATATATATATAAAATCTCAGAGTAATGAGTTTTACATAGATTGAGAATTACTCTGTTTTCATGTTATTTTATTTTTTTAAAAACCAAATACTGTAACACCACACTTTCTAAATTATTGCTGATTGTGATTGGTGATAAAGCAGTGGGATCCACTGTAATAAATATCGTCCCGTTGCTGCGAAAATCACAGGTTTCATTCAAGGCCACTGGATCCACTGGCTGGACAAAGTTGCAGAAAATGTCAACAAAATTTCTTTCAGTAGTAAACGTGAAACTGGGTCCGGAGACTCTGGTCGCTTAGTAAATAATTGAAATAACTTCGCAAGTAATACTTGGCAGTCTTAAAGCCAACTTGATGGCTCACCGGTTACGCTCGAAGTGGCTTGTTTCTAGGCTTGTAGCAGAGTTGCATCAAAAATTGTGAGAACCAGTTCTCCGAGCAGGCAAGAACATAAACAACAAAGATGGTGGAAGCAATACCGAAGCCAGTGAAAGATATGTGGGACAAATGGAACATCCGTAGCCTTGTGATATTCAGTCTCGTCCTTCAGGCAATCCTTGTTCTTCTCTCATCAAATCGAAAACGTACACCAAAGAGACTTTTCCGGCTTCTCCTCTGGTCGGCGTACCTTTTAGCCAATTGGGCAGCTGACTATGCCGTGGGACAGATATCCGATAGCTCAGGAAGCTCTCCTGAACCCAACTCGTCGCCCAAGACCAACGAGCTCTTAGCTTTCTGGGCAACCTTTCTTCTCTTGCACCTTGGTGGTCCTGACACCATCACCGCTCTTGCTCTGGAGGATAATGAGCTCTGGCTCAGGAGTTTGTTTGGTCTTCTGTGCCAATTCGTAGCCACTCTCTACGTGTTCTTGCTATCAATACCCAACAGTCTATTGGTACCAACTTCACTCATGCTTGTGGCTGGAGTCATCAAGTATGTTGAGAGGATAAGAGCAATGCGTGGAGCTAGTCTCGAAAGGTTCAAAGATTCGATGCTTGGTGAGCCGGAACCTGGAATCGACTACACGAGGTTTATGGAGGAATACAAAATTAGGAAGACTTTGAAAGAGCGTAGCCAGTTAGTTAGGGTCCCGGAGCCTAAGACCGAGCAAGGAGTTAAGGTATCACTTGGCCCAGAGAGAAAAGGTCTGACCCATCTCGAAGTTGTTCAATATGCTTATAAGTACTTCAACATCTACAAAGGTCTTGTGGTCGATTTCATCTATAGCCCTCAGCAGTGGATAGAGAGCAAGCAGTTTTTTCAGTCATTGTCGTCCAAAGATGCTTTGAGGATTCTAGAGGTTGAGCTCAACTTCATGTACGAAACTTTATTCACCAAAGTTGACATCCTGCACACGTGGGTTGGAGCTGCTTTCCGCTGTATAGGCTTGGGCTGCCTATTTGCTTCCCTCTACATATTCAAAGCATCGAAGAAAGATGGATATGATGGTTTTGATGTTAGCCTTACTTATGCATTGATCTTTGGTGGAATCGCACTCGATTTCATTGCCATCCTCATATTCTGTGTATCCGACTGGACATTTGCTAGATTGAGGAAGACGAAGGAGGGTCTGGATAAGAAAGATAGCAGGTTTGACAGATTTCTCAACTGGCTGCTCAGTTTCAAGGGACTGAAGTGGCAGAAGTGCAAGTGTCACGAGCAAGAAGAACGCTGTCACACGGTGCTTGCTAGACTCTTTATATTTCGGAGATGGTCTGAGTACATATATGCATACAACCTGATTGGCTCCTCCCTGAAGATAAAACCGAAGGGAATCCACCACACCAGGGGTTACATACACAGTTCCTTTGACGCCATCATCAGAAGCTTGTACATAGACCGTGCCATCGATATCACGTTTCAAAGAGCAGTCTTAGTTTCCAAAGCCTTGAATCGCATCCGCGAAAGGATAGACCTATACATCGTTTCTCTGTTCATCAAGGATCGGATAATATATTATGTTCTGTACCCTGCCAGGCTTTTGCTTAGGTTCTGGTTTGGGATTCCTTTGATCAACTATCTCTTGGAATTCTTCGGCATCCCAGATCAGGTAAATGAGATAGTATTCACGTCTCGAGAACGCCTCACAGGAGAGCTTTGGGAGTTCATATTTAAGGACGTTAAGCATAGATCACTCTTCGTTGTTGGCATGGAAAGTGCCACCCCTATATATTCGGCTAGAGGTGACTGGATTCTGGGAGATATGGAAGTCGAGATTGATCAGGAGAAACTGCTGCCGTATGTTACTGAAGTGGATTACGATCAGAGCATTCTGGTGTGGCACATTGCCACAGATTTGTTGCACCAAACAGAAGCAGTATCCTCTGCAGACACAAACGTCAGATGCAAAGAGTTGAGCAAAACCCTTTCCGACTACATGATGTACCTCCTCGTCGTGCAGCCCTCTCTGATGTCAACAGTTGCAGGAATCGATAAGGTAAGATTCAGAGATGCAATAGCAGAGGCCAGAAACCTTCAAGAGGCTAAAAAGCTGTTTCAGTGGACGCATGTTGCGGATTCGAGAGATACAAAGATGGCCTGTGAAGCAATTGTGGCTTCCTATAAGTCAGCTGAGCAAAGGAACGAGAGTGCCAAAGGGTACCGAAGCAAGTCTGTGCTGTTCCAAGCGAGCATGCTAGCCGAGGAGCTTCAGCGGATACAGATTCAAGTAAGCAATGATAATATGTGGGAAGTAGTGAGTAAAGTGTGGGTGGAGATGCTTTGCTATGCAGCAACTCACTGTGACTCTAAACAACACGCAGCTCGACTCAACAAAGGCGGCGAACTGATCAACTTTGTCTGGCTTCTGATGGCTCATTTTGGACTCGGAGAGCAATTCCGGACCACCAAGGAAGATTCAAGAGCCAAGCTCGTTCTAGAGAGAGCCACTTCTTCTTCCTTTGTGTAACACAGACTGTTTTCTGACATCTTCTTGTCTGCAACATCTTTGGCTATTCTTGAATGATAAAAATCTAGCATCTATAACTCAAACACCTATAAATTATGCAACCTAAAACGCCTCACTTCATGCTCCAATTTCAAACCATAGAATCCGAAATAGCTTATGCTACCTTTCTCGCTCTAGTTTCAACCAGACAAACCCGAATGAGCCTGTCACTGATAAGACATGTTTGTCTTTAATATTTTCTTGAGAAATCTATTTTCTTGAGATATCCATTTTCTTAACTTTGCTTGAGATATCTATTTTCTTGTCATTGGTAAAATATGCCGTCTTTAATATTTGACTCTGCTAATACAGAACATTTGCTTGCCCCTAATGTTACATACATCATACACTCTTTAAAACAAAGTGGATAGAATATAGTGAGATAAATCAATTTTTCTTTGCGGGTTTGTCAGACAGATCCTTGAGATTCATCAGATGGTGAACAAGCAGGAAAATTCTAAGGTTTAGGAGCCAAATCGTGAATTTAGATCGGGAGCTAAATGCCGGAAACCAGACATCAAACGCCAGAGATTTCACAAACAAAAGTACAAAGCACAAGAACATATATATAACATGCTGAAAATGATTATATACGTTTTTTCTTTCTCCATTCGTATCATAAATCGTACTTTAGTTCTTGATTGGGCTGTCCTTTGCTAACCAGTGACCACTACCAACACCAAAGATCAATTCCACGATACAAATAAACCACGACAATAACTTGTAGCAATGGTGTATCGCCAGACACACAAGATGGGAGCACATGAAAGCAGTATGTTGAACGAATTCATGTCTGATAGTGATTCACACATGCTCCACACACACACATGGTTAAAAACAAATATCTAGGGCAAGAGTTGCTCACTAATTCGATTTATTTCGATGGCTTCCGTGGTTTTTTCACAAAAACTCACCCTGCTCAACCTTTTCGCAGCCCTGTTAACAGAAGCAGCCAGAAAAAAATGGCAACAGGTTGTTATGGGCTTAGATACTTAATAACAGTAATAGAAACAAAATAAAGCGAAGAATAAGAACACGTAGCAGAGCATTGATAAGCATAACGTTGAACTCACCGGATCACAAAGAATTTCACTTGAGCCGTTCCCTTTTTTGAGATTTTCCTGCGAACTTTTCAGCTTTGGGCATTTGTCTTTGTTGTACTTCTCCAGATTAGGCAACTTAGCACAGACAGCGGATAGCACAGGCAACTCAAAAAGGCACAGTGTGTGCAGATTTGGCAATTCGACTTCTTCTTCAAACAATTTCTCCAGCTTCTCACAAAACTTTATTTTCAGGACCTCTAGGCTGGTGGGAAGCGTGGATGCAGGGAAGAGTGTTATGATACTTGGGGAACAATCTAGGCTTAGGTTTTTCAGATTCTCAAAGCTGCTGCTGCATATACTCTCCAACCATGGAAGATTCGTTATTGATATAGTCTCCAGGTGTCCCAGACGTTCCTCATCTACACCAGAGAAAAGGATTTTTATCTCCCTGCACATCTCCACCCAACAACCTTTCACAGATGCCAACTTATTGAAGATAGATGAGAGACTTGTGGCGCTGTTGTCCACAAAAGCTACAGACTCGGCTTTAGATAAGTTTTCCTCATCTTGATCGACGCCATTAGATCCATGAATCTCTAAGATTTCCTGATGATTTTTGGTATCAACAAACGGTATTGTGTTCATATAGACATCCCTGTATATATGATTTAAGGCTCGATCAAAGGCCCAGTGTTCATTCAACAGTTTCTTTCCTAGTCTTCCAGACTCCTCTCTTGAGATTACTTGGATTTCATCGCCCGTATCAGAAGGGTTCAGACTCTCAGACATCCCATTTGTTATGGCCTCCTTTACTTGGCTCCAAGTATCATGTTCCAATCTTCTTGAATCTGGCAGAACAATGAGCTTCAAACAACCGATATTGCTCTTCTCTGGCAACTCTGGTAAGGTTTCCATCCTGGTGCCAGAGAGATTAACTTCACGCAGGTAAAACATGTCCTCAAAGGATCCCTCAATTGTATGCAACTCAGTGCACCCGGAAACATCAAAGACTTCGAGGCTTGTGAGTCCCTTGACATTTGGGATAGCTTCTAGATTGGAGCTGTCCCGTAGGAGAAGTTGACTGAGGTTGGATAGCTCAGAGATGGTGGAAGGCAATTTGATAATCTTCGTGCCTGACAGATTAAGAATTTTGAGCTCCTCTTTCTGCTCGAAGCACACTGCCGCAATATCCACTAAGCTGGTGGTGCCAGAAAGATCAAGAATTTGGAGACCCGATAACGGTTTAAGATTGGGCAATTTCATCAAATTGCTACAATTCTGCAATGAGAGCCGCGTCAAGGAGTGAAGCTTGTCAGCCACCGCAGCACCATGAAACATTGGAAGTCGTTTTATTTTGCTCTCTGAAAAGTCAACAAGCTGAAGCTGTCGAAGACGAGAGAAGGTTTGGATACTGCGTGTGTCCAATCTTTTCCTGAAGCGATTTTCTAGGTTGTGTGAACCATGAACGTCAACAACCTCGAGCTTCTCTAGTTCCTGTATGTCTGGCAAATCTTTCAAAACAGGACAGTCCCTAAGAATGAGACTGTGGAGGTTCTTCAGTTGAGAAATGCTGGAAGGTGAGTGTTTGATCCGAAGTCCAGAGAGGTTCAGAGTTTGAAGTCCAGATATTGAGGCAAAGAAGTCATCAGAGATGGTTTCCACCGAGCTAGCCCCAGAAACTTCAAGAACGTTTAGCCCTTGTAGAGACCTAAGCTCCTCTATATCTGACAGTAAGTCACAATTCCTGATGACAAGAACTCGGAGTTTCCGTAGATCTCTTAAATGCTCGGTTAAACATTCCAATGTTGGATCAAAAAGAATAAGTACTTCAAGACCCGCCATCTGCTCGAAGAACTCGGAAGGTATTTCACTACGTAGACGGTTTCCACTAACCAGAATCGTACAAATGTGGTCTCGTTTCTTTGCTTGTACAGTTTTTATCATATCATCTATTTGGGTAATTTTCCCTAGACCTTTGATCTTGTTCCCACCACAAACCCTACCAAATCGGAGCCGAGATCTGCCTAAGACCCCATGAGGCCGAAGATCGATTAAACTGTTCATTGCCATCTCTGGCACAACCATATCACCCTCTTGTATCTTCAGAATACCTCGTTTTATAAGCTCCACCAAGATAGCATAACCATCATTATACGCCTTCCAAACAGATCGAACAGGATCAAAATAGCCTTCAAGTATCCACTGTGTAATCAGTTCCACGTAATGGACACAACCGCAGTGCTTAAAGAAGTCCAAGCTATGCCAGAAACAATCAACGATGGCGTTATTCAATGTGTCATCGGTTTCCAACAGCTGATAAACAAGTTGCAGAATAGGATTATATCCGGAAACTGAATAGGCTGGCTCACACGGGGATAAAACTTCATTTATAACATTCTCTTGTTTAGGAGAAAGACTTTTGAAAGTACTCTGTCGAGTAATGGAGTTTAAGGACTGGGAAAGCATGACGAGTGCAGCGGGCAAGTTATTGCTTTTTCGCGCCATGCAAGATATCAATTGATCAATCTTCCAAGCTTTCTTAAGTGACTCAGCCGTTGTTGTACCCCAAATAAAGGACGAAAATAAATCTTGCATGTAACCATCGTCAAGGCTGCGGAGTAACGCATCGGACGCATCCACGGGATGGGACTCAAATCCCCCCTCAGTCTTTGTGTCTTGTGGCTCGTACGTGGCGTACGGAGTAGTTCCCTCATCACTTGTAGTGTATTCACATCCTTTGCTTTTTGTAATGATGATTTTCAGAGGTGAGTGACCTTTAAGAAAATTCTCGAGGCCCAAATCCTTCATCACTTTGTCTTCACTGGTCTTGTTTCCTTCGTCATCAAGGATCAATAGAAGATATGGCATTTTCTCTTCTTCAAGAAAGTCTTGTGCTTCCATCTTCTCTGTTTTTCTTCCAATTTTCTTACGTTTCCAGATTTCTTCCTCAACTGATCTCTTCTTTCTGCTGAGCTCTGCAGTTATCTTCTCCTTCAAAGCCTTTACCAAGCCATCCACTTGCTTCTCGTCATCGTCATCTCTATCATACACTCCAATCTGGAAAGCTATGTTCTCGTAAAGTGAGATTTCGTCTTCAAACTTGTGGGTGAGGTGCAACCAGAGGGTAAGGTAGCAGAGGCGACGAGCTGTTGCATACCCGCACACATTCCTTGCCAGCAGCGTCTTACCGATCCCGGATTTCCCAGTCAGCATAACTCGTGTGTGATAATTTATTGTCGTCACTATCTCTTTACACAAACGTTCATCATCCGTCATTTTGCGCAGTTTAGCATAAACCATACTACCTAGAAATATGAGATAAGAAATGCATCAAAAGAGTTTTATCATTTATAGAAAATTCTGAAAGGTCCCAATTTTGGACGATAATGATTATAACTCCCGCCAACAATGAATCATCGGTTCTGAGATAGGTCAGTTACAGAGACTTATCAATCAAAAGAGAGGAAAACGAGTACCTCTGAGATTCGCCATCGAGCTCTATAGATTACTTTGGCCAATGGGCTAGCTTCGCCAGCGTGAGCAGATCTTATCGTATCAAGTGAACGGTTGCTCTATTTTCTCTCTCTTCCTCGCAGCAATCAAAATATAATCGTTCTTTTATCTATCGCTGCGACGGAGTAAAACGGCACAGCGACAGCCCAATCGCCATCGGCCGTTCATCTTCCTTTCACCAAAGATGTCAAATAAAAGACAAAACAGTTCACTGAAGCAGGATCTATCAAGTAAACGTTTTGCTTGCTCTTTTTCTCTCTCTTCCACATTTATTGATATATTATTATCGACCAACCAAGTTTTAAATAAAATTTTCAATAATTGAACAAGATAAAATAAAAACAGCTATTCAGCCTCCCCTTCTCTCTTCTCTCTCTCTTTTTCATATCAGTGGTTTTTCAAGGAGGATCTACAAGAGCGTTTGCAGCGCAGTAAGGTATTGCATATCAGTTTTTTTTTGTTCTCGAAATTCAGATTGGTGTGGGTAATGGAAAGCTCATGCCCTTTCTTTGTTCTTTTCAATCTTGGTTAGTTTCCCTGCGAAAAATTCTAGAGGGTTTTTGCTTTGGGTGCTGGGGAAGAGAAGGGTTTTACCATTATCGCATGGCTTCCAAGAACAGCCCACATGAACATCATTCAGGAGGTACCTCAGAGGATAAAGTCGATAAGATCTTGGAGACCTTGCCAGAGTTGAACAAACTGCTGTGTATGCTAAAGGAAGATCCTTTAGAGAGAGGCGACAAGGAAGAAAGTATTAATCAAGTTGAGACTTTAGCAAGGAGCTTAAGTGCTCCTTCTGCTTTGACTCATGTTTCATTTCATGGAAAACTGACTATGAGGCTCCAGTATCATTTCCGACTCCTCAAATTGAAGCTAGGAAAGTTGGATCAATTTCAAACAGGTGTCGGAGTCGAGCTTGATAAACACCTCGTGGCCCTTCGGTCGCTGATTACGAATTTGGATTCCCCCAGGGTTTCTTCTCAAACTACGTATTGGATCAAGTCTGACTTGGAAGACATTGAGAAGAAGGTCTCTGACTTGTTGTACCATGTTCCCTTGCTGTCTGGCAAGTCAGAAAAACAGAAAGCAACAGCATATGGTGATGATGATGATGATGGAGACGAGGTTCATCAAGACAACAAGGCCTATTACTTCCGGGGCATACATACAAACGTGGAGGAACTCATCAAGTGCGAGGCTTTCAGGCAAGTGAAACAGAAATTCATGGAGCTTGAGATTGAGCGGAAGATCTGCCTTTTGAGTTTCGCTGTGTTCCCGGAGAACAGAGAGGTCTATAGAACAATGCTCATGTATTGGTGGATAGGAGAGGGGATTCTCCCTGTCGAAGGAGCTGAAGATGCTGTCAGGGACGTTCTCAAGGAATTCACTGAGAAAAAGTTGGTCGAACCCGTTCAGGAGAGGCGCAAGGTGGATCCGAGCAGCTACAAGATGACCCCTCTTGTGCATTCTTCAGTTATTCTGCTCTCAAAGGAGGTTGGAGTTTTTGATATTTACGGCGAAGAGTGTAAGCCAAGCACGAACATGTCAGAGATGGGAAAGGTCTTCCTTGTGGAAGGGTCGGCAACCTCCAGGAAAATGCCAACACTGAAAATTGAAACAGTGTTCAATGTATCTGAGAGGTACCCGGACTTTGCAGTCAAGTGGTTCTTGAAGGATCCACATGCATACAGAAGATTGACGATCAACTCATCAGAAGCTTGGTTCAAGTCGCTCAATGTCTTTTATTTGGGAAGATGGGAAAGAAGTCGGAAACGACACATCCAGGTACAGAATCATGAGCTCATGAAGTGTTTAAAACATGTGACGAAAGTAAAACTGCTAAGTTTTCAAGGGATCTCGACCATTAGAAGCCTAAATAATTCTGTCTGTAAGCTGCACCAGCTAATCATCTTGGACCTCAGGGAGTGCTATGAGCTGACGAAACTTCCGGAGAAGATAGATTCACTCCAGAATCTGGTCTACTTGGATATGACAGGATGCTATATGTTGGAGTGGATTCCCTTAAGGCTGGCTTTGCTGAGGAACTTAGAGGTCCTCAAGGGCTTTGTTGTTAGCGACCCCCTCTATGAGAGTGTCGCGTGCAAGCTGATATATTTGAAGAAATTGACGAAGCTAAGAAAGCTCAGCATCGAAATAAACCGAGATGATTTTGAGATGGAACAATTGTTGGACGATATTAGTTATTTCAAAGCACTGACCAGCTTGAAAGTGGCATGGAGAAGGGATTTCAACATCACCCGTGGTGGCATGCCTGATCTTATAAACGGTACAGTGCCGGACAGAACAATGAGGATTAGATCCTATACGAGGATTTCCCATTACCTTTCTTATCCGTTAAAAAAACTGAGCCTGCAGCGTTTCCCAAACGAAGAACTTCCCATTGGGCTTCATCCCAACAATCTGTCTCACTTGAAAAAGCTCCACATTGGAGGTGGCAGAAAACTCAGGGGTTTCGGTGATTTGCCGGAGAAGGCAACAAAATGTACTGTTGAGGTCTTACGTCTCACGTCCCTCCCCAAGCTAAGAGTTGGGTGGTTAGAGCTGAAAGAACTTTACTTCCCAAATCTGACCTTTCTTGAGAAGTATGAGTGTCCCAGAGTTACTCTCACTCCCTGCGATGGAAATGGAATCTGGAGATCTGACCAAGACTGTTCAACAATACCGGAGTAACCCATCGACAAAGGTGTAATCTAATAGATATTCAGCAATCGATTGGTTTTTATGTTTTTGTTTTCCTACTTTGGTTTGTTGAAGTCTTGGTGTTCTCCATTTTTCTGTTTTTATATTTTTAATGCTTTAGTCGACCGTTCCATATTTTTCTTCAGTTCATCGAACCGCCTCAATGAAACACAAAGATATGAACCGTTTGGCTGATGGGTGACTTTTGTAGAGCTTCTATGTCAATTGTCAAACCCAATAAGTTTTTGCTCGTTGTGGAGAATGAGTGGTGCTCACGGTGGCGGTTTAAAGTTTTAAAACCTAGCATGATATAAACAGGCCGACTAGACTTTTATGTCCACTAATACGGACTTTATTAATCTTTGGATGTGAGACCTCGTTTAGATGGGAAGAATGGTTGGAGGAAAATTGTCTCTATTCAGATATGTGTAAATTATTTGTTAAAAAAAATGCGCTCGCGAATTGGTTGTAGACCGCACAATGATTGGTGTCCCTAGAAGTGTGGATAAGGTGTGAAAAAACTTATTATTGTTCTGTTGTAAATTCCAAAAGAATCTGAAAATATGTACAAACAAATATTAAATAATTTTTATTCAAAAACAAAAAAAATAGTGATGGGATTTAAAAATTAAAAATTACTCATACGTTTTTTTTATGTAAAAAATTTAAAATTTTGAATTTGAAGATAACTCAACATTTTTTTTTCTTCTTATGTTTTTGGTATAATATTTAGCTTTTTGAGTACAAACTATCTCTTATTACAGGAGCCCCTATTTCAGTGCTACTTAATTTAATAAAAGGCAAATGGTTGTAACTTGTAAGTTGTAAGTGAGAGAAAAAGGAAAAAAATGAGTGGAATAACACTCTAACTCAAATTTATATATTTTAGACATATTAAAAAATATAAATTTAGTAAATACTTTTTAAATATTATTTATTATTTAATTAAAAACAGTTCTATTAAGTTTTCTGAGCTTTCGATCTAAAAAACCAATTGACAATGATTGGCCCAAATCCTTTATATATTAGTTAAAATGCTTTCCAACTTTTAATAATAAAAGATTCATGACCCATTAGAGAGCCATTAATCTCGCATACCATCAATTTTTGAGTCAAGGGACAATGCCATTTTTTGGGCCGGAAATAAATATTAATCAGACCACTTTTGGACCAGAGTTATGAGAGTGTGTGGATCGAACTCTGATACAATATTAAATTACATGAGTTTTCAGGCCAAAACCAATTGGCAATGAGTAGATTGGCCCAAGTCTTTTATATATTAGTTAATGTTTTTCCCAACTTTTGATGTGAGACATATCTTATACACATTCTCTACAGATTAAGACTTCATGACCCATTAACCTTCACATTATCCAATAAGTTCAATCAATGATAAAAAATATTGTAAACTACAAATGATAAAAAAAAAAACTTTAAAAAACTAAAATAAATTGGGTTTGCATTAAATATGTAAAACATCATTTGGAATGAATTATTTATTTTTGATCTGTAATTGCAGAGTAGATAATGCCAGTGTTATGTCTATGCTTTGCATTATCATCAATCCACCATTCGTAAAAGTCCACCTCATCTGTAGGGAGATGCATCGAGTAAACTTGTAGTTGAAAGCTTACTTGTTTTTCGGATCTAGCTGGAGGCAAACACCAATAACCTTGTCTTCAAAGATCAGCCAACGCATCACGAGAGATTCCAACTTGACGGCGATGACATTCTGCCTAGAGAACACCAGTTATCGATCCAGAAACTACAGGTAATACCATTCCCCACTTTTAATCTGATCCATGGATAGACGTCCTCTCTTAATTTCAGTAGCTTGTTAGCTGACCACGAGAACTTTTGGTTTGGTTTTTGAGTCCAGAAGCTACTAATGAAATCTCAAAGATTTTCCTTCCTGAACCACGCCACCCAAATGGACCCAGCCCTAAAGAATAACATCCATATGAGTTTGTAGAGGCACGCTTTATTCCAGTAGAGTAAGTCACGAACACCCAATCCCCCTTCCTTCTTTCCTTTGATCACTGTAGTCCAAGCAACTTTGGCAGAGTGATGACCCTCTGTTTTACCTTTCCATAGGAAGGCACTTGAGAGAGAGAGTTTAAAAACAAAGTTCTCTCATCCACCATGAACACAGGGGAGTTTCCCAGTCACCGACACCCTTTAAACCTTAAAGAAATCTCGTCTGAAGAAACAGAAGAGAGTCGAGTGTGTGGCTTATGTGGAGAAACGGTAAATGGGTCTCGTTATGAATGTTCCCAGTGCAATTTTGCCGCACATCGTGGTTGTGCGGAGAATCCACCATCATTGGTTATCGAGGAGAGCAAGATCCATGAGCATGCACTCACTCTCTTGCCTAGTCAAGTCTCCTTCGATTGTAATGCTTGTGGGATTTCTGGCGATAAATCTCCGTATGTATGTCTTAAGTGTTCTTTCATGACACACAAAGACTGCATAGACTTGCCACGCGTTATAAATATCAACCGTCACGGCCACCGCATGTTTTATACTTTCTTTCTAGGCCCCGGGGAGTGGACTTGCGGAGTCTGTCGCAAGAGGATGGACGGGCGATATGGAGCTTATTCATGTCCCCGTTGCGAACATTATGCTGTCCATTCGAGATGCGCAGCAAGAAAAGACGTGTGGGACGGCATGGAGCTCGAGAGGAATCCAGAAGAAGAAGACGACGACGAGGATGGTGAGCAGTTATTCTCCGTAATTGACGAGGGGTCAATTCATCATTTCGTTCATAAACAACATTATCTAAGACTAGTCCAAGATGAATATACAGATGATGTTTGCTCTGGATGTGCTCTTCCCATAGCAACTGGGGACTTTTACAGGTGTCAGGAGTGCCATTTCTTTCTTCACGTATCATGTGCTAATCTTCCACGGAAGATAACTACGTTTCTACATGTACACCCACTTACTCTTTGCCCGGATGATGAAAGGTCAGGTGGTCCTAATGGCTTATCTCGCTGTGATTCTTGCCACCTGTATTTCAATGGGTTCAGCTATCGCTGTTTGGAGTGCAAAGATGATAACATTGAATTCGATATTCGATGTTCTTCAGTTTCTGTACCCTTTGTGTTCTACGGTCATATGCATCCGTTGTTTGTAAACGACCTTCCAACAACTGAGAACGAGAAGGCCAAGATCTGCAGTGGCTGTGGTCTTGAAGGACCTATATATATTCTAAGTTGTGTGGAGTGCAGTCTACATTTGTGCATGACATGTGCAACTTTACCCGTTGTGGCCAAGTACAAGTATGATGGGCATTTGCTCAGCATCCACTCTGGTCTTGAAGATCCTACCGGTGGATACTGGTGTGACATATGCGAAGAAAAAATTGAAGATAAAGGTAATCACTACAGATGTCTCGGTTGTGGTCCGGTTCTTCACGCCAGTTGTGCCGTTGGAAGTTTCAGACACATGAGACCATGGCTGAGTTTCATGTCACATGGACACGAGTACAAAGTGGTTCGCAATGACTGGACATCACAACTACGTTGCAGTAACTGTGACAGTGATTGCCACGAACCCTTGCTCTTGATGTCTACAACTTCTACTGGTGTTACTATTTACTTGTGTTCTTCTAGTTGTTTCACAGCTTATGTTCCGGTCTAAGTCTCGTCTGATTTTTTTTTCTTTTCCTTTATTTCTGTTTGTGACTTTTTATTGGTCCCGTAATATATTATGCCTTCAACTCCCTTTTAGTATCAATAAAACAACCACCGCTATCTTACTATATAGTATATACTTGTGTTTTGTTTATTGGTGCAGGCTGACAGATTTTTGTTTTCGTAATCGTACAGACCAAAATGTATTATACAACTCTGTAAGCGATGACTTTTGATCAAGGCTTAAAAACAGAGTAAATAATAGGACTTGATTTTGAGATTAGTTTACTTATTATTACTCTGTTTCCTCTCTCTCTCTCTCTTGGTTTACTCTGTTTCTTATTTTTCTTATTTGGATTAGTAGACGAAATAAATTAACAAAAAATAAATTTGTTGACAGCTGAGGACCACGAGTCGAGTCTAAATGCAACTGTCAATGCTACTGTATAGTTTTGGAAGGAAATTAATTGGACTACATTTATTCATTAGTATTTCACATCCAATATATATTTTTCTTATCAAATTCTTGTATAATTGATATAGAAAAGTCTTCATACAGTTGGCTTCCATTTCATGCTGACAAAAGTCTGTAATCACTGACGCCTGACGGAGGCTGATGGAAGACCTATCAACGCTGCTGTACATGGATTCTCTGTCCATCATCAATTGGGGTGGTGATTGGTAGTCACAATTACTGGTGTTTCGTTAGTGTTTTTTGTAATATTACTAGCTATTTACCCGTTCTATGATGCATAATATTATTCTAGATTTTGTATATATTTTTAATATAGTAAAATTATTTCTATAATGTAAATAAGTATTATATTTATTTTATTAGCTTAAGTTATGTATTTACATATTTTAAATCTGAATAAACATTATATATCATTAATTTTTTTATTTTTCAAAATTATAATTTACTGTCAAATTTGTTTAGCTTACTATCTATAAGTGTATATGTAAGAATAAAACAATACATTTTTAAGTACATTCATGCTAATGGTAAATGTAATTTATTTTCTCTACTAAAATGCTACTTGATCCTTCTTTTGAAATTATATAAAACAAATTACCATTTAAAAACAAATATTAATTAATATCATTATTTTAAATTATAAAATTTATTTATTTATCAAATATTTATATAAACATATGTTTCTAAAACTACCAAACTATAATCAATAACATTCCTATCAAAATCATCACTATTGCTTTAGAACTAAATAAAAAGTTTTATTTGAACTGTTGAAATATCAATTTAGTTGAAGTTAAATAATTCAATTTTGGTTACTATAAACATATTGCAACTTGAAAATTTAGTACAGTGAAATTTATTTTTTTACAAAAACTGAGAAATTGTATTTTCTGACAAAACAAAAAAAATTATTTTCCCACGAAACTGAGAAATCGCTTATTCCCGCCAAAACCAAAAAAAAAAAATCATTTTCTCGTCAAACCTGAAATTTTATTTTCCTACCAAAACAAAGAAATTGCATTTTTTCTCAAAAACCAAAAAATCACATTTTCCCGCAAGAACCTGTGTTTTCTCGTCAAAACAGAGAAATCAAGTTTTTTCACCAAAACAAAAAAATTTTATCTTCCTGCAAAAACAAAAAAATAGTACTTTCCCTTCGAAACAAACAAAAAATTATTTTCCCGCAAAAATCGAAAAATCGTCTATTCCCACCTAAACAAGAAAAAATTATTTTTCTCGTCAAATCAAGAATCACGTCTTCCTACCAAAACCGATAAAATACAATTTTCCGCAAAAACCAAAAATTGCATTATCTCCTGAGAAATTGCGTTTCCCGCGAAAACTAACAAATCATATTTTGCATCGAAAACCAAAAAATCACATTATATGTCAACAACTGAAAATTTACATTTCTCATCAAAACCAAGAAATTGTTTATTACCGCCAAAATAAAAAAAAATGTTTTTCTATCAATCCGAGAAATTGCATTTTCTCCCAAAATTGTTAAATTACAATTTCCCGCTAAAACTAAGAAATCACATTTTCCCTCGAAAATCAAGAAATTACATTATCCATCAAAAGCCGAAAAATTGCATTTTCTATCAAAACGAGAAATTGTAGTTTTCGTCAAAATTGAAAAGTTGCATATTCCTCACATTTTCTCGTCAAAATCAAAAAAAAAAATTCTTACCAAAACCAAAAATTATATATTTTTCTACCTAATCCGAGAATTCGTTTTATCCGCCATAACCGATAATTATGTTTTCCTACCAAAACAGAAAATCACATTTTTCTTCCAAAACCAAGAATATCTCTATTCCCGTCAAACCCAAGAAAATTTGTTCTCAGTAACCACTGGAAATGCGAATCTCCAAGCTGTGGTGGTCTTCCGACTTTCATTTTTTTGTGAACTTTGAGCTTTTTAATGGGTCTTCAAAATAGTAAACTGATTTTATTAGTGTGTTAATAATATGTATTATTGTTATGTTTTTATTGATTGAAATTTTTGCTGATGTGTGAGCTTCCTATAACATAACGCTTTTTGCATTGTTGTTATGAAAGCATAGTTGATGATGAGTCTACACTTTCTTCAATCATATACGTCTCTATCAAGCAAACACATAGTTAGAAATTTTAATTTTTTTTTGCTGTTATTTATTATTTGAATTTCGGTTTGGCAAAAATATAAAACAAATAATTTTTTTTTATTTGCTGTTATTTATTATTTGGGTTTGGGCTTGACCAAAAAATAAAACTAAAATTAACAATAAAAAATATTTGAGTTTTTAATGGGTTTAAATTTAAAAGTTAAAATAAATTGATGACTTGTATTAATGAAATGTTTTTATTGGTGTTTTTTTTGTTGAAGTGTCATCTCATAAAAGCTTGAAAATACTGATGTGTCAAGCCTTGGAGAGACTTATGGATTATTGTTGTGTTGATTAAACTGGGCCATTTGTTGAAAAAAAGAAGAAAAAACTGGGCCATTTACTGGGCTTCAGTTAACTTTTCTTCTCAAATTTTTTTAAAATATATTTTATTTAAAAATAAACAGGCTATTTAATGTCACAAGAAGTCAAGAATGAGCGTTTTAAAAGCAGGTTACTTAGTCTCAAACACTGCCATTGATACCTCAACTTTTGACTGATCAAATCCAAATTTTCACCAGTGATCTGTTGCACCAAACAGAAACAGTATCCTCTGCAGACACAAACGTCAGTTACAAAGAGCTGAGCAAAACCCTTTCTGACTACATGATGCACCTCCTCGTCGTGCAGCCCTCTCTGATGTCAACAGTTGCAGGGATTGATAAGGTAAGGTTCAGAGATGCAATAGCAGAGGTCAGAAACCTTCAAGAGGCTAAAAAGCTGTTTCAGTGGATGCATGTTGCGGATTCGAGAGATGCAAAGATGGCCTGTGAAGCAATTGTGGCTTCCTATAAGTCAGCTGAGCAAAGGCACGAGAGTGCCAAAGGGTACCGAAGCAAGTCTGTTGGTTCTCGTGTTCTCTTAGTTCTATGATGAACAGTAAATCAAAAGCCACATTTCTGATAAAATATCTCTTCTTCCTTATCCATACATCATACTTACATATTTATACTACTTGTCTTAACTCTATTTTATTTGTTACAATTATAACCGAAACTCATTTAAGATTGTGCTTAAACTACATGTGGCCCAATAACAATAGATTTTAATTTTCCTCCAACAACTCATGTGTCTTCTTCCTTCCTCTTTCACTTCTCTTCTTCTTCACGCCCGACCGGGTTCTTCCTTCTGTTATTTTCTTCTTCACGTCCCAAACAGGTTCTTCCTTCTGTTATCTTCTTCTTCTGATTCTCTTCCTTTGTTTCTTTCTTGCACATGATTAAGCATAAGATTAAATTCCAACACTCCCTCTTGATTCCTTTGCTTAATCCCCAAATTTGAATTTAGAGATTTGATCCTTCTTCCTCCTTCATTTTCTCTGTGAATTTATGATTTCCTGGACAAATCTCTCTTACGACATCAGCAAAACTCACTGGTACGTTTGCCTTCTCCCTCATCACCTCATTTTTCATTGTTTCTCTAGTTTTCATCGAATTAGCAAATTCCACAGACTTGATCTTCATATGAGTTTCCAGTGGTTTCTTAGATGGATTTTGTATTACTCCAAGTTTCATTCGCAGTTCCTCAAATCTTCTTGTTCCAAGTGGTTTTGTAAGGATGTCTGCAATTTGTTCATCACCACTGCAAAATCTTAACTTAATTACTCCATCTTTCTCTGCTTCACGTACCACATGAAACCGTATCTGGATATGCTTAGTCCTCTTGTGCTGAACTGGATTTCTTCCAATTGCTATAGCTGATGTATTATCGCAATAGATTGGAACACTCTCTGTAACATCAACTTTTAGTTCTCCTAGCATTCGTTTCAGCCATACTGCATGATTTGTTGCTGAGCTGAGTGCCATATGTTCTGCTTCTGCTGTTGATTGAGCAATTGTATCTTGTTTGTGTGTTTGCCATGTGAACATTGCACTTCCTAATGAGAAACAAATTCTTGTGGTGCTTCTCATATCATCTTTACACCCTGCCCAATCTGAATCAAAGAATCCAATTAGCTCAGCTTGATCTGCCCTTTTAAAGTTTAGACCATAGTCTATTGTACCTTGTATATATCTCAATACCCGTTTTGCTTCTTTCAGGTTGTGCTCCTTTGGTTGAGATAATCTCCTAGACAAGAACGAGGCAGAAAAGGCAAGGTCTGGTCTGGTTGCTGCTAAATACAAGAGTCCTCCCACTATGGTACGGTAGAGCTTAGGATCTGTAAATTCTTCTCCTTCTTCTTGATCCTTTCCGTAAGATGTGAGTGGTGTGTCAACACTCTTACAGTTCTCCATTCCAAACTTCTTCAACAACTGTTGAGCATATTTCTTTTGACTTAAGAACAACCCTTCTGTCGTGCACGTAATTTCAAAACCAAGAAAGTACTTTAGCTTTCCCAAATCAGTCATCTCGAAGGTTTCTTTCAATTTATGTTTAAACTGTTCAATCATCCTTTCACTGCTTCCTGTGATAATAAGATCATCCACATATAGACTAATCACCATAATCTCTCCTTCATGTTCTTGAATATTTATTGCTGCATCACAATCACTTCTCTTGCATCCTTGTGATAAGAAAAATGAATCTATTTTGCTATACCAAGCTCTTGGTGCTTGCTTTAATCCATATATTGCCTTTTTCAGTTTGTAGACTTTGTTCTCTGCTCCCTCTATCTCATAGCCTGGTGGTTGTTCTACATACACTTCTTCTGTAAGTTCTCCGTTTAAAAATGCAGACTTAACATCCATCTGATGCATGTTCCAGCTATTTTGTGCAGCAAGGGCTATTAGAGTTCTGATTGTATCATGTCTTGAAACTGGAGCAAAAGTTTCCCCATAGTCCACACCGTATGTCTGAGTAAACCCCCCGAGCTACTAGTCTTGCTTTCAACTTCTCGATATGCCCATTCTCATCTGTTTTCACAGTGTAAATCCATTTGACTATGATCACTTTCTTGTCTGCAGGTCTTTCTGTGATTATCCAAGTTCTATTTTTATTGATCACACTAATCTCTGCATCCATTGCTTTCCTCCACTCTTTATGTCGCATAGCTTCGTCAAAGTCATGAGGCTCCTCACATGTAAAATAACAAGCTTCATGAACTTGAGTTGACTCATTATTTTGTCTTTCCTCTTCTTGATATATGTCATTCAACATTCTCCTTTTATGCACATTTCTTGATGAACTACTACTCCCTGAACCATCTCCAGTGAGCTCAAATGGTACAGGACTTACACATGATCTTCTATCTCTTGTGTCTACTCTAGTTGCTGGACTTAGAGTATCTTCATGATTCCGGTACAATTCTTTTGAGATAACTTGTTATTGTTGATTTGAGACTCACGTGGCTCCTTTTCTTCATGTGTTCCCCAATCTCATCCTTTATTTTCTTCAAACACAACATCTCTTGACACTTCAATCTTCCTTGTGTTTATCATATACACTCGATACCCCTTGCTTACACTGCTATATCCCATAGACACACTTTTTCAGATTTATCATCAAGCTTCTTTCTCTCTGCAACAGGAATCAAAACATGATATATACACTCAAACACTCGAATGTGTCCAATTGACGGCTTGTGGCCACTCCAAGCTTCAAGTGGAGTTTTCTGGTTTAATGCTTTGGTGGGAAGTCTGTTTTGAAGGTATGCTGCTGTGAAGATTGCTTCAGCCCAGAATTTATTTGGTATTGCTTAACCTTTTAGCATACTTCTGGCCATGTCCAGTAAAGTTCTATTTCTTCTTTCAGCCACTCCATTTTGCTGAGGTGAATAAGCCACAGGAAACTGTCTTTGAATTCCATTTTCTTCTAGGAATTTCGTGAATTGTTCTGACTTGAACTCACCCCTTCTGTCTGATCTGATTTTCCTTATCATTCTTCATGTTTGTGTCTCAGCCATGATCTTGAACTTATTAAAGGTAGAGAAAGTATCTGATTTCAGTCTTAGAAAATATACCCACACCATGTGCGAGTAATCATCCATAAAAGTGAGAATATAGAGACTGCCACTACATGATGGAGTCTGCATTGGACCACATAAGTCTGTGTGAATCAGGTCCAATGTCCTTGAGCACCTTGTTTCTGATATCTTAGGAAACTGTTCTCTGCACTGCTTCCCTTTAAAACATGCCTCACATACATCATGTATGACATTGAATTTAGAGAGTCCTTTAACCATCTGATTTGTTTGTAGTTTTTGCAGATTTTAGAACCTAGAATGTCCAAGTCTTATGTGCCATAGCTCAGATAAGTTTTCTTCACTTGCTGGTCTCGCACTCTCTTCGACTATTTGCATTTTCAACCGATAAGCATTACATATCTGATCTACTTCAATATTTTTTCTTCAACATTATTGTGTATCGTTCATTTGTTCCCTTTGAACATTATCTCGTATCCATTCCTCGCCATTTGAAGCACACTTAGGAGTCTTTTATCTATTTCTGGAACTAAGAAAACATTTCTAATAACTTTCTTCCCCTTTTTGGTCATTACCTCAATGTTTTCTTTTCCGGTAGTCATTAGTATAGCTCCATTTCCTATCCTGATAGGAACTTGACAGGTCCTGTCTAAAGTTGTGAAAAACCTCTCTTCTTTAGTCATGTGGTTTGTAGCACCACTGTCGATTAACCACACTTCATCACCACTTGTTTGCTCGACGCTATGTGCTGCATCAAACCATCCATCGTTTCTTTTCTTTACTTGTGTTTGTGCTTGGCCAGCTTGATTTCCTAACCTTTTACATTCTTTTGCATAATGCCCAGATTTCCTACATATGAAACTAGCTTTCCTTAGTCTGAACTGTTTTGAAAAAATATTAATCTTTAGTACTCTATCTGAAGTAACATTAATCCTCATAGTGATTGTCCTTCTTACATATCTGACACTATCTTCTTTCTTCCAGGCTACCAAAACTTGACCACGATGAACAATAAATCAAAAGCCACATTTCTGATAAAATATCTTTTCTTCTTTATCTATACATCACACTTACATATTTATACTACTTGTCTTGACTCTATTTTATTTGTTACAATTATAACCGAAACCCATTTAAAATTGTGCTTAAACTACTTGTGGCTTAATAACAACAGGTTTTAATTTTCCTCCAACAACTCATGTGTCTTCTTCCTTCCTTTTTTACTTCTCTTCTTCTTTACGCCTGAACGGGTTCTTTCCGTTATCTTCTCTTTCATCTCTTGAACAGGTTCTTCCTTCTGTTATTTTCTTTCTGATTCTCTTCCTTTGTTTCTTTCTTGCACAGGATTAAGCATATGATCAAATTCCAACAAGTATGTGCTGTTCCAAGCGAGCATGCTAGCCGAGGAGCTTCAGCGGATACAGATTCAAGTAAGCAATGATAAGATGTGGGAAGTAGTGAGTAAAGTGTGGGTGGAGATGCTTTGCTATGCAGCAACTCACTGTGACTCTAAACAACACGCAGCTCGACTCAACAAAGGCGGCGAACTGATCAACTTTGTCTGGCTTCTGATGGCTCATTTTGGACTCGGAGAGCAATTCCGGACCACCAAGGAAGATTCAAGAGCCAGGCTCGTTCTAGAGAGAGCCACTTCTTCTTCCTTTGTGTAACACAGACTGTTTTCTGACATCTTCTTTGGCCATTTCCATAAATCAAACCCTAGTTTATGCAAACCTCAAACGCCTTATTGGCTACACACTTCATGCTCAAATTTTAAGCCGAAATAAATCATTCTGCTAACCTTTCTTGCGCCAATTACAACCAGACAAATCCGAATTAGCTTCTAACATGCGATTTAAGTGCTCAAGCAGATCAATTTTAGGGCGAAGGAACGCCGGAGATTATTAATCGAGTATTTAGGGGGCTTCTGCTGTAGTTTGGTTTGGTAAACCGGATCGAATTATACCGGTCCTATCTGGCCGGTCCGGTTCCTTTTTTTTTCCTTCTTTTAATCCAAACGTAAAACGACGAGTGGTTCTCGGTGTTCGTCGGAGAAAAGCTAACGGAGAGTGTCTGCAATTGCGGATCGAATTAAGCTGACAACAAAGACGAGAAGCGACGAGGGGAAAAGTCGAATCTGGCGACAAAATTGAAACACTAGTCCATTAATGGTAAATGGTTTCTTCTTTCTTACATTTATCCCAGTTGTTCGTAATGGTTATCATCAATTGTCTGGTTTGCAACGAAATCAACTGGAATTGGTTTACTGATTAGTATTTGTGTGGAAAAAAGAGAGACCTTTATGCTTTTTGCTGGTAATAGTGTTGAATATCTATCTGTTGGTTTTTAGCTTATCGATTCAGTGTGCATTGGAGTTGATTTAGTGGGTCAATGTTAACTTACAGAGTTATATATATATATATATATATTGTGTTTTCAAATCTTTCCTTCAGGTCTTGATGATCATCAAGGGTATATTCAGGAGGTATGAGAAATGGAACCCTGTTCATCCTACTTATGGAGCATTTTGGGGAATGGGCATTGGGATTGGCTGTGGCGTCGGATGGGGACCTGGTTTCGGCCCTGAGGTCATTGGCTACGTCGGTGCCGGCTGCGGCGTCGGTTTCAGTGTTGGTATAACACTTGCTGGTCTCGGCATTGGTCTCCCCACGAATCTTCTTCTTGCAGCTCCTTATAACAGTACATACTCTCTCTCTCACAAACACATTTCTTCACATATGTGTGTTCTCAACACCAAGCGAGTTCTTGGGGTTTTGACTCAACTTGAATTCACTGGTTAGAAAGTAATCTTTTGTCTGTTTACTGAACTTCTTTTTGATACATTATCTTTCAGCTGCGGAAGCAACTAGAAAGGGTGCGTTTAAGCTGTTTGGTAAAAATCTCTCAATCGATGGTTGGAGCCATGTTATGCCTCGATTTGACGGGTTGCAGAGACAAGTCAGTGAGATGTGGTGCTCTGGTTTTAACAAGAAGCCTCTCTTCGATGATGCAATTGACATAAAAAGCTTGCCTTTGTTCATTTCACATGATAGTGAAAGATTCCGGAGTCATCTTCTCCTTGTGCGCAAAGGTACTTTCCATTAATCTGGTTTAAGAGACACACACTGTCTTTCATATTTTGCTATATCAATGTTCAAAAGTTGTTCTCTATCTGTTTTCTTGTCATTGATAAGACACATTGTCTTAATATTTCATCTTGCTAATACAATAGAAGCCGAAATCATGGATTCTATCCTGAAAATTTGCTTGACTCTATTAGTAATTTTCATTCCAACACTCTTCAGTCTCCTGCTAGTGTAAACGCGTCTCTAGATAGGAGATGTTTCTGTTATTCAATGGATAAAACCGAACATTCTATTTTTAGGAGAAAGTGGATTGAGAAAACAGTGTGTGATATATCAAACTTTTCTTTTCAGGTTTGGATGACAAGAATCGTGGAGATTCATCTGCTACGTAATGCTATCCACCACGAGGATCTCAAGCATCTGAGACACTCTCTTCGAGATTTTGATTGGATAGTTGCTTTCGCTGGCATATGTGACTATGAAACACTCAGCACAGATCAGAACCTATTTCCAGTCTTTGTTTGAAGAAACACTATGAAACAAACCTGAAGCACTTGTGTCTGAGTCGATGTTACACTTACAGAGACACATCTTCGAGGTTTGGGATTTGACAGTAGCATTCGTAGACGGTACAGGTTAGTGAACGTGTTTCACCAAAAACAACGAAAAAAAGAGCAGAAGTGTATTTAATGTTACTCCTTCGGTTTATGCTTTGCCCTTTGATCAAACAATATCTATTCTCTTTTTGTTTTCTCTCTTCTTTTTTCCTTTTTTCTTTATAATTCCATTTGCTTTATTCCTTACTTCCTGGGACAAAGAATGTGCCGAGAAAGATAATTCGACTAGATTTATACAGTTTTACGTGTATATATATATCTGTGTCACCTCAAAGTGAAAGCTGCAGACTTTGAAAACTCAGAAATTCCTTCATAATTTAGTTTTTCTCAGAGACACAAGAAGAGCTTATGGATCAAGATAAGGAGTTTAAGTCTGAACTTGATAAGAAGCTCGGTACAATCGCGTCTTACTTTGAAAAAGACTACGTGATATGGTTGTCTGGAGGAAAACAGAGTGAATCTTCCTCTAAGCATGGAAACATGTCCACAAATGGTGATTCATCAACAACTCGGAACAGCAGCAATAAAGAAAGGCGGCCTAAGACGAACCGCGTCGAGACAAAATCAGAGCTTCCGGATCATCTAGCCATTCGAGGTTTTATAAACGAGGAGTTGTTCTTGAAGAACTTCTTGCTGAAGCGAAAGGAATCCCAACAGTTCAAGACTCTAGCGATTGTGGGGAAATTCGGAGTTGGGAAAACGACATTGTGTCAATCTGTGTTTAAAGACGAAGACGTGAAGCGAGCTTATCTACCGAGGATATGGGTGTCTATGTACAGCGAAGAAACAAAAGAAGATGAAGATCCAAAGATAGCTGTGGTGAAGAGAATCTTGAGATCGCTTGGAGTCGAAGATGAGATGTTGGAACACATCAAAACGGACGCAAAAGAAGATAATAGTGGCAAAGTTGAAGCAGGGGAAGAGACGGATGAAGAGAAGCAGCTCTCTGGATTATTGCATGCTCTTAACTCGAATCTGGTTGGGAAGAAGTATCTGATCGTGCTGGACGATGTTTGGGAGGATAACCAGTGGAATCAGAGGCTCGATGATGGGAAGGTTCAGCAGGAAAAGTCGCATCTTTCTTGTGGGTTTCCTAAAGGGTTTGGTGGGAGAGTGATTGTGACAAGCAGAGACGAGAAGCTGGCGAAGAAGATAGTCGGAGAAGAAGAGAACCTGCAGCGTTTGTTCCCGAGATCCGATCCAGAGAGCGTGTGGGAGATTTACAGTGATGCAGTTGAAACAACAATGAAAGTGGTTCCGAGGTATCCAGTGAGATTCAAACAAGAACTTATGGATAAGTCTTGTGGTGTTCCTTGGGCTGCTCAAATGCTGGCGAAGAAAAGTCCTGTGAAAGTGGATGAAGGAGATGACATGTAGAAAAGCTTGTGTAAACTTGTAAAGCCAATGTATATGTGAATTTATCTACTCTAATCTAAGTAAACATTTGAAGATTATTACTATTTAAAATTTTATTTATTATCCTAGTAACTGTTGTACGTGTGACTTACTGGAATGTAAACCAGTATTTGAAAATAAAGAACATGAAGAGTTTCACTACAAGATTCCTGAAATTCTAAGATAATATTTTGTCAAATACATATATGGTTCACTTCTCTAACAATCATATCTCAAAACCGCGGAGAGTTATAAGAAAATGTGCTTTCTTCAGTAAGGACTATAGAATAAATAATTTTGATCTTAACAGACATATATTGTTTTATAGGTGATTGGTTATTTTATAACAAAATTGAGATAATCACTACATGACTGTTACAGTCGATTCAGTGATCAAATATGCATCTTTTAAGTCACCAGATTTCGATTTCGAATAAAAAAATTAATGGTGCTTTAAAATACTTTCACTACTGGAGGAAGTAATGAGTCAGTGTGATAGAATACTAATTTCCTTACAGCTTAAGAGAAGTTGTACATTCTTCTCCAATATATTAAGTTAAAGATCTATACCTTTAATTACTTTTTTTATAAATGTGTATCACATGATCACGAAACACAACTAGGGCCAGGCAATAACTGTGTTCAGCATGTAACTTTTTTTGTTTGTAATAAGAAAAGCTTAGCCTTTGCTTGTGTAGTAAACAATTCCAAAATCCATTGTTACACTTGCACACTCCCAATAAGATTGTTACTATGAAATCGTAAGGTTGAATTTTTAGGAAGAATATAATATTTATACTTGGCGTTTTTGTTTTGAACAGAATAATTGTTATCTAAATTGAGAAGGAAAATTGTTGTTTTATAAAAAGTAGGATAACTTTACATGCAAGTCACTGGAGATGGAATTGTATAAATACGTGAATCAATCAACGAGGGGTTAGCAAAACAAAAGAAAACAAAATACAAAGAAAATCAATTTGATCAGGCTTTTGAACAAGTAAGCTTCTTCTTCATATTTTCACGATGTTATAGTTTTATTTGATTTATAAATGTCTGGCATCAGTTTTGAATTTTCTTATTATTAATTAGTTTTTTTTTTCTTCTATCGTTTCCTTCTTACAATTGTCATATATTGTGTGGCTCTCTGTCTGAATAATTATGTAAATAATTAAAATGATTCTGATTGATCAAGCTGGCAACAAACACCTAATAAGTTAGTTTCTTCAAAATAAGGTTACTATCATAATAGTGATATCTTCTTTAATTATTTTCTGGATCAGCTTAGTAAACTAGCTAGGGTTTAAATCTTCTTCTTTTTTTCTAGAAATGGACAAGCAAGAGAAGAAAGATGAGATGATCATCAGAGAAGAGATTTTCAAGAAGATAATGATATCGTTGGGAGAAGACGGTACACCTTCAAGAACTGTCCTCGTTGGTGAAGCTGGTGTAGGGAAGACATGGCTTGCAGAGAAAGTCAGCAAGCATGTAACGCAAGAAATCACTCCTGGTTACAATGTCCTCTGGTTACATCTGAACAAAAGAATTGGAGACGAGAAGACCCTTTACGAGAATCTTGCTTCTCAGTTATCGTTATTTCCCGAGTTTGAAGAAGGCGAAGAACATACTGAGGTTGATGATTCATTGAAGAGCATGAAGTTGAAGATAAAAGAAAAGATCATCAAGAAGAAGACTCTTCTGTTGATTCTGGATGATGAAGGAAAGATGACAAAAGAAGACGATGTGATGAAAGAGTTAAAGCTCCGAGACTTTCTCGAGACGAAACACACAATCTTAAAGACTCTAGTCATAAAAGGAGAGGAAAGAAAGGAGGAAGGGTCGACCAAAACGATCAAAGTCGATCCCCTAACAGAAGAAGAGTCACTCTACTTCCTCCGCGATTATCAGCGCTTACTTGAGTCGTATACCACTGAAGAATGGCAGGTTTTGCTGCAGAACCTTCACGATAATGGAGAGATCGAGGAAGCTACTTTGATGTCTTGCATCGCTAGAAAGAGCAAGGGGTTACCGGCTGCACTTGTTGTCTTAACTAAGTCTTTAAACAGCATAGAGTCGCTGTCTCCAAAACAGAGAAAGATCTTCAAAGAACTGATTCTATCCCCCAAGTCACTAGACGCAGCAGCTGCTTCCAAAAACGCTATAGAACACAGCCGTTACAATCCTGTCTTGCGTTTAAGCTACGAGCTGTTGAAGCCTGAAGGGGATGTCAAAAGTCCGGTCATTGCTTGCTTTTGGCATGTCCTAGACTTCTACAAGCACTGTGGATGCGCTTACTACCGCGACCTAATCGTGCACTGGATGCTTGAAGGGTATTTTGATCCGGTGAAGTCGGTCGAGAAAGCTTATAACGAAGGACATTCCATTCTAATGCAGTTTATGAACAGAGGAATCTTGAAGATACAAGAAGACAACATGGTGGTTCCAGAGATGTCTATGAGCAATCTGTTAGATCTTCAAGATTGTGGATTCTTCGGCAGATCTTGTCTTGGATTCAACAGAGTGTACGGTGGAGACAAGGCTAAAGGCCTCGGGAGAATCATCTTGATCGACGATATGATCCAGACGATTCAATCCAAGAAGAAGAAGAACATCAAGACTATCATCGTCAGCGGAAACCGTTTACGCAGAGAGGTCCATCATAAGTTCTTTGAAAAACAAGAGATGCAAGATCTTGAAGTTGTTGTCCTCTTTGATCCAACGTTTGAAGATCTTGTTCAGTCTTTATCTAAGCTGACGAAACTTCGGGTACTCGTGATTAGAGACTGCGATCTAATCAAAGACATCAACGAGCTCAGGGGTCTTCAAGGCCTACACGTTCTTGAAGTCTCTGGTGCAAGTTATCTAGCTAAGATCGACGATGAGTTTTTCAGGAACATGACTCAGCTGCAAAGTCTTAACCTCTCGGGGCTTCCAATAGAATCTTCGCCTTACACAATCGAAAACCTAAGCATGCTCCGTTGCTTCATCGTAAGAGACTGCCCCAAGCTACAAGACCTTCCTAACTTCAACGTGGCAACAAAGGAGCTAGAAGTCATCGACATTCGTGGAGCTCGGGACCTCAGATCTTACTTCGACAGAGTTCAAAATTGGAGAGACTACAAAGGCAAGAACAAGAACTTCGCTCATCTTCGGAAGCTCGAACACTTGGACTTCTCCGGAACTCAAATCATTCGTCTACCCATATTTCATCTCAAAGACTATACTCACGATTTCAGCACTATGCCAGCCTTGACCCGTCTCTTGCTTCGAGACTGTACAGAGCTTAAGAGGCTACCACAGCTCAGGCCCTTGACTAAACTCCTGGTTCTTGATGTCTCTGGTGCAAAGAAGCTAGTGGAGATGCTTGAAGTGTGCTTAGAGGAGAAGAAAGAGCTTAGGATCCTTGATATCTCAGAGACGATTCTTCCCGAGCTAGCAGACACGATCAACGATGTCAGCAATCTCAACCAGCTTCTGATAAGGAACTGCTCCATGATGAAAGAGCTTCCGAGCATTGAGAAGCTAACACACCTCGAGGTCTTTGATGTTTCCGGATGCAAGCAGTTGGAGAAGATCGATGGATCCTTTGGGAACATGTCTTTCCTCCACAATGTGAATCTTTCGGGAACGAGTCTCGGTGAGTTACCTAAGCAAATCTCAGAGCTATCTAGCATCAAAAAGCTCATCGTAAGAAACTGTTCCAAGCTGATGGAACTTCCAAATCTTGAGAAGCTGATACATCTTGAGATCTTTGATGTTTCTGGCTGCACCGTGCTGGAGAAGATCGAGGGATCGTTCGAGGATATGTCTTACCTTCGCGAGGTGAATCTCTCTGGGACTAAACTCGAAGCGTTTCCAGAGTTACCGAAACAAAGCATCCTCCGTTCTTCAAAACGCATCGTTCTCGCGGACTCGAGGTGCTTAGAGAAAGACGAGTGGAGCCAGATAAAGGAGTGTTTAGCAATGAAGCCAGAAGGCTCTAGCGTCTCTAATCTACCAGAGAAACCCCCCGAGAAGCTTGTTCATCACGGCAACAGATACAGAGTTCTTGATCCTGAAGTTCCTTTGGATATCGAAATCGTTGATACCAACAAATCAATGGAACTTGGAAAAGAGTATATATCAAAAGCAGAGTATGTCTCTGTTTCAGAGAATGAATCCGAAAACGTATCTTTGATCTTCCGCGATTTTCAGATGAGATCGGTAAAAGGTTGTTGGGTAGAGAGGTGCAAGAAGATGGAGAATCTCTTCGCGTCAGGTGAGAAACAAGATAACGAGATACCATCATCGTCATCATTGGAGACTCTTTGGATCTCGAGTCTTCCATTGCTCAAAAGACTAGACAGTGGTAATGAAGGTTCCGTCTTCAAGAACCTTAAGAAGCTAAGCATAGACTGTTGTCGAAGCATCGAATGGATTTTCCCGAGAGCTTCTCAACTTCCTGAGAAGCTTGAGATTCTCCGTGTGAAGTTTTGTGATAATCTGAAGAGATTGTTTGAAGAAGAAGTAGGAGAGTTACCGAATCTTGGCAAGCTCTACCTTTTTGAATTGCCTGTTTTGTCGTCGGATGGTGTTAAGTTTCCGAATCTGGACAAATACACAAGTGAGAAATGTCCGAATTTCAAAGCTACACTTGAGGAACTGAAGCAAGGAACAAAGAAAACTGAAGAAATTTCAAATGATCAGCCTCACAAGTAAGTAAACCTAATAAGCACTCAAATTCTGTTTTCACACTCACTAACATCTGTTACTCGGTGCAGGAGTATTGGGCCTGAAATTCAAACTTCTACTCAGCCCACAAAACTATAGGCCCAATTCAGCAACAGCACAAAAGCTCCCACTTAAGCCCCATAATCTTTACTCTCTCTCCGTTCTTCCTTCATACGATGAGGATGAAAGTCGAAATTTCCAATGATTTATGGTTGAAAACTAATGACTTCTCACTAGAATTGTCTAATTTTTTTTTTTTTTTTGGTCAAACTAGAATTGTCTAAATAATCTTCAAAAGTCATGAACTTCTGTTAGAGCATGTAAATACAAAACTTTAAAATAATGTTCACTTTGTGGTGTTTATGTAAAATCTTAAGAAAAAAAAAATGAAATGTTTATTTATTGTAATAGTTCCCTCGTGTTTTGGTCTGCGATTGTAAAATTTACGCAGACAGACAAAGAACATTGCCATATTAAAACGATTTTTGTCAAAACGATTCAAGTTCGTCCCTCTCTCTCTTCCGATTACGCAATGAGCCTGTTCGGGCTGGGAAGGTGAATTACTGATTCCTCTGCGTATTTTTTATCTCAATATATTGTGGGGTTTCGATTGTGTGTTATCTCAGATCTTTCGAATATTTACTCCTAATTTGTTTCTATATCGTTCGGAATCAATCAAATACATTATATCGAAACTGATAATCCTCAATTTTGAGCACGAGGATCTCAATTTCTTGATTTCTGTGGATTGCTGAGTAAAGTTTTGTGTTTCACTTTCACATGCCTTGACATAACCTTGTGAATTTTGATCCACCATTTACTGAGTTTATACGAATTGTGGATCGGTTTCACACACATACGATTAGTCATTAGAGTTCTATGAGTATACTGTTAATTTGTGTATTTGAGCTTATTGGAAAACAGTTGAGTATTGCTTGTTCATGTTGGATGGATCCAGGGAAAAAAAGTTGGAGAATTTGTCATTGTTCTCGTCACAAAACCTTGTTGTAGATAATGTAAAGTTTGCTTATTTATAGGATGTCGATGAATTTGTCTGATTAATATCTCGTTTTTGTTGTATGTTCATTGCTTAGAAATCAAAAGACTTTCCGTCCTAAAAAGAGCGCAACATCAGGAACCAAGGTTTGTAGTTATCATTTGACTCTGCTTCTTTTAACCATGATTCATGTTTTTTTTTTGGTAGCCTTATAAACCGTTTGATTCTCGTCTCGCTTAGGGAGCACAGCTTCGAAAGCATATAGATGCAACTTTAGGTAGCGGGAATCTTAGAGAAGCCGTGAAACTTCCTCCAGGAGAGGATTTAAACGAATGGCTTGCAGTCAACAGTGAGCTCAAACCATTACCCACCACTCTCTTTTTTTTTTTCTAATCTCATGGTTTCGCTATTACCTCTCTGTTGATTCAGTTTTGTTTTCTTCAGCTGTGGATTTCTTTAATCAGGTGAATCTGTTATTTGGTACACTCACCGAGTTTTGCACTCCGGAGAACTGTTCTACAATGACTGCTGGTCCCAAGTATATTAGCTTTTTTTATCTCTTCCTTCATTCCATTAAGTAATTGTCGGTGTTAGTGATTGAAAATAGTAATGATTCTTGATCACTGTTTTGTTTTTTCTTGAGATCTTGAATACTAAAACCTTGAAAACTGCTGGAGCGATATATCTTCCTCATTCATGGTTATAGAATCCAAAATGTGTTACGTTCTGGTTTATATCACTCAAAATGCTATCATCTAAGCCATCTAAGTTAATCAGTTTAGGTTATATCAGTTACGTTCAACTTCTATACACCCTGAATAAGATATTATAACCTTGTACAGTCTGATATTCTTCAAATTGGTTTTGGGATTTGCTTAGATATGATTTTCATTTCCCTGCAATTGCTTTCTGTTAAAACACTCAATGCATGAGAATGTGGAAAAGAGTTACTATATTGAGATTATTGCGATGAGTAACTTCTCGATTTGATCTGAAACCGTTTCTTCATTGATGAGATGCATCGGCTCGGCTGTAATGTTTCAGGTACGAATACAGGTGGGCAGATGGTGTACAGATCAAGAAGCCTATAGAGGTTTCGGCTCCAAAGTATGTTGAATACTTAATGGATTGGATCGAGACTCAACTCGATGACGAGTCCATATTTCCTCAAAGACTCGGTAAATAACTTACAAATGGCTTTGATAAGTATGGATAAAGAGATTATTGGTCTCTTATTTGGTGTGAATTTTTTTACAGGTGCGGCTTTTCCTCCAAACTTTAGGGAAGTGGTGGAGACAATCTTCAAACGACTGTTCCGAGTTTACGCACACATTTACCACTCTCATTTCCAGAAAATCGTTAGCCTCAAAGAGGAAGCTCATCTCAACACTTGCTTCAAACACTTCATCCTCTTCACTCATGTATTATACTATATACTAATAAACTCTCTTTTATTAACTCATCACTAATCTCCATTTTAAATCAGTTATCAGTTACTGAGTTTTTGTTAATTTGGTTTTTGCAGGAGTTTATTCTCATTGACAAGAAAGAACTCGCTCCTCTTCAAGAGCTCATAGAATCTATCATTGCTCCTTACTAAAACCAAATTCTCTGTCCCAATACAGTGACATTTGTCTTCTTTTTTTCAGAAATTCTTGGTAATAAGTTTTAACCCCAACTGTAAAAATCTTCCACTGTTGTTTCTGTTTGTAAAACCGAAAAATGAAAAATGAGATTTGGTGCTACTTCTCTACTTATGAGGTGGTGGTGTGTAATTTTCCAGAACAAGCACTTACTTAAAAATTAAAATCAAAGAATCATACGTCAGCCAATAATTGTAGTCCACGTGTATGTGGTTAGCACGTCAGCAATCTTGTACATACGTCGTCGGTTTCTTATCTGCCTAAAGGAATAAGTTCGCCGTCACTGAGGTGAGAGACCTTGAATGGATTGCTTTGTCAGCTACGTACATGACGACAAATTGAAAATGTGAGTTTTGAACTGATTAGGCATGACTTAACTATTAAATTTAAAAATTAGTGACGGGTCAATTAATATCCAGTTGTAATTGTGAATTGTTTGTTTGTTCAACAGACTTAACTTACGTATTTGGCGTGATTAGTTTATTTTACTAAAAATTAAATTTTTTTCTCATTAAGTTTAGATATTTCTCTCTCTACTGTTTTTATTCCTATAAGCTTTCGATTTTCTAATTTTGTCAAAGTTGAATCGCTTTCTCTTGTTTTTCGTCGTGTGGAAAAAATCTGATTGTTTTTCGGAATTTTGAACTTTGCGAGCTCCTAAATCCTCGCTATCGCAGATATCTTAAACCAGATTCCGGCGCCGGAGCGCCGATGAACAATCAGGTCATTTAGTAATTCGATGATCTCCCGCGGAAATACACAGTTCCGATTTCGATCGTAAGGTTCGATTTCCGTGGGGAAGTTTGTGCCCCTGATTTGTTCGTCCGGTGGTTAATTAATTCTGGGGAAGGAGTCTGGGAAGCAAACAATGTCTAAGGTCGTGTACGAAGGCTGGATGGTTAGGTATGGAAGGAGGAAGATCGGACGATCGTATATTCATATGAGGTATTTCGTGTTAGAGCCTCGTCTTTTGGCGTATTACAAGAAGAAGCCGCAGGATTATCAGGTGAACCAATTTGTTTCCAACTCTTAAAACCTTATACCTGCTTGGATTGTTTATTTGCTTGTTTTGAGTAGGTTTCTGTCGTTTTCAACTTTCCCTTTGGCTGATCTGGTAGATTTCTTAGAGGAGAGTTGAACTTTTTTACTGGATTTCCAAATATGTTTGTGAGATAGTAACTGTACTGTGCAAGGCATTATGCTAAAGGAAAAGAGGTTGAGCCTTTGCTGTTTTTGTTCTCTTTGCCACTGTTTGTATTTTTGTTTGCTATGTGCTGGAGATGCCATTTGAGTTTCTGGGTTTTCTTTGTGAATATGGGTGAGAGAGGCTTATGCTGAATGATGATTTCTACATGTGGAAATAGGTTCCTATCAAGACCATGTTAATTGATGGTAACTGCAGAGTTGAGGATCGAGGCTTGAAGACACACCATGGACATGTGAGTTTTATTATACACTTTCTTGTAAACATATGATAGACACATGTTGATAAAGTGTATATTATATAGATTCCAGGGTTTAATGAATTTAATTAGAGGAATCATTTTAACGTTGTTTAAGGGCAGCTTTCCCACTATAGTTCCAATCTCTTTCCGCATGAGAAAGACATTGTTGTGAATCAATTGATGGTTTTTTGCTTGTCAAGTTAATTTTCTCTTGTCATATGACTTTGACTGTACTATCACTTATGCCTTTACAATTTTTTTTATGTGCTTGCCAACTCTATTCTGCAGATGGTTTACGTGTTGTCTGTCTATAACAAGAAAGAAAAGAACCATAGAATAACGGTATCTTGTCTCTACTTCTAAAAATAGCTAACACTAGCTTTACCTTGTTACTTGGCAATTTCTTGCGTCGCGATAGTTAATATGGAGTAGTATATTCATGCTAGATGGCAGCGTTTAACATCCAGGAAGCACTAATGTGGAAGGAGAAAATTGAGTCTGTTATAGACCAGGTTTGTCATATGTCTGCCAACCCCCAAATCACGAAATTTCCTGCCATTTTGTTATTTATTTAGTATTCACTGTCTAAACTTGCGTAGATTGGTGCTTTATCTGATAATCTCACTGAGTTTTGCACTGGTGCAGCATCAAGAGTCCCAAGTTCCAAATGGTCAGCAATATATTTCGTTCGAATATAAGTCTGGAATGGATACTGGAAGGACTGCTTCATCTTCAGATCATGAAAGCCAGTGAGTTCCTATCTGATATGATTTCTCTGTCTCTACTGGCATGTTGATTCAATTTACCAACAACTCACTGGTTCAGGAAAAGCTTATAGGATATTTCTGACTTTAGCATCAGTTCCCTTTATGGAATAATGCTCTGATTACTCTCTTCGTGCTTGATGGATGACCGTCCATATTTTTCTAAATAAGTGGTTTGTGGCGGCCTAATTATGAAATTAACTTGAAAAAGTGTTAGTTATCTTGTTAAATAACAAACTTTGGAAGTCAACTAACAATCCTAATCTGAGTATTAACATTTCTGCAAATCGGCTGCCTCGTTTTGAGCCATTATAAGTATAATACAAATGCCGGAAGTTGCTAACAAAGTGTTGAATGTTATAAGTGACCAGTGTTGTTTAAGATATCACTCCTTTCGATTTTTGTCACTATTTTGTTGATTGTTTTTACTTTAATATGCATATAGTTATGCAAAAAATATCTGCAATTTTCTTCAGGTTCAGTGCACCAGAGGATGAAGATGACTCTCGACGTAGTTTAAGGAGGAGGACGACTATTGGAAATGGTTCTTTTCGAATTCAACTATTCATGCACTAGTTTGGTCAGCTGCAATCTGGTTGTAATCTAATCACCGCATACAAATGCGCAGGTCCTCCGGAATCTGTACTTGACTGGACTAAGGAGTTTGATGCAGAGTTGGCGAGCCAGAATTCTGATAACCAAGCTTTCTCGAGAAAACACTGGCGTCTACTTCAGTGCCAAAATGGTTAGTGTTTTTTCAGGGTAGAACAGGCTGCCACTTCTGCAATGCAACATAGTTTACTATTTTCCCCTGCTGAATCACAAACAAAAGATACCTTATCTGGAACCCGTTGCTCTCCTTAGTTATTTGCTATAGGAACTGGAAGATTTCTTTGAAGGAGAGAGCTAGAACGTGGCCTTAATCTTCTTTGTTTTTGTTTTTCTATACTTTTGGCAGGTCTTCGGATTTTTGAAGAGCTTCTTGAAGTTGATTATCTTGTATGGAAGTTTCTGCTAGCTTGTTGATTACATAGAAACTTTATATTGACAAGAACCCTCATTTACAGTGCTACTGCTTGTGCAGCCAAGAAGCTGTAGCAGGGCAATGAAAGCTGTTGGTGTAGTGGAGGCAACATGTGAGGAAGTATTCGAACTTGTGATGAGCATGGATGGCACTCGTTATGAGTAGGTGTTTCTCAACTGTTTTTCCATTCAGTTTCAGTTTGTAGGCATGGTCTGCACTGTGTTCATTTTTCTTCATTTCGTTGCAGTTAGGCACTATTGTATGGAAAATCTGTTAAAGATTTCCTTGTATTGCATTGCGTTGTGTTTCGTGTTGGCTCTGTATCGTTCTGTTTCTTTCTTTGTAAAGTAATGTCTCTTGCCCAAAATTTATATATCTATAGTATGCATCCAGTTTTATTCTAGTGTTATGGTCAGTATCTGAAGTTATTTATGTTCCTCTTTTGTCCTGTTTGATGCAGGTGGGACTGCAGCTTTATGTATGGCAGCTTAGTGGAAGAGGTGGATGGTCACACAGCAGTGCTCTATCACAGACTTTTGCTCGACTGGTTTCCAATGTAAAGCTGCACCTGAAACATTATCGTTTAGTTACAGTCACACCTTCTGCAGTTAATCTTTTAAGGGCTGACAAGTAATAATTTGATTCCAACTGAATTAGATCCTATTGCTACATCCTTAGCCGAGTAGACTCAGTTGTCCCGAAGGGCCTAGGTTGTATGCAGAGAATGTATTTGATTTCGTCTAACTTGATGCCATGCTGATAAAGACTGATTACGGGGAAAACAGTTCAGGATTATTGTTATGGTTGTTGTCATTTGTGATCTTCCAGCTTCTAGTCAGAATATTACGTTGCTGTTTCCATAAGCTCTGTTTTATCGTAATTATTATATCAAATTTATCCAGGGTTGTGTGGCCTCGTGACCTCTGTTATGTCCGCTATTGGCGCCGTAATGACGATGGGAGCTATGGTATCTTCCTTTTCTCTTTACTCATTCTAGAATCTGGAAAGTTAGTTTATATAGCTAGTTGGTTATTTATCTTAGCTCTTTCTGTGAAGTTGTGTTGTTCCGTTCTAGGGAGCATGAGAATTGTGGTCCACAACCTGGATGCGTTCGGGCTCATCTTGAGAGTAAGTTTAGGAAACTAAACGGTTCTAAGCGCTTAATAAATTTGTTTAGTCTTTGTTGTATCTTCTAACCTAGGCTTTTTTTTCTTTTCTCTAAGGTGGAGGATATAATATTGCCCCACTAAAGCCCCGTAATGGGAGGCCTAGAACACAAGTGCAACATCTAATACAAATTGATCTAAAAGGGTGGGGTGCAGGCTATCTTCCAGCATTTCAACAACATTGTCTTCTTCAAATGCTGAATAGTGTTGCTGGTAAGTTCTTTCATGGTCCCTTTCCACTGGCTTCTTCGGTCTTGCGGAAAAATGAATTCTACTGGCTACTTAATATTATCCGTCGTAATTCATGTTGCTCTGGTCATCACAGGTTTGCGGGAATGGTTTTCACAGACAGATGAGAGAGGTGTTCATACCCGGATCCCTGTCATGGTTAATATGGCATCATCTTCCTTGACTTTGAGTAAGAGTGGAAAGTCTCTGCATCAGTCTGCCTTTTCTCTTGATCAAACAAATTCTACCAACAGAAATTCCGTGCTCATGGATGAAGACTCAGATGATGATGATGAATTTCAGATCGCTGACTCAGAACAAGAGGTTTGAAATCGAGTATTTTGAATTCTATTCTTACACAGCATCTGGAGTTGAATCATCATTCTTATGTAATTTACTATTTCAGCCTGAAACAAGTAAAACAGAGACCGACGTCAAGAAAAAAGGTGAGCACGCTATCATTAAGTACAAAAATCCTACTCGTGTCAATGAAGATATCTAATAGCAATTTCTTATGTGATTTGAAACTTCAGAAGAAGAACCTTCTCACAACATTGATCTGTCATGCTTCTCGGGTAACCTAAAGCGCAATGAAAATGAAAATGCCCGTAACTGCTGGAGGACTTCTGACGGGAACAACTTCAAAGTTCGTAGCAAGAGTTTTTTCAGTGGCGATAAAAGGAAGGTCGGTAAACCTTTCGTCTTACCAATTTAGAATGGTTGGGTCCTTACATCCGGCTAACGTGTGTTCCTGTTTATGCTATACTGAAGATTCCTGCTGGGAAGCATCTTATGGATCTCGTTGCTGTCGATTGGTTCAAAGACAGTAGAAGAATAGATCACGTGGCTAGACGTAAGGGCTGTGCAGCACAAGTAAGATATATTCCAACTTGACTTTTGTATAATTTCCTTTTACTATCTTAATCAGATCTTCAAACTCTTCTCATGCTATTCTCTTGTTTGTGGATTCATCTTATCGCTTAGAAAGCTCCACGAAAGATTATTAAGCTTTTTGATATATATATTCAGGTTGCTGCAGAGAAAGGTCTATTCTCAATGGTGGTTAATGTTCAAGTAAGTTTTGCCCATCAAACTGTTTATTAAAATTCAGAAGATAATGGACGAAACCACAAAAAATTTAGCTACGTTTAAAACCATTTTTTATAGGTTCCCGGGTCAACACATTACAGTATGGTGTTTTATTTTGTGTCGAAAGAACTCGTACCAGGGTCCCTATTGCAACGATTTGTGGATGGTGATGATGAATTCCGAAATAGTAGGCTAAAGCTTATACCTTTAGTTCCTAAGGTATGTGCTTCACTCTCTTTATCTGCAAGTATATTCACATTATTTTCCGTGTATAACCGAAATCTACACAGGGCTCATGGATAGTACGGCAAAGCGTGGGAAGCACCCCATGTCTCCTTGGGAAAGCAGTGGACTGCAACTACATTCGTGGCCCAACATACTTAGAAGTGAGTAAAGGTGTATAGTGTTGAATTTGAAGCTCTCTGAAACCATTAATAACTCATTGTGTCCGTGTATATAGATCGACGTGGATATCGGTTCATCAACAGTTGCAAATGGAGTTCTGGGGCTCGTCATTGGTGTTATCACATCGTTGGTTGTCGAAATGGCTTTCCTTGTACAGGTAAATTGATCGGCAAACAGAGACATAATATTATAGGTTTTGCTCAAGTAGTTGGGGTTATTGTAATGTAACCAAACAAACAAGTCTGGTTCGGTTTTTGCAGGCAAATACACCGGAAGAATTGCCGGAGCGGCTTATCGGTGCGGTTCGGGTTTCGCATATAGAGCTCTCTTCGGCTATAACTCCGAATCTGGAGTCAGAATAAATAGTGTGTATGACTCCTTAAAATCTCTTCAGAAATTACCATCAAACTTCATATAGTCACATAAAAGTGCTTGTTGGTTCTTTGGAACATTCACTATTTCAATTCTTTATCTTGTCTTCTTCTTTTCTGATTCCTTTTCTCGTTGTATCAATACATCTTTTCATTATTTTTTGTAATATCAAATGAAAGTGAAAAAATAGTTTGATATATATCTCTTTTACATTGCGCCAATAACGTCACAAGATTGGCGACAAGATATAGATGAGGTCATTGGAGCCATATAGAGTCATTAGTTTGCCACAGTCCTTGATGTGATTATGTTTCGAATTTCTCGGTGCAACGCCGTGGTTCAAATGAAGCCTCGTGAGGAAGTAATGGTAACACTAGAAGTCTCTATTGGGGAATGGTTTCTTGTAGCTGAAGGTAACTTGAATGAGAAAAGTTCTGTGGAAGAATGATAACATGCTCGTCACGGGCTAGACCACGAAAGGCCATACCAAGAGAATAACCCAAAGCACGAGAAACCGAGACAGCCACTGCATTTCCAATCTGGCAATACCTGCACAAATTGAAAAACAGTGAGTGAGATTTTGCTTAGTAATCTGAAAAGTAACTATTGTCTCTAGTCTTTAGATTTTTGTCTAAAAGTAACACACAAGAGTAAGTAGTACCTTTCTTTAACGGTTCCACGGAACTGGAAGTAATCAGGGAAACCTTGAAGCCGTGCGCATTCTCTTATGGTTAATATTCGATCTTGCTCTGGATGCAACAACGCCTGTAAAATAGCAAAACTCTTAAAAGAATGTTGAGAAGATAAAAGATGGATTCAAGTGAAAAACTGCAGAGTGGTTTCAAGCAGACCTGATTGTGGCAGCTCGGGACTGTTAGAACGGTCGGAACTGTTTCGTCCCACCAAAGACGCGCAAACGGTCTGCGAATTTAGAAAATCCAGAGACTTTAAAAGCATTGAAAGGTTCAACAATAAGTTTCAGGTGGAGGAGGTCAAGAGAATACATACCTTTTAGATTTCCCTTGCTGAAAATTGAAAACGTAGGCTGGTACCTAAAAAGGGCCACAAAACGTAGGCTGATTCAATATACATATTTATATTTTTTTGAAATTTCGAGAACTGTTGAATCAGCATATACTTAACAAGTAGAAGTAACCGGACTAATATTAGTGTGTAGTTTCAGCTATAACTCATGTATACTTCATATAAGAGGAGTCTTTACCAAAGCCCTTCCTGATGGCAGAATGACTGGATTCATTGATGGATCACGGCAGACTGTGTTGTCGTTTCTGACAATTAAACCTGGAAGATCCCTGAAATTTGCTCCCTGCAAACTTGTCTACAGTGAGAATCTTGTGGCTGGAGGAGGTATCAGAATTGTTTATTAGTAGAAAGAACTGTGTACCTTCCTCCTTGGGATTTGACAAACTCGTGCGTAATCATCTTCAGACATATAGAAGGGCCTGTGATCATGCAGCAGCATCGTCCTTTTCGTACACTTACCAACTGCAGAGCCTGTCATATCTGACAAAGCAAAACACTATAGTCTGAGTAACATATGGTATATGCAAGTGAGTGGCCATGTCCTGTAACTACGTCACACTCCAGACAAAATGCTGTGAAAGAGATTGTAACTACAGAAAATCCAGATGGTTCAGCTTACCGTGTTTGGTTGATCTAATGTATTTCTGGAAATTTGTCTCTGGGAAACTTTCATAAGGCATATTTTCCCGGACTTCATCATTTGACACCTAGAGTTGTGAAATGAAACAACATTATAAATATATAGGTATAACTCTGAATTGCAGATGGATCTAGTGGATATGAAACTTACATGAGGAAGATCTGATATCGCATCTTTTAGAACAAGAGCTTTTTCAAGTTTTCTAGGTTGGCCTTCAGTATAAGCAACTACATTCCGCTGAAACATGAAAGCCAATATGGGTTAAGTTGGGAGAATCAACATGGCCAAGGCAAGGAGTATGAAGTAATCACCAATCTACAATTATATTACCTCGAACTCAAGTGGAAGCCCGTATCTGACAATAACATCATGGGATGGAAGCGGAAATGGAGGTAAGTTCTGAAATGAAATACCAAATCATTTTAAGTATGAAACACTCAGCTAAAGTTAAGTTGAAATCAGGCCTATAAACTCACATTGTTTAGATCAGCTCCCCACATGAAAACTCGGGAACGGAATTGTGAAAGACCATAGCAACCAGCAGTCATGATACCTAGCCTTGCTTGGTATCTCAGGTGCACAAGACGGCTCAAAGCGTATCTCCCAAGAGAACCTTTGTCCAAACGAAGAATATCAACAACATTTTCCATCAACACGAATGCGGGTTTCAGATACTCCACTATGTCCATGAAAACTATAATTTGCTGATTCCTTTCATCAGTCAACGGAGAATCAACATTCCTGAAGCGGTTATAGCCACTGATTCCTTGGCATGGAGGTCCCCCACATATCACACCAACACCGCCCTGGATTACATTCAGTTACAGCGTTATCTGAATTTTCAGGATGATAAGATGTTGATGGTACAATCATACAAATTTGAAAAATCAAGCATTCAATTTAGAGGCAAGAAAACAAATCTTACAGGAAGGGGCAAGATCTTAGCCTTGAATCCACTTGTAACAAACTCCCGCATGGCATCTTGACAATTGCTAAAATTTCAAATAATATATATTAGATCAAGATAACAGCAGATACCCTTTTTAACATTATTTGAAGGCATATACCTCAGTTCCGCTGCTGGCTCCCAACTATCTTCGTTGCTGCTGTATCCTTTCCAGTGTACCTAATGAAAGAGCCATGAGCATAACGTCATCTTCAAAAATCTACAACGTCATAAAAGAGAACCAAGACATGCAGAATATCCATCTTGGAAATTCCATACGGTGCAACGAACATTCTTAAAACCCTAAGAAGTAAGGTTCGAATCAACAACAATATTCCATCATAGGGAATCTTGCCATACCTTAAACTTCAAGCCATATTCTCCGGTATTGTCAGGATCACCATAACATATGTCCACCAGCTTTTCAACTTCGTACTCCTCAGGTTCTGAATCATCACGTGAAGACCTACTTTCAGTGGCTTCTCTTTTTGAATTTACGGATCTCAATGTATCAGTTGTCTGATCATTACTAAACACATAGCGCTTGCATAATTTATCCCACTCCTTCAAAAGTAGGAGGAAGTCTCCAGCAGCATCATTCCTAACCTGCAAACAAAGACAGCATCATTAGATTTGGTATAGTTCTCCAAAAACTGATCTAGCAATTAACACCAAACGTATTCTGACCTGCGTCTGTGGATGGTTCAGTTTCAAACTCTCACAGGCAGCCAAATTCTGGTCAATAGCCCATTTCTGAAAATGACGAATTCAGAATCTAGATATTAAATGAAACTGGGTGCAAAAAGAGCTGTACATCCTAAGTTATAGAGATAAAGATTAATTACTTAAAGCAAGTACCGTCACGACATCAACACCAGAAATCTTGGCTCCAAGACTCAACCCAGTCGACATTCCACCACAACCACTGTAAAGATCAAGCACAGGAAGCTCTTTGCTAAAGAGTTTGTTTTCCAAAAGAGATTCCGTGGATTCCGTAGCTACCACGCCGGCGCAACACTCAAGCTTGTTTTCCGAAGATTGAACTGAAACCAAATAAAGATGAAATAGGCATGCTCAAGCTCCTGTAAATAGGCATTCATAAATTGTGGCATCCCAAGAAATAAAGAAATAAAGAAAAACGAGCTGAATCCGTTTCCAGTTGATTATCCCAAGCTGATTTGTACATATTGATGTATATATTGCTTAGCCAGCATAATCACTTACAATTTCTCAAGGTTTGAAATGTAGAATACTCCACGCAATACTCCATATCAAAATAGAAGTCAGATTTGATGGATTTGGGCTTCAATCCTGCCTGCAAAGTTACGAAACTAATAAAATCAAATGGAGATCGTGTTATATTAAGTACATCTGTTAAAACTGTAAAATGTAAAAAAGGAGTAGCTTGACTCAGCATACCCTAGGTGATACTTGTAAAACAGTAACTTTAGCTATCAGACAGTCTATTGGATTGTCATTCATTACAGTAGAATAAAAGAGACGCCTTGTGTCATGATAAGAAGCCTGCTGTTGCATTACCTACAAACATTAGAAAAATATGAGTAACTTGTTGTCGTAGCGCAAATTATTAAGCAAGCAGAAAGAGAAGAAAGTGAATACATACTGTATCCGTTGCTCTGTAGAACCACTGAACTCGGAAGTAGCTTTCTCCATCTGTTGTCTTAAAAAACTCTACTATCTTGCCAATATGGTTCTCTTCTTCTTCACCCTGTAAAATTAATTATGATGATTCAGGTACTATGTTGGCGATGGACGTTTGATTAGCTACTTATCTTCTTTGCACAAGGGCAAAACATTCTGGACAACCCAAGCCCCTTGAATGGAAAAGTTTGCGTATCCAATGAAAAAAAGCGTAAAGTAGCCAAAGGTCTCCCCGGCTAAACGATGCTTATGGTATTTTTTTGTTTCGCATGACCAGTGCTCCAAGAAAGAGGTTTTCTAGTGACGTCAAGAGCTTTTCCCATGAGTTGAAATAGAAAGTTGTACGGTCTTTCCCCTTATGGAAAAGCAAATAACTTTAGAGGTAGTCTTGAGGCTGATGTGTCTGTTTTAAAAAGCAAAGGAAGTAGTAAATTCCGATATTGTAATATATGATGGGACCAGGTGGAAATTCTTAAGACAGATTCGGAAAGTCTGACTGAGTTGTAGGTGGTAGTCGTAGTAATTGAAGACTTGTTGATTTTGACAAATAAATGTGTTTGTTTTTGCTACTTAGACTTCAATGTGAAGGAATAGTTCAAGACTTAGATGATAGTGTGAGTGCATAGTTCAAAAGTCTCTTGAAGTAGCACAAGACTTAAACTATGTGCTCACACATCTAAATATACCCTCACACTGAATCCAGAAGTCAGTTGAAGTAGCACAAACACATTTATGTGTCAATTCATACAAAACTTTTCGAATCTGTCTTAAGAACTCTCGTGAGGTCCTTATCAAATATTGCAAGTTCTGAATCCACTACTTCTTTTGCTCTCCAATTCATGCACACATGAGCTCTTAAGACTATCTCTAACTTATTTAATCTAGCAGGCTTCCATAAAGGGAAATGCGGTGGTACAATTTTTGAGTTCAACTCTTGAGAAAGTCTCTTGATGTCACAAAAAAAAACATGTTTATTGGAGCAATGGCCATGCGAATACACCATAATCTACGATACTAAAGAAAAGAATACCATAATCATGATAAGCACGTTTTACCTTAATGCGGGCAAAGTCTCCAAGGCTAAAAGTCTGGTTGTCGACTTTTGCTTGCGTATAATGGCATTCCACATTTGCAGCAATCTTGTCTTCGTCATCTCTTCAAAAAGAAACGCTCAGGATTAATAAATGTATAGTAGAACAAACGAAGTATGAAGTAAGAATGTTTTAGAAAAACAGTGAGTTGATAATAACATCTAGTACTTACTCTGACCGTTGGCCTTTACTCTTAGATTTACGTTCCTGAAAATAAATGAAATGAGATCTTCGTTATGTTGGATCTAACAAAGACACTGGTTTATCATGTACGCGCCATTAGACTATGCAATCTATAGACTTTGTAACTCACCAACACAACGATACCTAAAGTAGTAAAGTGCAAAGCAACTAAGCAACTACCTTGAGATCATATCTCCAGCGCCATCTCTCTTGAGCCTCTTCGCAAGGAATTGGCTCTCCAATGAAAGAGAAGTTACTATGTTGATGCTTTTCAAAGACACTAGTACGGGTCACTCGCTCACCCTTTCCCTTGGTTGATTTAGTTGGATCCAATGGTGCGAGCCTCCCGTTTCCCACCGAGGCGATGGTAGATTCAACCGGATTTTGTGCTTTCTTGGCCGGCGGCTCTTCATCGGAGTTAGAGATCACAGTACAATTCTCCATTCCCTTAGTGAATCTTGGAGATCTCCTCGTTCGTTTATCGCTGCCGAGACTCTGGTTACTAGAGTGCTTGATGAGGCTTGAAGATAACGTATCACTCCCAACTTTCCTCTTAGCCGGAACTTGCGATCTACCTTCAGTATTGTTGTTCTTATCTTGGCACTCGGAAACGATCTCCTTCTCTAAGCTCTTGGCAATCGCAGCTATGTCTCTGCATCAATTTTTCACAGACGATTGTTTATTTCTATACCAACCAATCAAACCCAAACAGTTATCTGGAGAAGTATAAATCTAATATCTATCAAATGCGCTGAAGCTTTTACTTACTTGAATGTCATTCCCGCAGAATCTAAGCTTTCCTTCTGCATCAATCCAAAACACAAAAACGGAAATTAGAAAGAAGCGAAGACGACGATTACACGCTAAGCTGCATTGTATTGGGTGGTTAATTACCTTAACGTGAGTACTACTACTCATCTTCTTACTCAACCCAAACTCTCCGGTCACCGATACCGAGCCCACATTATCGATTACTCCATCCTCCGGCGTAAATCTCGGCGACCGCCGAACCTGACAACTGTTCAGCAGCGGCTGCTTACCATGGGAGGAGGACTTGCTTTGCGAGACTCTACCTTCTTCTCCTCCTCCACTCTCTTTAGGCGAACTAAGACTGAGCTTCGTGGATCTCCGACTACTCATTTCTCCCTGTGAGAGCTTCGCGGCTTCTCTACTAGACGGCTGAGCAACTTCTTCAGAAACTCCGGGATTGGGTAACGAGAGGACTAGAGAGAGGCGTTCTGGATCGGATCTAGAAGAAGAATGGGGATCCAATGGAGCTGGGCTTTCCTCTTCTGGCTCACATTTCGCCGGCGATAGCATCGGAGAAGTTGAAAAGAGAGGATACGGGTCCAAGAAATCGCCAAACGGAGAAAAGAAACTGTTAAAAAGTAGGAAATCGAGTGAGTGTGAGTGGAGGAGACTTTTTGCTAACAGACTGTCAGTCTGTCACGTGTCACGTGATCTTCTTGCACTCTTATAAAAAATACGATATGATTTTTTAAATTCTGTATAAAAGTTATTATCTTTTCAATGTACACATATGTTCTACATACACAAGCTACTCACAGCAAATCATTAGCAAGATAATTATAGATCTAGAAAGCTTTGTTGATATTGAAAATCACTCATATGAGTTTAGTTTTTTTTTTTTCAGTTGATTATATTAATGTTCGAAAGAGAATACAATATCCTAAATAAAATAAAATTTCCTCATAAACAAAACCGATAAAATATAAAATTTTCGGAAGACAACATTTCAATCAAAACGTAAAAGTTTGAGAGCCTTATCGTTCTAACCACGATCTTTACTTAAAGAAGTCTGATAACGTTATAACACGTCGAAAGATATAAAAACAGAAGAAATGCAAACAACAAATCGTCTCAAATGAGCTTCATTTAGTGTGAAAGAAAACTAAAAGAGAAAAGATCTATTCAAGAACACCAACCAATACTTAGATTTTGAGATTGATATGAAAGATCTGAAAGATCTAACTGGTGGCTGCTCAATCTGAAACTATAAAACTAGATTCATAAATGTTCAATACAACCATTATATATGCGGAACCACTTACTAGAAAACCTAATAACATAGATTAGATAGGCTTTTCTAATGATAATCACAATTATTATTAGACAAGTCCATCTCAACCTATATTTAGAGTCGGTCTTAATTTTTTACATAAAATTTTATAAAAGAAAATAGCTCACTTTTTTAAAAAAGTTATAAAACAATCTTTTTTTTTTTGCAGATTGTGGCCTTTACAATTTTAAGCCCCGTTCTGAATATGGGTTTAGATGGGCTTGTCTAATAATAGTTGCGATTATCATTAGAAAAGCCTATCTAATCTATGTTATTAGGTTTTCTAGTAAGTGGTTCCATATACAGTAGAACCTTTATAAATTAATATTCGATTTATTAATATCTTGATAAATTAATATTTTTTATCATTCTCAAAATTAGTTTATCAACTAAATAATATATTTATAAATTAATAATCATTATAAATTAATAATTTTTTTATAAACTTTCAAGGTCCCAACATTATTAATTTATAAAAAATTTACTGTATATATATATGATTGTATTGAACATCTATGAATATAATTTTATGGTTGCAGATTGAGCAGCCACCCGTTAGCTCTTTCATATTAATCCTAAAATTTAAGTATTGATTGATGTTTTTGAATAGATCTTTTCTCTTTTCTACAAAAAAAAATGTTGTTTTTTTTATTTTTTAATAGAAACAGCAAACTTATACTTGATCTGTTTAGAGTCTATATTAATATTAGAACATATTAAATTTGTAGATATTCAATCCAATCATATATATATAGGGGAATCAGTTACTAGAAAACCTAATAACATAGGTTTAAATACGCTTTTCTAATGATAAGTGCAACTATCATTAGACCATCTAAACCCATATTAATATTAGAACACATATAAAATTCAAAAAATTATCACTAGACAAACTTATACTTACAAAACTACTGATTTTAAAATCACAATTAAAATGGTTTGACAGAGAGAAAAAGTATCTAAAATATCAGTGTGAAGTAGACAAATGACTATTAAACTTAGAAAGTAGTTATTAATAAAAGAACGTTTTCAGATTCTTTTGATATATATATGTCTCATAACGAGTCTGAGTTTTTTCGTTTAACTCAACTATTCTATGATAATTTCTTAGGATTACATGAGTCTTATATGTGCTCAAAAACAACTTTGGAATTGTTATTTGTAGAACTCCTCCGTTCTCCTTTTATGAAATATAAATCTATGTTTATTAAACTTTTGAGAGTTTGATAACAAATTAAACTTTTTCCTTTTCTTTAAATTTATTGTGCGATAAATGTTTGTGATAATATGTCATGAGGGTCATGATGTAACACAAATAGACTCTTTTTTTTTTGTCATAGCTTTTATATATGAGAAATTTACGCACAGAGACACTTTGGCAAATTCAAATTACAAACTAACACACTTAACAATACAAACACACTTTTGTAGGATAAAAAGACTTTCATACCCCTCTTTTTACGTTTTATGTTTGTTGTCGACTCCTCGTTTACCTCGTAACAATTGCATTAACAATTTTTTTATATCCTGTAACAAACCAAAACATCTTTGAACAAATTCTTTCTCCTCCGTCTCTGCCGGCGACGAAACTGCTTTATCAGCGTTCTCTGATTCATCAACTCTTATCAACGGCTTCGAGTGTGGAATCCTTTGCCGGCGTTCAGAATCCCGACTGTCAAAAACCTCCTACCGATTTGATCTCATAATAGCAGGTAAATCCCTAAGATCTTTTTCTCCCCAGATTTATTTTTTTGATACTGAATCTCACCCATCAATTCTCATATTAGTCAGTCCTGATTACAGAATAAAATTTATAATTTCCCGTTCCTTTGTTTATATATATGCGGCTGTCATCGTTCACTCGATTCTACCTTCATATCCAATCCACCATCTCCCAGATTACGCATCCATGCGATTGGCGAATGCTATGGATGAATGCGGTGGATTAATGTTGTGGATGAATATTGTGGTTGAATTTGGTGGATGAATGCGGTGGGTGAATGCGGTGGATGACAGTGGTGGATGACAGCGGTGGATGACAGCAGTGGATGAATGTGATGGATGTATGGAAACTGTTAATAAATCGTTTCAACCATCTCCCAAATTACGCGTCGATCTCGACAAGCTCGCCTTTTTATTTTTACCGCTCAGTTAAACACAAGAAAAATGTATATATTGGCATCCACAAGAGAAGTGTACATATTGCATCTATGTTGCATATTAATTAAGTGGACGATGAGAAACCATACCCACACACCGCATACTTTTCTCATTTTCATCTCCCATCCACAATAGTGCATCTAATTCATCCATCCGATTGCATCCATATAGGCATCGTCAATGTACATCTCTATAGAGCATCCATATAGTATAGGAATCTATGATCATCCACCATGTTAATGCTCAGCCATATAGGACATCTATTAAACTCATCACTTTGTATATACTAACTTATATGATTTCACTCTCTCTCTGGTGCAGGCCCTAACCACAATCTATAGTGGGACACTTGCTTACTAACACACTTGTTTACAATGGATAGATTCTTCAAAGATCTGATGCTTCTAAGTTTTTTTGTTGCTCTACATTGATCTAATTTCTGGATTTTAGTCAATTTTGTAAGGATTTGAATTTGAATTGGCTTTGACTTTGATGAGTAACTTTGCTACATTGATCATGTTTTAGAGATTTGTCCACGCTTGATTTTCAGTTAAGAGATTTTGTCCATCTTACTATGATAGCAAAGAAGAATTTTGATTTCAGATTCCAAATACTGAAATAGCAAATTTGAATAACCAGAAAAATCTGACAATTTTTTTGTCCATATAGTATATGCTAATGGTGTCCATAATATATTCTATCCATCACAACATTCATCCATCAGAATTATAAACTTTAATACATAGTATGTAGAAGATTGGTGAACTAATGAACATTAAACTATGTACACAATCGAGGTCTACATTATTGTGAGATGGACATAAACTAGGGACATAAACCATGAACAGCTGTCGCAGTCAGTGATTGATTTATTAGGGTTCAAATTCTCATACCATTCACATTGTTCTTAATTGATTTCTTGTATCCACCATGTACTATCCACTTTAGTTGTTCTCGTCCACCATTGTTCATCCACCATTGCTCATCCACTATGTCAGCTTGGTTACTTGTTCTCTCTTATGTCAACCTAATTAATTAACATGGTTCATTGTTTAGTATATCACTCTAATTGTTCTGAATTGATTTCTTGCGTACACCTTACACCATCTAATTTTGTTAATCGCATCCACTATTACTCATCAACCATTATGCATCCACCATTGCTAATTGTTCATCCATACTTGCTCATCCACATTGTTCTCATTCATTGGTTGATTTCTAATGTTTGAAGTTCGTCATATCCTTCGCACTGTTCCGAATTGATTTCTTACATCCACCACTACTCATCTACCATTGCTTATCCATTGTTACTAGTCCACATTTATTCATTGCTTATCCACTATTGCTCATTGCTCATCCACAATATGCAATCCACAATATCACAATCCAGCAGCGTCTTCAACCCAACTTCCCCAATAATAACCATCGAGACATCTATCTATGGAGTCTATTATTTATTGTCGTCCATGGCCATTCAGTAGAGAATGCTGTCCCCAAACATAGAACAACTGAATACAAAGAAAAACTGAACACAAAGAATACAATCACGTTATTGATCCAAATGGACTATGAATCACCTACTCCGGCCAATCAGGCGTCATAGACAATTTGTTTAGTGGACAATACCGTCATCAAGCTTAGCATCGACCACACAACACCGTCCACAAATCAAGCACAATATGGCATAGACAATCCTATTTTCAAGTTGTCCACAACCAATACTTTCCCAATATGGTCCAATAACATAATGTCCACAACATACACTTTTATGTACGCTACACTCACCCCATTACTGTGGATACCCGTCCACAAAATATACCTATTACAAAACAATCGTCTAATGCAAACTACAAAACGTCCATATTTCATTATCTATCTGGACGCGACTTTTCTACCATCATTTGCTTTCTCCGTTCACAATTAATCAATCAACTAACGATCCACCGCCAATTACACAAATCCACCGATTTCCACCGATATATAGATTATGAATGCACATATATCAATTTTCACCATTTGGGTAAACTGTAGTTTCAGTAAAACATCCAATATATTAAAAGGGGCAAATTAGACACAACACTGCCAAAAAGTACAACTACGTGCTTCCTCTCACATTAGTGTCTTATTTTGCAACAAATTTTTCGAAAGTGCCTACATGCGTAAATGTCTCTTTATATATCTCTATTTAGAGACATTTACCAATTAAGACACTTTCAACATTTTGTTTACTTATTAAGACACTTATGGATACTAAGGCACTTTGCCTTGCTTTTGTCACATGATAAGTCTATTATAACCCTTAATAATTATTTTTTTAATTTGTAATAAAATTAAATAAAAAACTTTGACCCCAATTGATAATAAAAATTTGTATAGTCTCCGTCTTTTTCTTTTATTTTTTTATTCACTTTCTTTTGCTTTGTCCCCTTTTCTGATTCTAATGAGATTTATTTTCTAAAAACCTCAAAAAGTAAAATTTAAAAGTTCATTGTCTGCAAATTGAACAAAATTCTAACTACTTTTATAGTTTTATGATATAACAAAGTTTTCACCAAGAGTTGACATAAACTTTAATATAGTCGGTGTTTTTGTTGGGTGGAAATGGATGGATCATGTTTAGTCGCCGGCAGAGCAATAGGTGATGGTTTGTGAACAGTTATTGCATATGATTATAAGAATATCACGCACAGAGGGAGAATGAATTGTGGATGGTGTGTAGTTGGCGTTGAAACCGATAGCAAGGTGAATCCCAAGAGGCAAATTTTTATCTATCTTTAAATCTATCACGCTCATCCATCATCCTCATCCATTATGCTCATCCATCATCCTCATCCACAGCCATCATCCTCATCTATCATCCTCATCCATCACCCTCATCCACCACCCTCATCCATCACCCTCATCCATCACGTTCATCCGCAATTTCTATCCACTTAGTTCATTGTTATTTGCAATCCATTTAGTTCATCGTTATTTGCAATCCATATAGTTCATCCAAAATTTCCATCCATTATTAAATCATCCACAATAGCTATCAACTATTTCATCCTTAATTTTTATTCATTTTTAAATACGTCACATTCATCCATCACTCTCCTCCATCACGCTCGTCCATCTTGTACTTCCATCCGCATGCATCTAATTGCATCCATTCATTAGCCATCATTTAATATCATTTACCTCATTTGCCATCCACTTTTGACCATCCATCATAGTCATCCATTACATTGCATCCATGCTTTCACGTGCATTTATTTGGTGAGCTATGTTGCAGGGTAAGAGATGCAACGACTTGTCTCATATACACAACGACAATGCTAATGATGTAAGCTCACACATTTTATTAATCACCATTCTCCAAATTGATCCCTAACACCCATTAACACCAACCACACTACAGGGAGGTAACCAAATTGACCACGAATTGAAACAAGAAGACCTAATAGTTTCGAACTCAAGGGTGTCTCTAAGGATATCGTGGATGGAAAGGAGGAGCTCAAATTTAATTAATCTATCCGTTGCAAACAAGAGTGTTGGTAAGCGAGTGTCCCACTCCAGATTGTGGTCATGGCCTGCACTAGAGAGAGTTAAAACATATAAATTAGTTTGCTCATTTGTACACAGTGATGAATTTAATAGTATCCCTATATGGATATACTATATGATGTTCCCTATGGATGCACTATATGGATGTACTATATGAATGCACTATATGGATGTCCTATATGAATGATCTGGATAGATAACTTGGATGCATTATTGGATGGATAACTTGGATGGATGCACTGGACAATGTAAATGGTGGAAAACTTAGAAATTAAATATAGTCAAAGATAAATCATGGTGGATGAGAAATTATGGATGGATAGGTAAACAATGGGTATGAACTCTAACCGCAGTGAATGGGACATAGTGGATGCGTGAAAAAGTATTTGAACAACATCGAACTCTAGTATTAACCATTGAATAGCTTATTAACTATTAAAGGGCTGCATGATGGATGAGATGTGATGGACACCTAAATGAATTTGAAAATGAATATATTCGAAAATAAATGAAATCCCAGCGGATTATTAGTGGAAGGCTTACCTGCTATTCCGATGTTAACTAAGTATAAAGTGTTGTGGGGTTAGATTTCCGACGGACGAAGATAACGAACTCCTATAGAATGCTATAAATTTAGGATTTTGTTGCGGTTGATTCATAGACAGCGTAGAAATATATTGGAGAATATAGGGAGAAGGTATTGAACACTGATAATTGAAGAGTCTCAAATAAGATTGATGCAGATTCAACAGCAATGTCGATGGTATTAAACAGTGGCGTCGAAAAGTTCTATTCTGTATTTCTTACGGGATTCTAAAAATGTAATTAAAAAAACTTTATTATAAAATAAGAAACGTGAAATAAATAAAAACAATAAATTTTAAAAATAGAAGAATATACTTGTCTATTCAGCATATGAAAGTGTGTTTGAATAAGTGAGTGTTTTAATTTGTTATATGAGTTAGTGGAAATGCCTTCCATTGTAATTTTCTCCTCTATTTAATCAGTTTACCAGACTTTAATATCCCATATTTGGCGCCCATATAGAATAGATATTGTATGTAATCTCTCTCTCTCTCTCTCCTCCGTCGCGATACTCTCTCGCTCTAATGGCGGCGACTCATATTCACATATTACCAAATGCTAAAACCCCAACGTCTCACCAAAAACTTCCTCTCTGGTTCTCTCCCGAGACCGGGATCTACACCAGCAAATTTCCCTCCCTACAACTCCCCGTTGACCCAAATCTCGACGCCGTCTCCGCCCTTTTCTCCCACATACACGGCGTCGATGATGCTGCTTCTTCCGCCTTCGTCGATTCCTTAACCGGGTTTTCCATATCTTACAGTGAGCTCCAGATCATGGTCAAATCAACAGCGGCCGGGATTTATCACGGTTTGGGCGTTCGCCAAGGCGACGTCGTTTCGCTCGTGCTGCCTAATTCCGTCTACTTTCCGTTGATCTTCCTCTCGTTGATTTCCCTTGGCGCCATTGTTACCACCATGAATCCTTCGAGTAGTCTGGGAGAAATCGAGAAGCAGGTGAGTGAGTGTAATGTTGGTTTAGCGTTTACTTCTCCTAAAAACGCCGAGAAATTGAGTTCCCTTGGGATCGTGGTGATTAGGGTACCTGAAAGTTACGATTTTGATTCGATTCGAATCGAAAACCCGAAGTTCTACTCGATGATCAAAGGAGATTTCGGATCTGTACCAAAACCATTGATTAAGCAGGACGATGTAGCTGCGATTATGTATTCCTCCGGAACAACAGGAGCTAGTAAAGGAGCTCTGTTAACTCATAGGAATCTGATAGCGACGATGGAGCTTTTTGTGAGATTTGAAGCTTCGCAATACGAATATCGAGGCTCGAGTAATGTTTATCTAGCAGCTTTGCCATTGTGTCATATCTACGGGTTATCACTCTTTGTGCTGGGACTGTTGTCTCTTGGATCAACCGTCGTTGTTACGAGGAGGTTCGATGCTTCTGAGGTCATTGACGTAATCGGAAGGTTTAAGATCACTCACTTCCCGGTCGTCCCTCCGATGTTGATGGCACTGACGAAGAAGGCAAAAGGAGTTTGTGGCCAAGTGTTTCAAAGCTTAAAGCAGGTTTCCTGTGGAGCAGCTCCTTTAAGCATGGAGTTCATTGAGGATTTCCTTGAGACTCTTCCTCATGTCGACTTGATTCAGGTATCTATCTGTGTTCTATTGGTTGTAAGTCTATTCATGAGCGGGCTTTCTATGTCTATATATGGAAATCACTTGTTTAATTGTTTGTTTTGCTGCAGGGATATGGCATGACTGAATCAGCCGCAGTTGGAACACGAGGCTTCAACTCTCAGAAGCTTAAGAAGTATTCTTCTGTCGGACTTCTTGCTCCGAATATGCAAGCCAAGGTTGTAGATTGGAGCTCTGGTTCTTTCCTTCCACCAGGAAAACGAGGGGAGCTCTGGATTCAAGGTCCAGGAGTCATGAAAGGTAGATAGATTCTCTCTCCCTTTTTCCGCTTCTTTGGTTGATAGAATAGGTGTTATCTTCTTCTTGCTTGTGTGTGTGTGTGTGTGTGTGTGGCATTTTGTTTTTAATTTACTCGAGAGTAACTAAAGACTGCTCATTTGTCTATTAGGATACTTGAATAACCCAGAAGCAACCAAGATGACAATTGTTGAAGATAGTTGGCTACGTACTGGGGATATTGCTTATTTTGATGAAGATGGTTACTTGTTCATTGTTGACCGTATGAAGGAGATCATAAAGTACAAAGGGTTTCAGGTTAAAAACTGTTTTTCTCACAAACCCCAAAAGCCACCTACATTGTCTTCTTTTCTTCCAAGCAAATATGAATTAGGACAATGTTAAGTCTCTGCAATTATGGTTTTTTTTTGGCAGATCGCACCAGCAGATTTGGAGGCTGTTCTTGTTTCACATCCCATGATTATCGACGCTGCAGTTACAGCGTAAGTCCGGAAAAAAAAAAACAAATCTTGATCTGCAGATTTGGTTTTGGACAATGTGACAAGCCTATTACTCTGCTGAAACGTTTTCAAACTTGTGAATTGTGTTGTGACAAAAAAAGACTTTTTTTTTTTTAATTTCAGAGCCCCAGATGAAGAATGTGGAGAGATTCCGGTAGCATTCGTTGTCCGGAGTCAAGAAACAACACTTTCAGAACAAGATGTAATAAGCTATGTAGCTGCTCAGGTTTGGTGGCTCCACTAATTCAAAAAGACCTTTTTTCCCATTTCGAAACAGAACATACTTTATACATTTACTGATCGATTAACCTGATGGACCGATTAATATTTCTCGGTTGCTAGGTTGCGCCGTACAAGAAGGTGAGGAAAGTGGTGATGGTTAGCTCTATACCAAAATCTTTAACTGGGAAGATACTGAGAAAGGAACTAAAGAGAATTCTCACAAACTGTGTTTCTTCAAGACTATGATTCTCTTTCTTCAGTTTTGTTTTTGGTACACAGAGAGATCCATTGGTATAGACTTCAATTCGATTATTCATTGGTTTGGTAATCTCAAAAGAGACTTGACCATAAAGATTTTTTTTTGTGTTCTGCTTGATGAATAAGCAGTAGAGTTGTTGTAAGTTGTAACCCAACCCGGAAACAAAACTTCGTTCTGAGCCATAAATTGTTAATTACTACTAGTTCTTTTTTATTTACATAAAAGTCCTTATAATCTTTGGTTTTGCACTTATAGCCCGATACTTGTCTTTGCGCACAAGAAAAATGGTTTACTAAACAGGCAAGGTTTTTCCTGAAATTTTAATCTCAAACCGATACAAGATCGAGGCTTTTGCTTCTGTTTCTTCGAATTCTTCTTCTTCCGAAAAAATCTGCCATGGCTGCTCTACAGTACCTCGAATCGCAGAAAAATGCGCATCCAGAGCTTGGGGAGTGGTACAATTCCCTAGCAGATCTGTACCAGAAGAAGCTCTGGCACCAGCTCACCCTTAAGCTCGAGCAGTTCATCGCTCTCTCTGTCTTTCAGGTCATTCTTCTTTCCGTAATCTATCTCAATTTCATCGTTTTAGTAGTTGTTCTGGGAAATTACGAATCAGAGATCTCGAGAAAGTTGGGAGGAGTCGTCATGTTAAACTTGGGTTTATAGAGATCTAAAGGATTCGCTCCGACTGTGGATTTTATGAGTTGGGTTTTTTCAGATTCACCAAAAAAGCTTTGTATTGGTAAATTATCGCACTTCTATGATTATTAAAGCTTCCATATTTAAGCGCAGAGATACCTGAAAACCACCTTACGAGGTTTAAGGCACTTTTGTGTTTGATATGTTCTAGTTTGGCTCCCTTGATTTGGGAAGTGTTCATGGATTTTAGTTAACGTTTTTCTCCTTTGTTATGTTCATAATCACTTCAGGCTGGAGATGCTTTGATACAGTTTTACCACAACTTCATCACTGACTTTGAGACGAAGATCAATCCTCTGAAGCTTGCGCACTTCGCGGTTGTGGTCTCCCGGCAGTACACTGAGAAAGAAGCCGCGGTTAGTTATCTTGAAGGAGTGATTGAAAAGCTTAGAGCCACTAAAGAGTCGCGGATAAACGAGCCGATAAGCTATATAGAGACACAGATAGCTTTGTTCAAGCTTGAGCAAGGTGGCCAGAAGGAGTGCAAGAAGATATTGGACGATGTGAAAAGCTCTCTCGATAGCATGACCGACATCGATCCATCAGTCTATGCCAACTTCTTCTGGGTGTCTTCTCAGTACCATAAATACCGTCAAGAGTTTTCTGATTTCTATAAGAATGCTCTTCTTTACCTCGCTTATACATCTGTGGAGTCACTCTCGGAATCGTTTAAGTTGGTACGTCCTTCTGATTATTCTAAAAAATCATATGCTAATAATTTCTGGAACTTGCTCTGTATTCACAAATCAAATTGTTAATCATATGCTTTTGTGTCTTTCAGGATTTGGCTTTTGATCTGTCGCTTTCGGCTCTACTGGGAGATAATATCTACAACTTTGGGGAACTGTTAGCACATCCAGTTGTAAGTTTGCCTTCACCCTCCAGATTAACCATTGTAGATAAAAAGAAGTTTCCTTTTTTGTCTTATCTTTGCTTGAGGCTTACCATACTGGTTTATGATGGTGATCACGTTACGTTTCTCTAATGGCAGTTGAAGAGTCTGCTTGGAACAAATGTGGAATGGCTTTACCACATTCTACAGGCGTTCAACCACGGTGATTTAGTCCAGTACCAAGAACTCTGCCGCGTGCACAACGCGTCCTTGAGCGCTCAACCAGCACTGGTTGAGAACGAGAAGAAACTATTGGAGAAGATCAACATTCTCTGCCTTATTGAGATCATTTTCAGGTATCCATCATCTCTCTAATCAACATCATCTTAATCGCATAAACAGATAGAACCAAAAAAAAAAAGAGTGCTTCAAACTGTTTATAAACCATCTGTCACAGCCGACCAGCTGAAGATAGGACCATACCTTTGACTGTCATTGCTGAGCGTACAAAACTTTCAATCGAAGATGTTGAGCACCTTCTCATGAAGAGCTTATCCGTGAGTTCCTTTTCTTTCCTCTCTCTCTCTCTCTCTATCTGTCACATGTAATCTAAAGAAGATGACTTATCTGAAAGAAGATTTTGTTGCTGTGGATAAATATGATATGGTTGTGATTGTGTCTCGCAGGTGCACTTGATAGAGGGAATATTAGATCAGGTGGATGGAACGGTACATGTGTCGTGGGCGCAACCGAGGGTGCTTGGGATCCCACAGATCAAGTCATTGAGGGATCAGCTAGATAGTTGGGTCGATAAGGTTCACACTACGTTGTTGTCCGTTGAGGCCGAGACACCAGATCTTGTTGCTGCTTAAAAAAAACTCTTCTTCTTGCTTCTTCCTTTTGAGCTACAGATTGTAACATTTTCTGGAGATTAAATGCAAGTTCTTTCCTTCTTTTCCATTTTTTTTAGTGAGTTGCAGTTACTGTTAAAACGTTGTTCCCAACAAACAAATGAAATGTATCTTCTCTCCATGCTTCCATTGAATCGAATTTGAGTTTCATGATTTATGCAGTTCACCTTAGTAATAGCGATTGCCAAAGTACCTTTTAATTTTAGTGTCAAAATCTAAACTTAGTGAACCCAAATTGTTCAACTTTATAAAAGGGCAAGGCTAAAAAAGTCAAACCATATCAACCCCAATTTTCGTCATCGTGTCGTGTCAATCAAAATTTCAGAAGCTGATTTTGAGATATTGAAAACAGACAACGAAGTCTCAAACTCAAGTTAGCGTCTGTCTGCAATCGTAAGCTTCGCTCTCTATGCTTTTGGCTTTCGAGGAATAGATTTGAGGGCAATCATCGCTTTGTGTTAAAAGTATATCTGAATTACATAATCCAAATTTAATTTCTTCTCCAGTTAAATATAAAATAGCTCTCTTTCTCTGTTGTTTCTGGGTTCGATTTCTGGTGTTGGAGGTTTTGTGATTCCATTTAATCTTTCATTAGGTACTTGTTCAGTTTCTAGATATTGCTTTAGATTCTGATAAAATAGTTGCAACATCAATTATGGGCTCTGTTTTGTTTGTGAGTATGGTTATTGATCTTGTGAATAGATTTGAGGGCTAACGATGCAGAAATTGGCTGATTTCAAGCTTCCTCAGTTCTTCAACTATCCTCCATACTTCACGTATGTCAATCTCTTCTTCAAGTTTTCTTTTTTGCTTTTCTCCCTTTCTGTGTCTTCAAGATTATGGGTTGAAGAAAAGTCTGTTTCTTTTGTTTTCAGTTTGCAGCCTGTGAGGGACACTCGTGAGAAGCAAATACAGCTCTGGAAAGAACTTATTTTGGATTACTGCAAAACCCAAAAGGTTTTCTTGATTGGCGTTGAAGAAGACTTCCCTCTCTTCTCAAACACTTCCATTGATAGTATGATCCATTACTGCCTTTTCACCTGATTACATTTGGTTACGTGTTAGTCTTTTTGCCTTATAAGCTGCAAAATGCTGTAACTTTAGATTTGTTCTTTCGTCTTTTAGTCTTTCACTGTAAATCTTGCAGCTTTCTGTGTGTTTCAACTTTCAAGTGCTTGAGAACGTTAGTCTTATTTGATTCGTAGGAACTCTAAGCCATGAAGCAAGGGAAACATTCCTATCTGGCATTGTTGGAGAAGGTAAGACTCCGAAACAACCAAGCGGCTAGTTTTGTTGTTGGTTCTGTGAAATCATGTTCCGGTAATAGAATGAGGTTTCTTTAACCTTATGGTTCCGGTTGATGTTTACACAGGGCGTGCGGAGTGGTTAGATAAAGGACATAGGAAATGTCTGATTCTGTGGCACCGGATTCAAGATTGGGCAGACATTATTCTTCAGTTTGTGAGTCACATGTGAACTCATCAAAGAAAGTTTTAAAAATCAGTTTTTTTTTTTGGTTTTCTGCATCTTTCTCTTATCGTGTTCGTGTATATGTATCAGGTGAGAGAGAATGGATTAGAGGACAGTGTTATGACTGTTGAAGAAATACGTTCAGGGACTGAATCACATGGAACAGGTAGAGAACCTCAAATTCTTTTTTGTTCCCTAATGTGATTTTTGTTTGCATCTCACAATGTGAAAATTTGCTGCAAAATGGTCTCTTTGCTGTTTCAGAACTTCAAGGGATCGATCGTACAATTCTAATGAGGGCCTTGAAGCTGCTTGAGAACAAGGGCAAGCTTGCATTGTTTAAAGGAACATCAGCAGATGATGAAGGCGTCAAGTTCTCTGTCTGATGCTTCTCTGTAAAACGTTTTGGAAGTTTGGAAAACAAAAATGGATAAACAACTTTTCTTGTTATTAATAACATTCCATCCTCTAATCACATTTTGAGTTCTATAGAATGAGAATAATCTCGTTATATGACTTAATCACTAGACACAATGCTTTTGCAATTGATGTGTTCAAAACATCTAACGGTAATGATGTCTACAAGTACTTGAGCATGGTGCGACCGTCTGTACTAATCTTGAATGCTTGCAGGCTCTTCTTCCTGAGCTCCTTTCCCGTCTTCAGTTTGTTTATTATCTGTCACAGAGGTATCATATTCTCTCTTAGTTTTTCAAATAAAAAAAGTAGTCATGGATAATCATGTGATTCTCTCTGTTGATACAGGACACTTACCTTTTCATGTATGCTTTTGTTGTCGATTTGCATCTTGACACGAGCTTCGAGCTCTTTGTCAAATTTCGACTCAGGTCGGATCTCAAAGTCCATTGACATTGCTGTTGGTACTTGCGCTCTTCCTACTCCTTTAATAGCTGCTAGCTTGGATTTTTGTTTCCTGCAATTATTTTTCCAAAAAATATTACATTACTAAGAACAAAACTGTTTTTTTAGATAATAGTACAAAGTACAGCATAGAGAGAAACTTACGCAGAAAAGTCGACATCTATATCAAAGTCTCTAGCTTTTGTTTCAGACACCTTACGAGCTGTCTTGTTATGTCTTCTTGAAAGCATTTCCTGATGCTCTTCACGTTCCTCCTGACTATACATGTTCTCGTATCTTGTGCTCTTATTATAAATGACATGGCTCTGCAAAAATTGGAAATAAGATCAAGAACAGAGGTGAGTAACGACAGAAACACGAACCTCAAAATTTGCTTTTATAACAGAAAAAAGGATTTAAGGTATACCCATTTGTTGATTAAGTCATTAGCGAGTCTCCTATTAAGTAAAGTTTCTTCATCTGATTTGGATAAGAACATCATGACCTGCAGAAATTAGATAAAAATGGCACATTAAGTTATCAAGCAAAGTTCTTTTTATGTTATTACAGTTTTGCTACTTTACCTTCCCGAGACCGCTCTTGATCAACTGTTCTCTTCTACAGTCTTGATCTAGCTTGATACATAACTGCAACGCAGAAAAAACAAAGGTGAGGTTATTTCTTTGCCAATCATCTTTGAGGAGCTTATTATGGATTGAGGAAGAAGAAAGTTCATATATACATCGTCGAGAGTCTTCAAGACAGCAGTGCGGATGTTTATGTTCGGTAAGCTACCATCAGGAAGCGGCTCAAGCCATTTCTTGAGAAGGTTAAGTACTCCATGATCTAAGAACTCAGCTTGAAGCTGTTTCCTGTTAGTAAAACATAAAGAGAGACAAAACTTCAGAGATCACAGACACACAGAAAGAAATTTTGGTTAGCAAAAGATTTAAGAGATTTGATTAATCTTCTTTCTACTTACTTCGAGAGAGCTCCAGTGAGAACTGGTAGCTTCATGAGCTTTGTAATGGCGGGTTTTCCTTGTTTGTTCAGCTCTACGTCGTCTTCTACAGCGATTTCAAGCTCCGCCATCACTTTCTCTACTTGCATCGCAATCTCCGCCGCGTTCTTCTCCTCCTTGTTCTTCTTTTTCCGCATCCTGAACAAGTTGACTATGTCATCGTCATCTTTCTTGGGACAATTTGCCACCACACTATCACCATCCTGTTATTAACAAATATAAAGACAGAGAAATTTAGCTTATGAGCGCAAGAAAACAGAACAATGACAGCAAAACAAACCTCGGGGTTCTTGTCGTTCGTAATCGAATCCCACATCTCTTTAATCTCTGTGGAATTTTCCAGATCATCATCAGGAACAGAATCTTGCTTCTTAGCAGACTCATCTTTTTCCTTCCTCTGTCTCTTCTTACCTACTTTGTCCTTGTAAATAGCTGAAGGTTCCACAAAATCATCAAGATCTTCTTCGTCTTCATATACTAACTCAGGAGCAGAAATCCACTTTTTATTTAATCTTCTCCTTGGGAGTTTCGGCTCATCGTTCTCTTCACAGTTCTTGATAACTTCTTCAAACTCGTTCTCCGATTCGTTGCTAGAAGAATTCAACGATTGCATACTGCGCGTCAGTAGAAGAGAAAATCACGATAAAGATTAAAACCCCAGTCCTTAGATATTGTGATGACCAAATTTTCGGTGTATTATTGTGTTCATCAAACTCATGAGAACGATTAGCTTTTATATGGATCGAATGAAGTATGATTGATGATCAAAAAACCCTAATTTCAGCATTATAGTCGCAAGTTCAGGGACGAAATCTAGAGATACGAAGATTACGAATCCAGAATCCAAGAAACGAAGCTTGAGAAACCATAAATCTTTTGTATATATGAACCCTAGATCGATCAGAAGAAACGAAGGTAGAAGAAAATCATCACCTATTCTCTTCCTGACTCATCTTTTTTTTTTTCCCCTATCGTCTTCTCTCGATCTCTGTGTTTGTTAAGTTCGCAGACTTTTTCAAGTGTGGGAACTTCTTGTATATATATAGCTTCGCTTCGTGTAGTCCAAGCAACTGAACTGTGAGATTCGATCTCGCCACGTCAGCTAACCCGCAGAGATTTAAAAACCGAAAAGAAAATTTCCAATATCTTCAAAACAAAACAAAACAAAAATTTATAGAGTAAAAAATAAATAACAGGAATATAACAGTATATTAAATGTAAGTGTGTAACTAATATAGCTTCTGGATAACATCTTTAATGCTTTTGAAAATATATACATAGAATATTACGTGCATAATCTTTTCTAGTTACTTTCTTAAATCTTCTAAATTTTTTAGTTATAGTGCAATTTCCATTAACTGTATATATATATATTTCTATAATTATGATAGAAGCAAAACTTAGACAATTACATGGTCTTCTTTCCCACTTTGACGCATCGTGTAAGAAAAGAAAAAGAACAAAGATCTCAAGACCAGACAAAGAAAGAGAAAATAAACCAATTTTCTCTTATTCGGATTGGAAAAAGAGAGAAAACAAAATATGAGAGATTCAATATACTTTTCATGGATTTGTGATAATCGATTAAGGGTTATAATGATGGTGATGATGATGGTATCATGGAGATGTGTTGTGGGATTGGAGAACATAAATCCAATATTCTTCGATGAAGGTCTTTCTCATTTATTTGGTGAAAGTAATCTCATCCGATCTCCTGATGATCGTAGTGTCCGATTACTCCTCGACAAATACACAGGTAAAATTCTCTGGTCTTTACATATGAGTTGTACATTAATATGATAGAAGATTTCTGATGAATACCTTAAAATTTCACGTAAAGATAAAATATGTTAAATATCGTCATTCCACAGATTTTCAATATTGTTAAGTTTCTTTTTCAATTTCATAAATCTTTGATACGAAATTATTATTTTTTAAATAAAATTGATTAGGGTCAGGATTCATCTCTTCAAGCATGTATCAACATGGATTTTTCAGTTCGTTAATAAAGTTGCCGGGAGCGTACACGGCTGGTATTGTCGTCGCGTTTTATGTGAGTTATTAAAAAAAAAAAATTAATCTCTTTTATATATTAACTAAAATAATATAAGTGACTGAATGTAAATGATATTATATAATCCAGACATCAAACGGCGATGTGTTTGTGAAGAGCCACGACGAACTAGACATAGAGTTCTTAGGGAACGTTGAAGGAAAGCCGTGGCGGTTTCAGACGAATATGTATGGAAACGGTAGCACAAACCGCGGCCGCGAAGAACGCTACCGCCTTTGGTTTGATCCTTCCAAGGAGTTTCACCGTTATAGCATCCTTTGGAATCCTACCAAAATAATGTTAGTTTCCTATCTTTCTCTTTTGTCAACATGCAAACTTCAATTTTACTTATAAGTTGTTGACAATAAGATCAAATAAACTATTAGTTAGGTGATCTATATAGGAGTGTAGAGTTTTTTTTAACTAAGAGAAAATTGGTGCATGTGGATTTGAATTGCTTTGATAGGTTCATGCAATGTATGATTAAATATAATAATGTATATAAGTAATAAAGTAAGTGGTTGTTGTGTAGATTTCATTTTAGTAAACGCAAAACGCACACGGCAAACTCAAATTTCATATTTAGTCCCCACTACACGCATGAGAGTCATAATGTTTGTTCACTTTGCATTTAATTTCGAGGGTGGTCAAACTTGATTTGATTAAGATTGAATCGGTTTAGGTCATCAAGATTTGAAAAAACCTCATTAAGATAAAACAACATTACAAAATGTTGGTTACTTTTGTGATTTGCAGATTTTGGGTAGACGATGTACCAATAAGAGAAATCATAAGAAAAGAAGAAATGAAAGGAGACTACCCACAAAAACCAATGTCTCTCTACGCAACCATTTGGGACGCTTCAAGCTGGGCTACTTCCGGCGGAAAATTCGCCGTCGACTACACATTCTCACCTTTCGTCTCTGAATTCAAAGATATTGCTCTTGACGGTTGTAATGTCTCCGACTCGATTCCCACCGTCGCCAGCAACATCAACATCAACATTAATTGCTCTGTCTCCTACCAACTTCTCACGACCAGCGATTACTCAACCATTAGTCCTAAGCAAGCAGCCGCAATGCGACGGTTCCGAGAACGTTATATGTATTATTCTTATTGTTATGACACCGTGCGGTATGCCGTGCCTCCCCCGGAATGTGTGATTGTGACAGCTGAGAAAACCCGGTTTAGGGATACCGGACGGTTAAAGTTCGGTGGTAGTCATGCTAAAGTGCATAGAGCTCGGAAAAGACGGAGGCGGAATCGGTCCACGCCGGTGGATGCGGCTGATCAGTAGCATTATTTAGTTGAATGGATTCTCTCATGTGTGTGTATATTTAGTGTTTTATTATAGATTATTTATCATTCATCAGGTTTTCACTACTTTTGAAATTAGTCAGTTATAGATCAACAGGTTAAAAATTAAGAAAAACTTTTTTCAGTTTAAATGATTTCGTATCAAATGACAATGTGAAAGTTAATTATGACTTTGGAAGAGGAGAAAAAAACAGTTGGTTCGTTTTTCCTAAAAAAGGTTTGTCACTTTTTTTATTTCTTTTCTGTAACAAATTTACTGTTCAAACATTTTTTTTTTAAAAAGTGGAAAAATATTTGGGTATCTACTGTAAATGACTAAATGTAGACAGAAAACAACTCAGCAATACAAATATAACGGTAAAAACTGACATGACTATGAACCATCTTATATATATGGAAATGTCGATAAAATAAAATTTAACCAACTTTTTGAACATTTGTGAAATAAAAAAGTTATATACGTCGAGAATAAATAATGATAGTGTGTAAGTGTGTAACTTTCATTGTTCGACTTCAACATCATATACACCATACAGAAAACGACTAGTGGCTAATTAATCCGAAATTTATAAACTGTAAGCAAATTTCATCTAAATTTAACGCGTGTGTTCAAAAATAGATGACATGTAACATTCCATAAACATAAGAAAAAAGCGATCCATGTTGATTAGACTCACGTTGTATATTTGGACAATATAAACCCAACCCAAAGTCAAACTAATTTTTAAGGTATCAAATTGTTTTATTTAAACAAAATATCTAATTAATTGTAGTACTTTCCAAGGTATCTCTATCCCTCGGTTGAGTTCACAATAGCAAACAAAGCTTATAAGGCTCATGTTAGCAAGCAAATTGCAGAATCTCATGAATGTGGACCAACTACAAAATCTACAAGCCAAGAAACCAATTACGTCACAAGCAAACCCTTAACTCAATTTAACATAAGATTTTATTCTTATGGTTTTTCCTCTTCTCAAGAAACCAAGCAATAATATATGAACAAAAATTTAATCATTAAGTTAACCAGAAATCCAATATCTTACGTGATAATAAAATTTGGAAAAAAATATTTCCAAACTTAAACTTCTTTTTTTCACCAAAAAAAAAAAAAAAAAAAAAAAAAAAAAAAAAAAAAAAGCGGCACATTGGTTCATTTCGTAGCTGTGTATTATCATCCCAAAGGAAAACGACGTAAACCGAAAAAAACTAAACCGGACCGTTTCTCAATTCATTTTGGGATCAATTAAACTTCCAAAAAACCGGTCATCCTAAGAACGGTGTTACGGTGACGACTCAAGTCTCTTCCTTTAAGAGTACAAAAGGAAAACGCCATTTGCGCCTCTCTTCTTCGTTTCCCGATTATGACATGTGGCGGAGTCATTTCTCTCTCCTCATCTTCCTCCTCCTCCTCCTCCGTACACTGGAAAATAGTTCTCGACGGAATTCTCACCGGAGATGACCTTTTCTCCGTTACCGTCGGCTTTCTTTTGTTGTTCTCGTTGTTGCTACTCTTGGTGTCGTTACTCTTGGTGTCGTTCTTAGTGTAATATTCATCGGAAAATATAACCTCGGATTCTTGAAATTCTTCTGACATTGAAAGATGGAAAATATTATTGCCAAGAAAGTGAGGGAAAAAATATGATCTGATTGAAAATGGAGGTAAGAAAAAAGAAGAAGATACAACTATGAGAAAAAATGGAATTTATATAGACCGCAAAGAGAATCTCATGTTTTACACGTATATATATCTATATGTATAAGTGTGTGTATACATGTAAGTATATTAATGCATCTCGTGTTGCATCAGATGATGTCATCGTGAAGGTGTTTGAGTGAAGTCAAGGGATTCGATGTAATAATTAATTAATCATCAATGACGTTGATTATTATCGTGAATTACACAAGTCTTTATTTACACTTACACAACCATTTTTGCCAAAATATAATGAGGTAATTCCGTGTGTGTACGCAATTAGTAACATCATAATTTACTTAATTCAACGTTCCAATTTTTCATGTTTTTTCTTCCCTTTTATACTTTTACCTTTATAATTATTTTTGAAATATTTGATATGTAAATTTAAAATATAACTAAATTACATTGAAGTACAAATCTATCACGTATACAGAAATAAAAACGAGCAGATTATCAATAACAGTTAAGTACAATGATAATTTGATATTGTAGGTGAATTTTGCAATTTTTATTTGCATTGTATCTAGAGGTTTAACGTATTTTCGTAAATAGTAAGAACGTAAGATCTCGTGCATGAATGTTGTTAATTCATCTATTGCCGATTATTTAATTAGGTTTTATATCGGTTCAAAAAAAAGAATACTATTGATCATAATCCAACACTATTTATCAATTACCTTTTACAAGTTACGATGAAATTTCAATGATTGCGAAACCGAGTCGGTGTAACATTACTGGACGCAATCGCCGCGCGTTTGATGGCTACGCGGTTACTCGCTCAACGCTAATGAAACCTCATAATCTAAAAGCCACTTGTGCGGCAGCACGTGTCCAGAACTATCGTAACGTCAGCCAAAAGTTAACGTCACCAGTCTTCATCGGTCTCGCACTCTCGCGTGTGCCGATGCCACGTGGTTCTATTTTATCCAGAACTGCGGTCGTTCTCCTTCGCGATTGCGTGGCGGCGTTAGTTAACGGCTGATGTTTTGTTGCTTTCGGAGAAAAATAAGGGAATGTATCAGTGTGGCTCAAAAAGTCTTCTGTTTTTTTCTTTTTTACTTTCTTGGATCTCAATTTTTGGTTCTTTTTTAATTTGCATTGACGTTGATGCTTAAGGAAACAAACTTGTAGGAGTATATTTGAGATCATTTTAAAAAGCATATCTGCTCTACAATTACAAATTGATAAGTAAAATAACGAATAAAGATATCTTAAAAAAGTATAACAAAAGAGGAAGTCAGTAAGTTGAAAATAATTAATTACTTGCTATTACAAAGTCAAGTGAAATAACGAGGAACTTTCTTGAAATACAAAATGACTGACAACAATATATATTTTCTTTATTAGTGTTTCTTTGGATAATTTGGTTGAGTGATTCTAAGGGAATAGTATGAAATTTCAAAATCGTTGTTAGTGCCATTTTAATTGTATTTTCTTGACAAACAACTTTATCCGTGAAGTTGTCGCAAAAGCAAGTTTTTATTAATTGAGGGACAATTATTAGCGAGCAAGACATGCCTTGAGGAGTACATATAACAAAATAAAGGGTTATTGAAAATGATTGATTCATCAACCTATCATATAGTTTAGAACCCTCGATTTATGTTAAGATTTTACAATACGATTAACGAAATTCGAAATAATTTTAGGTGTGAAACAAAACAAACGAAACAAATGCATTTAGTGTAAAGCAAAAATATTGAATGGTAATTTAGAAAGTATGTTAGCTATATCAAAACTTAAAAGTTAAGTAGTTTTTGAATCTTCGAATGATTAAAATGATTCTGTTTTTATTGGTCAGAAAACAATACTTCTAATTAGGATGAAAGATGTCTACATGTATGCATACAAAATTATATTTTGATTGCTCCGTTTGTAATAGGGAATTTCTATATGACTAGTGAAGTGTTATACGTTTTTACGTGTTCACCGCAAAACAAACGCTGTGAATGCATCGTTGCTCACACCATTAATGAAAGATCATCAAGTTCAATGGTGGAACAATTCGGTGAAATAAAATAAAAATCGTGCCTATTTTACTAGACATATTACATTGAAGAGAGACAATGGAAATGGACAAAAAGGTAGACAGATAGAGTCGAATGAATTGGACATTGGACGAATTGGGGTATTGATAGATGCATAGTCTCGTGCTAAAGACAATGACTTAGCCAAAATTTCGGATACTTTGGACAAGTGTGGTTCCTACTCCTAGTGGTCCCTTGGATCATTTCTGATGTTGGATACACCACTCTCGTATTAAGTTTGTCTTGTTCCATCTCTCTCATTTATGTGCTCAATTATTAGTTATAATTGTGAAACCTTCTCTATACATACATACAAATTCAAAATAATTATTTCTGCTCATTTTGTGTATCCTGCATTGTCGTCTTGGTACATACTTAAATAACTATGTATTATTTTTGACAAAAGTATAAATAACATTTTACTTTATATGTTTAAACCACATTGTGTAACAGTATGCACGTAAAAAAAAAACATAGATTATCATCACACACTATATTCTTATCATGATATCATTTCCAACTATGCATTCCGTTATTTCTTGTCGTACATAGTTTCTTAGCTAACTATTGTTTTTTTATTTTTCCAATATCATATCGTTCATGCATGAATCATAATTCATAAACAGTCAAGGCACAACTTGATTAATTTCAAATGAGTTCAGATGATATTAATAATAAATTTAATTGGCTGAGAGGTGGTTATAGAGACAAGGTGCTGGTTTTTCTGATTAGTTCCTTCTTACAATTACATCGACGTTGATGTTAATTTTTCTCAGAGTTTTTTTTTTGTGGTCGTGCTAAGAATTGTTGAATTAAACTTCTTCAACTAAAAACACTTGTGCATGGAAAATTCTACATCCATGTGCCTGTTTCTAAAAAAGTTATGTATCAGACGTTAACAATAATGCTATAACTCGTTCCTGTCTTGGCTTGGAATTGTATCTAGATAAGGCCCATCTCTAGTTTTTTTGTCTTTTTACCGAGGCCCATCTCTAGTGTAAAGTCCAATTATGTATACACGTTTCAGTAACCAGGTTTAGTTTACAAGTCGAACCAAATTTGCTTCGGTTATTGCCAAACCATTTAAGAGTCACTTCATTCAAATCTAAACAAGAAAGAGAGACTTAAGAGTCAAGATTCTCCTTAAGTGAGATCAAGACTTGTTTGTAAGCCAATTTCTTGGCCATTTCCTTATTAGAGGCCTTTGCTGTATGCGTAAAACTCTTTCCCTGAGCATTCACATCAACTGTGAAACAAGCTTTGCCATTTTCGAAACCTTTAGCTTTACTTAACTCGTACTGTGCTTTCTGGCACAATTCTGTCAGCTCTCTCACAGGATGCAACTTGACAGTCTCTGGAGTTACCATACAACCCAAGAGTGGTTTAATACTCGCAAACACTGCTTCCTTGTTGTAACCCGAGTCAACAAATATCGAACCGGCTAAAGATTCTATCACATCTCCAAGAACCTGACCAATGACCAAAGACATTAAAGGACAGACCCTTTTGTGTTCAAAGAGTAAATCATTAAAACAAAATGTGTGTTCTCACCTTAGAGAAAGATATCTCGGATTCCCAACCGAAAGTAGTAGATTGCAAAGAAGACCGCTCAAACTCACAGACTGCTCTAGAGATGTCCTTATGGAGATCATGAGAGGCATGCAGAACGTGCTTGTGCAAGCTTGCTTTCACTGCCACTTGAGCGTAACATTCATTGTTCACCGAAGCTGATCTCATGTCGGTTAGGAGTCCAGGAGAAAGACTAGGATACTCATCGTACAAATGCTTGGTTATGAGATAATCAAGCACCGAGTCACCGAGGAACTCCAACCTCTGCGTTAGAGTCAAACCAGGCTCATTAAAAACGTAAAACAAACACCAACATGATTAATAAAAGGACAAGAGAGAGAGACCTGATAGCATCTTGGGATTTCAGGTTTCATGTATGAACCATGAGTCAATGCCTCAACTAGAAGAGACTTGTCCTTGAATCTGTATCTCAGCAACGACTCCATGTACCCTACATTCACAAGCTTCTCCGCTCGTATAGAAAAATCTCTTTGGATTGGTGTAGTTGTGAAATCAACCTTTATACCTACCCAACTCATGAACATCAATGCTGCAACTTCACCTCCCTCACTGAGATATGCACCAATTAATGCTTCTACAACATCAGCCACACGCTTGAATTTCAAGTTCCTCATCCTAACAATGTATATGTTTCTTGAATCGGGTAAGGTATCATTTACAAGATCATAAGCTGAAGATGATTGACCAGGAACCATCCAGCCTTTAGGTTCAAAACACTCATTGCGGATAAATCCCTGTAACCAAAAAAAAAAAAAAAATGAGATATATTTTTACATCTTACTCCATGTTAATGTTTTACCTGAAGTTTCTGCTGGCATGCAAATTTGCAGAGCGTGACATTTGAAATCATTGCATCTTTCTTTTTGCTGAGAAGACCCTCGTGATGAGTACGGTATTGTAGGAACAATTGCTTACAAACAGCATATTTCAGAAAAGAGTCACCAAGAGTTTCTAGTGATTCCAAGTGGAACTGATCTTGACACTTCTTCGTCGTGATTGCTTCCAGAATCTGTAAGTATTGATTCACAAGGGGGAATCAAAAAACATTTTGGTGTAGAAAAAAAAAAGAACATAAAGTCCCAAAGCTTCTTTCTTCTAACCTTGAAGGTTGGAATATTGACGTTTGAGATGCTCTTCTTCAGGGTGTATGCTAAAAGCAAAGATTCAATGCGTAGCATAACAGATGGGATAAAAGTATATGTATATATCAAATCAACTGATATTGGGGACAACATGATGTGACACAGTTCAGGAGGCAGTTCAACAAACTCTCTGTCATGTTCTGCAACAAAAGAAAGTTTTATATTATGCAATAAGAAATTCAACAAGAAACCATATTGTGGTTTTGAAAGATTAAGAAACCTTTCTTTTTTTCCTTCATGAACATGCGAAGATGATTATGTAGCGTGAATATGTGTCTACCATTCAAAAGAGGCTCATCCACATAATTTAACCGAACCTTATGCCTGCAAGCAACTCAACCATTAGAATTCGGTTACACTGTCTTAAGCTTAACTCTTCCCATGTAAGATACACGCATACCTTTTCTCATAGTGCTCTATGTAAGTCATATGGTTCATCAATGAATTTGCATTTAGATTGTTGAGAACACCTTTGGTGATGTAGACTTTTCCATTGTGTGGTGTATAAACCAATGCATTTTGTACGACACAAGTACAAAACATGCCGTCTTTTGTATGTACGTTGCGAGAAGCATCCTTGGAAGAACAACAATCCAGTACATGTGTGTCACAAGGTTTATGACAAGTTAGACTCACCGATCTTATCACCTCCCAATCAATAAGCAGAGATGTTTCATGCTCATAAGTGGATGGAACTAGTAGATAATCAAGTGCTGCCCCGTCTCTGACATCCAATGCTTTCATAAAATTTTCCACACTGTGATCCAAAAGAACTTGAAAAAGAGTTGTCTGAAACTTTCTACACAAAAGGACCTGAATCACACAAGAAAAAAAGCATCAATCTTATAACTCAATATATAGAAGAAGAGAAAAAATGAGCAAAAATACCTCCTCTTGTGTAAAGTCAAATGCTCCTACATAACTCAATGTCACAGCTATTGTACCACTATGATCTTCAAGCTGAAAACTTGTGTTTACAGTGTCATCTTCAAGCTCGATTCTGGTGCCTAGAGAAATATCGTTAAATTGAAAATTTCTTGGAGAGTCTGGCTTCATTCTTATTAAGTACAAGTGGTATGTTGTCTGAGACTCTGCTGAAAACTTGGAGACGAGCTCTTCGGGAAAGTAACATGGTTGTTCTGTATTATAGTGGATGTCCTCTGCAAAACTCAGACCTCGTAGATGAGTGATTTACTATTACTACACTGCTCAAAATTTAGCAACATAGAGAAAATTACCGAGCTTTTGTACGACGGTCTCGGCCACAACCATGTCAGGCACAAGATAATCAGTCAGAGCTCCAACTTTGTGAAGCTGGACGCATGCTTCAAGACATGCAGATTGTTTTAATACATTGATACCCTTTGCTTCTACCCTAACTTCTTTTACAGGGCAGCTCTTTGGAAGGTACAGTGTGCAAATCCCGTGATCCTTGTTTATATCAAATCTTGGAGCTGGTTTGAAGTACCTTTTTTTATCCAGCAAGAAAGACAACTTTTAAGTTGCAAAAATGAAAAAAAAATAATTAACTTAGTGAAGAAGCCTTTGGTATCAAACTAACTCATCTGAAGGAAGCCTTGAGCAGTAGAAATATATTAAGCTGACGCTTGAGCTGAGAGTTACGATTGCTCCGGTGCTTTCCACACGGAAGAAATCCTCAGATGAATCATCTGGAAGCTGTGGACAAGGAACAAGAGAATGATGCAAAGACTCTTGACGCATTCTTTCTCCACCAGAGAGATATTTCATTAACCGAGATTGTGTCAACAGAGCTCCACTGCCAAATTAAAAACGAGTTAAAAGAAGCATTGGAGCTTTGTTGTTTTTAAAACCAAATGTGTAGTATAGACCTTTCCACCAGCATCAAATAATCCGAGTTTAGCATCCTAGCACGCCCACGAGACTGTATGAAGCTGCAAATGTTTGATGCAGGGTCAAATGTGACAACAAGATTGCAGCTTTGAACATCTAGGCCCTCTTCAAGAATAGATGTTGCTACAATGATGTTTACCTAGTAATATAAGAACAGAGTTACTCAGACTTAAAGATAGAAGTAAAGCAGATCATTAGGAACTTTGAACATATACGTACCAAGCCTCTCCTGAATTCTTCCACAATCTCGTTTTGCTTCTTCCTAGTTTGACTATGAAGAGCAGAGCTACTTCCTGCAACGTACTTGGGTTTCCACTTATTATTATAGTTTTTAAGAATCTCTGCCAAAAGAGATTCCACAACAATTGCTGTTATCACTCTTTCCACAAAAACGATGCATCGTATGTTCTCCAAGGAGCTGTATCAACGACAGAATATTGTGTATGCAAAAAAAATGAATCTGACAGTGAATTCCAAAACATTCAATAAAAGTATAATAAGCAGTGTGCATGCAAACCCAAACCTATAACCAAGAAGAGTTTCAATGAGGCAGACTGTTTTTGAAGTTAGTAGACCTGCCTCCATATTTTCTTTTATATTAGCAATACTCCAAGTTTGACCTAATTACAACAAGCAAAGAACCAAAGAGGTAAGGAAACAAAAAAAAAAAAGAATCTTCAATCATAAATATTAAAGTAGTAACCAAGAAACATACCAGGAGGTATGTAAGCTAAAAAAGCTTGTGAGGCATCAGAACAGAATTTTTTTACCAAAGTCTCACTAAACATATCTAGTTGATCATCCCTAAAGACAAAGTCATTCTGGCTAGCTGACAATGATTGAGCAGCCTGTTGTGTAACAAAAAAAAACAAAAGAAATGACAAAATCTTCTTACTTTACTTGTTAATCAAAAACATTGATGAAAAGCTAAACAGCACCAAGAACAAAAAAATTACCATCTGCGCCAGCAAAATTCCGAGATCATCCAAACAATACGTTAGACATAAACTTATCTTGTGCAGTCTTTTCTCTATAGAACCAACAATAGATGATTTGAGATCCAAAGTTGCAAGGGATAAGCAATGCTGAAAATCAATTAATTCTACCATAAGTGTATATGGACTATATAATTTTATGATTTGAAGATAGACACCACACGTAGCAACATTAATCTTTGGTGTAGATACCTTTGTAGTTAGTTCTTCAAGCTTCTCTACCAAGCTTGCACGTTTAGAACATGGTATCTCCATGTGATGGTAGTACTTGAAGCTCGGTGTAGAGAAGGGGACAAACCCAGCCAACACGGACTCATTCTCACAGGTATACACCTTTCTTATATTCAAACAAAATATTCAGTATGATGAAATGCGCAAAATCATATTATTAATAAAAAAAGTTACAGGTATAGCCCAAGTTTGACCTATTATCTATGACTAAGACTCATACATATCAGGAGGGACAGTACCAAAAAAAAAAAGAAACTCAAGATAAAGAACAGAAGCAACCTTTGAGTTCATTAGAGTTTCGAGCTCATGAATCTTTTCCCAGTAGCTATCCAACTTTGCACCTTAATTGAGAGAAGAAGAAACACCAAATGTGAATAAAACAAAAAATATAATGTATATAATCCAATCAATAAAGTAAGGTTAAATGCATATTAACCCTTTGTTTTCACAAGGGATGCAGTCATCCCAAATATCCTTGGAACATCCGAAATCCCAGAACTTAAATCCTTGTGATAGAACTCCTGCATGAAAAAAAAGAGAGCTATATGTTGTCAAAAATTATAAAAATACTTCTTTTTCTCAGTATAAATTTTCAGTGAGATTTAATATAGGTCTGAGTTCTCCAACTTAGAGTATCTTTTCATGCTCACCCTCATGATACAAGCGTAGGGGTGCTTTCCCCCAGCATGATGACACTCATCAACTATTAGAACCTTGATCATGTTCAGCTTCAGAAAACTATGTCTCAATGCATCTAGCAAAATGGCGGGGGTCATCACAAGAACCTGCATTTGTGATAGCAAGGAGAAACAACAAAAACAAGATTCAAGATTTCAAGAGATACATATCTACAAAAAAAAAGTTATATCTCAGTCAAAATAAGGAAAAGAGACCTCATATTTGTCGACTTCTTGTTTCCATCTCGAAGAGTCCCAAAAGTCAACCCCCATGTCTCCCCAATACATACCCACTTTTAGATCAGTATGCATCTTCAGGGCTTCTCCTTGCTGCGTAAAACACACAAGGACCAAGTATATATGAAGATCTTTACATCTCCCTTCACAAGTCTCACACCAATAAAGGATAAGTCAGACTAATGTTTCTAAATTCGGAATGCGGCAGGATAAGTGTGTGTGTGTTGGTGCATATATCTGCATTGACTGTTCGTGTCTCTCTTTGTTTCATCCCTATACCAATTCTACATAACATTGATCCCATTGTGTTACTCTCATGTTGAGAGAATATGTGCATATATAAACTCAGAGAGATGCATATATAAAGAAGTTTGACAAAAGATAGAATCATACTTGAGTGACAAGAACAACTTGAGGAACCAAAAAGACGCTGAAGCAGGGTGAGGGCTTGCGGAAAAGGTAGGCGTAGCTACGAAGAAGCATAATGGCGATGAGGGTCTTACCAGAACCAGTCTCCAAGAACACAATCGTGTTCTGTTTTATGGCTTTCTCAAGTGCCTCCACTTGGTAACTAATAAATAATAAGAGCATCATCATAAATACGAGGCTAGATAGAATTTACACGAACATGGGTTCTTCTCACTCGTTAATTATTAAAGATTCTCTTAGCAAAGCATAACAGAGCTAACAAACACTGCAAGAGGAAGATAGGAGAATAACCCCACCTTCTTGCAAATGGTAGAGCACAAGCAGAGACTTGATCGGCTCTTTCAGATTCCATCTCATCAGCATCCATGGCCTGCGTCTAGAACATAAGCAATACCACTAAGAAGAGAGCTCAAAACCCCAAATCAAAATTGAAAAAAAAAAAAGAGAAAAGAAGAATACTTCGAATGGGAAAGAAAGACAGACCAGTGATCAAAGACGGAGTAATGGAAAAGCTTCTAGTACAGACAATGGTGGGAATAAACCTTACTGAAGAAAGGTTTCACAGAAGTCGAAAAATCAAAAGGATAAAAAAAACAAAAAAGATGAGCTTTTTGAGATGGCTACACAATAATTTGTGGGTTTACTGTTTTATGATGTTGATTGTGTTTTGTGCACCTTTGTAAAACGGCAACTTAATTGGCAAAAAGCAAAAAGCACCAAAGCACAAAGCAAAAAAAGCAAGGCAAATTACACATCTCTTACAAGTATACAACTAATTTTTAAAAAAAAAAATGTTATTAGTAGATTAAATTGTTATCAACAACAAATGGTGAAAAAATCTATCATAGAAAGTCTTAAAATATTTCCAAAAAGTAAATTAACTCATAAAATTGAAAACATTTGGATATTTTTTTCATCATCATCATATCTGAGACAAACCAACAATATCAGGTTGATATTGTTGGGTTCCGAACTAGTTTGTCTCTTTTGGGTTGGAATTGTCGAAAAAGCCTTATTTTTAGCATAAAGGCCCATTATATACTATATCACCAGCTTGAGTTAAAACTTGAACCAAAATCGCTTCGGTTCTTAGTCGGTTAAGTAATCTGTTAAACCAATTTGCCTCTACTTGCTAAAAAATTCCTAAATCGCTTTCTTCTCTCTGATCATCATCATCACTCGAATTCAATCGAATCTATGAAACCCTAAATGCGTTTTCGTTCTCCCTGCATCATTTCAGGTTAATCTTGTTCCCTGGTTCAAAAACAAAAAGGTTCGCACCGTTTTTTTCTCATCTTCTTCAACGACCCCAACAATCTCACAAATTTCCAAATCAATAATGTCCACTTCCTCGTAAATTTCAGTTTCAGTTCTTCACAACCCAGATTGTGTTTTGCTGAAAGTAAAGTATAAGAACAGTAATGGCGCTCTGTAACTTTAATCCAAATCTCTGGGGATTCCCGCTGCAAGGATTATCAGTGAGTTCCTTTGATTTTCTCCATCAATTGTTGTTGAGCACATTTTCCTCCTGGGAAACTCGCATCAAACATTTCAGTTTTTTAAGGACAAGTTTTCGTTCTTTGAACACTTTCAGAATGTGTTTGTTAAGTTATTTCAGATGTTGTATCCTTCCAATTGCAGAAATCCCAGGAATTTGGATGCTTTTCATTGCCCGAGTTTCCAACTTGTTCGAAGGCCAAAAGGTTTGGTTTTTGCATCAGGGCAAAGGTAGAGTTGATGCATTTCAGTTCGAATCTATCTTAGATTGTTTCTGTAGATTTAAAACTTGATTTCCTGTGAAATGAAACACAACAATGTCATAATGGTGGTATTGTTTTCAAGTTCTCAGAGACACAACCCGGGAAGGTGGACGGAAGTTACGGAGCCACTGTGAAGAGGTTTGTTTTTTTTGCATTACACACAAGTGAACATTTGTAATTTTAACTAATGTCTGGTTCCAAGTCTGTCTCTTGAGCCTTGGAGTAATTGTCTAAATTGTTTTGTCTTGATTGATTCATTAGTAAGTTTATTTGTGTGGATATTGTAGGAAGGAAATAAAGAAAGTGAGGAAGCCAGAGCATCATTTGTGGAAGAAGAATGACTCTGCTGGCTCCGGGCAGAAAGCACTTAATCTTGTCCGAATAGTAAGTGAGACAGACAAACAAACAAAAAAAAACCTTTTTATCGAAATGGAACAGACAATAAAGTAGTCAATGATGATTTTTACAACTCTCAACTGGTAGATCTCTGGACTCCCGAATGAAAAAGAAGCCGTTTATGGAGCTTTGAACAAATGGGTAGCATGGGAGGTTGAGTTTCCCATTATTGCTGCAGCTAAGGCTTTGCAGATCTTAAGGAAGAGAAGCCAATGGCACCGTGTGATTCAAGTATGTAACACGTCTGATTATGTCAAGTGCGAGTTTCGTCTTTATAGATGGTGTCATGAGTTGTTGATTGGTTTAGTTAAAAAAAAAACTCAGGTGGCTAAGTGGATGTTAAGCAAAGGCCAAGGCGCTACAATGGGAACATATGATACCCTCTTATTGGCATTTGATATGGACGAAAGGCCTGATGAGGCAGAATCTTTATGGAACATGATTCTGCACACGCATACACGATCCATCCCAAGACGCTTGTTCGCTAGGATGATAGCTTTGTATGCTCACCATGACCTTCAAGATAAGGTCATCGAGGTAAAGCAAGTTTCTTGCTTTTCTCGACTTGGTGTTATGCTCCTCAAGATTTTGTGATAGTTAGTTATACTTTTCTCTTTCGGTTCTCTCTTTCAGGTGTTTGCAGACATGGAGGAGCTAAAGGTGAGGCCGGACGAAGATACGGCAAAGAGAGTGGCGCGAGCTTTCAGGGAACTCGGCCAAGAAGAAAAGCGGAAACTCGTTCTTAGGAGGTACCTTTCTGAATTCAAATACATCTACTTCAATGGTGAAAGGGTTAAAGTCAAAAGATACTCATCTGAAGAAGGTTGATTGCATTCTCATGAGCACACACACACACACACACACATGTATATGTATAATGTACCCTAAGTTTTTAGTCTTGATTTGTAATTTGTAGACTGTCAATTCGTCTAGAAGATGGTAAAAATTAATCTCCATTATTAAAATTATCCTTTTTTCTTGATAAAGCAAATGAATTGTCAGTGTTCAGTGACACTCATGCTTTGTAGTGTTCATAAATTCTTGCATGTGGTTGGTGTAGATATGATCATCTTTTTATGTTCTGTATATTTTTGATAGGTTTCTTTATTTTGATTAAGAATCCAGCGTGGCTGCATAACTAATTTGCTCTGTCATATAACCCCACAAGATCATGCTTCAAATTTATGAATCACTGACCTGAAAACCTCAAGAGTCACATTATAACAACAATTTCATTTATCATATATTAATGGTCCACTATATCCTCATTACTTAACAACCCTATTCTAGATTCGTCTTATTAATACTCTTGGTGGCTGCTTAGTACAGAAAGTTTTGAATCTTTGTGGACAATTTCTTCAAAATTTGGTCCCAAAGTGATTATTTTGTTACTTTATTACTGAAGAACAAGAAGCATGAACAAAGACGAAGAATTTATGAACTTCAACTACCACATTATGTCAATCATGATGATCATCGTCATGACATAGTGTCTCTTCCTCTTCCCATTTAATGTTACTTCCATCTACCTCCATTAATACATACATCCATACCGCAACATCATTCTTCACCATCCATTCGAACTCAACCATGATCAATCTTGGCCGTTCGATTGCTATAATCCCACACATGATCAAGAGATTATGCGAGTGGCCCTCACATCTCATGATTTGTTTACAATTTGACATCTATCACAGAACCAAACTAATGTCTCATCCTTTTGCTAATTAGCTAAAAAGGAGTAACTTGGTACATGTCCCCATATCAATCTTGGTTTCAAATCTCAAAATCTTCACTTCTTTAAATAACCCATCAACAATCAATCATTGATGTGATCGATTTGAGCATATGGTTTCCCTCTGGATACAAAGTTCTTAACTTTTTTTTTCTGGCAAACGATAATAACAGAATTATCACATTACAGACAAGTTGGTCCGAGAGTACTGTAAGAAAGCAGAGTATTATTAATTCCTTTACTCGTTATGTCTCCACATCCATACGTATACAGTTACTTTACATATCTACTACACAAACATTATCACCGCGTGACAATTAATGCTTTCTTCAACCATCAAAAGCTCAAAACTTTTTTTTTTCTGTTCCTTTGTCATTCCCTTCATACTCTTCTGACCTTTATTATATACATCTCACCCATTTACATTCTTCACGTTCTCAGACCAATCTCTCTCCTCTTCTTCCAATTCCCTCTCTTACCGGATAAGGGTTTTCAGAGAGATGGCTAGAGTTCCTGTAATGATGATGAAGATAATAATGATTGTAGCTATAGCTATGAACATGGCTATGGGTGAGCCAATAGCACCATGCTACTTCATATTTGGTGATTCTTTGGTTGATAGTGGAAACAACAATCAGCTTCAATCCTTTGCAAGAGCTGATTACTTCCCTTACGGCATCGACTTCCCGTTTGGTCCAACCGGCAGATTCTGCAACGGAAAAACCACCGTCGATGTCATCAGTAATCTTATAAACAAACACCCTTCTTTTTGGTCCAAAACATGTTAGCTAAACAAACAAAACAACTAACTTTCTCTGTTTTCGTTTTGCCGGAAATCTAAAAAGCCGAGCTTCTTGGTTTCGATGACTACATTACACCATATTCACAAGCAAGAGGGGAAGATATCCTGAGAGGAGTAAACTACGCTTCTGCAGCCGCCGGAGTCCGGGAAGAAACCGGCCGTCAGTTGGTAAATTTCTACCCAATTTTGGTTATGATGACAGATCATTAACTTTCTTAATAAGGAAACATAAGTCTCTATCCGTTTTTTTTGGTTCAGGGAGCTAGAATAACATTTGCAGGACAAGTAGCTAATCATGTAAACACGGTCTCACAAGTGGTGAACATACTCGGAGACGAGAATGAAGCTGCTAATTACCTAAGCAAATGCATCTACTCGATCGGTTTAGGCAGTAACGACTATCTCAATAACTATTTCATGCCTCTATATTACTCTACCGGGAACCAGTACTCTCCAGATTCGTTCGCCAACGACCTCATAAACCGATACACCGAGCAACTTCGGGTCCGTTCATATCTTGTTTTCCCCCTTGCTATGATCCTCTGTTTTTCTATATACTCTGTTTTTATGTCTCTGTTTCTTCATTTGTTTGAATGGCGTTTGGTTTTTTGCTTCGGTGTGGAGTAGATAATGTATAGCAACGGAGCGAGGAAGTTTGCGTTAATTGGTATCGGCGCAATAGGATGCAGCCCTAATGAGCTGGCACAGAACAGCAGAGACGGGTTTACTTGTGACGAAAGGATCAATTCCGCGAACAGGATCTTCAACAGCAAGCTCGTGTCTCTGGTCGACTATTTCAACCAACACAACCCAGACGCTAAATTCACTTACATCAATGCTTATGGTATCTTTCAAGACATGGTAGCTAATCCTTCTCGCTATGGTAAGAGTCACCAAAACACAATCGAATTGAGCTTTAACTGAAAAAGTTTCTTCTTGATAGTTTCATCGTCGACTTCTTGTTGATGGTTCAGGGTTTAGGGTGACAAACGCGGGATGTTGTGGAGTTGGGAGGAACAATGGACAGATAACTTGTCTTCCGGGTCAAGCTCCATGTCTGAACAGGGATGAGTTTGTGTTCTGGGACGCGTTTCATCCAGGAGAAGCAGCGAATATCGTAATCGGTGGTCGATCTTTTAGGAGAGAATCTGCATCTGATGCTCATCCTTATGATATCGAGCAGCTTGCTAGGCTCTAGTTCATTAAACTTCCTCCACACAAACAAAGAGAAAATGCGAAAGATTGAATCTTTTACTTATATAAGTGTTTGATAGTTATTGTTTTTTTTGTTGCGGAAGAATTGTTTGTTTTTGTGGACTTTATTTGTCATTGTTCGTTCTATATAATGACATGAAGTTGCTGTTTTTCTCATTGACTCGTTTGGATTTCTGATTCTCTTATTAAAAATGCAACTTTGTTACATTTTCAAACTAGTAAAATAGATCTAACAAGAAACTGAAGTTTACTAGTTCCCGAGATTTCTTCCTGAAACAGAGTCAGTTTCTATTTTTTTGGTTAATCAAAGGTTTTTCTTATGGTTAATGAGAGCCAGGTTCTTGACCAAGAACCAACTTAACTTTTCACTTTTTACCATGGTTACTTCAATATTCTCTTCGTGTAATCTGAATTTTGGAAACCAATTCGAGAGGAAAGTCTTTATTTCTTCTTATAACTTTCCAATTATCTATTCTAAAGACTTGCAGCGACTAGGAAGTAGGAAGGTCTCACTATATCTAAATGATTACGATTTTGGCCTCACCTATACATTTACGTGTTGATATGATAAAAAAAAAACAAATTAAGTTAAGTGTTCAAATTTTTATGGGAATCTTGCAAAAATGATCCATAAATTTAAGTCAATTGTTAAACTAACCTCTCATTTTAACACTTTTGAAATTAACCACTTTATCTCACTTATATCTTTATCAGTTTTATTTATTCACGAAAATGCCATTAGATTATTGTTTTTTATTATTATTTCGGAAATCTATTTTACCAAACAATTCTCATCTTCCTCACTTATTCACGAAAATGCCATCACCATCAATTCATTGAACCACCATTTTCAACCAATTTGAAGCTTTTATTGTTTCAAAGACCCATTTTTTAGCTTTGTAACCTCATTTCCTCTTCTCTTAACCTTCTATTCTTCCATTTTTTTCACCATTTTCAGCACAAAAACTCTTTAATCTTAATTTTTGAAACTTGATGTTTTAATATATTGCCATATTTGGTGATTTGGTCTGGCAAATCACTTGGACTTGTTTGGTGGTGGCTGGAATCAAAGAAATCGGTGGTTGAATAAGTTAAATACCACTGGTAGGTGATTTTTCAGTCAATTTTCGTGAGTTTTCAGATTTGTGCCGCAGACTTCTTAAGAAGTCTACTATCGGTAGTAGACTTCAAAAGAAGTCTGCTGGTCAACACACAAGTTAGTTTTGCAATTGACCGGGTGTACCAATTTCTGACAGTAGACTTCAGTTGAAGTCTGTGCCATTTCCTTTGACAACAAAAAAAAATAGTGTAAAATTCAAAAGAAGTCTACGTAAAAAGGGGTTAGTTTTGCAATTGACCAACGTTTGACTTTTACGTAAGAAGTCTACTCGCAAAAGTAGACTTCTTCGGAGAAGTCTACTTTGAAAGTAGACTTTTTAGAGGTTAGTTTTGCAATTGACTAATGTTGACTTTTTCGAGTAGACTTCGCTTGAAGTCTACTTTTCCGAGTAGACTTCGTTTGAAGTCTACTTTCTGAGTAGACTTCAAAAAAAGTCTACTCGAAAATAAATTCAATGTTTGGTCAACCCCAAAACTAGCCCAAGTAGACTTCGTTTGAAGTCTACTTTTGAAGTAGACTTCAAACAAAGTCTACTTTGAAAAGTCAACATTGATCAATTGCAAAACTAACCTCTAAGAAGTCTACTTTAAAAGTAGACTTCTCCGAAGAAGTCTACTTTTTCAAGTAGACTTCTTATGAAAAAGTCAAAGTTTGGACAATTGCAAAACTAATCTTTTTTTTACGTAGACTTCTCGAGTAGACTTCTCGGAGTGAGTAGACTTCTTTGAAGAAGTCTACTCATCTTTTGGCAATTGCAAAAGTAACCTAAAATATAGACTTCATACGAAGTCTACATTTGTAGACTTCATTACAAGTCTACTTTTGTAAACTTCGTTGTTAGTCTACTATTTCACCTTTTTATAAATGCGTTTTTATCAAATTTACAACGAATTATTAAGATTTTTTTGGTCTTACGATTGTTTTAGTAAGTGTACTTACATTTGTATCAGTTTTACATGTTTATATTATATATATTTGGTAAAATCAAGTTTCTCGTTTTATTTGGTATTTAACTTATTAGTCTGTAGACTTCGTTTGCAGTCTGCGACATTAATTTTTTATAAATTTAATTGATCAGATATATGTAACAAATAAAAATTATCATTTGACTCTTAAGTGTGTGATATATTGTTCTTGCTTATGTATAAGTTTGAATTTTTTTTTGTTACAATTGAGCTTTAACTAATTTTCTCCTTTTATTTGGTATTTAGCTTAATAGTCCGTAGACTTCATTTGAAGTCTACATAGTAGACTACGTTTGCAGTCTACTTTTTCGACAATGATTTCTAATGTGGTTTGAATTTTGTTTTCTTACAGAGAATGGTTCACATACCCACTGTTTATTGAGAATGTGTGAAGAAAGACTAGTTGTGGTATTTCTAAGTAGTTTTACATGTTATTTTGTTATGAGTTTTACATGTTTTTGTATAGTTAAATTGAATTAATTTTCTTGTGTTATTAGAGGTTCAAAGATGGTGATAACTAAATCTGACAAAGAAGTCTGCATATGAAATCTGAATATGATAAAACACACATAATTTAAGAATATATAAAAATAACATTAATTACAATCCAACTCTACATATCAAGTAGACCTTCTAATCAAACAAACATTTAAGGATCATTAATTATAAATCTTAAAATTAGCATATAAAAACAAAATATCTGAAATAGATGTATGTGACTGAAGTCTGCTCGAGAAGTCTGCCCGAGAAGTCTACTCGAGACATCTGCAGCTGAAGTCTGCTTCCAACAAAAACAAAAGAGAAATAAATAAGCTCAGGCCTGCACAATAAGAAAAAAAAATGTTAAAATTCATATTTCAACAAAATCTGCTATATTTACAAACATCATATCTACAACAAAAAAGAAAAAAAGAAATCAGTTATGCAACAAAAAAAATTATAGATCTGCAACAAAATAAACAAAATTCAGATCTGTAACAAAATAAACAAAATCAGATCTGCAACAACTAAAAATTCAGATCTACAAAAAAAAAAAATCAGATCTGCAACAACAAAAAATTCAGATCTACAACAAATTTTACAAAATTTATACCATAAAAAGCGCATATTTGCAAGAATAAACTCAGATCTACAACAAGAAGCTCAAATATGCACTAATAAACCCATATTTACAATATGAACACAAAACAAACAACAAAAGAAACACAAAACCTCAGATTTGCTTACCATCGCCATAATTGAGATAGAGAGGATAGAGGATAGAGATGGGTCTGATGGCAAGAGAGGAACGAGAAGAGATTCATGGCCAGAGAGGAGGTAGAGGAGAGAGAGGCGTTTTTTAGAGGGAGAGAAAAACTTTATTTTCAACCCAATTAGGTTAATCTCCTTATATATGTAGGAAAATTTTCGGTTACTTAATAAGTCTACTCGAAAAGTCTACTTCAATATATTTTTTCGATTTCGATTCCCGCCTAATTTGTTCCGATTCCCGCCCAATTTGTTAGATAATTTTGAATTTCCGCTATGTTTTTTTTAAGTCTACTAGAGAAGTCTACTGGAGAAGTCTACTCGAGAAGTCTACTGCATACGTATGTTTTCTAAGGGGTTGTATGTTTTCTAGTTAATTTTCTTTCTGCATTTAAGTTGATTCATTTGTATGAAATTTTGTATTCTATACATGTCAAATATATATGTCTTACTTATGTTTACCATTTTTTTAGAAATTTATTTATTTTATATTTTCTAATTAATTTCTAAAAAATGAATTATGTAGTAGACTTCTTTTGAAGTCTACATACAACGATTGTAGACTTCTTACGTAGACTTCTCGAAGGATAAAATCATAACTGTGTCAGACGTTTTTTATTTAGTCACAAAGGACTGAGCTGTAATTTCACTACCTATTTGAGTTAGTTTTGCCAAACATTCATAAAGGGTCTACATATTGAGAAAAAATCAAATTTTAGGTTATAAAGATGAATTCCCCCAATTTTTATTGCCACAAATGTTGAAAAGACAAAAGATTCAAGTGTAAAGGCCTAAAAGATAGTACCAAAACTGAAGAAAATGACACTATGAATATTTTGGGAAAATTGAGCTTGAAGATGAGAACGATTTTGTTGGTGCTTGGAGCAGATATATATGGAGCCATCTCAAGATTTTCTCGAGATCCAGATTTGAGCCAACCAAACCACGTGGAAGGAGGAGGAGGAGAAGGTTTTGAGCTGAGCTCAGGTTGTAGATGATGAGAAACATCTGACCCGGCCAAAGGAGATGACAATCTTCAACTCAATTATATGAAATAAAGACAATCCTGAACTGATTATAAAATATAATGTGTTCATAATGAGATAATTTTATTTATAATACAATCACAAGAAGCATCAGTAGGGCATGAATTGGTAAGAACAACAATTGAGCTAATTTAAAAAAAAAAACACTTATACACATAGTTGTCTTTTTAATTAATGACACGTCTTTATGATATTAATTTCACATCAACATAAGCAACTTAAATAAGTGTAGAAATCATCGACACAACAACGTTCGTGAAAATAAATATATAAATATGACATTATATAACATGCATTAGCTTTATATTGCTCTTTCCTTAACCCAATTCTGGGTTTTATTGACTCCTCGTTCCTTCAGGCTTCAGCCCAAATTACCTGCAAAACCAAATCAAATTTATGCTAAAATTTTTCAGAGAAGAAAGCATCCAACTTAATTAAAAAGATTGGTCGGAGCAATATATGTTTGTTTACTTACACTAACTGAAGAGCGGTTTGGTCTTGGCGACCAGCGGATGAGTAATGGTGATTGTTAGGTTGCAACGCCGCGACTTGAAAATAGTTCCGTGAATCAAACGGTTGAGATGGCGTTTGAGGCGGTGGCATAAGCTGCTCGTAGTTAGATCCACCTGGCATCAGATTCATACTCGGATTGCTCCTCTCATTTTCAGCTATCTATATACATTAAACATGTGTCATCAAATATTTGTTTCGTATTTTTCTCCTTTTTAATAACTTTTGTTAAAGTTTATATTTGTTGAAACAGATCGTTAGGAAGTTAAAAGAAAACATAGAGACAAATATAATGCATAAATTACCTTAGCACGAAGAAGCTGGTTATCGTTATGCAAATCAACTTCCTGCACAAATGTTTATTGCAAATGAGAAAAAACAAATATTGAATAAAATTAACAACGGAAATTAAATTAGATATATGTCGTACCCTCTTCTGCATGTAGTCAATTTCGGAGAATAAAAGTTCATTCTGTAGAAATACATACATACAAAAAAAGGAATAATTTAGCAAAAAGGCATATAGAAATAAGTAATTTACTAGGAATTTATTTATAAAAATATAATTACCTTCTTGGACCGGATTCGGGTAATACTTCTGTCTAATCTGCCTTCCAAATTCCTGAGCTCTTTGGGAGACATTGACCCTATCGTCTCACCCATCAATTGCCTAATTGATTTATCAAAAAATTATCAATATATTAAATAGTTAATAGTAACTACTAATTAATTAAATATTTCAAGTCTTTTGATATGATTTACCTGTTTGAGTTTTGTATACTGATAATTTGTTGACGCAATTTGGCCGATTCTTGTTGATAATACTTCAAAAAAAGTAGAAAGTATGAGCACTGTTATATTAGTATACTTAACTTAACTCTGTGTTTCATGTTTATTAAAATCATACGTGTAATTTAAAGTTACCTGTGCATTAATTTCTGCCACCGATCCGGTGTTAGAATTATCCGATATAGCCTTCTTGTATCTCTCAATTGTCCCTTTTACACTGCAAGGTTTATTTTTTCAAAATGAATTAATAAGTTAATTCGAAGTATTACCAATAAAATTTCAGAATTAAATTAGCATTTCGGAAAATAATAAAAAATAATTACAAGGGTCAAATCGCCCCACTTGCTCAGTTAAGTGTTTCTAATACGAAACCTTAAAAGCAAACATCGGTTCTTCTGAGTCAGAACAAATGAAACATAATGTGACTCATGATGTGAAGTAAAAAATAAATAAACTGTTAATAAAATATTCCTTAAAGTTGTAACAAATAAAGAATCATTTTAAAAAAATAATAGGAACCCTTATTCCTCTGAAACCTTAAATTTATCGAGCTAGTGATTGGCTGCAACTGCCATGCTGGCAAAATTAGAGTGACATGATTGGTCTGAACATGTCTAGGGCTTCAGACAAGTGATACGTGTCAAAAACCCCTTATACATTGGTAAATCTAGTAGACATTTGATAGCTTTTAACTTTTAACCATTGGATTAATTTAATTGTGATGTAAGTAAATGACTCGTCCGAGTAACATCACAACGTTCCATAATTTCCTTATTTGGAATATAATTAAATTACTAGTCTACCCATTTAGTCTTTTTCTGAGTTTTTTGTATATACTATATAGGAATAAAGTATACATACACATATACATATAACGTATTAGTACGATGACATATTATAGACTATGATGTCTGAACCTTCAAGAAGGAATCATAGCCGTCCAATTTTTGAATCGGCAAAGGCAAAACAAAAACTCTTGAAGAATATAATAAAAAATACTTTCAATCTATTGGATCCGTACAAAGAAATCTCACTTTCTTCTCTGCCCATACGGAGAGAGAACACTAGAAAAGCCCTAACTTTCTCTCTCTACACAACAACAAAATAATAATTCAGAAAAAGAAAGAGAAATTGCATAAATTTATCTACACCAAAGATGTTGAAGCAATTCCAAAGCTCAACTTATATACCAAATCTACTGATTCGGTGATCATTAATCTTTTTTTATATGTCTCTAGGTGTAATGTATGCACAACATATGAATCAAATTTATATTGACTTTTTTAAGAGTAATATTGGGTATTGACCAAATGTGAAATCTAATATTAAATGGTCAAAAGTAGTAATATGAGATTTTTGAATTTGTAAAAAGGTTCCAAACTAATTCATTATGACATAAACCTTCTTGTCAGAAGTCAAGAACTGAAACTAACAAAACTTCATACTAATAAATATAAGTGATAAATGAAATATAAAATAATATCTGTGTGATGACGTGATCAAAGATTCTGTAACAAAGACAACAAATCTTACAGAGACCAAACCTCTATCCCAACCTCTGAAAAAAGAAAAAAGTTTTATATATCTTTAAAAGAAAAAGGAAAAAATAAGAAACGAAACTCTGATTATGTTTAGTACCCACTGGATATATATAAAAAAAACTATTAGGTAATAAAAATTAATTTGGATTGGTTGATTTGAAGTCGCTGTTAGCTTTTCTTTTTTAGGACATAAGAATTATATATTTCGGGACATGAGTTGACAACTGTAAGCGATTAAGAACAAATACTTTCTCAACACCATTTAATTTTGACATGTTTTATGTTTGGAGGAAGTGAAAAAAAGAAATCACGTGGGTTTCTAATAAATATTGGTGGAAATTGAGATTACTAGTTGATTATTACTAGTGGAGTATAATTTTATAAGGAGTAAATTTAAGGAAAAAATGACTAAGCTACAGACCCCAATAATTTAATTTTCTTAACTATCTTGTTTAAATGACTATTTGAAATCTTGAAACTCCTGTTAAATTTATAATCTTGTGTGGTTGGAGTTGAAAATCTTCCTACTTTTGGCTACAACCACTACAAACGTAACTAATCCTAGCTCATATATGTTTTTCAATAACAACCAAATAAAAAGAAATTTACATTCACCAAGACAAAAAGCCTTTATAAATATTGTCCTACATCATGTACGTTTTATTATTTCTATCACTCATAAGTTCAATATTTTAAACATTCAGAAATCTATTTTTCACCTTATTTTACTCTCACTTACCATCACATGTGGTTGCATCAAATATGTGATATGATAATTCATGAGAGAGAAAGAGAGAGAGATAAGAAAGGAAAGTAAGAGAAAGAAGAGGAGAGAAAGAGAGACAGACATTAACAACAATGGAGGATGGGATGATCACAAAAACAGAAGATATGACCTCATAGTCCTTACTCCCCCAATTTGTTTCCCAAAACTTACTTTTATAGTCATAAAAATCAAGATTTTACCTATTACAACACCAGATCTATAAATATATCTAAATCTTGAAGTACTTGTTAGTATGCAAAATAGAAAGTTATAGGATTTTTTTTATATTATATATAACAGAAATGAGTGAAGAAAGAAACCCCAACAAAGTGAATCTTAGTTCTACAAAACTGAATCTAAAACTCCACATTAGAATACTCTGATTGTTTTCTTATTTCTTTTCATTTATTATCTAACTCTCACTCAGATCCCATAAATTTGTACCATTTTACTCGCTTTATACATATAACGAGTTCTCTTTTTTTCTTTTGCTAAAAAATTAGAGTAAGGTAAAAGAGACACATGAAGTTCAAGAAATTGGATCTAGATCAAAATTAGTAATTAACATAAACATATATCATACCAACAAAGATTCTCACAAATGTTTTTGTGTGTATATATGTGGAATATATTTCAAGAAAAAAGGTGAATAAATAATCCTACCCACTAGAGGATTCACACCATAAAAGAAGAATCGAATCAAATCTAGCATAGAAGATCGAAATCGCTTGTAAAAATTCGAGCTTTAACATATAAAGAAAACCCTAAATTGGACTTTTAAACTAATCAAACCTTTTAAAAACTAAGAACAGAGCAGAAGAATATGAAGGAACCTGTTGTTTGAGTACTCATAGAGACGGCCACGGCTAGAGAAGACGATGAGTGCGACTTCCGCGTCACAAAGAACAGAGAGTTCGTAAGCTTTCTTGAGCAAACCATTTCTGCGTTTGCAGAAAGTGACTTGACGATTCGTTGTGTTCTCGATCCGTTTGATTTCGATCTTTCCTCTTCCAGATTTCCTCAGCGGAGAGGAATCTTCTCCTAGCTCCATTTGGAAGGCCGTGATAGCTGCTCCAAAGCCAAAATATAAGAGGCAAAATTGATTAATCCAAACAAATTAAGAATCCAAGAAAATCATCAATAAACTTCTTGAAAAAAGGCTCCAGATTTGTCATGTTTTCTATTCGTTTGAATTATGGTTGAGATCATAATAAAGTGGATTAGGAAGATTTAGTTTTAATCTCTTGCCGACACACAACTGAAGAAAGAAAGTACAATTGTTTGATCTTAATTACATTCATATTCTCCTAACAAGAATTAATCTATATTTTCTTTGACGAATTTTTGTGAAAAGAAAGGATGGAAAAATAAGTTAATGTAAGACTAAGTCCTTTAAAATTCTAAAGAACAAATTAAATCTAGAATACGAAAAAGAAAAAAACAACAAAGAACAAAGAAGATCAAAGAATACTGAATCTTGTTTCTCTCTGAAAACCATAAAAAGAATCAAATTAAGACAGGAAACAAAAAAAGAAACCTAAAGAAGAACATAGATTTGGTTTCAGGACCAAAAGAAGTGAAGCAAAGTAATATTATGAAGAAGATAATGTTTGAAAGGATTGGGGAACAACAAAGTATTAGACTGACCTGTTGGGGGAGAAGAACAAAGAGGAAAGTTTTATTTTTCTTGGGAAAATGATTTTCTGGAAAGTATGAGATTTGGAGAAGTTGCAGAAAATGGAAGGTAAGGCTGTGCTGGTGAAGAGATGGGTATATACATTTATAAAGGAATATTTTTCTTTTAATTTTCTCTAAGTTTTATCACAATTTTATTTCCCACTTTTTTACATCCATATAGTACTTGTCAATCTGTGTTGATTACTGGTTTCTTACTCACTAAAGCATAGTTTTATGAATAAAATCTGAGTGATAAGTATGTGTTTCTTCTTTATAAGATGTACGTTCTAAAACATATATATCCGAATATCAAATTCTAAGATGAAAGACTATCATAATCGACTAAATTAAGGTATGTACTTGATTGATATTCTTGTGCGTAACACTAATTTAAAATCACATGAAAAATATGAGTATAGCAGCTTTTGAAATCACATGAAAAATATAATTTATAAATAGAGGGTTAATTACCATAAATAACACCCACCATACATCTAGACTTTTCATAAATATAATACTTATTAAGGACATCCCAAATTGAGAAATTGTTGGATAAAATAAAAATTGAAAATGAAAAAAAAATAGTTTTATTGGTGGATAGTTCTTGTGTGGTCTTTCACAAAGGTCTAAATGAAAAGAGGGTTCAAGTTGGGCAATCACTCATGAGATGCAGACTCTACTTACCATTACTTGTCTTTACTTTTCATGTGAAAGTTTTGAGGCACTAAAATCTTTGGGTAAAAAATCTTAGTACATGTTATTTTTTTGCTACAACAAATATTGATCTTTTTCTATGTTTTTACTAAATCTTGATCTTTTAAAAATGGAAAATTTATCTGTTCTATTCTTTTTTCTTTTTTGAAAATTTTATGTACAAGATTTAATTGACATGTTTTTGCAGGAAATTTTGTTCCACTAAACAGAGAAATTACATATACACTCTTTTTTTTTCGTCAACGGAAAGCTTATGTATATGTATATCTGTTTGTAAAAAAAATATTATAAAAATTGATATATTTAATATTATTTTGCAAAAGTATTTTTGATTTGAATAAGAACCAAGGCTATATATTAATAATAATAAAAAAAAACCAATTTTCTTATTAAAAACATTTTAATGAAATGTCGTTTTTTTCTTCATATATGATCTGATTGTGTATAAATGGAGTAACGAATGTTAAAATTATGCAATCATCTGTTTGGCTAAACTGAACATTATTCAGTCCCAATGTTCATCTCTTTTACTGGAAAATAAGGAATCAAAGATGAGATAATTTACTCAAATTGTGAAGGAACTTAGCACACTTTTCATGTGCTACTGAGATTTGGAGTTGATGTTGTTTACATGACATTGACATATATAGAGAAAAGATAAATTAATTAGATAAACAAGGTTTTAGGGTTTGTAGGGGAACTAGGGATGAGTCGTACTTTTATGGGTCTGGACAAGACGTAGTGCTTAATTTGGAAAGTTATATAAGTGTAATGCCTCTGACTCAATTAGAAGCTAACCAGACTTTTTCTCTTATCCCACTCTACTTTTAATCTCTCTCTCTCTCTCTCTCTTTATATTTTCTTTTTTGATACTTTTTTTTATCACATTTCTTTTTATTTAAACAGAAATATTTTTAGGAACAAAGAAATTATAATTTTATGTGTTCTCTCTTGATTTATGATGTTACAATCTAACTGTTCCCGATTGGTTTATAACCACAATTTAATAATATTTGTTTGGAATATTGTTTTAAAAAAGTAAAATTCTCAATATAGTTTCCGTAAATAGATTAATATTACTCTTTGTGATTATTAAAAAATTCAAATTTACAAAAATGCTCTTCATTTTGAATCCAAATTTAAGTCAACGGACCAAAAATCGAGTTTTTGTTACTAATTTTAGTATTAGAGAATTATGACAAAAATTTTAACTTTTTAATAGTCTCCAAAACAAATGTGGCTCTCTAGGTATATAAAAAAGAGAGAAATATTGTGTAATGTAAGTGGAGAAAAGGAAATGTGTAGATTGTCAAAGACTTTTGTTTACTGATGTAAAATAAAATACATTGAATAATTGAGGAGCACAACGTATAAATGGAGTAAGGTTATGCCAAAAGAAGAGGGAGAATAGCATGTGATGTGTAATCTTTGAGCTCCATCTTTCTGAACCCATTTAGGGTAATGTGATAGAGATATGAGAAACCTACATACACATTGCAATTTTATGTGCAAATAACTACATACACCCACTTGCATAGTGCTTTAGTTTCTTTTTTACCTTTTTTATTATTTTGTAATTAGGAAAATTAGTCCAACTATAATAGGATACATTCGCTAATGCATTCTAATAGTAAGAAATTAATATATTAAACATTACCTATATTTCTATAGCATGTGAGATAATTGATCAATGTAGGTATATATTCATACAAAATTAGTAATTGATTAGATTTTGTTTACATAATATGTAATATAGAGAGACTGATTAGGTTACTTATCAAAGTTAACAACTCACTTACTTTGGGTCAAGCTTTCATGGTTGGAGTGGGTTTTAAAAACCATAATATCTTCTCGTATCTTCAATGATGGACCACACTCGAAGGTTGCTTTCTACCTTAATTCGATCGCTATATATTGAGTTTTTGTGTCTTTTATTTTTTCTTTTAAAAAAACAAAACTTAGTCCAACATTAATAATTTATTTGTATAAACCACATTTCAGATTTAATAATTGGGAAAATTGAAAAAAATAAACACTTTTACTATGGGTTTGTAAAAGTATACTTTCTAATCTTTTGTTTATATTTTAAATAAATTAAATTTTATAAATTAATTATAATATTCTAAAACATATATTTCAAGAAAAAAGAATATAGAAAACTTAAAAACATCATAATAAAAAAAAAGTCTCAATCGTTAGTTTTTTTTTTTGTAAAAACATTAAAATAAATATTTGTGTTCTGTTCTATGAATTTTAGAATTTATCTTCTAAACTTCAAATCTGTTTTTCGAATTTTAAATAGTTATTCTTCATTTTTTACAGGTTCTATCAAGTTTAGAATATATATTTTTCATTTTGTACATATTTTATGAAATTTAAAATATATATTATAAACCTCATTTATGTTCTATGAAATTTAAAATATATATTTTGTACATGTCTACAAAATTTAGAATATGCAGTTTACAAAACTTAAAATTTTATGTGTCATAAATAGAAAAAAAATATATATATAGGCAGATCATAATCTAAATCTAAGTTAATCGATCAAATTTTAATATATATAATAAAAAAATAATTAAAAAGTGAACTGTAGGTAAATAGATACATGTAATTTAAATAAAAATATGATAATTGATTTGTTAAATTTGTAGGATAAATAAATATATAAATAGTAAAATCGTTAAAAATAATCATAAATCATATAGAATATAAAATTCTCAAAATTTAGAAACATGTAATACAATTTATCTGAAAACAGATAAAAATGAAAAAAATACCTTTTCACGAATAATTTAATTTTGTTTTTCATTTTTTGTTTCTAATTTAATTTTACGAGTTTTAAATAACTTATTAAAAATCCTCGTATATGATACTTATTTCTCATTTACATAAGAAATATTAATTAACCAAGTAGTATATTCTTTTTAATCCTGTAACTCATGGACGAAGGTTACTCATGGAAATCAGAGTAGGGTTAGTGTAGTCTCTCCCATTGCGGTGCTCGATCGAACATTTTCCCTTTCGGTGGCTAGCGAAGTTAACCAGTTATGCTACAGGTGACCGATCATTAATCTTTTTCTACGTAATCAAATTTTTACATTAAAAAAAATGATTCGAATATATATGATACATGTCAAATATATAATTAATATAAGTGTTAATTTATAAAATATTTGTTTATCGTATCATTGATTATTCATTAGAATACATACTTTATCGTATCATTGATTATTCATTAGAATTTTGAGCACAAGAATTAATGAGAATTTTTTTTTTAATTTGCTGAACTCTGCTTACACATCAGTGGTATTAGTACAAATCATTTTTTAAATTTGCTGCGGCCTCCTTCATCGAGGAGTAAACTTTACTAATCAAATTCATTCATTATGAAATTATTAATTATGTTAACTTATGCAAACCGTTAAGCAAAAAACTTATGCATATATGCAATGGTGTGCACGGTAAAGTGACACATGCGACTATAATTGAAAATAAATTAATTCAGTTTCCAAATCAAGAACCTGTTGCTGGGACCCTCCTAGAAATGTATATAATTTATACTTGCAATTTCACATTTTTGATGTATATATTCTTTTGTGATAGACATACAATTTCATGTGGTTTTATAAAATTCACATTTTATAAGACTGATAGAAAAAGTAACACACATAATACATATATTTTTTTTTTGGGTCCAAATGCCATATACTACTGGTGTTATCGAAATTTTCTTAGATCGATAGCTCTGATTGGTAACACTTGTGGAATAATAGAATGGTGGAAAAACCTAAAAACGCAAGAATTTTGTCAATCAAAAAAACCTGCGGAAAAATACAAAAACGCAAGATCTGCGGAATTGCATTTTTGCTTACAAAAAATACAAAGAAATATTCATTAAGCGAAAAAACGTATTTGGAGTAGATTATTTGCGGAATCAATGTTTATATTATTCAATTATATTTTATTATTTAAATAAATACAAATAAATAATTTAATATTACAAAAAATTATTTAATGATAAAGTTATATCTATTATTTAAAGTTTGCAATATTTTTTTTATGAAAAACAAATTATTAAAAAATTACAATTAGAATTATATCATTTTATAATAATTGATTGAATTATTAATATTATATTTTTTATAATATATAGTAAAAAAAATATTTTCAATAAGTATATTCTGCAATTTCGTAATTCCGCCATAATTTATCCAATCGTATTAAAAAAAAAAAGTTCCGCAATTGCGCAATAAATTATTCCGTAATTCATTTTTTCCGCCATTCTGCAATTCCGTGATATAAAAAATGTGTTACCAATCGGAGCCATTATTTATACTGAGGGAAATTGTTGGCGAAAAGAAATTTTTTCAAAAAAAAAGAGCATTAGACTGATTTTGAACAACCTAAAGTTTCAAGTGATCCAATCAAGGAAACATGGCAGGCAATAAATAAGCAATAACATTTGTTTTTCTTTGATCATGATTTCATTTGATTACTTATATTTTGTTCATAACTTTCTTACATTTCGAAATATGGGACCATACTTTGAGGTAGAATCATAGATTTTACACCAAAAATATGTTACAACAGCAAATATATGTTGAAGTTAAAATCATAGATGTTACAACAAATTTTGATACTACAATAAAATGCAGCTTTTGTCCACACAAAGAATTTCTTCGGTGTGAACAAAATTACAAATTACAAAGTAAAAAATTCTCCTTTTTAGGGGGAAAACCAAACTAAACCGGAAGGTGTACAAAAGAATTATTTCTTTAACCGGTTAAAGAATCACAAATGCGAACCCGATGATGAGCCGTCATGGCTGCTCAAATCCCAATTATGTTTCTTCTTGTGCTCGAAATTCTGAAAGCATGTCAATGGCCTCATCTGATAGAAACATGTGGAAGAAGAAATAGATTAGAGAGACAGAGTCACAGAGTTAACATAATCCAGAAGCCAAAAAACAAACAAACTCAATGATCAGTGTGTGCAAGAGAGAGAGAGAGAGACCCTCCATTGTCGCTTGTGGCCCATATGGTGAAGAATGGACTCAAGCCGTTTAATGATCTCTCTGAAAGTCGGTCGCTTAGCGGGTTTATCGAGCCAGCATTCTTCTATCAACCTGTGGGATACACAAAACCGGATCGAACCCAACCCGGTTAATGACATGAACCAAACCAATCAATGATGCAAAACCTGTCTTTCTCAGTTTAATGGTATAGACTATAGAGAACTCACGTTTTAAGTCCATGAGGGTAATGCTTAGATGGAGCTTTAAAAGATGGCCGCTCTTTGCAAGCATAAGCTTCTGAAGCTTCACTGTCTTCCTTTTCAGCAAAGGGTTTTCGTCCTTCGATCATCTAAAAGATTCCGACATTTGAAAGGAATAAACGACATGAACAAAGAAAGACCAAACCGAAAATTAAAAAAGAAGTATTTCTCTTACCTCTTGAACGATCAAAGCAAACGAGAAAACATCAGCTTTTGTATCGTACTCTTCGCTGGTGAAAACCTCAGGAGCAATATATCGACCTATAATGTCGATAACAACGAAATTCTTTTTAGCATAACATATACAGTAACCAAGACTATTGACCAGAGCAGATCAAGAATTTAACGCTTGCGAATAAAAAGCACTTACAAGAAGTGTCTTGACATGTGAAAGGCTTGTCTTCTTTAACAGTAACAAGCTTGCTTACACCAAAGTCTGCAACTTTCAGATGCCCTGAATCATCCCGCAATATGTTTCTGCAAAAAATTAATTTTAACAGAGAATAACAGAGCTTGTTAACGGTAACTACACATATAATATGGAAGAAAAAGAAACCGCAGATATGGAGAGTGTGAACTCACGAAGGTTCAAGATCACGGTGGATTATAGGATCTCCTTTGATCTCATGAAGATAGCTCATTCCCCTATAAGATATATTCCAACGCGTAAAAATTACAAACGAATCTTATAGTAACACTTATAAACTATGAAGAAGACGCATATAGCTTTAAATCATATACCTTGCAATATCAAGTGCGTATCTAACAGCAGTAGCTGGTTTTAACTGTCCTTTCCTATTGAGCAGTTCACGCAAATCCCCCTGAAGAAAGTATTTATATCAAATGAGATCTTGGTTTTACGAAACTGAAGAAGAAATGATTTCAAAAATTTATCAGAGAAAGTCATTATTACCCTTGGCAAGTATTCAGTTACAATCATCATTGGGTTAGTTTGAGTTACAGCACCAAGAAACTGCACAATGTTTGGATGCCTAAGCCTCTGGAGCAATGCAAGCTCATCGTGAAATTTCCTCCTGCGCGCACAAACACAAAACGATTACGGTCAAGGAATTGGAATCTAAAAACTTTATTACACTCTACAAGTTATCAACTTACACTTGATCATCATCGCTCAGAACTTCATCATCGAGCTTTTTCACCGCAACTTGAATGCCACGCCACATCGCCATACAGTAAGTTCCCTGAAACAAGAAGCTTCACCACCGTTAGACGAAAAGGAATTGAACACATTGATAAGAGATCCATTGAAGAACAGGACGTGTTTTTTTACTTTGGATATCTCTTTGCTCTGAGTGAAATCAAGCTCACTAGGATTGATTTCGTATTCAGGGACTTCACGAGCAGTCTTCACGTGCATTGGAGCCATCTGAAACATACAAACGTGTTATCAATAATGATTAAAAATCTAATGGCTATGAGAGACAGAGATACAACCAAAACACCAAAACCACATATAGATTCTTACCGGATGTTTAGCTCCATGTGTTTCAAGAATCTTGATGACATCAATGTTCTTGTAAAATATAGCATCTGCAAGAGGCTGTTTTTCTAAATTTTATTAGATTACCATAAAAAATATCATCATCTTCTATCTATCCATCAATCATTACACAACAAAACTAGAGTTTCAATTATAAATAAATAAAAAACGGAGAAATGAAATCTTTTAAATTTGTGTGGGTTTTGTTTCTTCATACCGTGCTTCCCCATCGATCTTTAGGATCAACTTCGGCTTTCCGATCAAGGAGAAGCTCGACGACATCTTTCAACCCCTGACAGGACGCCACGTGGAGAGCAGTCCGATCATCAATGTCTCTGTAGTTAGCATCGATCCCGGAATCAAGAAGCTCCTTAATCCCTTCAATGTCCCCTTCATTTGACAAATACATAAGCCTCACACCACCGTCGATCTCCTCTCCATCTTCCAACACCTCCTCTTCCGAGTGAATCGACGGCTCCGGAATCTTCTCCGGCGCCATCGACGATTGTCGACCGATCGTAAACCGCGGCGTTTGGTAATCCTCTTCCATCCCTAAATAACCCACGATCCTAAAACCCTGCTTGTGTCCGAAAATCTGGGATGGTCAACGAAAAATCAAAGCTTTAAAAAGAAAATCAATGACTTTTGACTATTATCTTCGCAGATATCGAGAAAAGACAAACACTAGGAAACCCTGATTCTAAACCGATTCAGCTAAATCTGAAAAGAAATCGAATAAGGAAATCGCAAAAAGAATATGGAGAATCAAAAGAGTATCTTTTAGGGATTTCGGAGCAAAATGTTCTGAGAAAATAAAAACCCAGTGACGAATTTATAGGTGAGTAATGCCGTAATGAAGAAGAGAAAGCTGGTCGGTAAAAAAAGTCCTCGGAGAAGAAAGAAAGAGAGAGCTAGCTTCTGTTGAGCGCGTACGTATCACGTGACTTAAATCGCGTGAAGAGGAAAGTTCCTTGTAGGGGAGACGTCATATCTGGCGCCACGGTAAGAATGCGTTGACGAAAAGAAATAATTCAGATCTGAGCCGTCGATTTAAACAGAGGCAGATGAATAATAACGGTGTAGATCATTCCGCACGTGTAAGATTCCATTCGCTTAAACGACCGCGTTTTACTGGCGCCGACGCTTTTTTCCTTCTGTAACCAACCTGGTTAGTGAATTAAAGCCAGTACTTGGGGACAAAGACTTCAAAAGGGATAAGACATACGAGTTACATTCAGTTCTATTTCTGTTTGATTTCCTAAATGATTACAATATTTTTCCACTTGTTAAATTGTAAATATATCAATTTGCAGGCCACTTTAGTTGTCTTTTTAAAAAAATGATAACAGCCACTTTATTTGGCCAAGGAACTAATTGGATAAGGTTTCATGCTATATATGTGATCTAATTTATTGATGTACACATTGAATAGGTAAAGATTGACATCTTCATCCTCATCTTCTTTTCTTCTTCCCCATTTCATTTGAGAAAAAGTCGTTAGGTTATTTACTATTCAACTTCACAACATGTGAATTTGTATGGGTTTATAGCGTCTTATCTAATTTTATATTCTTTAGTTGTCAACCTATATACTTAAGTATATTTAAAATATAAAAATAGTTTAAACTTTGACAACTATGTAAACACATGTAATGTCAACATTCTGACATTCGTATTTTAGGACATGGGCATATCATTGCTGTTGTCTCAAATAATGACAAGTTGTCTTATATTCATTGGAAACTTAATAATTATTATCCCTTGATTTCAATTCCAACTTCTTGGAGTTTTTCTAATCAAGTAATTTAGTAACAAATGTCAACTACATTCCAAATTGTCCTAATTTTTAAAGAGATATTTGTCAAAGAGGAGTAGTTAAAATGAAAAAAGAATATTCTCACCAGATACTTATATTTCTTTAAACAAGTAGTTACTATTAGATTTCATTTCATAGCATCTTAATAATTAAAACTGGATACATGCACTTAACACAAAAAGTCACGTTGTAGTTTCAAAGTTTGTTGGATACTTCATACTTGGATAGTGTCAATAAAATATTAGATTTTGACAAGAACATAAAGAAAAAGAAAAAAAGAAGGAAAATGGAAACCTATTGGACAAAGAAATCATATTTATCAATGGTATTTTGATTATGAAAACTTAAAAATATCAAAAGCAATGAAATAAAAAGAAAATTGTCTATATTTACAATATCGAGAGGTAACAATAAGTAGTCTACTATAATATATGTATCCGTAATATGGGGTATTATATGTGTGATTATTACGTGTACATTATGTACGTAATAGTCAATTAGGAGCAACTCCCTTTTAAGAATTTCATGCACAATCATAAAATCTTACCAAGTGTGAATGACCATACTAAGTTATGGTGGCAAATGTTTACGGTAGAATTTCAAATTGTGCTGAAAACACATGCACCTATCCCATTTTAAGTTTCAACTAATCACTACTTTATCTAATTTATCTCTATCTCTTTCTCATTCTTATCCTTTAATTTCAGTTCAAACTTTTCGAAGTACGTAATTTTTCTTTGGTCAAGCTTTTCTAAGTAACTTAGTGACAAATGTCAACTACATTCCACTTTGGTTTTCTGATTGCGTGTTTTTAATTATTATTTTTGCATCATCTTATTATGTCATTCTGATAAAGAATCCAATAATTCAAATCATAGACTAGTTCACCCTCCAAACCATTTAACTAGAGAAACAAATTAATATTAACATGGAATTCAGGAATTTCATATTGTCATTGTCTTATCACAAAATCAAAAAAGGAAAAAACAGAAGCAAACATACATTTCGAAACCCATAACACAAATATGAACAGAACCATTGAGAATCGTACAACATGAAACCAAGCCTATACCCAAGAGCAAGATCGGAGATATACCCAAAGGCCAGAACCATGATATTTCTTATCTTTCTTTCTTTTATTTAAGAAATCAGATTATGTTCGTCGATTTTCACCCAAGATCCAACGTCTGCAGCGGTTATCCATAGCGCAACTCGATTTATCCGAAAATGTAATCCTTCGAGATCCGAATCAAGCGTGTAAGCTTTCTCTAATGCTTTCTTCTTCACTTCCTCTGTTAGATCGCCGTAGAGTATGCTCATATGTGGCACGTAAACTGCAACATCCCATCATGTCACACAAACGTACGCGAAGAAGAAAAGACAAAAACGTTTCTTGGTAATACTATGATATTTAACAAATTAACACATATTCTCGATATTAACAATTAAATTACTTCCCAATAAAAGATAAAATTGGTTAGAGGTTTGATCATACGTTTTCCGGTGAAGGGTTTGAAGTGGGCCATAAAATGTCCGGCCGCATTCATTACCTGAATTCATGACACAAAAAAATGTTTGTAAATTGTAATAGTTTTGTATTTTCTAGATATTTATTACTTTTTCTATTTTAAAATATGTGTCATTTTAGCAATTTTTACACGAATTAAGAAAATTATTAAAAATTTTGTTTTATTTTTTTTACTCACAAAATAACATTTTCTTTCTAATTAATATACTAATATAAACAAAAATAAAACTTTAAAACTACACTTTCAAACGGAGGGAAGTAACAAACTTACAAAGATTTCCTAATCACCTTTCTACATCAGTATAAGACAGACTTTTCTACTTCATTTTTTTTTGTTTCAGTTCAGATAGATTTTAATTAGATTGTCTCTATCAATTTGTTTTGATAGATTACAAAAACTGAGAGAAAAGTAATAATTAGAAGCTGAATAATTATCTCGAGGCGACTTTTAATTTACCTCTGTGGTGTGCCGGAGAGCCACGTACACACACTGAAAGTATGAATCTCCGGCGGAGACTTGGTCAACGGTAGCCGGATAGGCCTTAAAACCTTCGCATGCCGACTTGTACATCCGTTTGGCTTCGCTGGCCGTAAGTTTTTGCGGTCCAACTAGGGTCAAGTGAGGATCAAACGGTGGACCACCGAACTCCGACCTTAGTCCTTCCATTAACCTCCCAAGCCGATCTTCCACGTCATCTTCCGGTACCGCCCACACCGCATACATGTCCTTCTTCTCATCCTCATCCTCATCGTCCTGCGCTTGCGGCGGTTGCAGTGGCGTTGCTCTTTCCTCTTCCGTCATTTTCTTGTCTTTTCCCACGACTCGTCTAAGGTGATGTGACTATATAATATAAGGGATATTTGCTACGGTTAAACCAAACGATTATCGAACCGAATGTTTTTTTTATTAACCGTTTGGGACCAAACCGAATTGCATCGAAACCGAATTACTAATAATTTCATTTGGTTTCATTCTATAAAATCAAAACCGATAAAACTAAACCGCAACTAGATCAGGATTGTCCATCCTTAACCACGATCACTATTTCATGTGATGTATTTAAAACATTCGTATTATCGTGGCCTTGTTGACTAAAAGAAAATTATATAATTAATGCCATAACAGCTATAATGCCTTTTGGATTAACTGAAACGAAGCTTTGGCCTTTTGATCCAAATGTAGAATTGTTATGAAACATTATAAAAAGACTGTTTGCACAAAAGCTTGCAAGTCGTTTCTTTTCGCTAAATATTCAAGTTTGGTTTAATGTATAGCGACTCGCGAATCTTTATTAGTTCTTGGAGACGATACATTGGTCTAAAGCACGTTTATTGAGGCCTTTTTATTACAGACTCTCAGAACCAAACTTTTGTCTTTCTTAAGGACTGAGATTGCAAACAGCCACTTTCTCCCATGACTCAAGAGTCTTGTCTTCGGTATCGGTCTTGCAGAGAACGAGTCGGTTTAACCGGAAACTCAGGCCATCGAGGGTTTCATCAAGGGTGCAAGCCTTCTCCTGAGCTTTCTTCTTATCTTCTTCTGTTAACTCGGCGTAAAGCAGGCTCAAATGCGGCATGTAAGCTGCAATAATTCGTAGAAAAAGAAACATGAGATAAAAACAAAAGAATTTGAAAATGAGAGATTAACCTCCAAATTCTACCATCAAAGCTTTCTAAAAGCAAATAAACTTTCTACCCTATCACAGAGTAAACAGATAAGATACATCCGATTTCGAGTACTCAAACTTAAGACTTCAAGTAAATACCTGTAAAGCTTTGATTTACAGAAACCAGTTTTTGAGTCAAAAGAGCTTACGCGTGGTGGTGGAGCAATGGAATTGGTTCTTACAGTGTTCCCCAGCTTCCATCACCTGTAATATTAATAAATCACACATATTATACATATACATAAACATTCGATTCCAAGATTATAATCTTAGTCATCTCTGGACCCAATATCTTAATTAGGATTTAGTTCAAACATAACAATTCCTCCCCAAAATGAGAATCACACGAATCGCCACTCTGATTTCTCTCAGAAATGTTGAATCTTGAAAGGAAAAGCCCTGATTTTATTTTTTGTTACCTCTGGAGTGGATCGGAGAAGCAAGAAAACGCATTGATAGAAGAATGTTCCGGTGGAGACGCGATCGACGGTGGCGGTGTAAGCCTTGAGACCGACGCAAGCTGCTTCGAACATCTTCTTGGCTTCGTCTGCCGTCAGATTCGCGGATACGGCGACGGTGACGTGAGGATCGAACTTCGGGCCAGTGAACTCGGATCTCAGAGCTTCCATTAGCTTCCTGAATCGAGGCTCCGATTCCTCATCCGGCAATGCCCACACCGAATATACTTCCTTCTTCTCTACCTCCATGAATCCGTTGACTAGAGTACAGACGCAAAACGGTGTATAATGTTATATAGGTTAAAAACATTTGTATAATCGTAACATGGCCTTGTTGACCAAAAGAAAATGATATAATCACTGCCATAACAGCTCCACCCAACTGTAGAATCGTTATGGAACATTAAAAAAAGACTGTTTTTACAAAAGCTTGTGAGTCGTTTCTTTTCGCTAAATATAATCATATACAATCGTAATGCAAGATTTATTCGATCATAGAGACGATACATTGGTCTGAAGCGACTTACTGGGACCATATTATTACAGATTCAGAACCAAACTTTTGTCTTTCTCAAGGATTGAGATTGCAAACGGCCACTTTCTCCCATGACTCCAGAGTCTTGTCTTCGGTATCAGTTTTACAGAGAGCGAGTCGGTTCAACCGGAAACTCAAGCCATCGAGGGTGTTATCGATTGGGTTAGCTTTCTCCTGAGCTTTCTTCTTCTCTTCGTCTGTTAACTCGGCGTAAAGCAGGCTCAAATGCGGCATGTAAGCTGCGATTTATGTAGACAAAAAGAAAGATTCTTTCACATATATGGAATCCTGAATGAATCTAATTATGAAGAGACTATCATTTCCTTCAGATAAAGATCAAGTCCTCCCAAAAGCAACAAACTTTTAGACCCTATAAAAAGAGCTTACGTGTGGTAGTGGAGCAATGGAAATGGTTCTTACAGTGTTCACCAGCTTTCATTACCTGTAAACGTAATAAACAGAACAAACATCAAACATCACATAAACATTAGATTTGTTTTTATCCAGAACCAAACCCATGATATTGATATGTAATAATCTTAGTCAGGAGCCAATATCTTAATTAGGATTTTCTCTAACAATTCTCTCACAAAAGTGGAAACTTGGAAGCAAAAAAAGCCAAGAACTTATTTTTACCTCTGGGGTGGATTGGAGAAGCAAGAACACGCATTGATAGAAAAAAGTTCCGGTGGAGACGCGATCGACGGTGGCGGTGTAAGCCTTAAGACCGTCGCAAGCTGCTTCGAACATCTTCTTCGCTTCGTCTGCCGTCAGATTCGTGGCTCCGACAACGGTGACGTGAGGATCGAATCGAGGGCCAGCGAATTCGGATCTTAGAGCTTCCATAAGCTTTCTGAATCGCGGCTCCGTTTCCTCGTCCGGCAATGCCCACACCGAGTATACTTCCTTCTTCACCTCCTCCATGATTTGGTTGATTTTAGATTCCAGACCAAAACAAAAATGATGAACAGTTGACTGGTTTGGAATCAAAATTACCAGTTTCTAGAAAGAAGCAGGCCTTTTTAAAAATATTTTATTAGTAGGCCTAATGGGCTTTCTACAAAGCCCAAACATCATCACCTATTTTGAGATACAAAAATTGAGTATTTGTCGAAAATCAAATCATAGTTTACCACGACTAATCATAATTTTTTCTTATCCCACTAATCAGATACATGATTACCTCCAAGTCATATTTGATTTTGTGTGTGTGTTTTGCATTTTTTTTGGGTCAAGTTTTGGGAGATTAGAGCCTCCCAAGTGTATTTAAAACATCCTCAAAACAACCTAATAACACCGTACACTTGTCTCGGGTACACAGTTTCTATCTCATCGTCTCTCAAAACTGCTTCAACACTAAACGGGACCAAATCAAAAGCATGAAAATTCAATGGTAATGAAAATGTATACACGTGCGATATACGTACTAACTAGTTCTTTTCGAGAATATCTAAACTTTTTGACCTTTTTCATCCTTTTTAGGCTACGGTTCCTAAAGCCATGTCACAAGTGCAACCTAGTTTCCTATCTTCCGTTGTGGAAATCTTTACGGTTGGCTGACAAATAAATCTTTTGCATCTTTGGGGAACTGGTGATAGCTTGCAGTTAACAGGTTCAGGTATAGATGATTTTTTTATTTTTTAAAATTTTATACTGTAGTTTCTTTTTGCTTATTCTTACCACTCATTTTGGATGTGATTGGGGTAGGGTTTGTTATCAAATGCAGTGGAGAACTTAGAATAATCACAAATGCACACGTAGTGACCTGCGGTTCAATTATCCAAGTGAAAAAGCTTAATCTCGAGACCAAATTCAGAACTGAAGTTGTGACTTTCGGACATGATTGCGACCTAGCGCTACTAAGGGTAGAGAGTAAGCAGTTGTGGGAAGACCTAGCTCCTTTGGAGCTAATAAGATCACTGCCTGATCTATATGAGCCAGTGACCATTGCTGGTTATCCCATAGGTATGTCTTTTTACTGTAGTGATTGATTTTGATACATCGTGTTCTTAAAAAATTTTGTTTTACAATTTCAATCTAAATTATCGGCTAGATAGTTAGCTTTTCTATACACGTGTGATATATATACTAACTAGTTCTTTCTCATAGCACAAATATACTAGGAAAGACAGTGAATATGAATCAACAATCCCTGTCTTGAAAAATCCCACCACAAAAAAATTGTTTATCTTAGTAGTTAATTTATGTTGCAAAAGAAAGGATTAATATTTTTAAACGATCGTATATATGCTTGAGTATAAGTGTAACTTTATCTTGTGATATATATAATCTTATTTTGTAACTTTTGCATAGTTGAGTTACACGACCTATAAAGAACAATGAATATATGCCTCTAAAAGAACTTGGATCAGATTCTTATGACATTATCAACCACTTACTATAAGCATACATACTTTTATAATCTCTAGAGATTCGTCAAGAACAAGAGATAACAAAAGAAAAAAGAATCACGGGAAGGGAGCAGTTCTCTTCATATCTGTCTCCACGACATCAAGCGCAAAGCCTTTCCTAAACCGAACCCAATTATCAGCAATCAGATTCTTTTTCTCCGGTCCGCATATTCCCTCTCGTGACGGCTTCAACGCTTCCGTTGAGATTCCTTGTTCTTCATCTCTCTTTTTCACCAGCTCCGGTTTTATCCTCCCGAGATTCACGTCTTGTGGCGACACCATCAACGACGGTACACCTAGTGGTAACCTATCTCCTGTAAACAAAACAAAAAAAGACAAAACAAATTTAATCACACTCATATGTCATATCAAATATGGTTTCTTTTACGTGCTAGTATAAACCAACAAGACTAAATATTAATTACCGCGATCTATCTGCCATGTACACCAAAATTTTCCATAGGATTTGGCAAGATTTTTAAGCTCCGGCTTCGCAACGAGCTCCGGGACCCTTGGAGTTACTAGGAGAGCCATTTGGATCTAAAAACAACAATAATTTGTTTTTTTTTTTTTTTTTTTTTATCATTTTCGATTCTCCTGTAAATGATGAACATTGCGAAAGTGTATTAAAATTATGAACCTCATAGTCATGCGAATGCCAAAGCTTTTGTTCCTCTGGAGAGAGAGTTTCGAATAACTTCTCTGACACTATATATTCGATCCCTAATGATTTATTACCATAGCAGATACAATTCGTTAGTCATAATCTCTCAAGCTTTAATACTCGACGTAGAAAACATTTGTGTACGTATAATCAACGTCTATAATTAGTTTTCTATAGGCTTTTTAAATCATTTTTAAGCCTAAAAAGGATTTATGATTATGTACCGATGAGATGAGCCTTAGAGGAATTGGAATCGTAGACAGCACATTGGAGGAAGTCCTGGTTTACACGGTGGCCGTAGATATGAACTTCAATTTGACGGCCAGGATCGTGGCTATAGCAAGCGAATGAACACACGTGGAGGCTCATTTGCCTGATCTGTTTCATAGACTGCATCATAGCCGTTCCTTTGTCTAGTATCGCCGTAGTCGTCTTCGTCGGATCTCCCATTGGCTCCTTACCTTCTCCGCAACTTGCCGGACACGCCACCGGAACCTTATCACTTGACGCCATCGTTAAACGACTAAAAAGCCTTTTTTTCCCTTATGCTTTAGTAGAGAGAGTAATGTTGCATTTACATGAGGAAATTATAACGTTCTATGATTTGGAGTGACACGTCATTGGAGAGTTCTGACGTGGCGGATAATTTCGATGTTGTGTTTTGGCCTTTTCCGGACAAAGTTACACGTGGCCGACTTTAAAGCTCTGGACAAAGTATTTTGTGCAATTCTGCGACTCCGTATTTTGTGCTTTTCCTTTTGACAAGTTCCAAATAATAACTAAATTTAGCTTTTCTTTTCTTTTATTGTCGGCTTTCAGAATTGAAATTCATTATTTTAAAAAGTAACAGAATACAGTTCTCAATAAATATGAAGATAGAACCTTTCGCATTAAAAAGACAAGGGAAAGAGATAATAATTAATACAACCATATTACGTAAGGCCTGGTCAAAGTTGTTACGATTTCGTTATACCATAAATTTTTTACCCATTAAAAAACAAAAACTCGTGCAATACCAAAACACTCCCATAACTTCTAATTGATAGTCAACACCTCCGATGGCTAAGTTAACATAGCCATGAACTTTATTTAACAACTTAGCGAGAGCTACCGTTTCTCACGGTCTTTAAAAACGAACCGCTATTGGTAATTTCTCGCAGCGGTTTATCGGTATATCGAACCGTGTTGTAAACCCATGCACCCGTAACCGCACCAAGTATTGGAGACGCTATGTAAATCCAAATTCCTCTGTAGCAATTATATACCATTGCTGGTCCTAAACTTCTTCCTGGATTCATTGACGCTCCTGATACCGGTCTGATCAAAAAGATAACATTAAAACTATATTTCATTACCAAGTTTTTAACTGATAATGTTTACGAGTAGTGATAAATCAGTACCCGGCAATTATCACGTTGAGCAGCACTGTTGATCCTACTGCTAGTCCCGCAAGTTCTCCGATCTGCTTATTCAAACACAAATGTTATATATGTAATTGATAAGGGATTGGTAAGAACACAAATAAATATAAAACGATAGAAAAGAGACTTTGGTCAGGAAAAATAATAATATTTTAGAAAGAATATTATATTTGGTTTCCTTCGGAAAAAAATACAAAATCAAGGAGGAAACTAGAAGTTAGCCTATGTTAATTTCCCTGATTATATTGTTTAAAAATATTAAGTATATAGAAAAAGTATATTATGTTTTTTTTTTCAAAAGGAAGATTTTGAAAACTAACCGCTCTGTTATCGGTAGCGACGCCGGAAATGATGAACATTAGGTAGAAAGTGATGATAAACTCGATCACAAACGACTGCAAATTCGAGCCCGACGGTAATGTTCCGACGAACACATCGTGTTTTCCACTGCAAACGTCTTGATCAAGTCCGAACAGCAGCCTCAAAGTCGCCGCCGCGAGGGTCGAGCCGATCACTTGTGATATCACGTAAGCCGGAACCTTTAAAATATTAAAGAAAAATATAAATAAATCTGCGTATATTTAAAGTCGCATTTAAAGATGGGCCACTTCTGGAAGATTCCATCAAGGTGAAGATTTTTGAGTTTATATAACAATGTGAACTTGACTAAAATGATTGAGATTGTGTGAATTACTTGTTTTTATTTATGAACTCTCCAAAAGAGAAGAACAAACAACTGCACCCATCCGTGTCACTAGTTTGTATTTATACGGATAGAAAAATAAAACGGTAATTTAGAAATCAAACGATGTTATTTTTCTAATTAAAACATAAAATGTGACATTTTTTTGTGCAAGTCTTAAAATGTGACGATTAGTGCCAAAAAATTATCTTTTTAGTAGATTAAAGTTTCGTGCAACACAATCAAACTACAGCTAAGCTAGACCTATCAACCACAAAACGCTAATCTTCTTGAGTTTGTTCATCAAACTCAAAACCACACATAAAAACAAAACTTGATCTATCAATATAGGTCTATAGCTTATATGATGAATGTGTGTGAGTGTATTGACCTGTTTGAGAGGGAAACGGCCGCAAGAGGCGAAGGCGATTGTGACAGCCGGATTAAAATGAGCGCCGGAGATGTGGCCGAGAGAGTAAACAAGAACCATGACGGCGAGTCCCCAAACGATGGCGATCCCCGGAAGAGTCACGGCTTTGTCGTGTTGGGCGTTTACGGCCACCGATGCACAACCGGCGAATATCAAAAAGTAGGTTCCCAGAATCTCCGCCATCAACTGAAAAACAGAGCAATTTTAACAAAAAAATGTTTTTTTTTTAGACAAATATTAAAACAGAGTAATTTATATCAAAGAAGTGAATACCTTTTGTAAGAAAGGAACAGAGAATGAGAGGAGAGAGTCTTGTTTCTTCACGGGTGATGAGTTATATTCAGCTTCTGTTTGTCGTTGATGTTCGTTTTCTTCCTTGAGATTTACCACTACTGATCCTTCTCTGCCGTCGCCATGGCCGTGTCCCGAGATCTCCGCCATAACTGAATTTTCGATTTTCACAAACAAAAGAAGACAAGAAAAAAGATCAATCTTTAAACGACTGTTATGACTTGTGAAAGAGTTTGGTGGCGATTATCTACAATTTATTGGCAAATCGAGAGAGAGAGAGAGAGAGAGAGAATTGAATACTTTGACTATTTTAATTTCAACCATTTATTATTAATTAAATAAAATGAGTTTATTTCACATGATCATTGCCTTGTCTTATTAAGATTTTTCTGGTAAATGAATCATATATCCCTGTCTTAATAAATTACAGCTCAATGTCCGCAAATAAAATTTTAGATAAGATGTATAATTTTTACAAAGATAATTTTAAAGTCCTAATTCTCTTAATTTTACATAAATGGTAACCCTATGAATTAAGGAATATGTAAAAAATAAATATTAATTTTAATAAATATACTTTTTAAATAATTGCAATTATATTCTTTCTAAAAATAAATTTTAAAATATCCTCTAAATTCTTAGTATGGATTATCTATACTATAATGTGGATAAATCTGATCTTATCCGTGAAAGCATATTTCCTTAAGTTGAAAAAGAACTTCATTTGCTTTATTCACGTCACATATGGTTAATGTGATCGTCATATCATTAATGTGGCATTTATCCAGGCTTTCAATTCATAATACGTTTTCGATTTTGTTTCCAGATAAATTGTTTTCAAGTCGTTAGTTTTTTTTTTTTTTTTTGAACATTTGCTTAAGTCGTTAGTTTCAAACAATTCTTTTTTTTTATTTAAAAACGCATAACATCGGTTTGAAACGAAATATTAGATCTCTCAAGCGAGTTCGAATTCAGGAGGTCAGGCTTCACATTTTGGTCCAAAAACTACATCGATACCGATCAGATGTTGGATGTTAAGACACCCAAATTTGAACGTATCATATAGACAGCAAAAAAAAAAAAAAAGACTTAAGGCCATGCAAATCTTTATAGTAAAAGTATATCATTTATGAGACATTGAAAATTGTCACTTGATGGAATTGATGAAGGGCCTCTTCAAGTCTTCAACTACCAACCGGAAATATAGATGCACTTTATTTTAGTTTATACTTGTCTATATACTACAGCATAGTTACTCTAAATATTTTAACTTATTTGAACCCAGATGCCACTCATAAACTATCTAGATTTCCCTAAAAAAAAAAATAACTATCTAGATTTGGATCCATAAAGTTAAGATCATATCGACCTTTTAAGTGAGTTTCCAGTTTTTTTGTTCGTCATTGTTATGGTATTTCCCATCGTAACATGTAACATGTGACTATGACCAGATCCGGTTCAGTGGGCTAAATAAAGGCTTAGGCCACCAATTTATGCTTTGAACCGGATCTAGTTATATATAGTTTATGGATTCAAATCTGATTTGTTAATATTATGATCTGAGCCCACTTATGCTTTAAGCCTTTAATTTTATTAGGTCATAATATTAATAAATTTATGTTTTTAAATTTTGAAAAATATAACTTTTTTTTTGTTTTAGACTACTAAAATAGTTGGACCGGCTCTGACTATGACTCTATGAGAATGAAATGTATATGCCAAAAGAAGATTTTTACCGTCCACAATTTTGATTTTCACTAAATTAAGTTTATAGTGTATTAAATCTTAGAAATACTTTCATTTGCAATAATCCATGTGACAATCTTACATTAGATTTTTTAATACCTTTATTAATCTCTACTAATCCTACCTTTATTTCTTTTTTGAATTTTTAGCTAAAAGATAAATCTTTAAATATTTGTGAAAAAAACCATATATCGAATGCCAAACTCATTAATTGGGCAACATGACATTTCAGTTTGTATTTGACAACCATTGGTCGAATAGCACATGATTTAATAAAATAAATCGACAAATTATCCATCAAATAATTTAAAATTTTGGTTGCATTTGAAAAGCTAATTCAGATCATCAATCCAATACCCTCCTGAAATTCAATTTATTCAAAAAAGAGCTAGTATGTTTTAACAGTTTCTAGTTTACTCGTTTTTTTTTTTGGATTTGTCCTCAAATTAAAACACTTCGGACATACATTGAATTTCGTAATTTTGACTTATCGTGTTCCCATGAGAAGGGAAAGGTCTTCACGATACAAACTTGTTATATAATAATGGCTATGAGCCACCACGGATCATGGGAAATCAGTTCGACTTATAAAAAGAACAGATACATACAATATGCTAAATCTCTTTATAGTATTCAACTTTTGGAACTACACATTACTATTATACTATAGACTATATCCATGTGAATGTGATCATGTTAAGCTACATTAATATAGTTATATTCATGTGATCAATGTTGAGCAATTAAATATCGAGTTCTACTACGAATACATATTGGGACATTTCAGTATAAACTAATACAGCTATACAGTGCTGGTCCAACTTAAATAATGGTTTTAAACTAAAAAAAAATGTGGCTCATTTATAATAAATATTTATGACTTTTTTTTTTAACTTGTGAACTTTAAAATTTAGTGTATATAAATTTTATATACATTATTTTTAATATATATGTGGCTCATAAAAAATTTAAAAAAAATGCAATTTTAAGGAGTGGCTTAGCCTGTCTATATTCTGGACCGGGTCTGCAAGACTACAACTATACAATCTTTTTCTGTCAAAAACTAAAATATTTGACTAGTTACACCGGAAATTGTTTTATTTCAGCATATGATCAAATTATAAGTAAAAATTTCATAAACATAACTACGTCCAGGATACCAAAGAAAAGACAGAATACAGATTGATTGGCATACAATGTCTAGAAGGAAATTTGTAAAGCTGGAGCGAGGGAATGTCGTCAGATCAACGGAGTTATAAGCGACGAAAGTTAGAAGAGGGAATAGGATCTAGTGAATGCACAATGTCGTATTGAATTCATTATAATTATGTCATAGAAATTTCAATAGTACTAATACACATATCACGATCTAATGTTATGGTCGAGGGCATAATTACTAATAGTTGTTAAGTTTCTTTCAAATAGAGACTTTGACTAATACGTCCATTTAGTTTGAAAGTTTCAAATAAATAATGTAGTATGGAAAAAATTAACTATAATAAAAGACTTTTTGTTATAATTATGAGTCTGTCTAATGATGCACCATAACTAAAATTTGTACTTTAAAAGTGGCTTTGGACGGTTACATTTTTCTCCAATGCGCATGCAGATTCTCTAACCTCCCACTATTTACATTTATCTTCAACAGAGATCCCATTCCCACGCGACTTTACAAGTGATTTTAGGGGAAAATGGGCTCATTTTAAAAATAAGTATTTATTTATGTATTGATTTGAAATCACTATTTACTAGGTGGTCTGCCTGCGCCGCTACTGCAGACAAATATTTTTTTCATGCATGAAACTTTTTGCTATAAATTCTTTTTCTTTATTATTTTTGTTGGTTTTAAAAAAAAAAAATAAACAGACATAAAATACTTCCATTTTACAGTGTGTTGGCTACCACACTTAATCTATTTAGCTAATTGCTCGCATTAGATGCAAAGACAAACAAATTTTGGGGCGAGAAAACAATTGCAATTTTATTCACTCAAACCAAGATGTTTAAAAGGATATAATAAAGTTAAATGGTAAGAAACTAATTTCTCTTTCAAATAATGAAAACCCATCTAAACGTGAATCGTGTTTCATCTCTTATCCAACTATATTTACTTGAAAATTAGAAAAAAATATTAATATCATTAATTTACTTAAAAATTAAGAAAAAAATATTAATATCATTAAAAAGATGAATCATATTTTGATTAAAAATTCAATGTGTATAAACTTAGCATTATTAGACAAATGTGACTTTTAGCAATATACACATCTAGTAATAGGATCAATAACAATGTTTCTAACAAAAAATCTTAAAAACTGTGAAACAATTTACTTGGAAATTATCAAGAAAATATGAAAAACTTACTTGTTAGTGTACACAATTGAGGTCTAAACTTGCCACCATGTAACACTAAGAAAAATATCATAGTAAAGGTTAGATCAGCAATATGCTGTACTTATTCGTGATTGCTGCGTGGACAAAAAGAATTTACTAATAAATTATTTGAGTTTTATTGTTCATTTTAAAGCAGCTCATGAATATAAACTCATTTCAAAAGTTTTTGGCTGGCTTTTATTTTGTATTATATACTCTACAATGTGTTCCATCTTGTTATGAAATAAATTTTAGTGAAAAAATAATCACCAAATCATAGTTAAAACACGTCATCACATGGAAACTTGTGAACGTTTGGAGTGTGCGAGATTTATTGTAAAAACAAAAAATGTGCATATAGTAACTGCTGTAATAGATATTGATTATGTATAGTCATAAACTTCGGTTTGTTTTATTCAACAATCGTAAATAAGCCAAGCGAATTAAATTAAAATCTAATAAAATATATACCAAAATTTGTGTATATGAACGACCATTCGATCAAAGTCGGCGACTGAATTGAATTAAAATTCAATAAAATATATACCAAAATTATTATCTTTTGACATTAACATCGTAATTCTTTAGACTTAATATAGTTAGTATAGTTGATTATGCTCCAGTGCATATGATTGACCTAATTCTTTAGACTTAATTTTATACACTTCTTGCACCTCATCACTGGATCCATTGTCCCATTTCAAACTATAGTCTTGCCACATCATTTTTTAATTTTTTTCTTTAAAACCCTACTAAAGCTGTCTATTACAGATGCTTTCACCATTGTCTCAAAACTAAGAAAAACAAATATAATATCACAAATCAATAATAAAAGAATAGAAAATAATAAATTCAAGACATAAAATAGATCGATAGCTTTAAAATAAATAAAACATTCACAAAGCATCAGTACATATGCACTAACCATTAGAGCACATAAGAAAATTCATCAAAGCCATTGTTGGCACATAAGATTCATGATTTGATAGGAAAACACAAACCCTAAAATACGATCGAAAACTATATATACATGAAAACTCTAGAGTTTATATATTGATATTTTTATATTTATATACGTAAGGATAATTATTAATCAAATATATCGATGTGAAAATAAGTGTTTAATTTGCATAAATACAAAAGATATTTTAAATAATAGAATATTTGCCGAATAAATTTATGAAAGATAACCAAATAAATATATGATATTTATATATATATATCAATAATTGTTCATATAAATAATATTAATCCATATATTATAGTTAATTAATTTTATTAAGGGTAATTAAAGTCAATTCATATGAGAGGTAAAAAGTAATCAACCATAATAACTCTCAATTACAGTCTAACTTGCTTGTCAATTAATAATATGATATGAATTAGTTTCTCATTCAATAAAATATGAGAACAAGTTTTATTTACATATGCTATCGGCTTTATTATCTTAAAAATATTTTATATGGCTTTTTTTTTCCTCCTTTGTAAAGAATTTGTATATATTTTTAGCTAAAACATCATGACTACAAATTTTTGAGTGACTTGAGAAAACTTCGTACGTATATAAAGGTACATCATGTGGCGTCTAGATCAAATATGTTTTTCATTTAGGGTTTAATGTATTGATCGTCCATATGATTTTTAAACTGCTATATTTGACTAACCAACAAAACGACTGACTCTAGATGATACGAATATATTTAAAGTTATTAACAATACTAAATCGGGATTTTGTTACGATCTCAGGCTTTTTGACTTAAGTCAGAAAGATGGAAGAATTAGTTAAGATTTCATAAGTTTTGTGGCAGACAAGGACTTTATTTTACAAGACATTGCTGTTTCTTTTACTCTGTTGAAATTAACTACCTACTGTCGTAGAAGTCGTTTGTATAACCTAATCACGGTTCCCTAATTTGTTTCTTCGGGTTCTTTAATAATCAAATTAAATCGTGCTCTATGCTCTAGAGCTTGGATGAGTAGTTTTTAATTTTATAGTTGTAATTTTTTTTATTTAATGCGTCCACCACAACTTGAGCTTCTTATATAGTATTTGTTTTATTTTTTTAGTTCACGAAAAATCAAATTGTCAAAAGAAACGTCTTTGTGATGGGCGCATATGCACTTCGTCCGTGTGATAAAACCGTTTTTTTTTTCATCAACATTCAACAATAGTATGCGTCATGCTGACCTAAATTGTGTGATACGTATGTTGTATTATTAACACAAAGTATTAGGTGCCTTCGTCGTGATAATCGGTTTTAAAATCTGTTATTTTTAATGTAATGCAACAGAAGCACGTATAATATATACTACGTTCCATAATAGATCAAACATCAACGGCATAATATCTCGTCAATTACACATTATCTGTTATTAGCATTCATAGATTTAAACATGTGATAAATGTAAACTTGGATCTTCTTAGTTGATAACTTGAAAAAGGCTTTTGCCAAGCTTAAGCATTCAAACAAATATATAAAAGCTCACACCCTTACACGATTAACCACAATCATAGGGGGTGAAACAAAACTTCCGAACAAAAAAAAGAAAGAAAAAGAAGCTGCAAAAATTTGGCACGAGTGTGATGGAATCTAAAGACCATCACAGCTTCAAAGAAACAAGTGATCCTTGTGGGCTTACTCAAGGTTGTTTGCTCGCATATTTGTGAGCGACATTGGCGTCTAATAGTGTATCCCAAACCTGCAAACATAAGGGCAAGATATGTTAGATTTTTCTAATAAAATGATTTGTTGCAAGGACATGATTAAACTTTCTTGCATCTTATCTCCCACTCACATGTAGCTCTCCCTTTGAACCACCAATAGCGAGCAAGAAAGGGTTGTCCAATGAGAAGGAAATGGAGAATACAGCTCCCTGTGACAGCATCAGAATGGTTAAGGAATAAAAAAATGCAGAAGCTACTGTGGAACAAAAGAAAGGTTTATGTCGACTGGTTCTTACAGCTTTTGGTTTGTGTGAAGCAATGCATGAAGGCTCATTGTTTGAAAGATTCCAAAGTTTTACCGTTTTATCCATAGATCCCGTAGCCAAAAGCTGTGTTGATTACAAGCTCATAAATGGTGAGAAACTGATTATAAAAACAGAATATGAAATGTTTTAAGGACTTTAATTAAGAGAGAGAAATGTACATTGGGTGCAGAAATGTTGTATGCGATGGAGGAGACTCCTTTGTCTTGGTCATGTGCTTGGATAGTGAAACTTGGTTTTAAATCAGTATCTGAACCAGACTGTGCAGCACGTATATCAAAACCTTTCACGGTCCCATCCTCGAGACTTACCTTAAAGAGGGACGATTAGTTAGAAGACGTCTAAAAAAACCAGCTACAACACCAGATTGTCTAATCATAAGAGCAAAGGAAAGTGTAATTCACCACAAAGGAGTGTTCACTGTGGGGATCCCAGGCTAAGCTTTCGACATCAGACATGACAGACCATTTGAAACCAGAGTGCGAAGGTTGTCTTCCGTCTTTCTGCATAACACAATATACAAAACTGCTCTTAATGATAATTATCAGTACAAAACTGAAACAAGTGAAATAAAAAGAAGAAAGAAAGCAGTTACCAATACAACAGTTTGATCAAATGATCCACTGAGAAGCACTTCTGGAGAATAATGGTTCCAAGCAACTGCTTGAACCTATGAACCATATTCAACCAATAAACCATGAGAAGGCCATAAAATTAAAGGATTTTCTCGTTCTATGAATCTTGTTCATACCTCCTTTGTGTGATGCTCCATAGTAATCTTACATGTTCCAGTAGCCACATCCCAAACCTTAACCTTTTTGTCGGCACTAGCACTAGCAAGTATATTCCTTTTCCCCCCAAAATAAGTTCAACAGAAAATCAGACACGTCTAGAGAGTAAACCAGAAGAAACTTACAATCACTATTAAAGCTTTAAACACATACCGAAACTCCTTGTTCCAAGCAAGACCAAGTACTGAATCGGTGTGGCTACCTTCTTTGAATTTCTATAAAGAACAAAGACCAAAAAAGTAAATGAATTGATCCATTAGAACTTGCCATGAAAATTAATAAGAAGAGAAAATAGACTGAGTTTGAAGTAGCACACCTGCTTCTTACTCTTCACTTTCTTATTCTTATCTTTCTTGCTCTTCTTTTTCTTAATAATCTCCACCTCCTCCTCTTTTCCTCCTAGTTGTACACAAGGTAGCACCTCGTCCCTCTATAGCATTATAAACAACCTTATTATTAATTGTCTCATGACTGATAAGAAGAAGCATAAACAGAAAGACAGTTTCTTTTACATACAACGTCAAGATCCCATATCTCTATTGCTGGGGTATCCTTTGAACCAATAGCTACAAAATTCCCTGCCAATACCGAAGCAAAAAGAGTAAAAAATTATAATCCATCCACAGCAAGAACGGAGAATCTCTCCCTAAGGTGATAATAAAAAGTGTACACTAACCTTTTTCCCCTCCTTTAAGAGGACAATCCATCCATGCGGTACACAACGGAAACTCCGGTATAATTATGTGATGATGAACATACATGTTTGGAGATCCATTAGATGAATCCTCGTATACATAAACCTGATCACACATACATATACTTTCATATGAGCCTCAAAGTTCAGACAATTTTTTTACCTACAGAAGCGAAAAGGATTGAGACATACCTCTAGATGACTGACTTCATCTTCATTTCTAGCGCATATAATCACTGAATCGTTTGGCTTGATTGTCGTGTCATCAATATCCTCTTCATCCTCATCATCATCCTAAAAAGATCAAACTTTTTTAATATCCTATACAAAAAACATTTCGTTCCAATGATAAACAGAGACAGTGATATAACTTACAGCAGCATCCTTCAGATATGGATCCATCTCATTACTCGGATAATATAGATCACCAAGTCCAGAGCTGAAGAGTTCAATTCCTGAGTCCAACACATATGAAACACGTCAAAAACTCTGTTCTGCATCAAAAATGATCAGTTGTATAATTGCAAACAATGAGCTAAACGTACCATCATCCTCTTCATCATAATTATCCATGTCGAGTTCTTTCAAGCTATCCGTTACCTCATCGACCTCCATTGAAGAAGAAGCCTTCTTGCTTTTGGAAGATTTGCCAAAAGCTTCTGCTACAGCCTTGGCATGATCAACTTCACTAACCTCATTCCCATCTTCTTCTTCTTCTTCTTCTATCTCTTCCTCATCCTCGTGACTACCGTCGACACTGTTACATGTAAACCAATTTATCATCTTCTCATTTCCTAAATCAAAAACAATGTTTTTAGAATCAGTAGATAATAAATAAACTCACCTTCCCGCGAAAGCTCCACTCTCAATGAGCTCTTTGATTTCTTCATTTGAAGGAGGTTCAGCAACATCAGGAACGGCTTTTAGAGAGCCTTTAGGTATCCACGACACTGAAGTTATCATTCTGTAAAACCGGCAAAAAGGAAAAAAAAATTGAAATTTAAACTTGCAATATAGAATGATAAAGCTCAACACTGTATTCGAATTGAACAGAGAGAGAATCAATGAAATCATCCAGGACAAAAATTTCATCAAATCAGTGAAAATCAAGGCCGGTTCTTTGGTACAGGGCACCTCGAAATCAAGGTTTTTTTTTGCATCAGATGATCAACTCGACACAAAATGGGTTCGATTACATTCCTAAAAATCTAAGACATCTGAAACGGATTCAAAGAGAGAACTTACGTTTATGAAACTAGCTTGGGAGGTACGAATCGAGAGAGAAGAGCGCGGCGCAGAACGAGGATGAACAAGGTAGAAAAGGGTTTATTTAGGTTTAGGGGTTTAACAATCAAAAGACTTCGCTTCTGAGGAGAGTGAAAGAAAAGATAGCGGCGCTAAGCGAAGAAAGGAAGAAGAAACAAATTAGGAGGAATTGCATCAACATCCTTTAACTATTTAATTTTTGTAATAAAAGCCTAAAACTTCGAAATATGCATAGAAAGCCTTCGGGAGGTGATTGAGAGAAAGAAAACAAAATTAAAAAGACCTTCACTTCTCAAGAACCGATTTTCTTTCCTTGAGATCTCTTAGGACACAACTATACATTTGTCTTTTATCCATTGGTGGATCGGTTTGTGTTAAACAATAGTTTATGACTTCGGAATCTTGATTGATTAAATTTAATTCAATGGATAGAAATAGCCTTAGTGGTCTTTTGGAGGAAAATGTAAAGAAAGCTATAAAAATGAACATGTCGTTTTGTTCCATGCTCTAGTACGATCACGTCATGATAAAAAGAAACTACAAAATTTGGGTTCAGTGAGTTCGAATCTAGCGACCAATCACAGCTTTTGACAAAACTTCTATGGTCGGACTCGGCTGCTTCCGTATCTACGGGAGACATTTGTGTCCGAAAGTGTGTCCCAAACTTTTAACTTCCCCATTGAGCCACCCATAGCGAGTAAGAAAGGATCATCCGTAGAGAAAGCAATGAAAAATACACCTCCCTGCGTAATATCAAAAGTTTAGAGTCATATAAACAAATTAAGAATCAGGTTAAGAAGATAAAAGAAAAAGAAAAAAAAAATTGTTGTTGTTGTTGATTGGTTCTTACAACTTTTGGTTTGTGTGAAACAATGCATGAAGGCTGATTGTTTGAAAGATCCCAAAGCTTGACCGTTCTATCGGTAGATGCCGTTGCCAAAAGCTGTTAAATCCAAAACGGTGAGAACCACTAATTAAACCACACACAACATAGAACAAGGACACAAGAGATAGAGAGAGCGAGAGAGAGTACTACTCGTTGGGGCACAGCAATATTTTGTGATATATATTAATGTATTGACATTTTTAGCATTTCTTTCGTTTTGTGAAGTTACAGTTATTCAGACTTTTCAGATCAAATGGCAATAAATAACGGATATTACTAATAGTTTATCTAAGACCGCGAGAGAGAGAGACAGAGAGACTTACGTTAGGTGCGGAAATGTTGTATGAGACGGATGTGACAGCTTTGTCATGTGCTTGGAGAGTGAAACTTGGTTTTAAATCAGAGGTTGAATTTGAGGCTTGACGTACATCGAACCCCTTTACAGTTTTGTTTCTAAGACTTACCTATAAAGAAGGGAAACAAATAAATAAATAAAACTGTCTTTAAAACCGGTAAAGTAAAAAGATAGGAAGATAAAACGTAACGCACCACAAAGGAGTGTTCACTATGTGGATCCCAGGCTAAGCTTTCGACTCTGGACATGACCGACCATTTGAAACCTGAGTGTGAAGGGTTTCTTCCGTCTTTCTGAAACCATTTATAAATAAGTATACACAAATTAACATTGATGATCACTTAGTGTTTATAGGTAATAATAATTTATAACACTTACCAATACAACAGTGCGATCAAATGACCCACTAAGAAGTACTTCTGGAGCATGATGGTTCCAAGCAACCGCTTGAACCTGTAAACCATAACAACGATAAGCCATGATATACTATGTAATGCCATGGGATTAAGAAAATTAAGCTAGCCTAGGTAGCTCGAGACGAGGGAGGTGACTAAAGTTTAACTGATTTGGTTCCCGATCCCAAGAGATTACATAACTTTTGGTCATAGAAAAGAGAAGACGTAAGGAATTGTTATAAATGTTTATACCTTCTTTGTGTGATGCTCCATAGTAATCATGCATGTTCCAGTGGCCACATCCCAAACTTTAACCTTTTTGTCACCACTAGCACTAGCAAGTGTATTTCTTTTTTTCCCAATAAAGTAAAAATGAAAAAATATTCAGACAAAGTCTTATCAAGAAGCAAATCTGAAGATGTATAGTATATTCAATCATGGACATACCGAAACTCCTTATTCCAAGCAAGACCAAGAACTGATTTAGTGTGGCTCCCTTCTTTGTATTTCTAAGACAAAATACGACAACTCAAATCAAATTATAACGGATACATTTTGTTTTGTTGTTGCAATTAGACAAAAAAAAAAAAAAAAAATTCTACTCACCCCTTCCTCGTTTTTTCCTCCTAGTTGTACACAAGGTAACAGCTCGTCTATCTGAAGCATTATACAAACACAAATTACAATATAGTCTCATGAATGAGAGATTAGAGAAACAAAAATATGCAAAAATAAAGTTTAGTTTTACATACAACGTCCAGATCCCATATCTCTATTACGGGTGTCCCAAACGAACCAACAGCTAGAAAATTCCCTGCCATTACGAAAAGCAAAAATAAAAATAGGAAAAGATTCAAATGATCATAGTCATGTTTAGCAAGAATGTACAGTCCAATATTTTAGGATGATTAATATGACTTTAATTGATACATATCCCTAACCTTTCTCTCCTCCTTTAAGTGGACAATCAAGCCAAGCAGTACACAACGGGGATGCTGGTATTTCAATTGGATGATGACTATACATATTTGGAGAGCCATTCGATGTGTCCTCGCATACATAAACCTGACCATGCATTCATATAAGTTCCATGTAATTCGGATCTGTGCACCAAAACAAATAAAATAAAAAATGCGACAAGAATTTGACAAACGTCAAGATAATTGGCTTTTGCGTCATCGCTCTTAGCGCAGACAATCATTGAATCGGTTGGTAAGATTGTCGGGTCATCATCTGAGTCATCATCATTCTGAAGAAAAAACACATACATATGTTATATTGGATATGAACAAAATATGATAAGATTCCCTGAAAATAAGAGATAGTGATACGAGCTTATACATCATTATTCTTAAGATATGGATCCATCTCATTACTCGCATAATAAAGATCCCCATGCCCGGACCTAAAAATTTCAATTCCTGAATCCAAAAACACAACAATGAATGTATAAAACTTTGCACATGCAAAACAAAAAAACGGAAATTGGTAATAAAAGTCTTTTTATTTATCCTTAATCGGTTTATATAGCATAAACAGCTTACCATCATCTTCTTCATCGTAATTATCCATGTCGAGTTCTTTCAAATCATCATTTAACCCATCAACCTCCATTGAAGAAGAAGCATTCTTGCTTTTGGAAGTTTTCCCCAAAGCTTCTGCTACGGCTTTCGCATTGGTCACTTCACCAATATCCTCTTCTTCATCCTCAGTATCGTTTTCTTCTTCATCATCACTGTAAGTTTGGTCACAACTCTCTTTGAGCTTTTCGATTTCATCCTTCGAAAAAAGTTCAGCACGATCAGGTATGGTCTTTGCAGCCCCTTTCGGTACCCATGACAATGCACTTATCATTCTGCAAACACAGAAAACAACCAAAGTAAACTCTACAAACGTAGAAAAAATAAAGGGGGGACAATTTTATTACACCCCTTTTTAGCCTCTATCGAAAACCCTAGCAGAAATAGCATATGTAACACAATACACCAATTCTCAGAATCGAAAGAGGAACAAAAACAGAGAACGATAGAAGAATCGGGTAAAATACATCTATTTAGAAATAAATTAACCTGATGAACTCATTAAGATCATGAGAAAAATGCCGGGGGATATAAAAACCATATAAAACTGAAACGTTACCCCTACGGAAACCATAAATCGGCTACAAAGAAGATGACCTAAATCATATCAATCTCTTTATCTGAAATATAAACTGAAATTGAAAAGGAATCAAACAGAAAACTTACGCTACTAAACCACTGTTGCCCTAAGAAATATCTGTCGAGAGGTTGAGAAACCTCGAGAGAGAGAGCGGAACTTATTAAGGGTTTGGTTTTGGTCGGAAAAGAGGGTTCAGTTGAGTAACCCTTTTCAATAAATTTCTACGAACATAATAATAATTTCATTTAGATATGGGCCGAATGATTCTCACATTAAGAATAATTGGGCCATTAAATTGGATCCACTAAGCAACTCGGTGACATGTAAAATAGTCCAATTGACGTATAACTTAATATCACACACAATATGACTCGTGCAGTTAGTTACCTTGAAGTCAATATGTACTTGCGATCCAAAATCATATACACAGTCAATGTCAAGTTAATTAAAAAAATATCAAGCACATGTGGTCGTCATTTTTCGTTGACTTTTCAATTGGCTTACGTACTTTCTTGGACATATCTTTGGTCTTCCAACGTAATCCAGTTTTCTGTTATCTTTTAAGTTTTAAATGTAAAAAATACAAAATTTTCAACGACAGGTTGGAAGTAATCCAGTTTTCTGTTATCTTTTAAGTTTTAAATGTAAAAAATACAAAATTTTCAACGACAGGTTGGTGATAATTTCTCACGTTCAAAAATGTTTTTGAAAGTCCAATTTGGCTTCAATAATTTATATGAATCCCGATATATGATATAATAACATTACTAATCTCAAATCGAATTCACCCAAATAACAAAAAGATAAAACTTTGGGAGATAAAATAGATTCTAACTACAACTTTAGTCAAAAGCCAACCAAAAAGAAAACAGAGTTCAAAATGTTTTTTGTTCCTTTTTCTTCTTTCTTTCAATCACCTTTCATCACCACACTAAAAAAAACCAGACAAAAAAAGATGAAAAAAGGAAGAGATGAATTAATTTGATAAGAGAGTCGAGTGATATCAAACGACATTGATTCTTCTCGAAAATCATCTGGTTCTTGAGCTCCCAAGTGTAAGTTCTAAATCGTCTGAAACGCATTCTCCATGTATCCTTTCTCCTTCCCAAGGCTTCACCATTCCAATCGCAGCGATCGCGTTACAGCCAAACGCAAACTCAGCGGCCATTCCATCAGACATTGGGACATCAGAGTTCTGATCAACACCAGCAGGAATAGCTGGAGAGCAGTTTCCACTTTGTCCAGGAGTCCACATTGGTGAGTTACAGTCTCCCATTTTGAAAGCGTCTTTGTCAAAAAACGGGTTTCTTGAGACCAAACTGAAAGTAGGAGAAGAAGGTCCACTCTGTGGGGTTTGCATTCCTGAGAGCCAGCCAGAGTCAGGGATGATTACTTGATCACGAGCAGGGCTTCGAGCCAATGGTGGAGTCACGGGAGCACTTATCGAGTTTCCGTGGAAGAATGGGAGCTTCGAAGGTGAGTTCGAAGAGAGGTTCTTGAGCCAAGGGATTAGTGAGTTAGCATCACCAAATGGATTTGTAGGACTCGGGAATGACGAAGATGAAGGGCTTGGATTGTATGAGCCACGAGGGCTTGGCTGGTACGATGAGCACGGACTTGCTGAAGTAGAACCGTTCATTAGTTCCATTCGATCCATTGGTTTGCATCCCTACACAAGAGTTTATGCAAAGTGTTACATATATATCACAAACATGTAACTATAACATTCCATTTCAAGCAGAGAAATTCTAAAAAAAACAAATCTTTTTCTTTTTAGAGTTGAGATGTTTTTTTTTTCTTTTTTACCAAATGCAAAAGCTGGTGAGCATCGAGCAAAATGACATTATGATTGATGATTGAAAATCTAAATGCACCAGGAAAATTAAAGAAAGAACAATGATTTTGTTTGCGTTATAGTGGTCAAAGAAACAATCTTTGCTAACGGATAGAGAAAATCTTCAAAAGAACAATCTTTGCTAATGGATTAGTTACATAAAAGAGAGCTTAAAAATGTTCTTTTTACGAATTGCAAAAGCTGGTGAGCACGAACAAGATGACACTATGATTGATAATTGAAAATCCAAATGCAACTAAGAAAAAAAGTAAAGAACAATGATTTTATTTGGCATCTAATGGTCAAACAATGAATAATTCCATTTTGTTTTCCCCCACACAAGCAAAATCCAAACATCATCATTATGAGTTGTGAAAAGAGAAATCATTTTCCCAGTCTCACCATTGACTGATTAAACAAGAACTAGTACAAATTCTTGATTTAAGTAATTAACCATCAAACAATAAACACTCGTGGAATATTGTATCACACGAGTCAAAGATCCTAGTCCATTTTTTATACTATTTTCTTTCGAATATTACTCATCCACAGCTACGACTGTGTAAAAACGGATTTTTTTAAAAATACCTATTTTGAATTAATATAAAAAAACGAAAGGAATTTAATGTAAGTGTGAACGTAAGCAAAAAAGAAGAATGCTTGTCCAGAAAATTTTATGATTCAGCAAAGAGAAAAACTTAGAATTTCAGAGAAAGCGTCAGTCTGAAAAGGAAAAAAAAAAACCATGTGAAAAAAGAAGAAACGAAAGAAAAAAAAAAAAAAGTCTTCCTCGATCGTTGTACTAAGGAATCCAACCCATTACCAATGGCAGTTTCGTGAAACAGACATGTCCTAAAGTTTTTTATTAAAGCAAAAGGTGTGTGACCAAAGAAAAACACAAAAAGAAAATTTATCAAAGCAGAAAAAACACATCCTTTTTTTTATATTTACCTCACGAGAAAAAATCGATTTGTTACAAAAATGACGATAATGCCCACACAACTTTTAACTAGACCGTGTGAATACTAAAGGGTAGTTTTGTAGTTACAAATTCTCATCTGAAAGTGAACAGAGAGTGTTGTAAATCGTCGATAGCATCAGCAAATCTTACAATATTCATGCTTTTATTTCAGTTCACCGGAACGGTTTCGATCTGACGTTTGCAATGACGACTAAACCGGTCAAAATTAAATCTTAACCGTACGATTTCCATAAACCCAAAACAAGGAAAATTAAAAACTCTCCCAAATCGAAAACTCAGATCTATTCAGAGTTTCGAAAACACCTAAAAAACTGACCAAATATGTTTCAAATCGGAAAAAGATTAAAAATGTTACGATCGAGTTTTGCGTTTACCTTCCGGTAAGTAGTTCCGTCTTCTTCGACGGTCCAGCCAGCTTCATTGCATAGAGCTTTGAGAACTTCGTTGTTATCGCAGTGTTTTGGGAGCTTGAAGTTTCCATGAATCCTAAGTCCCGCGAAGATCTTAGCTGCAATCGCGCGTCTTCGCCGCTCTCGCCGTTTATTGTTCTCTCTCTCCTTCCATGTCGGTGTTCTAGTCCCCGATGTCATTTTCTGATCACCTGAGCTGAGAAATCGGCGTGGTTCTTCTGATATATTTCTTCTTCTTCTAACTGTCAGCTCATAGAGAGAATAAAAACTCGCCGGTGAAAACTAATTTTGGCGCTTTTTTTTCTTCTTGGTTTTGTTTTGTTTTGAGGATTTCTGGTTTTGAGTTTTTTTTCTTTCTGGTGAGTAATAAATGAAGAAGCACTTAGCAGGGTGGGGATAAAAAAAAAAGTGGGGGTGTATTTTTGACAAAGACGAAATTACCATACACGTATACTGTAATTTACAAGCATGCCCTTCGTGTGTTAACACGTGCTCAGGCTTTTTTAATAAAGCAGAAAATGGAAATTATGTTTGACCACAAACGACGCCGTTTTGTATATATTGTGAAGAATGTTTTGGGTTTATTTTTGTATTGAACAAAGTACATGCTTTAAATTTCAACTATCTTCTATTTTCAGTTCAGAACAATCAAATCCCTCCTACTATTAGAAGATCTTATCCCTGGGGTTTATGGAATATTTGGAAAAATAAAAATAAAAAGTTTTTTGAAGAATCGTTTTTATCGATTTTAGAAATTTCTCGAAAAAGTAAGGAAGACTCGGATATGTGGTTTGTAGCGCAAAACAGTGTTGAGCAAGGTTCAGTTACTCAACAAGGCTACTCAGTACCAACGAAAAAAGGTTGGTCTCCTCCTCCTAAAAATTGGCTTAAATGCAACATCGGAATCTCTTGGAATAAACGAAATAAAATTGCTGGTGGGTCTTGGATTCTTAGAGATGATAAAGAAATAGTTTTATTGCATAGTCGCCATGCTTTTACTGAGGTGAGAAGTTTGTTAGATGCCAAGCTTAAGTGTCTCATATGGTCTATTGAAAGTATAAGTTCACATAGGTATAATAGAGTGATCTTTGCTCTAGAAGCTTTGAAATTAGTCGGAGCAACTAAAAAACCGAGAGCTTGGCCTTCCTTTAGTTATCACAGTTCTGAAATCTTGTTGGTTTTAACTAAGATTGGCAAATGGAAGATTATGTTTAAAGATTATGTTTTGAATAGAGGTGCATATCTTATTGCTCATAGTGCAGCTTTTAGAGGTTTTCTTCAATCTTATGTTTCTCAAAGTTTTTCTCAATGGTTGAATAGAATTTTTGACTCTAAAAATATTCGTACCTTTATCCAATGATTTGGTTTTTTGAATGGGTAGAATGTTTTAATAGGATTTTGGGTAAATATCCTAAGTTTCTAACTAGTTGATGTTGCTTTGTAGTATTATTGTTTTTAATGGCCTCTGTTTTTGTGAAGCTTTCTTGTACTCTGTTTCTAAACCTTTTAATGTAATTTCAGAAGAAAAAAAAAGTACATGCTTTAAAAAGTCAAGAACATCAAGCTGCTTTTATATCTTTTCTTTGTGTCAACATAATGTCTGTATTCGTGTATAATAAATCTAACTTCTATATAATGGCTGTTTTTTTCTTTTATCAATTTTAACATTATTCTTATCCAATGACAGCATTTTCCAACTATGGACTAGCCCAGGCACTACGAGTAAATTATGTATGTTACTAAATCTAGATTTTAGCTCAACTAATTATTTTAGCTAATTAAAATAATTGTGACTCCAAAATACGTGGCAGAGATTGCGGCATCTTGAAGAATGTGACAGGTCACCTTTCGTTTTGTAGGGGCCACAAATTAGTTTCTATATCCAATCATGACCGTTAAATCGGGTGGGTCACGTGATGCTCCCGATCTGCTTCCTATCCACTTGTCATTCCTCGTGACTCGTTTGCTCTTTTTTCGTTAATTATTTTTGTTTAGTCTAAGTAATTAAAATAAATAAGCTACCCAAATTGAGAAATATTCGTACAACTACTATATATATACAAGTTGTATAATACAACACATGCATAAGATTTGTGCGTGATACTATATCAGCATCTACGATTCCAAATTTCTTCTTATGAACACAAAATTGTGTTTTATATCTACATGCTTTTGATTATCCGACACAATTTAATATAATTAACCAAAAATATCAGACGTAATGTCAATGTAGTAGTATTAAGTTATCGTCCACGGTTTGCATTTGTGTCCATCTACGTATGTGTTATAACTTATATGGACTTATGTTATCAATTATCAACTATAGACACGTTAAGTAATATGTCCAAAACATGTGATATATATATGACTTCGATAATATGAGGTAATGATGGACAGAAGGAGACAGTTCGTCTGACTCCTACCCCCAAAGTTGAAACGATATATTTCATCCTTATTAAACAATTTATTAATTCCTTGTACTGTATATATAAGTTAATAGTTGAAAACAACCACATTATATATATGTAGCATGCTTTAGCCCTTTGTATTTATATAATTGCTATTATTTGATTCTCTCAATCCACACAATAGATGAGAGAATATTGATTTGCTTTATCAGTTTTCTAGAAGGAGAAAAATCATGTTTTTTTTTTTACTTAGTTTCGACGATCACAAGTAGTTTACAGATTATCGATTTTTTTGTATTATTTGTCTTATTGGAAGTTAATAATATAGTAGTGATATATCTGATTATATTTTAAATGGTTTTTTTCCTTTGCCTTGGCATATTAGTAGAATATAGCGGAGACGTCAAGACAGTGAACTAAGCACGTACGTAGTAACGTACGTATGCACTAATTTAAAGAAAAGTCAGGGAATAAAATTTATAGTTGGTATATTTTGGTCTGGTTAATACCGTATGGAGTAATTGTAAACGATCGTGCACTTAAAGTCAGGTAATATAAGTTTTAGAAAAGAGGATTTGGTTGTAGCAGATAAAAATAATAATTTGAATAGCTAGTAAACTAAAATTCTCCATTATAATGCTAATTAAGAAGATCAAACAATTTTTACTCTTTTTCAAATGTAAATTTAAACTTTACGTTCTCAAAAAAAAAAAACTTTAAGTTGTTTATCAATTTTTTTGTATATCCAATCTTCCCATTTAACTGTCTGTTTCAATTATGTTGAGTAACTAAATAACCGAATAACTGGTTCAAGTCCATCAGCTATACGATTAGAAAGTACTACGAATTAGTCTTCAGGTATTTAATCCAAAAGTACGTAATACTTTATCGTGAACATTATGAATGTATTTGCACTAGACGAACCATGTTTTTATTATTTGATGTTACAGTGCTCTTTTATCGATAATACATTCATCCTCTGTTGGTCTTAGGATGCACAAAACTAAGACGCGCAGTAAACACTACACAAAAACGATTTTGATCTTCTGTTGATATTCATGAATCATGACTGTATATGTTAATCAAATTTAAGAAAAGAAGACACATACGTTAGAAAAAATGAAGACACAAAGGCATGATGATAGCCACAACACAAACGTCACCAAATAAATATCACATTTTGAATATTCAAACGAGACTTTTCGATGTTGTGCTGTGCCTTCAAAAAATATCAAAAGACTTTCTATAGTTATATAAATCCCAAAAGATAACAACGAAATTTCGTACGGTCACAAATGCTTCTACATACACAAACAAGATCTGCATGATCCTTCTGTTATACTCATTGACTAAATTTAACATCTTTTTGGTATACTATAACTAAAAAAGAGTATTATATTAAAAACAGCTCTTACATCATCTCATGGGGTAATATGATTAAATATAAATAAATAAAAATTCCACCAAACCCAATCTTTTTGCAAACAAATGTTCCTCTGTTGCGATTCGTACGCGTTTCATCAACCTTTAGGAATCAAATAAGGTAAAAATCCTAAAATCAATCCGCAGATATTATTTCGTCTAATGTTCGTTTGCTAGAGGTTATTACGCGTTTAATTATTTATCAATCAAAAATCGACGAGAGCTTTGAAAATTCTTCTTCTTCTTCAATCACCGGGTCAATCGACTCGTTTACTTTTCTTCGGTCTTCTCTCCACAAGAGTCTGATATCTTTGATATTTCCGCAGCAATAATGGCAGATAAACATAAGAAGACAAACTATTGCTGTCTGAAATTCGTCCTCTGAATAAATACCCCAAGTCGAGAAGCTTTTTGGTTCGAGAAGAAACGAGGTTTCGAGGAGCAAAGTCGTTTTTTTTTCTTTTCTCTCTTCCTTTTATCTGATTAGATGAGATTTAATGCGAAAAGTTATCTAGATTCTTTGAATTTCGTAGGGGGTTTTGGGTTTAGAGTTTCCGAGGCTTCTTCTTTAATTGGCTTCATTACGAAACATTGGTGGATTTAAGAGATTTGTCTCTCCCTTTGTTCAAGTTCGGAGCTTTTTTTTGGAGGGAGTTCTGGGTTTTTTGATTTATCCAATTTTGATCGAAACGAGTGATAGTAAAGTTCTTCGAGTCCTTAACTCCACTTTCTGTGGGTACTGAAGTTATTGGATTGAAAAGTTTTGATCTTTTGGTTCTTGAAGCTTTATAGTTGAAAAAACTAGATTTGAGGTGTTTTAAGAGATGGATGAGATTAATCATGGAGGTTCATCAAGCTCACTCCCACCTTTCCTCACCAAAACGTATGAGATGGTTGACGATTCTTCATCTGATTCGATTGTCTCGTGGAGTCAGAGCAACAAGAGCTTCATCGTTTGGAATCCTCCAGAGTTCTCCAGAGACCTTCTTCCCAGATTCTTCAAGCACAGCAATTTCTCAAGCTTCATCCGTCAGCTTAACACATATGTAAGTGTTTTTAGCCATCCTCTGTTTTTCTATCATCTTCAGTATGGTTTTGGTAAAACTTGGATTGTTTCACTTTGTAGGGCTTTAGAAAAGCTGATCCTGAGCAGTGGGAGTTTGCAAATGAGGATTTCGTGAGAGGCCAACCTCATCTTATGAAGAACATTCATAGACGCAAACCTGTTCACAGCCACTCTTTACCGAACCTGCAAGCTCAGCAGAACCCGTTGACTGATTCGGAGCGACAGAGAATGAACAGTCAGATCGAGAGACTGACGAAGGAGAAACAAGGACTGCTTGAGGAGTTGCATAAACAAGAGGAGGAGCGAGAGGTGTTTGAGAAGCAAGTGAGACAACTCAAGGATCAGTTACAACACATGGAGAAGCGTCAGAAAACAATGGTTTCGTTTGTCTCTCAGGTATTGGAGAAGCCAGGGCTTGCTCTGAATCTATCCCCGTCTTTTCCTGAAACAAACGAGAGGAAAAGAAGGTTCCCTAGGATCGGGCTTGAACCGATGTTGGAAGAGAACCAGACATGTGTTGCTGTGAGGGAAGAAGGTTCCACAAGCCCTTCTTCACACTCGACAGAGCATCAGGTGGAGCAGTTGGAGTCATCGATAGCGATTTGGGAGAATCTTGTATCGGATTCTTGTGAGAGTATGGCACAGTCAACAAGAAGCATGATGACACTTGATGTGGATGAATCATCTACTTGTCCCGAAAGTCCTCCTCTTTCTTGCATACAGCTAAGTATCGACACACGTCCCAAGTCTCCTGCTTCTCCGAGGATCATCGACATGAACTCCGAGCCCGATGTTTCGAAAGAACAGAACACGGTCGCTGCTCCTGCTCCTCCTCCTCCTCCAGCAGCAGGAGTGAATGATGTCTTTTGGCAGCAGTTTTTGACAGAGAATCCTGGCTCAACCGAGCAACGGGAGGTTCAATCAGATAGGAAAGAGGATAAAGCTGAAGATCGAAGTGAGAAATGTTGGTGGAATTCGAGGAATGTAAATACAATTACAGAGCAGCTTGGACATCTGACTTCTTGAGAGAGAAGGAGAAGTTGATATATATATATGTCAAGGATCTCTACTTTAGATCTGTTTTTTTAGTTTCTTGTAAAATAGGTTTCTTTTTGTAGTTCATTGTATTCGGTTATAAGTATTTAAGTCTGGTTCTACTTTTCACATCATCACATGTATGTCCTTATAGTTCATTATAGTAGACTACTCTGTAACATTAAATCTTGCAGGACAATAGAAGCTTGGTTGAAACAAAAAGCAGAAAGAGATGTAAACCAAATGTTGCATCAAAATCTCATAGTAAGTCTATATCTTCAGCATGTGACAGAAGGATTTAGGGGGTTTCTTCTTCATTTTCTCCACTCAGGTCCTCCTTCATCTTTATTGAAGCAACGACTTTCTGTATGATGCTCTTAAGCGCGGGTGCACTAACAGAACACTTGTAATCCTCAAAGCATGACTTACCTTGTTCGGCTGCTCTACACATTCTCTCTGCACCGCCTCCGCTTCTGTCAAACACTTCGCTGCAAGCCACGACATCATCGAGAAGCTCTGGCGCATGCTCTTTTATGCAAGAGAGTATGTCTTGGGTCACGTCGACGGAGGAGCCCGTCTCTGCCACCATCTTCATGAACTTGACGTCCTTCAACGGTTGAGACAAACCGCTCATGTTCTCTACCACTCCTAGGACCGTGACTCCAACTTTCTCGCAAAAATTCACTCCCTTTCTGACATCGACCATGCAGACTTCTTGCGGGGTCGTGACAATGATCGCACCGTCGATACCAGTGTCTTTCAGGCACTGGACGAGGGTGATGTGTTCGTCTGAGGTTCCTGGTGGTGAATCAACCACAAGGAAATCGAGCTCACCCCAGTAAACGTCTTTCAAGAACGTTTTGATGAGACCGTTCTGCGTGGACCTCTCAAGATCGCAGGGTCATCGGGGTTTTCGGAGATGAGATTGAGACCTATGGACATGACGGCGAGGTTGTCTTCCACGTAAACCGGGGACCATCCGAAGTTGCTCCGGTGAACGCCATGTCCTTCGAGGCCTAACATTTTGGGCATGCTTGGCCCGCATGATATCCATGTCCACCGGGCCTACTTGATGGTCCATGCCAGCTAGGGCAAACGAGAGCTGAGCTGAGAAAGTACTCTTACCAACCCCTCCTTTGCAAGAAAACACAAGAATCTTGTGCTTCACGGTAGCCATTCTTTCAGCTATAGCAACCAAATCTGAAATAAAACAAACAAAATTTTAGTCAGCAACAAATATATATCACCCACATGTGACTTAAACACACACAACACACATATATATGGCGTTTAGTTTGGAGTCGAACCTGGGTCAGGTTCCTTATGACCAGTGGAACATGATTCTTGATTAGGGCAGCCTGCGCAAGAATCTGATTTTCCAGCAGTTTCCGACTGGGGACCTGGGCAATCTGTATATTCACCAGCAAAAAGGTTTCAATAAGCAAATTTAGGTTAAACCAAAGAGTGTAAGAGACGCTATTATATCGCAGAAAAATGGAAAAGATAGTAAAGTAAAGAAGACGAATCGAATGAAGGAACTTCTTGCTGCAACAACAGACTGTGAACCTCTTTACCTGACTCGCTTACTTCAAGCAAACTTACGGTTAAGTTTCTCAGGTCAAATTGTGTTAGCCGCCTTGGGACAAGCCTCTGTATATAATAAAGATCACTCAAAGCCACCTCCAAATGTCAAGTCTCCTTTATAAGAGGTTTTGCTTTTTTTCTCTTTTCCATTTTTTTGTTTGTTTTTTAAAACCTGTTCTTTCTGAGCAAAGAAGAGATTCATCCTTGTTCTTCTTCTGTCCCTTGTAGGCTGAGAGTATTGTTAAACAAGTCTTCGCTGTGTTTCCTGCTTATGACGTTATTGTCTCTGCTCTTCTAAGTGGTGGTGTATGGAATCTACTTAAAAACTGTAACTTTACACTTGGTGTTCCAATTTCGTTCATGCTTGCGAAACCAACTACAAGTCTAAGTGAGGTACTGGATAGATTCCAGGACACTGTTTTCACTTGCGAGTACAAATATGATGGACAACGCCAACAGGTGATACTGGTGTCTTAATTATGTATGATGTTATGTTTTTGGCTTATCATCGATGAGTTTCTGCAGATACATTATATGGAGGATGGTACATTCCAGATGTTCAGTAGAAATGGTAAAAGAAACACTGGGAAGTACCCTGATGTTGCTCGTGTGTTATCAAGGTAGACTTTGTGGTTTATGTTAACTTGTTGAAAACATTAGAAAGAGGAGCCAATCTTTTCTACTGAAGTTAGATGTAGTAACCTCTCTCTGTTACAGGTTAAAGAAACCTTCTGTGAAATCTTTTATTCTGGACTGTGAGGTTGTGGCTTTCGACAGGGAGGCAAAGAAGCTTCTTCCTTTCCAGGTAACTCCTAAACCAACATTAAGGTTTCTTGATATTCAAGTATGGTTTCAGGTGTTTTGATAAGAAACTGTTTAACAGCTGCATTCTGAATAATAAGTGAAACTTGTCAAGTAATATGAATTATGTTAACAGGATGAAAATCTATCTACAATAACACAATTCTTACGCAAATGATTCTGCTTTTGTTTTTATATCCAGACATTGAGCACTCGAGCTCATAAAAATGTGAATGTCAGTAATATCAAGGTTGGTGGATGCACCTTTGCTTTCGACATGTTATATCTAAATGGCCAACAACTTATCCATGAGAGTCTTGACATTCGCCGAGAGGTTAGCCAAATCATCATAAAAGGGTTCTTCTTTTTCTTTGGTTCCAGTGAATATATGTATTCATTTGTGTGCACCTTTTGCTTCTGGCAGAAGCTATACGAATCATTTGATGAAGATCCTGGGTATTTCCAGTTTGCAACTGCTATGACATCCAGCGATGTCGATGAAATACAAAAGTTTCTTAAAGCTTCTGTTGACAGTGGGTAATAATATATCTGAAACTTTGTCTGTATTTCTAACAAAATCATTAAACTTTTGGTGTAAATTGTGCTTTAGCAACTTGACTGATCCATGACTGTTGTGAATTCTCTACAATCATTGACGTCTGCCTCGTTATCTCTATGTGTTATTTTGCAGCTGTGAAGGTTTAATGATTAAAACACTCAACTCTAATGCAACCTATGAGCCTGCAAAGCGAGCAAATAATTGGCTGAAACTGAAGAAAGACTATATGGACAGGCAAGTGTATATATACTCTTTAAGTTTTAAATCGATCAAAAAGTCATTTACTGAATCTAGCTAGGTTTGTATATATGCAGCAGCATAGGAGACTCTGTGGATCTTGTACCAATTGGCGCTAACCACGGGAAAGGCAAACGCACAGGTTAAAAACCATTTTAAATTTTATTTGGGTGACAGATACATTTTGAAATATAAATTAGATGATCTTTGCTTTAACAGGTCTGGGAAGTGAAAGCAGCTGACTTAACAATTAGCCCCAAGTATCTTGCAGCAAACGGCATTGTAGACCCTAATAAGGTTAATTTTTAACATTATCTGATGATTGTTTCTATATCAGTTCTTACAAATCGTTGGGCTAAATTATGGAATGTTGGTTTTGGTTAAAAAAGGGAGTTTCTCTACGTTTTCCTCGTCTATTACGTATACGGGAAGACAAGAATCCAGAGGACGCAACATCATCTGAACAGGTGAAGTCTCATCCTTAACCACAGTACTAATAGAATGCAAATTACTGTAAAGACATAAAGACTAAGCTGGTTTTCACTTTTTCTAATTTTCAGATTGCTGAGATGTTCAATGCTCAGAGACGTAATTCTCAAATCCAATCAAAGTGACGACGATGATTGAACAATTGTAGTAGAGAGAGCTAAATGTACTCCTTTAGTGGTAACAAAAATATTTCTTAACTTTAGTCTTATTATTAGTATAAGAACTTTATTTTTGCGGAGACAGAAGAAGCAAAAAGAAAAAAAATGAGTGCTTGCTCTGCATCTCCACTACCGATTCTGACATTTACAGAGAGAGCTAAATCTCTGTCGCAGATTCAACAAGCTCATGCCTTTATGCTCAAAAACGGAACTTTCCAGGATACGTTTTCTGCTAGCAAGCTTATTGCCTTCGCCGTCGCGAACCCAGAACCACAAACAGTCTCTTACGCTCACTCCATTCTCAATCGCATCGAGAGCCCTAATGCTTTCACTCACAATTCCGTCATCAGGGCTTACGCTAATAGCTCCACTCCTGAGGTTGCTCTGAGCGCGTTTCGTGAAATGCTTCTTGGTCCTGTATTTCCCGATAAGTACAGCTTCACGTTCGTGTTGAAAGCTTGTGCTGCGTTTTGTGGGTTTGAAGAAGGAAGGCAGATTCACGGTCTTTTCTTGAAGAGCGGTTTGATCTCTGATGTGTTTGTGGAGAATACGTTGGTTAACGTCTATGGAAGAAGCGGCTGCTTTGAGATTGCCCGTAAAGTGCTCGATAGAATGCCTGAGAGAGATGTGGTTTCTTGGAATTCGTTGTTGAGCGCTTACGTCGAGAAGGGTTTAGTGGTAGAAGCTCGTGCGTTGTTTGATGAGATGGAGGAAAGGAATGTAGAGTCTTGGAATTTTATGATTTCGGGTTATTCGGGTGCGGGATTGGTTAACGAAGCGAGAGAGCTTTTCGATTCTATGCCGGTGAGAGATGTTGTATCTTGGAATGCTATGGTTAGTGCTTATGCGCATGTGGGTTGCTACAGCGAGGCTTTAGAGGTTTTCAGTGAGATGCTTAGTAGTTCCACAGAGAAGCCTGATGGTTTTACTCTTGTGAACGTCTTATCTGCGTGTGCTAATCTTGGATCTTTGAGCCAAGGTGAATGGGTTCATGTTTACATCGACAAAAATGGGATTGTGATTGATGGGTTTTTGGCTACAGCTCTTGTGGACATGTATTCGAAGTGCGGGAAAATTGACAAGGCTCTAGAAGTGTTCAGAGCTACTTCGAAGAAAGATGTCAGTACATGGAACTCGATGATCTCGGGTTTAAGCGTCCACGGTCTTGGAAGTGATGCTTTGGAGATCTTCTCAGAGATGGTGTATGAAGGTTTTAAACCAAACAGTATCACTTTCATCGCTATTCTCTCTGCCTGCAATCATGTGGGTTTGTTAGACCAAGCTCGCATGCTTTTTGAAACGATGAATAGCGTTTACGGGGTTGAGCCAACTATTGAACACTACGGTTGTATGGTGGATTTGCTTGGTCGGATGGGGAAATTTGAGGAAGCGGAAGAACTAGTGAACGAAGTTCCAGCAGATGAGGCTTCGGTTCTGTTGGAATCTCTTCTTGGTGCCTGTAAAAGGTTTGGTCGAACGGAACAAGCAGAGAGTATAGCGAATCGTTTGCTGGAATCGAATCCAGGGGAGACTTCAGGTTATGTTCAGATGTCGAACTTGTATGCCTCTAATGGAAGATGGGATGAAGTTGTGGAGGTGAGAAGAAAGATGAGAACAGAAAGATTAAAAAAGAAGCCTGGATGTAGCACGATAGAAGTCAACGGGGTCGTCCATGAGTTCTTAGCTGGTGAAGGACTAATAAACGACTAAAACTCGGTAATTTCCAAAAAAATATGTTTTTTTTGTTTTGTTAATTTTATAGAATTGCTATCAGTTTTGGTTATAACCAAGTAGCATGAAGTTAGGGAATATGCATCGTAGAAAGCGCAAACTATTAACAAATCAGAATGATTAATCATGCACGGATCTTTATGTTAGTATACTCTACACGAAAATTAATGAAATTTCAAATCATTGTGAACCTGCTGAAACACATTGATGATCATGTCATGATATTCATCGGTATTGAGCCTGAGGTAACAAACCAGAAGCTCTTTGAGTTCTTCAGGGTGGTTGATACCATTCTCCATGATCATCTCAATCATTGAATCTCTAAAATCCTTCTGAGGATCACTCGAGCATTTCACTACTGCAAAGCTTTCATTCTCCGTTCCTCCATCTGCTGCTTCTGTCACAAGCTCGTGCTCCCGTGCTCTCAGTTTAGCCTTCTTCAAGTCTTCGATAGCTTTAACTCTGCATTTTTCAGAAGCTCTTGGTGAAAAAACTCTAACCTTGCTGTTTTCTTTTGTTCCTAATCTGTTTAGCTCCCTTCTTAGGTACAGAGACTTCCTCTGTTGGTCAGCCTTCAGCTTGACTTCTTTTAGTTTTATTTCCTTGAGCTTTTGCCACTGATGAGCCGGTTTTGTTACGGTAGGACAAGGAATTACAGAATCCTCTCTACTGGAACTTCCTGTACTTCTCGCTGATTTTTTCGCCTTGATCTCTGCGTCTTGCTCTGATCTCTTCGGCTTTTGTTCGAGAAGCCTTTGGTCTCGTCTCTCAAATCTCTGCTTATCTCTGTTCACCTGAATTCTTGGCGTCATGATCACAGTTCCTTTATCCCTATCCATTACCTCTGCTTCCAGAAAGCCACGCGTCTCTCTTTGGAAATCTCTTACTTTCTTCCTCACGCTGCTCATTATCTCTTCAAACTTCTCATTTGACTCCATATCTGTTGAACTTGCTGCAGCGTTCTCCTTTTCTACTGATACTCTCTGAAACCTTGTGCTGCTCTCATGAACATCATTTCGACGTTTTGTAGAACTCAAGGAAGATTTTGCAGACATGTTCTGGCTAGCTTCTTCATCTTGCTTCTTCTCTTTTGCAGGTTTCAAGTCAGAAGAACCACTTAACTTTGAAAACCAAGAAACAGGATGAGCACGAGACAGCCCGGTAGAAGAAGAAGAAGAAGATGATGAAACAGGTTTCTTTCTTCCCCATCTCATCATCCCAAAACGATGGAAGAAACTGAAAAAGTTTTGTGCTTTCTTAGGCTAATAAACTATGAAACAAGATGATATAAAAATGGAGGTGATGTATATCTAGAGCTTATTGCTGTTGTATGGTTAGGTCGCTGTGTTTAATAGGGAGATTGAAGATGTTGTCTTAACGAATAAAAGTTTGAAAAAAGAGAACCAAACCGCCTGAAGAATCCTGTGACCACTTTTAGCCTAAAAAAACTTTTTCTTTTATTGGTATTGTAATCTCTGGGTATGTTCTGGAATTTATACCAAAGTGGGGGACCAGTTTTATCAATCAAAAACCAAACTTCATTGATGACAAAGACTTAGGCTCTCCCTCTCTCTTTCTCTTCTTTCTGAGTAACGTGACCGTCCCAAGAACCACAAGAATCATCCCATCTTTTTTAGTTTGTAGTAGCTGTCTTTATTCCGTAGAGCATTGAGTGTTTTTGGCTCAGTGAATCTATTGGCTATGCAATGATTCTATTTACATGATTACGTCCCGGTTGTAGAATTAACCTTAAACCCCAGTTTCGTCCAAAATAACAAAATATGATTGGTACCGGTCCCGACTCTCTCTCCTGGTCCTATGCTGAGAGATATTTTAATCATGAAGAAGGTAAAGTTAAAGGATTCAGGGTTATCTCAAAGTTAGAGATTTTCTGAAGTTGATGTGGTCCTGATTTCATAAAAACAGCTAAAATCTCTCCCATATGGATATATCACCTACCTTGAGGTATGGTTTGTGTCATCCACCACCAACTTGTTCCTAATATTTAATTTAATTTTAAGCTTCTTTTTTTTTTTTTGTTTCTACTATATAGTATACCCATCAAAATGAGGATAAATAAGGTTTTTGTTATTATTTACATAAGTTTGTTGTTTCTCTTATATTGTCAAGACTTTGCATTGAAGCATTATCAAACTCACCAATTTCAGGCTCTTCTACTTTCCAGTCTGAAAAGGAATAAAAGAATAATACCCTATTTTGTCTCTATGATTTTCCACCAAATGTAAAAATACAAAAATTGTATATGATATTTATATATGAAACTTTAATTTTAATTGGTCTTTTCTGATTTTGTTGGAGGCTGGCCTTATTATTAAAAAGGACAAGACGTTATTATTTCATGGCTATTTCAAACTTGGTGATAGTTCTAATAATGTGCCTTATTAATAAAGAGGGTAAATGTAGTAATTTAATTATATTTTATTTTGGTATAATTATTAATAAAATCATAATTATTCTAGCATTTAAAATTTAATGATTGTATACAAAAATCACATTTCGACAGTTTTAGTAAATTTAGTTTTGTTTTCGATATATTAAATTGTATTAGATGAATATTAATAAAATCATAATTATTCTAAATTTCTTTGACTGATTTTTAATCAATAGTTAAGATTTAACGATTGTATAAAGAAATAATATCACATTTTGATTGTCTTAATAGACTTCGATTCATTTACTATACATCAAATTATACTAGATAAATATTAATAAAATAATAATTATTCCAAACTTATATAACTGGGTTTTATTACATTTAAACTTTAACGATTGTACTGTTTTAATAGATTTGGTTTCGTTTACCATGTATCAAATTGTGCTAAATGAATATTAATAAAACAATAATATTTTTAAGTTTTTTGACTAGTTTTTTTACTAACATTTCATATTTAACATTTGTATAAAAAAATAAAATCACATTTTGACTATTTTAGTAGACTTGTTTACCATGTATCAAAATGTACTAGTTGAATATTAAATCTCAACTTTTTTTTTAACTGGTTTTTTTCCTAACATTTAAGATTTAACGATTATATAAAGAAAGAAAATCACGTTTTTACTTGTTTTAATATTTGTGGATTCGTTTACCATGGATCAAACTGTACAAGATGAATATTCATAAAATCATAATTATCTCAAGTTTCGTTGACTGGTCTTTTTACTACTCTCTCCATTTTTTATATAAGATGTTGTAGAGATTTTTTTTGTTCAAAAATAATTGATGTTCTCACATATCTATGCAGTAATTAATTGTATTTTTATTGTTTTAAGTGTTTGAATTTTGTATATTGTTTTTCTATTGGTTGAACTGTTTTGAAATTGATGATAAAGCATATTTTGTTTTGAGAAAATACAAAATTAAATGATTTCTTAATTTATTTGTAAAATCTTTAAATATCATATAAAAAATGGAGGGGGTAACATTTAAGATTTAATGATTGTATAAAGAAATAAATCTTAAATTGACTGTTTCAGTAGATTTGGATTCGTTCACCATATCAAATTATACTAGATAAAATTTTAATAAAATCATAATTATCTCAATTTTCTTTGAATTTTTTTATTAACATTTCAGATTTAATGATTATATAAAGAAATAAAAATCATATTTTAACTGCTTTAGTAGACTTGGATTTGTTTACCACATATCAAACTGTACTAGATGAATATTAATAAAATCATAATTATCCTAAGTTTCTTTAACTGGTTTTTGCAGATTTGGATTTTAGTAGATTTGGATTTGTTTACCATGTATACAATTGTACTAGATGACTATTAATAAATTCATAATTATCCCAAATTTCTTTGATTGATTTTTTTACTAACATTTAAGATTTAACAACTGTATAAAATAAAATCATATTTTAACTGTTTTAGTATATTTGGATTTGTTTGCCATGTATCAAATTGTATTTCTACAAATGTGATTGTATAAAGAAATAAATCATATTTTGACTGTTTTATTAGATTTGGATTCTTTACCATGTATCAAATTGTATGTCTGCATGTGTCAATAATATCATTGACCAATTCAATGTTTTGTTTGAATAACATATCATTTCAACATTACTATTTAATGTTTAACTTTATCATCAAACAAGTGAAGACCTTGTATATATATATCGAACATAAGCAACCTCGATTTCTCATAAATCATAACAATATTAACTAAACATTTAAGAGTATAGAGAGTTCAAAGATAAACGATGGTTTATTCAAGATTTGTTTTTTTTGCTTTGCTCGTTCTTTTCGTTTTACTTGCAGGTTAGTTTCATTACATCAAAACCGTGCCAAAGCGTTTTTCTATTAATATTATTTCTAAACCAAATTTTTGGATATATGTTATTTTGCAGGTGTTGAATCCACGAACATGGTGAGTGAAGATTCCAACAAAGAAGTTTTATCACTTTCCAATGATCAATCCAGGCTTGGAGTATGTAAGAGTCTCTCATGCAACGTTTCGTGTCTTGAAGCGTGCGGGAAAGGTGGCTTTTGCGAGAAAGGACTTTGCAAGTGCTTCTGCCAAATTCCTCCAAACTAAAAATATACTCTATGATCCTTTCTAAATAATAACAAACATTATTTCAAATCTTAAGAAGCTGTTATTAATAATTTAATATTTGTTCAAATAATAAGAGTTATAAATGGATCAATGCATAAAAAGACAATCTTTGCCCTACGTGTCGAAAAGATCAGTATATGAGCAAAGATAAATTCTCAAAATTTGGTAAAAGAAAAATGAAAGTGTTGGACTTATATTTAACAAATAAGATTATTCTGATCGAAAGACTTATATTTTAGTTTTTTTTGTTCAAATTGTAAAGTTATAATGTCTGAGGACTTATTATTAGAGCATCTCGGATGTATTATTTTATTTTTCATCTCAAAATATAATAATGGTAAAATAGAATTGGATTCCTTTCCAATATAAGATTCTATTTTCTATTCCAAATTAAATATTTTAAGTATATTTTGTTTTCTAATTTACTATTAATTATTAACTATACACACCTTTAAAAAAATTACAAATAGACATATTCATTTTTTTATATATAAACTTCTATGAATTATGATATTTTTTTTAAATCATAGCTATTATAAATAAAAGAGAAAGACATTACACTACTTAAAAAATCATAAAACAAAGTAAATTTTAGTTTATATTATTTTCAATTTTTAATACTTTTAAAATATTTTTAAGTTTAATGTGATTTTTAAATATTTTTATTAAATATAAGCTATTTATATTTTTATTTTAGATATTCTAGTGTTTTAATATTTATAATCATCAGTAAAAATAAATCATCATCAAAATAATTATTTATAACTCGTAAAATAAAATTATTAAAAATTTAAAAGACTAATTTATATAAAAAGGTTTAATTCTAAAAAGAATTGAAAATGAAATAGTTCAAGCAAAAATAGCATTATTAATTTTTAGCATAGAAATAAGATAGGCTTGGAGCCAATTTTATGCTAAAATGAAATTTAACACCAAATTTGATATAGAGTTGGAGAAGCTCTTACTATTTTTTTTTTTTAAATATAGCATTAAAATATTTGATAACTGCTTTAAAACATTAATTTTTTTTATAAGATGTGAATAATGTTAATAAACTTTAGATATTTAAGAATCATTGACCCGCGTTTAATCAGCTCATTTTCCGGGAACCAAAAGAGTTTAATCAGGTCATTTTCCCGTTTAGGTCTTATAAACATTTTTTTTATATAAATTTTTATACTTACTCTTTTCATCCACAATCGGGACATCATTTCAAATACATAAGGTAACAGAAAAGAAGATAAGAGAATAGATACAAAACTATAAAACAAATGTGAAGAAGCAAGTATAAAGATAATCCCACGAGCCAGAGAAGATGGATTGAGGGAGAGCAGCGTCATAGTTGGATGAATTTGAACCACATATAAATGAATGATTTTGAATCGGTAGAAGCACGAGTCAAAGTTATGGTCGAAACATATCCCTCCTGTCGAAACCCGCAAGTTTTGCTCTAATGAGATGTTGGACCTCTTTAACCACCCCCGAAACTTCTAAACGTTTACTGGAATTTAAATTAGAAACTTGAATAATCTTTAGTTTATAAATACTCCTAGAAGACGATAGAATGTTGCACAACATGATACAAGTATATGCTTCCTTTAGTCATGTTTTAAATTGTTTTAGTTACCTAATTAGTTATTAAAAAACGTGACATCCTAATTCTGATACTTTATCTCTGTTTATAGCCAAACATGTTATCCTCTTTACAAATTCTAGGTGATCAAGCAATCAAACAAGCAATCCAACAAACAAAGCCTTATGAATATTATTTCTTATTAATCTCTTGTAACTTCCGTATTTAAACCCTAGACTAGAAACTAAGCGACTCAAACAGCCATCTAGCAACCCGATATACTAAACACTCTCCACTTCTAATGCAATGAAGTAAATATGCTTGGTTTGATTCAAAATTAGGTGTCTAAAAAAAAAACAGAAAAGAAAGAACGATTCAAGAAGAGAGAAGGAAACTCGGCGGTGTAAACAACATGCAGATTAGGCGACGGATTCATACGGTAGCTAGCTGAACGTATGTGGTTGCAGAAGCCACCATGGAGGCTGGACGCAAACTGCAGACTCGTGGAACGTCTATTGGAGGAGGATGAAACATGGTGGCACAATAAAGAGAGAGATATAGCTCAACAGCGGAAGAGAGAGAATGAGAAAAGAGATATAGAGTTTCTATTTTTTCTAAAAGTTTAGAATGAATGAGGAGAGATCTCTATTTAAAACAAATAGGGAGACTTATGCAGAAAAGTAGAGAAAAACACGAAAAAAGAAGAAGTCTTTATTAGTTTGATGAAAAATAGAGAAAAATGGAATATCATTTTTTGAAAGAAAAAGAACAATAAAATTTATGAAAAGGAAAGTTATTATATATATATTTTAAAAAAAAAAATACTAAGAGAAAAGAAAATTAGGATTTAAACCTAATAAGATGCAAGTGAATTGATTAATAATTCCGGTTTAGCGAAAGTAGAGTGTTATAAAAATCTAATAATTAAAACAAGAAATTTATTTCACAGGCTTTTGAAATACAACAAAATAGATAGTTCTACAATATGAGTTTAAATGTCGCATCTAATCTTATATTATTATAAAGGTACTTCTTTAAATTTCTATGTAGCATATTCAAATAATAATCGGTTTAAAGAGTTTTATAATCCGTAGTAATCTGTTGAAATCTTGGTACGATGAGATTTACTATTAACTAGTGTTAGTAGTACCCGTTTTATATAATTCAAGCTCGTTTGTAAATTGTAATTATAAAGACTTTGCATTGAATCATTATCAAATTCACCAATTTCAGCCTCTTCTACTTTCCAATTTTAAAATAAATAAAAGAATAATACCCTAATCCAGCTTTTTGATTTCCCACCGAATATAAAAAATACAAGAATTACATATATGATACATATACGTATAGAGTTTTAATCTTGGTTTTTCTTTTATAATTTTTTTTTTGTTGGAGACTGGCCTTATTATTTAAAAGGTCAAGATGTTATTATTTCACGGCCATTTCAAACTTGGTGATAGCGATACGAGCCCGTTGTGTTTTATTATTAAAGAAGAGTAGATGTTGTGATTTAATTTAATTAAAAGCATAATTTTCCCAAGTTTCTTTGATTGGTGTTTTTACAAACATTAGATTTACAACTGCATAAAGAAATAAAATCACCCACCTTTTGTCTGTCTTAGTAAACTTGGTTTCGTTAATCATTTATCAAACTGTGTTTTTACAAATGTTGCCAATGATATCATTCACCAATGCAATGTTTGGTTTGAATAACATATCATTTCCTTATGGATAGTAATACAAATGTTGAATATTGATGTTCGATTTTATTACAATTAATGCTTAACTTTACCAGCAAACAAGTAAAAACCTTATACATCGAAGATAAGCTATTGACATTTCTCATAAATCATAACAATACTAACCAAGCATTCAAAAGTACAGAGTTAAAAGATAAACGATGTCTTATTCAAGATTTGCTTTCTTTGCTTTTTTTGCTCTTTCTGTTTTATTTGCAGGTTAGTTCCATTAAACCAAAACCGTGTCAACCTGTTTTTTTATTACTATTATTTATACTAAAATCTTGGATATGTGTTATTTTGCAGGTGTTGAATCAACATAAATGGTGAGTGAAGATTCAATTTGGTCTTCCAACAAAGGAGGTTCATTATGTTGCAATGATCACCCCAAATTTGGAGTATGTACTAATGATACAAAATGCAGCGATTGCTGTCATTAACGCTGCGACAACAAGAAATGTGGCTTTTGCGAGAAGAATCTTTGTCACTGCTTTTGCTAATCAAAACTTTAAACTATACGCTCTTTTATATGTACTATTAATATAATAATACACTACTTTTTTTTTTTACTATTTTACATCTTGAGCAGCTGAGTTGTTTATGATATTTCAAATAATTAGAGTTATGAATCGATCAATACATAGAAAAAACAATCTTTGAAATGTATTAGTAGAAAAGAAATTTGGGCCCTAGTTCTAAAAAACAATTTTTGGGCCCTAGTTCTAAATAATCTCCAGAGTTGGTAAGAAATTTGAATTTTACATAATCACTAATATATACACCAATTACTTAACCTTATACATCAATAAGAATGTCTCACCCAAAAAAAAAAAACATAAATAACTAAATAAGAACATACAGCACCATCGACATCCGCTTAAGTTGCTTCTGTTGTGTCTCCACTGTTTAAGTTACGTGGCATGCTTCTAATATTTCATGGAAATAGTATTAAAAATATATTTTAGTTTCTTAGTTCAAAATTTGTTAGATGAAAAAATTATGATTTGAACTTGACGTACTCTTATTTTTATGGTTATAAAATTTTATTCTCAATTGTAAATTTATAATGTTTGATGACTTATTACAATATTTTTACTATTTTATTTGAAAAAATATTAAAATTAGAATATTTGATAACTATTCTAAAATATAAATTGTTTTCGCGAAGATGTGAAACATGTTTGTAAACTTTATATATCTAAAAAAGTAATTAAGAATTATCGACCTGTGATCGAATCGGGTTGTCCGGGGATCCATCAAACCAAAAGAGTTTAATCAGTTCGTTTTTCGGTTAAGGTGTTCTAAACCTGATAAATATTTGCTACTCTAATTAAGTCACGAAACATCATAAGTTAACAAATACTAAAGAGTGAAGACCATACAACTGAATATAAAAATACAAGAATTGTATATGATATATACAACTTTAATCTTAATTAGTTTTTATGTTTTTTTGGAAATTAGCCTTATTATTTAATAGAACGTGATGTTATTATTTTACGCATATTTTAAACTTTATGATAGGGATACAAACCCGTTGTGTTTTTTTTTTTTTTTTAAAAAGAAGAGTAAGTGTTATAATTTACTTTAATCTAATATTGATATAATTATTAATAAAAAAATAAATTTTCCAAGTTTTTTTCACTAGTGTTCTTACAAACATTTAAGATTTACAACTGCATAAAGAAATAAAACCACCTTTTGACTGTCTTAGTAGACTTGGTTTCATTTATCATCTATTAAATTGATAATGTTTTACAAATGTGCCATTAATATCATTCAACAATGCAATGTTTTGTTTGAATAACATATAATTTCCTTATGGATACTAAAAAAATGTTGAATATTGAAGTTATATTTATTACAATTAATGCTTAACTTTATCAGAAAACAAATGAAAACCTTAAATATGAAATATCGAACATATATAAGCTATCTACATTTCTAATAAATCATAACAACACTAATCATCAAACACTCAAAAGTATAGAGAGTTAAAAGATAAACAATGACTTATTCAAGATTTATTTTCTTTGCTTTTCTTGCTCTTTCTGTTTTACTTGCAGGTTAGTTCCACATTAAACCAAAATCGTGTCAACCCATTTTTTTATTACTATTATTCCTAAACTAAAATCTTGGATATGTGTTATTTTGCAGGTGTTAAATCCACAGAAACGGTGAGTGAAGATTCAATTTGGTCTTCCAACAAAGGAGGTTCATTGTGTTGCAATGATCACCCCAAGTTTGGAGTATGTACTGATGATGCAAAATGCAGCAATTGGTGTCGTCAAGGCTGCGACAATGGGAAAGGTGGCTTTTGTAAGAAAAGTCTTTGTCACTGCTTTTGCTAAATTCATCGAAATATTAAAGTATACGCTCTTTAATATGTACTACGGATAATAATACATGTTGTTTTACTATTTCACATTTCGAGCAGCTGAGTTGTTAATGATATTTTCAAATAATATGAGTTATGAATTGATCAATGCGTACAAAAAACCATATTTGCACTATGAATTTGTAGAAAACACCAATATACCAGTAAAGATAAATTTTCAAGAGTTGGTAAGAAAATTAAATTTTACATAACCAATCATATACACACCAATTACTTAAACTTATACATAAATAACAATATACCAGCGTCGTCAAAAAAAATAAAATAACAATATACCAGCACCATTAACATACTGCTTATGTTGCTTACTGTTGTGTCTCTGCTGTTTAAATTATATGGCATGCTTCTAATCTTTCATGGAAACTAGTATTATTTTGATTGAAAGAATTTTATTCTATTTCTTTTTACGTAGCTCAAAATTTGTTAGAGATAAACAATTATGATTTGAATCTGATATCATATTTTTATGGTTATGAAATTTTATTGTCAATTGTAAAGTTATAATGTTTGAGAATTTATTACAATATTTTACTATTTTATTTTAAAATATATTAAAATTAAAATGTCTGATAACTATTTTAAAACATTAATTGTTTTTGAAGAGATGTGAAACAAGTTTGCAAACTCTACATATTTAAGAAAATAGTAGTAAGGATCATTGACCCGTAATCGGATCATTCGGATCATAGGTTTTGTGGAGATCCAACAAACCAATAAAATTAATCAGCTTGTTTTCCGAATAAACTCTTTTTTAAGATGAATATTTGAATATACTACTACTAATTAAAACACGAAACATAAACTAGCAAATACTAAAGACCATACAATCCAATTTTTTTATATATATTAATAACCATGCTGTATACTCCAACAACATACATATATATAATATTTTATGATATATTAACCATTTTGATAGTTGTCAAAAACAAAACAAAAAAAAACCATTTTGATAAAATATAATTTTTCCTTCTTTTTTTTGCTGGTTTGCTACAAGCATTTAGTTATCTTGGTGACTACTGAGTCAACTTTTGACTGTTTTAGTTGACTCAAATGTTTATAAATCCTTTTTGACCTATAATTGACTAAAACAAATTTCATGTCAAGTATGTTTCTACAAATGTGTGTTATTGCTAACAAATTTTTGACTCAAATGTTTATTTCCTTGTTAACAAGTGTTGAATATATATGACCGATGCTTATCCTTTTCAGCAAGCAAGTGAAATCTTATATACAACAAAAACATTATTTATTAATCTACAGGCCATTAAGAGTTACAAAATCATTCAAGATTTGTGTTTTTTGCTTTCCTTGCCCTCTCTCCGTTTTACTTACAGGTTAGTCTTATTAGATCAAAACCAAATTAAACGGGCGGGTTTTTCTTTTTATTACTTAATTTTTTTTTTTTTGAATATGTAACTATGTATGTGTTTTATTTTGCAGATGTTGAAGCTATTGACGTGGCGAGTGATGGTTCACTTTGGTTACCCAACAAAGGAGCTTCATTGTGTTGCAAAGATCACCTTTAATTTCGAGTATGTAACGATGAGGAAAAGTGTAAAAACCGTTGTCTTCATGGTTGTGACAATAATAAAGGTGGCTTTTGCAAGAACAAAGTTTGTCACTGCTACTGCTAAAATTCATTTAAATTATATATACACACTCTACGCTTTTTTTTCTTCTCTAAATATTGATCACTAAAATATCAATAAACAAATTTTGTTGCTATTTCACATCTCTAATAACTGAGTTTAACTGTTTTAAAATTCATTATAAATGATAATTTTTAGTAAGGTTTTAATTGTATATGAATGGATCAGTGGGAAGAAAATAGAATGTATAATAAAAAGAGCATTGTGTAGAGTCGATGAATATATAGTGGAAATATTTGGACATACAAAAAATGAAAATTCGGGCCCTAGTTCTAGAGTAGACAGCCATCTTTGCGAGAACATTGTTTTGTAATCAAATATTGTAGATTATATAAAAATTAATTTAGTAAATGGCAAAAATGATAAAAACAAAAGTTGTTTTGGAGAAAAAGAATAACTTGTTTTTTCGGAAGAAAATATTTGTCTGTAATATGAGTTAACAAGAACTCTCATGTTTATGAGTTTATCTGTTTTTGATCGTTCTTAAAACTTGTATTAATTATTCAAAGTATTGATATAATCAGATTTTTAATAAATAAATAAAAAGAATGAAAGAAGTAATGATTTTTCTTTTTGATGGAAACATTTAGCCATTAAAGTTGTTAAAAGTAAAAAAAACAGATCATTACCTTTCATCAGCTTCAGTTCATCTTCATCGTCTTGCCTAAGTCGGCTTCTTTGTATGTCTTGTGTCTCTCTCTTTCAGATAAAATTTCTTGATTAGATCTTGTCCTCTTCCTAACCTCATCTTGATCGAATGTTACACATTTTTTGTAGTATTTCACATCTCGAACAGCTGAGATTCAAATAATAAGTTATGATTTGATCAATGCATAGAAAAGACAATCTTATCATATCCTTATCATAACCGAACAACATAAGCCTTATCATATCTTGTTGAAGATCTTTTGCAGTAAACAAAAAAAAGTAATCTGTTGAAATCTTGGTACGATGAAATTTACTATTAACTAGTGTTAGTATTACCCGTTTTATAATTCAAGCCAGTTTGTAATTATCAAGACTTGCACCTGAAGCATTATCAAGTTCACCAATTTCAGGCACTTCTATTTCCAATCTGAAAGGAATAAAAGAATATCTTTATGATTTCTCACTGAATATAAAAATACAAGAATTGTATAAGATAAATACAACTTTAATCTTGATCATTAATGTTTTTTTTGGAAACTGGCCTTATTATTTGAAAAAACAGGATAATGGGCTTGATTAGTTACTGCTGTAGTTTTAGTTTTTTTGCTGTAGAAATAAAGCTGTAAATTTTTTGTTGTGGCTATAGATTTTAATTCTTTAAAATTTAGGGATGTATGATTTTTAATTTTTCAGAACCAAAATTTAGTATTTACATATTTTGCTTTATAGAGCTAAAATATTAAAAAAGAAAAGAAAGATTTGTAGCTTAAAAAATATGTGTAAAACATGATTGAAAAAATTTAGTACTTTAAAAAAAGCATAACTGTGTACTAATTCTACATCACTTATCAATCAAACCCGTTATTATTTCATGCATATTTTAAACTTGATGATAGCAATACAAGCCCTTTGTGTTTTTTTAAAATAAAGAAGAGTAAATGTTGTAATTAAATTTAATTTAATGTTGATAGAATTATTAATAAAAATATAATTTTCGAAAGTTTCTTTCACTAATGTTCTTACAAACATTTAAGATTTACATCTGCATAAAGAAATGAAACAACCTTTTGACTGTCTTAGTAGATTTGGTTTCGTTTATCATCTATCAAATTGATAATGTTTTACAAATGTGCCATTAATATCATTCAACAATGCAATGTTTTGTTTGAATAACATAATTTCCTTATGGATACTAAAAAAATTGTTGAATATTGAATTTCTATTTATTACAATTAAAACCTTAAATATCGAACATATATAAGCTATCTACATTTCTAATAAATCATAACAACACTAATCATCAAACACCCAAAAGTATAGAAAGTTAAAAGATAAACAATGGTTTATTCAAGATTTGTTTTCTTTGCTTTTCTCGCTCTATCTGTTTTACTTGCAGGTTAGTTCCACATTAAACCAAAACCGTGTCAAACCGTTTTTTTTTAATTACTATTATTTCTAAACTAAAATCTTGGATATGTGTTATTTATCAGGTGTTGAATCCACGGAAATGATGAGTGAAGATTCAATTTGGTCTTCCAACAAAGGAGGTTCATTGTGTTGCAATGATCACCCCAAGTTTGGAGTATGTACTGATGATGCAAAATGCAGCAATTGGTGTCGTCAAGGCTGCGACAATGGGAAAGGTGGCTTTTGTAAGAAAAGTCTTTGTCACTGCTTTTGCTAATTTCATCGAAACATTAAAGTATACGCTCTTTATTATGTACTATTGATAACAATACACGCTCTTTTACTATTTCACATTTGAACAGCTGGGTTGTTAATGATGTTTTCAAATAATATGAGTTATGAATTGATCAATGCCTACAAAAAAATCATCTTTGCACTATAAATTTGTAGAAAAAACCAATATACCAGCAAAGATAAATTTTCAAGAGTTGGTAAGAAAATTAAATTTTACATAATCAATCTTATACACACTGATTACTTAAACTTATAAATAAATATGAATATACCAGCACCATTAACATACTGCTTATATTGCTTACTGTTGTGTCTCCACTGTTTAATTTATTTGGCATGCTTCTAATCTTTCATGGAAACTAGTATTATTTTGATTGAAAAAATTTTACTTTATTTCTTTCTACGCTGTAGCTCAAAATTTGTTAGAAGAAAACAATTATGATTTGAATTTGACATCATATTTTTATGGTTATGAAATTTTATTTTAATTGTAAAGTTATAATGTTTGAGGATTTATTATAATATTTTATTATTTTATTTTAAAATATATTGAATTTAAAATATCTGATAAGTATTTTAAAACATTAATTGTTTTTGAGGAGATGTGAAACAAGTTTGCAAACTCTACATATTTAAGAAAATAGTAATTAAGGATCATTGACTCTTGACCGGATCATGGGTTGTCCGGAGATCCAGTGAACCAAAAGAGTTTAATCAGCTTGTTTTCTGGTTAAACTCTTTTAAACTAAAAGATTTTTTTTTAAATGATAGTTTTTAATGAGGAAAAATAATAATGTAGAAGAAAAAAGCATTATGTAGAATCGAAGTATATAAATTGGAAATATATGGGCATACAAAAAAATGAATTTTTGGGCCCTAGTTCTAAAGTAGTCAGACTATACTCAACCATCTTTGCCAGAACATTATTTTCTAATCAACTATTGTAATATTTGATCCATCATATTTGTGTTTGTTAGGTGATGGAATTATGTATTAGTCTGTCTGGAACTCTTGAATGTCTAATATATTCTCATTGGGGTTTGTGAAAAATATTAGTAGAAAAGACCGATGATTTCCAGAGTTGGTAAGAAATTTGAATTGCACATAATCACTAATATATACACCAATTACTTAACGTTATAC